ATACAAACCATAATGGCTTCATAAATTATTCGTCTATAGCATTTTTCAGAAATCGAAAGCATCTTATCACCATAAACCTGAAAACCCTAATGCCTGTCATCAAGGATCCTACGCTAGATAAAAGGGCGATCTGCAAATGCATATTGCAGCATCAGGAAACTCTATTGGACATGGATGACCACATTATGAATGTGGGGAAAGAATATGCTCAGTTGAAGAATATTGCTTCTAAAGGTACTTAAAACGCACGCTGAATAATCTTCCACTCATGATAATAAAAATGCGCATTTCGATGCGTTGCGATACTTGTACAGGCTTTAGAGAATATCAACTCTGCATATGTCTGAAATGCGCTGTGTATTCCTGCTATGAATGTTTGGATAAACTAAAAAACTATTCGCATGGTCGAAATCATGCTATCGTTCATCATGATTGTCAACAGTACATATCTACCGCTTTCGCCGCTCGCCGTGCCGGCATCCCTGCCGGGATTGGACGCTCCGCGCCCGGCATGCATGAAGAAAGAAAACGAAAGCCCAGGGCTACATGTAAAAAAGTAGCATCAAAAGCGGCGGAAGATGCCAGGCGCGGAGCGGCCAATCCCGGCTGGTATGCCTTGAAGGTAATGTTGAGATGGGATGAGTTCTGACGCCTGAGTTGCCTACATGAAATATGCAACCAGTTTTTCAGCAGGAAACCAACGAGGCCATTTAAACAGATGCATATTTCTATTTAGTTCTATCTTTTTCATCAATTGAACCAAATTTATACAGCTTTTTCCCAAAAATCATGGAGTGTATTTTGTGTCCCCCCTCTTTTCTCATAAAAATGCTATGTAGGGAGAACATGTAGCAAGAGCTTCCGTTCTTCGCCGTTCTGTGACCACTTGCAGCACACGCGGAGTACCATTTCCGCGCGACAAACCTGAAAAGGGCCACGGAGACCTTTACGGCCCTCTACATAACCAGAACTGGCCCCGACGTGACCCCGGGTACCATCGTTCATACCGCAACAGATCAAATCTGGTTTTGTTGCAACGTCGGTGGCCGTGCCAGTATCATCTGGGTCGTGAACCAAGATGCAGATGAAGCGGACCCCACAGATCCGGTACCGACCTGGTAATTGACGTCCCAACACCCCCGCTCGGAGCGCCGGTGCGTTGGCTCTTCAAAGGGGGGATGTAACGATGAGGACATCTTCGAGAGATCGCGAGTAAGCCCAAATCGGACGCGGGAAGCACGAATCGCGTGACCAACTCCACCAATTGAGTTACCGCGACCGAAAAAACCGGTTCGGAGAATGGCAATTGGCGCATTAGATTTCAGCGTGCCTCGTACAACCTGTGGAGGCCCGAGCCAGTGCGGAAAAGGAAGAGATCGGTACTGCCACCAATAAATCAGTTGCGGTGCAGCAACACCCATTAGTTTAGTTTAGTTTAACAGTTTATCCAAGAATCTTGTATAAAAAGGATGTATTCAATAAAATAAGTCGGGGGCAGAAGCCGTAGCGACACAAAATCCCCATAACTCGCTTCTCAACTCCAATCTTAGGTTAACAGGAACCTAACAGAGCGCTTCAACGGCCTGATCACCTGTACCGAAGCCTCTAAATCCTGCTCGGTTCACAACTAACCGACTCTCCTTGCCTCTCGCCCCCAAGTCGCTACCGACGCCCAAAGAAAGGATTCGGAGACTATGATTCCTAGTACGGCCACCCACATAACCTGCTAGGAGACCCAAGTCGTCTTTACCGTAGTCTACCAACAAAAAATCCGCTACATCCTCCACGGGCGGTTATTTCAAGTTGAGAAGCGACACTCCCTCTACGAAAGGTGACTACACTATCTCCTACAACAACTCCGGAGACACCCTTCATGTCCACCTCGCCGGCTCATCTGATAGTGTAGACCAATGTCATTATGAATTCGGTCATTATTCCAGTGATATCTTTGGAACATGGAATAGCCGATTCTCTGTCAACACATACAATGGAGACCTCATCTCGTCCAGTAATCTAACTATTGGTTCGCCACTTAATGGGTTATGGGCTATTATTCTTAAAAATCTCGACCCAGGGACCAACGCTTGCTCTATTCAGTACTTCCAGAATGCTATTGGTTCTGCTGTTATGTTTCTAAATGGAAACAATAGGAGCGTTGATGGAGGCGCATCGACATTTACGGTGAGGAATGATGCAGGTTCAGTGCAACTGCAAGCGCAGGGAGCAAAGGGTTATCGCATCGTTGACAGGAAATGTCATTGTTGAAATCACCACTCCAGCTTTATCGAGTACAACTGGTGCATTGGTGGTGTATGGAGGTGTTGCTGTTGGAGCCCATGTAGTGGCAGGAGGGAATCTTTATAGCAATGGCCCAGTTTACTCGAATGGTCAGGTTTGTGCTACTCAACCATGGGTTGCCAGTCAAACATTTCTTAGAAATGTTCAAGTTTTCAAACTTTTGACTAAAGACATGTGGCAATCCAACAATGCCTCGAAGGTCTTCTATGTTTCAACACCTGGCAAGGTACTTATGGAGTGGATGCTCAACCTCCATGGCACAGCAAACTCAAATGGTACATTGTCAATATTTCTCGGCCAAAGCGCTGGGTCGATGCCTCTCGTGTACTCGAGCGACTTTAACTTTAATTCGGGGGTCAATCGTACAATCACTGCAGCCTTCATTGTTACAGGGATGGCCAATAACGTTGCCTACTTCACAAATTTTAGTATCAGTCAGGCTGCTCCTGATACCACCACAGATGTTACCCTTATTAAAATCACTGAACTCGGACAATAGATTACACGCACTATTGCTATTATTAAAAATTGAGGAAGCTATACAAAGATAGAATGCAATGTGTGGACGTTCTAGGTCATTCAGTCTTCAATATCAAAGACGCCGTGAAGGGTGACATCGATAACTTCTGGAGATATTGTCAAGGTATGCTGACAGGAGATAAAAAATGTATCATATTGTATCTTCCGAAAACAGACCAGAACGAACACATCTTCAAAGATATTATGTCAATCATTCACTTGAAGAAACTGGATGAAATCTGTTTTCGAAATTCTGGCTACTTGGCCATTCTGCAGGATTGTGTTCTCTTAGGACACAATCATAATGAAAGGCTCTTTGTTCTAGAAATGCAGATGGAAAGTGCATGAACATGGCTTCCCTTTTTTTTCTCTATAAAAGATGGGGATGCAGATGGAGAACTGTATCCCCATTGGGTCATACAGTCCTTTCCTTTTCATGGCTTCTTTCATTGGACTGACCACAAAAAGAAACAAAAAAGAAACCACATGCATCTGAAACACAGATGCCAACACAGCTTTTCGACGATGAGGAGTAACGAATCCCTCAAGCCCACCTAGCCAGTTTAACCCATTTTTTATAAGCTTTTTCATTTTCGATTTCAATTTACTTTTCTCAAAAAGTTTTTTCATTTTGATATTACACATATATCCTAAAAAAAGTGGATAGATTGGCTAGGATACATAAGGAGAGAGAAAACACTTACATCTATGAAAATGTTTAATTCTAAACCACCTACATGAATGTAGACAAGAGAAGTCTAGCAGATGAGAAAATAGGATAAACTAGGACACGAGAGGATGGCAGCTAATAAGACTTGGTCCATGCAGGATGGCAGTTTTGCACCTACATACCCATTGTTCACATTTAGGAAAAAGGCACATTCAAACAGATAAGAGTAACCAGGCTTTTTCCTTATGAAACCACTGTTGTCAAAAAAATAGGCCTAGCTTGTCCTATTTTTTTGTCTGCTAGACTCCTTTTGTCTACATTCATGTAGGGAGTAAAGAAACACATTTATATATATATGGAAGAAAAAAACACTCCATATATATTCTAGCCACTCTAACCACTAATTTAGGGGTAATGTGTAATATCAAATGAAAAAAACATTTTGAAAAAAGTAAAATTGAAATTGAAAATGAAGAAGCTTGTAAAAACAGTGTTAAAATGGCTAGGTGGGCTTGAGGGAAGATGGCATCCCACTTTGTCAATGAGAGATTGAACATGTTATATTGATAGGATGAGAGAACATCTATTGAACCATTTTATCGATAAGATGGGAGAGTTCCTTTTCCATTTATAAAAGAGGGTCGCCAGTCTCCCCCCAGTCCCTCCCCAGCTCGAAGCCTTCTTTTCAAAAATGATTCCATATACAACAATTAACAATGGACTATGCAAATGATTGTGTGCTGGTGCCGAGATGGATATTGGAATGGTTGCTTTCAGGGAACAATGGACACCAAAGTCTAGAGCAAATCTGCATGGATTGTGGAAGGAGGTTTCAATTGCGAAGAATTGGACAGAAAGGATACAAGTTTCGATGCTATCCTTGTTGGAAGAGATATGTGGAGAGACGAGTCCACAGATGAGTCCACAAGCTATGATGTCGAAGGCTGAGAGATGGAGTCCCAAGATGAAGTGATATCATGGAGTCTTGAGAAGAAGCAAATGTCAAGTTAGAACCAGTGTTGACTTTGAATTAGGTGGAGTTTGGACACGTGAAATATTAGATGCATAAAATTTTATGTGTAAGTGCACTATACTGCATATCATCCCTTCATCAATAGTCCCGGACTTGGACAAACACCTTGGATGACTCGAAACACTTTGAAACACTCCAATGCATTGGGCAAACACCTTGGAAGACTCAAAACACTTTGAAACACTCCAATGCATTGGCAAAACACTTCTGTACTATGGGTTTTGCAACATACCTCCGTACTATGGGTTTTGCAACATACCTCCATACTATGGGTTTTGCAACATACCTCCATACTATGGGTTTTGCAACATACCTCCATACTATGGGTTTTGCAACATACCTCTGTACTATGGGTTTTGCGACATACCTCCGTACTATGGGTTTTGCAACATACCTCTGTACTATGGGTTTTGCGACATACCTCCATACTATGGGTTTTGGTACAGCGATGTTGACTATGGGCACTGTGGTAGTGCATGCCTGTGGTATATACCACAGGCATGCACTACCACATCATTGGCTAGGATGATGAGAGGTTTCCTGTATGCAATGACTCGGAAATAGGTGCAGAAAGTCGGGTATTCTCCTCTGTGGCCTCTGAGGGAAGTTTCGAGGCATACTGTCTTGGTAGATGAGATACATCCACCAATGCCATTGAAAGCCATCATTTCCGCATCCTGCAAATTGGTTTCAGAGAACAGAAGGCCCTGGTACATGTCGGAAACCAGAGACTTGCAGGCTCCTGTGTCTAGTACCACAGGTGCCCAGAGCTGAGCGATGATGCCTAGCGTCCAGCAAGGCTGTGTTTGGGTCTTGGTCTCGCTTTTGAGTACATTGCCTAAATCTACTGAGTAGAAGGCATTGATGGAAGGCACCGCGACCTCGAAATGGGGCACGATGTCGTTAATTGTTGCTTCCATAGCCTTGATCACACTCTCAAAGTGCTCTCTAGATTTGTCATTTTGTGGTTTTGTTGTTTTATTCTGGCGAGCAACTTGTTCAATAGCCAGCATGACTATATGCATCCGTTCGCTCTCTTTGTGTCTTTGGAGATGTGGATGGTCTTTAATGTGCAGAAATTTGGGGTTTCCGCAATGATAATAATAGTCTGAGTGAACGATATTGCCTGTCAGGAGAAATGCCACCAGTTGCAGGTTGGCATAAGAATCAAAGATAACAGGATCTTCAGAGCTCCACATCAAGAATTTCTCATGCTCATCAAGCCTTATCCAGGCAAGGAGGATCAAACGAGGGGTACCATCTTCTCGGACCTTTCGCAGGATTTGATCCTTGTCAGCTTCAGCTGTGGCAGTGATGTAGAGGTGGTGGGAACTCCATGCGACTGTGTAGGGGTTGTTCCCGAGGTGCCCGGTGCCTTGCTTTGGTTCTTTGGCGAAGAAGCTGAGTGTGCGGGGGTTGTTGCCCATCATCAGAGCCACTTGCGGGGTGCCCCAGATGATGGCTATGTTGTCCCAGACTCGGTCCCAGCCCTGCGTGGGTGTGCAGGGGTCCTCTTCCTTAGTCTCCATGACCTCAGAAAGAGGTGCAGTCATCAAAATTGTTGATTCCGAGTGCTTGGGTGAATGAAAGAATCCAATGGTGTGGAATCCTTGATTAGCGGCGGCTGTCCTTTCCAGTTCCGAAGCTGAAAAAAGAGTCTTGGTGGTAGTGGATGTCAAGTCCAGCTCCACTATGTAAGACTTCTTGGACTCCTGTTTGGGTTTCCAACCTGCGGGCATGGGTGCTCCATATGGTCCTTTCTTTCCATCTTCAGGATCTTTTCGGTTCGGGTTCTGCCAGCAGAAAACATTCCAATGCCTTTTCTGACAGAATTTGCAGGGTGCCGGGGGTTCCTTGTTGGGGTCCGGAACCATCTTCTGAGGACCATTGCGACCCTTTTTGGGGTTTCCGGTTTTATGTTGAGCCATCTGCTTAGGGCCTCTGTCAGTTCTGGTCTTTTGTGACTTCTTCTGAGCTTCTGCAGCACCGCTGTAGCAGGGGTCTCATCTTCTGGTGTCATCAGAGCCGAAATAAAGGCGCAGGAAGTCTTTTAATTTGGTCAGGTTCATGACGTTACAGGATTTGACCATGATTTGGATGTCGCTGGGCAATTGTTCAACTATTAGGTCGAAATGCTGGTCAGCGGGACATTCTATGTTTGCCCGGTCGCCATAAGTGAGGCGCCGGAGATGAGTTTTGTGGTCGATGAATGCAAGAAAGCTGCGAAATTCTTTGGGGTTTGCATGACAGCGCACATATTCAGCTTTGCGCTTGGACTTGGTTAGGGGGTCTCAGAACTCTTGAAGCAGTTCTTCCTTCCACCTTTTCCAGGTCCACGAGCGAGTTTCCTGGGCTTCCAGAGTGTAAAACCAGGCATTGGCAGGGGTTTTCTCAGCTATCATGGCTGGTAGGAGCTGTACCATCCTGGCATCTGATGTTGCGCTAACATTTTGAAGAAGTTGGACTTTGTTAAGCCATTCTTCAACGTCTTGGTTTCTTTTGCCCATAAACTCAGGCACGTCCTTTGCTTTCAAGGAATTGACCTTGGTGTCACTGGCCCACGGGGCCACTGGCACTTGGATTGGAGGCACTGCACCTGAAAAACTTGGTTTGGTATGCTCCCTGGGTGTGTCCGACATTTCCCACAGGGTTGTGGACCATTCTCTTGTAGCTCATGCTATGAGAGGTTGTTCAGGCAGCAGGTGATGTGCTAGGGCTTCTAAGGCTCGTGCAAGGCACTCATCTGCCGCTGTCTGACATTTGGAAAGCCTATGAAGCTGTTCCATAAGATTTTGAGTTGCCAACTGCATTGCAGCAGTCGAGCGGGCAATGTCTTCTTTTAATGCTGCCACTTCAGAGGCCATCATGGCCAAGTTAGGGGCTTCTGGTTTGACGGAAGTGGTCCCTGAATGCCTTGGGCATGTTGCGGGAGGGACTTTGACGTCCTCTGCAGGACCCTGACTATGAGTCTGGATCACAGGTGAGCGGCCTCACGTTGGTGAGTGTTTGACTGGCATCATTCTCAGTTTCATGAAGTTCTGTCTCCGAAACAAGAGAAAAAGTTTCCAAGTAGCTACCTGAGCAGATCTCAGTTTGCGCAAGAGTTTCAGTACAACCGAATAAGGTTTTCAGCTGAATTTGAGAGGGGAAGGTGGTTCATCATGCTTCTCCACCATGTAATGGATTTTTTGTAGGTAGACTATGGTAAAGACAACTTGGGTCTCCTAGCAGGTTATGTGGGTGTCCATACTAGGAATCGTAGTCTCCGAATCCTTTCTTTGGGCATTGGTAGCGAATTGGGGGCGAGAGGCAAGGAGAGTCAGTTAGTTGTGAACCGAGCAGGATTTAGAGGCTTCAGTGCAGGTGATCAGGCTGTTGAAGCGCTCTGTTAGGTTCCTGGTAACCTAAGATTGGAGTTGAGAAGCTAGTTGTGGGGATTTAGTGTTGCTACGGCTTCTGCCTGCTGACTTATTTTATTGAATTTGTCTTTTTATACAAGAATATGCTACGGTAATGTCTACACTAGTTTCTGTAGCCTTCATTAGGGTGGCGGCATCCGATCTTCCCATCTCGGACCATTGCCATGATCGATCATGGCTGCATAATGTATCCTTCATGCTGCGCTGGTGTAGCCCAGAACCGAGCTTGATCTTAGGGGTTTCAAAGCTTAGGTTACAATTGCGGAAACCTCAATCATGGTCACCTGATGCCTTTGAGCGAACCGGTTTATCAGAGTCATTTGCTACACAATGTCCTTCTTGCCTGCTTACTGTCAGTTGTCAAGACTATATGAAAAGCATGGATTTCGATGGTTCAGCGCCATCCCACTTCGCCGCTCCCTCATCCAAAGCCATATCCGCATCGACATGGTCATCCTGTACCAGCATATTCTTTGCATCATGCGACAAGAAGCAGAAACTGTTGAAAAGGTCGATTTATGGTTGCACATCTGTAATCTGCAGAACAAGGCTTTTAGATCTCATCGTGGAATGTGTTTTGAAGGCTCGATCATGATGGATGGTACCTCGGTGTCAGTTTACTTGAAACATCCTGAAGCTGACAAGTATGGAAAGTGCGGCGGTGGGAAAAAGTCGGCAAAGACCTTAGAAGCTGAGGTGAAGGCAGTATATGTGGAGAACAACTTGCCTGCTTGTCGAGCAGCAGAGAACTTTGTCATTATCGACACAAACAAGCATGATCTTCTCTACTGCCAAGACAGCAATGGTATGACATTCCACTACACCACCAACCAGTGAGCCGTGGAGACAGGTAGCTGGCGATTTGCAAAGAGACGAGAAGCAATGAAAGCCGGCAGCATTGATCTCATAGAATCACATATCCCAAGCCACAAGATGATGAATCTCATGGACTTTACTCGCTACCTTCTCATTCGCTGCGCTGATTGGGATTGTCGCAAGGAGTTCTACTCCCACCCTGCCCACATGCAATGGAAGTGGCATGCATTTATAAACTGTCAGAAGAACGAATCAGACCTCATAAGTGCCATGCACAACAAATACAGTGAAAACTTTACTGTTGTGATGGGTGATTGGAGCGACGCTGGTCAAACTGTGAGATTTCAGACCTCATCAAAGACAAAAGGTTGGTGCACCCTCTTTAAGCAGAACAGGATCAACTGCTTCCTTCTCGACAAGTACAAGACCTCATCTGTCTGCCCTCACTGTTCCTCTGACATTGAAAAAGGCTTCAAAACATGACCTCATTCAAAACCTTGGCACCGTCACGAAGGCAAGATTGAAAAAGTCCACAGATTGCTGGGTTGTACCAACCCTAACTGTTTGCAGCAAGCCTGGACAATGCGCTACTGGAATCGAGATATGCTGAGCACCTGCAATATGCTAATGATTGTGAGATCAATGTTGGATGGACACGGTAGACCAGAGGTGTTCAGCAGGAGGAGTGTTCCAGCGGTAGCGTAGCGTAGATTAGTTAGATTAAGGTTTCCGAACCGGTTGTCGCGCGGTTCAATCCCTGGTGTGGAGGCACTGACATTTGTTTTTGCTAATACACTAAGCATACCATTAACTTCGAACAATCCATGCCGTTATCTGAACCCATGCAGCCTAGATACTTTGACATACACGATTGTGACGTAATCAAATGGCTTTACAAAACATACATAGTAAAAAACGATATGGAACACTATTTTACAAATCAACCTCCCAACCGAATCACTCTAATTCCTACATGGCATGTAACATCCGAGTCCATCTTCAATTTCTAACCACCATTACATCTATAGACAAGGTAGCATTCCGTATCAGCCTCGTCGAAATCCAACTACTTGACTTCCCTTATCGGTAACCATTGTCATCCCGTCGATACCGATCACTCGGCATCCTTGGCGGCGGTTGACTGTACTCACTGCCACCTCCGCCATAATTTGAGCCACTATCCGAATATTGCGCCACAAAGCCACTATAGTCAGATTCTACAGTCGAGTCGCGCGGTCGTTGAGGTGGGGGCTGCTGGTAACCGTAGGCTGACCGCATGCCAGCCTGGCTACCGTAATTTGATTGACCATCATAATCATACGACATGGGAGGTGGACTCGCTACCATTCTCATATCGGGTACTCCCGGTGGCGTGGCACGACCGCTCGGGTGAACCAGGGCACGAACATACGGATTCGGAAGCGGTGGTTGCGGCCCATAGCCACTACCGCCGTACGCAGATCCAGGCCCCGTCGGATAGTATTCTGACCCAGGTCCGTAAAGGGCCGCAGTTTCCCTGCCATAGTTATTGTCCTCGTAATATGCATACTGTTCGGCTGGCTGGCTTATCAAGTCTACATCGACACTTGGTAGTGTAGGTGCGGGACGGGAGCTCTTTCCATACTTTGCAATCTCTTTGAGCTCCTTCTTTCGCGCCTGCTCTGCTCGTTTTCTCGACTTTTTGCGCAAGACTTCCGCGATACTAAATTTGTTCACTGTCAATAGGACAATTCTCGAAAAACAAACACGCATGAATTCCCTACCGTTTGTCGACCTTGTGACAACAATATTCTTTTAAATTGCCTCGAATATTGAACAATAGAGGAACATATATGAAGAAGGCAGCCACAAGTTGAATCGCCGAAATACCCCAAATGGCCACCGTAAGCGTCGAAAGCCAAATTTGGGCGGCTGGAACCTTTTGTGGCTGATTGATCATCAAATATCCCGCTGCTTCGAAGACATTGACGTCCGTCGGGGCATTACACAAGCCTCCTGATGATGTCGTATTAATGCTTGGTGCCCCGTTACTATCGGTTAAACAGAACCCTGGCGGATTGTTTCTCGGGCCGCCCGGTGGAGGATTATTCATGGTATCCTTGTACACGTCAAAGAGGAGGAAAAAGTTGAGTAGCTGACGTGGGAAGTCGGCAAGGAAAAGACGTTTCCATCCTAGCAAGAGAGCGATGATGAATACGACTTCAAAGCACATCTGCGAGAGCCGAAACACACCTCTAAAGGTGAAGAACACCCAGAAAGCCAGTCGATCAATCGGCTTCCTAGATCCCTCGATTTTGTCAAACAAGCAAAAGTGCGGATATGATCGGATGACATAGTATCTGTAGTTGACAAAAGCACCATCAGTATTTGAGTTCTACAAATCCAACCTGGGACAATGAATCACATACCGATAGGCCACAGTATTGGTAAAAGCGTAAGAAATGTCCCGAGACTTGACAATCGCCATGGCTTTTTTCCATTCAACGACCAATAAAACGTACGATAAAACTACAGTGGCCATGATGAGCCAAAAGCGGACTTGATTCGACAACGGCAGCGTGGACTCTTTGGTGGAATTTTCGTTCCCAACCAGCTGTTGCGGACTGACTTTGTCCAGCCCCTTGTCCACAGCGGTGATGATGAGCAACAAAACGACACCCAAATCGGCCATGTATACAAGGACAGACTTGAGTGTCATGACAAAAACCCATATGTACTCTAGTTGAGTAAAGCATGAGTTGTCCACAAAGTCCTCCACATCAATGAGGTCAAATTTGTGGTCTTCAATGTGCTCTCGCTTCCATTTTGCGGCGCCGCAACAAGACATTCTGCGTCAACGTCTCAAGGATAAACCGGGCCGGGCTCGTCCACACGGCGACTGGAGGAGAGGGGAAAGGGCACAAGCGGCCGCGTGTATGAGAGTCGGTGTGCAGAACCGGGTGAAGTTGACGCTGTCGAAGAAGATACGTGTTGGGAGTTTGCCAAAATGCAAAAAGTGTAGGTGATGTCCAATGGCGAAATCAACGACCTAGCATTTCCAATGTAAACGAGGCGCTGACAGCTCGTTCAAACGGACGGCCGCTTTTTCCCAACCTTTTTCCCCAACCTGGCCGCAAATCGGATAGAATGCATTGGAATGGCTTGTACAATGTGGATTGCATTTTATATTTGGCATTTTTGGAGACTTGGCACCAAAGCCATATGCGCAAAAGATGCTTGTTTGATCTTGTTTGATTTCTGTAGCAAGTCTTCTGATCACCCTCCAAATGCCATTCAACAATTCTTGATGCAAGAAACCAACGGACGGCTGCAACTCTTTTTTTTGTTTTCTTGCTGGCTGTCGGCTTCCCCAAAGGCCCTTGACGAGCTTTTTGCCGGTTGAATGCGTGGCCATATTGCCGTTTGAAACTAGGTTTCATAAAGTGACTTTCCAAGAATGTCCCTTCCATACAAGAACCTTGGAGATGGCCTTTTTTACCCCATCCGCCATTGCAAACAGTCTCCGAACAATGTCTCCAATCCGTCCAGTCCTTTAAGCAAGTGCGCCATGCAGGGCTTTAAACCCTTTGCCCAAAACGTCCCCCACATTGTGGTTTCCGGATGGGGGCGACAGGTTGGTCACGCGGGTCACAAGACTGTTATCTGTCCATAAATGGTCATATTGTTGCATTTACCGGCAGAATTGGCCCAAAACAGCCGGTCGCAGATGTTGAATAAAACTCGCCGAAGATGCCCATCCGTCCATCGTGCCTAGCCAGTTCTGTTCCTAAAGGTCCGCGATACATTGCGACAAGTCAATATGCCCGCTGTACAAGACACTGAAATCTTGGTGGAGGCGAGTGATGTCTCCAAGACGCTCGTTCGCACCAAGCAACTGCCAGACCTGACCGACAATGACCTGTTGGTGCGCATTGACAGATTCGGCCTGTCCGCCAACAACATTACATACTCCATGTTGGGAAGGTCGTACCAGTATTTTGACTTCTTTCCCACTGAAGACGCAAAATACGGTAAACCTCCGGTCTGGGCGTCGGCAACCATTGTTGACTCACGCCACCATCAGTTCAAAGCGGGTGATCGCATCTACGGATACTTTCCCCTGGCAAAGTACACGATTCTCCCCGTTTCAACGCGCGGTTTAACACCAGCATGGTTCTACGTCCACAGACCGCAACTTCCGGAAGACCGAAAGGTCTACAATCAGTACTTTGTCTGCGAAAAGGATCCTTTGTATCTTCCGAACAAGGAGCGGGAGATGATGCTCTTTAGGCCCTTGTACTGGACTAGCTACTTTTTGGATGATTACATGAATGAGTTCCAATACTTTGGTGCCAAGCGGATTATTGTCTCGAGCGCGAGCAGCAAGACTGCTTTTTGTTATGCATTTTTGGCAAAGAAACGAGGTGGAACCGAGATCATCGGTGTAACGTCCAAATCAAATGTGGAGTACTGCAAGAGCTTGGGCTTCTACGACTCCATTGTCACATATGACCAGGTCGACACGCTAAAGAGCAACGTTTCCACTGTCTACGTTGACGTTTCCGGAAACGCCGACCTTGGGCGGCAAATTCACGCGACGGTCGGAAGTGCGTTAAAAAAGTCATTGAGCGTCGGCATGTCTCATGCTCAAGAATCCCAGGGTGAATTTCCTGAAGGTGTGGAAGTCTTCTTTGCCCCTCCTTGGATGAAGAGGCGGCAGGAAGAATTACGCGGTCGGTTGCTTGGAATGATGGTCGCATCATGGAAGGATGCCATGGCCAACGTCCACAAATGGATCAAAATTACTGAAGTTGTCGGCCCCGAAGAGGTCGAAAAGACTTGGCAACGCTTGGCAAAGGGCGGGTTGAGTCCCGACGTTGGTCTGATTGGATACATGTGGAAGGACGGTGAAAAGGGCGGACCTGAAGTGTGGAGCAGAAAGAGCAAGCTCTAACTTGCAGATGGAACTATTGCATTGCAAAGATTTTCTGAGGCCGCTTAGGATTTATAAGGACATCATCGAATATATTGTACATACACCCAACGATGATCCTTTCTCATTTCAGTTGGATATCCAAATGCTTTATATTATGTTCAAGAAAAGAATCTAAAAAATAACAGTGAAACTAGGCAAACTACATCTCTAAACTCATCAACATGCAAAATATCAAGAACAAGCGGAAAACGTAACATTTACAGGGAAAAGGTAACAACCCAGCTATGGCATTCTCAAGAGACCAGTATGGGCTGGGGAACGGTATATGGCGCTGCAGACGGCGTATTGCCTTTTGATGAGGTCGACAAGCGCTCCACAGCGGGTTGCGGCTGTGAAGTAGGCGCTTGGGGAGGTGCTTTAATGGTCACGGTCACAGGACTTGTTCGCCCACCTTTTCTTGCGTCTGAGCTTTGGCTCACGCCCTTGTCTTCCCAAACTGTGACAGGATATGCTCTCTCACCGACTCTGTAAGACACAGACCCAGGGTCAGTCCACAGTACAAACTCATCTGGAAAAGCCTTGTCGAGAGAGTGCTGCTGTACACCCGCGTCCTCAGCAGCGTCGACAATTAGAGCATCGACGCGTCCACCGAGAATCGAAATGGCGCGGAACCCATTTCCTCGCAATGGATGCGACGGGTCCCAATGCTGAGAAAATTTCGATTGCATTCTTGAGGACAGGACGGATTGGAAACGTGCCCGAGTCGCAGCGGGAGTTGACGATGGCAGATGTGATGCGAGAAACGTCGATGCGGCTGATAGCTCGTTTAGCATCCTTTTTTCCCTTTGTAATATGCAAATGTAGGAAGGAAAGCCGTGAATCGAAACGAGGCTTTTATAGTCAGAAAATAGATTTGATGAACACGGTTGTTGTTGGGATGCGTTTGATTGTGTATGTTTAGCGTTTCAATCGTCAATCAACAGATATCCCCAAAATCAAAAGGCCGTTCGAGGCGTCTGCTTTGTTTTTATCCTCAAAAGTTCTTTTGGAAAAACGACAGCAACAAAGGGAGGAGAGCGATAAGCAACTCTTTGAAAAGGAACGCCTCCCCTCCGCTGTGGTCATGAGGGTTGTCATCCATTGGATAAGCGGCGCCTCAGGTGCCGCAACCTCCATTTAACCAAATATAGTTATATGGCTGCACTCGTTGTTGCCATGTTCGGTTGCTAGCGTATGGTTGGATCGGGTTCCCATGTCAACCCCGTGTATCACTTGAACTGTGTGACGCGGGCCGCAGAAATGCCTCACTCAGCTCCGACCTCTGCCTTTTCCTCATCTCGTTGATTTCTGCACCATGACACCTTCTATGCTCCTTTTTGATGGGGATCACTACAGCGCTGGACAATGGTACTTGATATGTCTTGTCATTTTAGTCGCAATACAGAGCATCCCGCGACTCTGGAGGAGCTTGCGCCATTTGCTTTGCAGACAGCGCAAAACAGTGGATGGTTTGTAGCCGATACTTGCCAGAAAGTCAGGTCTTGATAGGTTCCTAAATTGCGCTTTCCTTTGTCGTATTCTCTAGATGGTCAGCAAGCCACGACGCACAATCCCATTCTAGTGTTTTTCCATCGCTTGACCTATTTTCATCTCCCGTTCTATCCCTACTATCCGACCCGTCTCATCATTTTCCTTGTCCTCTACATACTCATTTCCGTGTTATTTGCTACGGGATCCATTACTTTGGAGAAGGATGTAGGATATCCACGTTATGGATACATGGCCCTTGCAAATCTATGCGCTGCAACCATCTTCGCCCTCAGAAACTCTCCAGCCTACTACCTTTTGGCCTTGCCATTTGAGCGGACAATCGAATTCCACAAGTGGTTTGGAATTGGGGCTATGGTTTTTGCATGGGTTCACGGTGGACTGTATCTACGACAGTGGGAAGCGCAGGATGTGACCGCTCTCATGTTCAACATGAGATCGAGGTTGGCCTTTGGCGCCGCGGTAGCTGCTCTAGTTGCGTTCGTGGTGCTGGCAGCTCAACGTCCCATCCGACGCAGAATGTGGGAGCTCTTTTGGGCCATTCATATATTTGGGTACGCTCCCGCACAACGTTGTTTGAAAGTGGTAGATCCTGCATGATTGCTCAAACATTTGCCTTTCCCATCAGTTTCCTCGCCATATTTGTTCTCGTAAATTTTCATACGACAAAAGGATTTGAATTCACACTACCACCGCTTCTCCTTTGGGGCTTGGACCGCGTTATCCGATTCACACGCGGATGGCTCAGACCTGCTGTTGCGGAGACCTCTGACTGCAACGGCCAGGTTACGCGTCTTGTGGTCCACCAAAACCCGCTGTGGGGACGCGCGTATCAAGCAGGACAGTACGTGTTCCTTAACGTTCCCCGTGCTGGCATGATCGAGTGGCATCCCGCCAGTATTGTGTCTGGTGCGCCATTGAAAAACGATCTGGAAGGTGCTGATGGCGCTTTCCCACCGACGCAGAATCAATACACGTTAGTGCTTCGCAACGTGGGCTCCTTCACTCGCCGATTGACGCAAGTCGGAGCAAGCCAAGAGAAACTTAAAGTGCGCATAGATGGTCCTTACGGAAAATGGGATCTCGTCGCGAAGAATTACAATCTTATTGTTCTTGTTGCCGGCGGAATAGGTGCAACGCCTATCCTGTCAGTTCTATTAACGGTTCTTCGCAAATCTTCAAAGACAGGATTCAATCGCAAAGTAGAGTTCATTTGGGCGGTGCAAACGGAGAATCAAATCATGTGGTTTGCCGATGAGCTTGCCCAAGCATCTGCCCTTGGTGCACGCATTCGGATCTTTGTGACGCAAACTTCCGAAACAACATCATCTACTGCGATGGTAACGCATACAGAAGACGGTGTCAAGATGTTTGCCGGATGTGAGATCTTGTACTTCCGACCCCATATCGAGGATGTGTGCCAAGACATCAAGAACAATTTTCCTGGAATTGAGACTGCTGTTGGAGGTGGGGTCTTATCACCTGTGTCTTTGATGGTTCATAGCTAATGGTTCTATACTTTCTAGTTTGCGGTCCTCCTGGAATGGTACGCTCTACTCGAGATGCAGTCCGAAAGTGCTCCGATGTGCGCTCTTTATGGCATCTACATGCCGAGGCATTTGATTTGTAGTACTCGCCGATGGACGGCACGACTATAGACAGTTTTGAATGGCTCGTCTAGGAAGAGGACCCTTTATAAGTTTGGATGAGTTTGTGAACGGCTGTACATAGTGTCTGTAACCGCAGGATGTATATATTTGATCTGTAAGGGTGGTAATCCCGATAGGACTGTATGCGCAGAATGTTCATGTAATCATGATCAGCCACATTGGAATGCGGGTGGAATGTAGTTGCACTTGATCGGGACTCGCACGGCGCGGCTGACGGTGGTTGACGGCCAACTCCAACACGCTCATCACATCTAGTGGACGCACGTAGTCGCGTTATATCACCGTATCATACAATAGACCTCCCCCCTCCCATCCGCGTCCCACGTTTCATATCCTGCTGTATTCCCAGCCGATACCATGAGCTTTTTGTTTAAAGCACGACCGCGGACGCCAGCCGAGTTGGTGAAGGGAACTAAGGACTCGGTGCAGAAATTGGACGCTGGAGATCGGAAAAAGGTAGGTAAGAGTAAGCGGTGCGGATCTGGCTAGCGAAAATGGCAGTCATGTGGCGGGAGACAGTGGATCCGAGACTCTCTGGATTTGACGTGGAGGCAGATTTTAGGCTCTGTTTGGACACTGGAAAATGGGCATTGAAGAAGAGGAGGATATGGAGAAAGACGTGGACTGGGAAAAAGTAACGAGTTGAAAGCAATCGGGATGCTAATAATCTAACATATCAGGCAAATGAAGAAATATCAAAAAATCTTATTTCCATGAAGACCATTTTGTATGGGGACGGTGGTAGGTACCTTAGACCACTTGCGAGGCTTTGTAGATGTGAGGTTGATCCGATGATTTGGGGTATAGAAAATGATCCAGTACCAGAGCAAGTCGCACAACTTTCGCAGGAGGTATATAACAACGATCTATTGCCATCACTCGTGCAGAATATAGCAAAGTTTGAGTTTGAGGTATTGTCCGTCATAATATATCACGTACGACACAACCCGTTAATCGTACTTCTCAATCCCTTCTGTAGGCAAAAAAAGATGTTGCACAGATATTTAACAACCTGCTTCGGAGACAAATCGGAACCCGGTTCCCCACTTCGGAGTACATCGGCACTCGAGAAGAGATATTGGTTGCCCTAATTCATGGGTTAGTACATCGCTGTAGATACTTCTAAAACATATTTCTCACAATGTTTTTCAGATATGAAAACCAAGAAATTGCTTTAAACTGTGGAATGATTCTTCGAGAATGCATTAGGCACGAATCGCTCGCAAAGTCCATCCTTGAAGGACCCCATTTCTGGAAATTCTTCAGTTACGTGGAACTATCGACTTTCGATGTAGCGTCGGATGCATTCGCAACCTTCAAAGTACGCTATGCAATTTGTTTTGCAACGGCTGCAAGATTGCTGATGGTGTTCATGTCAATGGTGTGCAGGACCTCCTTACAAAACACAAGCCCCTTGTTGCCGAGTTCCTTGCCAAAAATTACGACGAGGTAGGCGAAAGTTGTGAGACTGTTCGTCGCAATCGAAACTCACCCATCTTCGGTTACAGTTTTTTGACAAATATACACAACTTTTAAACTCGAACAACTATGTCACGAAACGCCAGTCGCTCAAGGTAGGAAGATGATAATACGCGAGTAACACACTTCGGTGTACTAATGGTGTACCAGCTCCTGGGAGAACTACTATTAGATCGGACAAATTTCACAATAATGACAAAGTACATTAGTAACGCGGAGAACCTCAAGCTTATGATGAACCTGTTGAGAGATAAAAGCCGCAATATTCAATTTGAAGCCTTTCATGTCTTCAAGGTGAGCAAGTGGGATATGCTAGGTGAAAGTGGCCAATGCTCACTTTCAATGCTTCCTTTAGGTCTTTGTGGCGAATCCAAATAAAGCAAAGCCAATATTGGACATATTGCAGAAAAATCGGGATAAACTGATCACATTTTTGAGCAACTTCCATAATGACCGAACAGGTATGTTGCGCCCGTTTCTCTCACCCGACGAGTATTGAACTTCATGATCAACGTAGACGACGAACAATTTAATGATGAGAAAGCATTCCTCATCAAGCAAATACATGAGCTTTGACAACTATACTCCGCAGGCTTCCTTGCTTGCGGGTGATGAGCACCTTTTCATCTTCGGACCGCCCGGACTTACCGGGGTGTTTATTGTATCTTTTTTGTGCTTTATTCTATTTCTGTAGCGAAACCGAATTGGCTTTTCAAGGCGTTGAAGGCGTAGCGACGCTGGAGAATGCACGGCTTTCTTTACTGTATACTGATAATATCCCCTAACATAAATGTGTTCAAACCAGTTGGACTGACTCATTCGAATGTGGATGGTTGTACCCACTCGCTGACGAAGCCGCACTCCGTTGGCCATCGAACAGCAACTCGCGTGGAATCTCGATAGGAACGGTCGCCGTTTGTTCGACTGTTTTGCATTCAGTTCAACAGGAACTGCTTGTAAGAAGCGACAGGGCGGATGAGGCTTTCAGTGGCTATCGTCAAACTGCAAGAATTTGGCCACGATCTCTGTCTGGGTTGTGCATCCCGTCCTCGAAGCTTTGTAGGCAGTTCCCCGCGGACAACCCCATTATTAACTTGAGAAACAGCCACCATGCCTAGAGAACCGCCCTTCGACCTCCTGAAATTCGCGCGAATGCGAATTCTCTTGGTACCTGTCCACCCCATCCGCCGCGATACGTTCCGCAAATATGTAGATAGTCTTTCGCAATTCGATGTCGTGTCCCTAATGGATTTGACACCACCCGACTCAAGCCGCTCCCAGTGTAAGTTCTTCTTTGCAATAAACGTTTACACGCAAAACTCGCATCTTTGTATGCCTCTCGGTTCTCACGCATTATTTGCTCAACTTCTCTTGACACAGCAAAGTTTACAGAACAAATGTATCACCATGAAGGTTATTTACACATAAATTATGTTACGAGTTATAATAAAGAGCATCTACCATTTGAGGAATTTCAACTGTATCGGCAAATTGTCGGGGTACGTCTCAGGTACCGCAGTAAAGTTGAGCTGGGCGAATTCACATGTTTACTTGCGAGAATAGGTGATTGGAATCATGCATTGTCAACAGGTTGACAGTATAGGGGAGGGATACAAGCGTTTTCAAAACATCCTGTCACGGGTATTGCTGCCTTTAATGCTGATCGGTACGAAAACTTGCTGATAAATATTATGTGATCTCTAGTACCCATCAGTGCTTGCATCGCGATGCTTTGCGTTCGAGCCAACTGAACAGCAAGCTGACGATACGAGAGGATGCATCATGATTCCCGATGATCCCAAAAAGCTGTCATTTTATCTAATGACGCAGATCAATGACTTGGCCAATGAGCTACTGGTCGCATTTGGAAACTTGGTCAGTGATACGCCCACCATAATCACATATGCCCGGACCGCGTCTGAAGTTTGTGCACATTAAACTTCCGTAGGCTGCCCATTTTGACAAGCGCCCGATGATTAGTGGGCCGCTGATGCCTTCCTCGATTGCATCAACTCCCATTAGTGCACACGCGACAACACTCCCCGCGTCTCCCGCTTCATTTACTCCGACTATGCAATCGCTCCCATCATCTGCATCCATCGTCCAATCTCCAAGTGTATCTGCGTCTCTTCCATTGAGCGGAGTATCTACTCCTATACGTGAAGGATCTGCCCCGCTTTTATCCGCTCAAGATTCAACTGCATCAATGCTGGGATTGGGCAATTTGTTTACGCCGGATAAGACAAAGAAACGGACGCCTGCACGTGCCCAAAAGCTGATTGCGGACTTATTTTTAATGGCTGGGAGGGTAGACCTGGCGATCAGTAGGTGCGGACCGGATTATGGGAGAGGATGATCTCGGTGAGACGTGCGTAACCTTACCAATCTTTTGGTTGCAGTTATTCCGCTGCGATTGAGGCTATGAAAGCTACTGGCGATTATCAATGGCTGGCGGCTGCCATGGAAGCGTACTATTGCGCGCTGATACTTTCTCTGTTGCCAAAGACAGGGCTATGGGTAAGGAACGGCAGTTGTCGTCAGGCTTACTCCGTCTTGCGTTGACGACATTGCGGTTCTACAGCCAAATACGGAAGATAGCCCTTCCTCTGAAACCGCCTCCCCAACTGGAAGTACCGGCACTCTCGGGCGGCAACCTTTGCGATCACCAACCTATTCCATCATCTTCGCAGCAGCTCAATCCCACCCGCAATTCCGCATGCTAATCTGTGATATACCCGACCGATACCGTGAAATTGCTTCTTTATACGAACGATCGTTCCAACCTGGACAGCCCGGTTTCTATCCACTGCTCCACATACATGCTTGCCTTGACATGGCGAGGTACCTTGCTGCAATGTGGGTCGCTAAATTCAACGGCCCAGTAACGAATGGAGCTGGTGTCATGCTGGTGGTGTCAGAAAGCAAAGGTATCGCGGATATTGCCTCCAACATCGGTCTCTCTGGATCTGGTGCTCGCGCTGCAAATACAGCGGGCACTGCAACGACAGTCGGACCAGCTTTCGACAAGGATCGCATCATCTTGAATGGCGGTTTAGGAGCCTCAAAAGTGGACGTATCGACGTGGGTAATGAAAGCTTGGGCATCTGGAGTAGAATATTTGACGCTGTCAGATCAGATTGGCTGTGTGACAAGCATCGCAACGGCATACGCTCAGATAGGGTACAAGAAGAAGCATGCATTCTTTTTGAGGCAAACGGCTCTCCTCCTGTTAGCAACTTTAAAAGGGAACAGGAAAGCGAGGGTGTCGATGTCGGATGTATCTGAAATTGGCGGTGAACGTGGAAGGAGTGCACAATTGACACATACTAGAGGTCTTTTTGAATGCATGCGGAGAGTTTGCGAGACGTTTGGCGTAGGTGATACAAGTGAGTACGAATCCTGCGTTTTCCACGATGGCACCGTTTAAATTTCTGTCACAGGTGCAGTTGAGGGCAGAGAAACTGCTGACGGAACAACCAGTCTAGAAGAAGACGACAACGAATGGTTAGACTTATATTTTGACGAAGATGATTTGGATATGGACGAACTGGACGCACATGACATCATGTCAAAGAAAATCCAAATTTCTCGGTTGCGGTATGGATGGCCGGAATTGCAGATTGATGTTTTGAAGGAGTGCATGGAAATATCAGAGGCAGCGGATAGTACGTTCTGCTGACTTGTTAGTCTACGAGAAAATTTTTGTGTTCACGCTTCGTGTGTGTTTTCGCATTAGGTCACGTCACCTATATCACATACGCTCTTCGCCTCCTGAACAGGCTCTATAAACACCTTAGCGAGCAAGAGCAAGTTGAGCACTTAGAGGCGATGCATACCGCTGCTGCACGTAGCAAAGCCCTGGAAGTGGCCATTGGGCCGAACAACAATCCCTTGAAGTCGCCGTGCGCTTTGGTGAAAGGCGCCAGTAAAGTTCCGGTCTTGCGAAGGCTGCGATTCGTGCGGTAAGAGCGAGTGTTGCAAGTTTGCGATGGGGGTAATAGATTTGTAATCTGTGTCCTGCAGACAACTGGCTACTGGGATTCCATATCCACACCCGCGGTCGTCACTTGACGGGACCTTGACTGCGGCAGCAAAGGCCGCGGATCCATTTTTATATAATCCTTTTGCGGCCAAGACGATTGCAGCCAAAGGGAACAAGGATCTTGGACGGGATGTAAGCCCCTTATATCCGGTCGTGATAGCGTCGAGCCCTCCATGTTCACATTGTTTTTCTCGTCGGTCATCAGGTTATTTTGATTGTGAATGAGCCTGCCTACTTTGATGTGACGTTGGCGAACCCATTTTCTTTCGACTTGGAGGTTCAAAGCCTGCTTATAAAGTGAGATTACGAACATCTTCTCAACTGTACTCCTACTTTAACAAGTTTCGTTGTATCTGACATGCTCTCTCAAAGCACAACTGGTATCCCGTTCAAACCCCGCCCAATTTCAATTGTCATTCCTGCGGAATCCCGATCGTTCACTGTCCGGCTTTCCGGAATCCCGCTTGCACCAGGAACACTTCTGATCAAAGGGTGTACTGTTCGATTATTTGCTGGAGCTGTGGAGGAGGATATTGCGCCCTTACAGCGGCTGCTGGATGATCCACGACAGAAAACCAAAGATGGGAGACGGAAACGGCAGGATGAGCGGGAGCGTTTTGGGAAGAAGAGGATTGAGTTCGCGGAGAAGAGAAAAGAGGCTGGCACTGTGGGACCTAAGGTTGAAAGGTAGGCTTTGTGTCTTGTATCCTTAGGCATCAGGGAATGGAGCGCTAATCGTCGTTACCTTTCACTTCTTGGGTTAAATTGATTGAGTTTAGAGAGGTGCCAGAGTGGTCTTTGCCGATTAAAGTCATTCCCGAGCAGCCCTTGGTTCAAGTTGTGCGAGACAGCCTTTTGTCTACCGGACCAATGATGCTCTTTGAAGGGGAGAGGTAAGGGCTGAACAAAACGTAATCAAAGTTAAAATTTGCTCTGATCAGTGGTCCCACTCTAGAACCACTTTTCCTATTCATTTGGTGAATAAGGGCACAACTCCAGTGGATTTTCTAACTATCGGTTTCGCTGAATCGTACCTTCCTGAAGCGGCCGGTGCAGAACCTATAGACGGAGCCGCGGAGGAACCGGAAGATGTGTACGAGCGCGACGTTCATGATCGCAGTATACGGGTCTTTTGGTTGGAGAAGGAGATTGGAGAGAGGATTCCCATTGCTAAGGTGGCAGATACAGGAGTGGAGAGAATTCCGGTCGCGTTAGCTCCAGGAGAACAGGTTACTATTGTTATTGGAGCGTTCGGAAAGAAGTGGAGGTATGGCGATGTGCGCGTTTGTTGAAAAGTTACATCGTTGGGAGAAAGATTGACTGTCTATTTCGTCTCTAGTACTGGTGGAACCATCAAACTAGATTATGGGCACGTGGGCTCATCAAAAACGCCTTCCAAAAACCAACCAATAGAAGATGCCCAGTCCAGTCCGACAGAAGGCATCCAAACGCCCACTTCACCACCAGATGACCACTTTTATACCCGTCAGATACTTATCCCTATCCTGATGACTGTTCAACCCGCCCTCCAACCGCTCAACATGGATATCCTCCTGCTGAGCGATGCATCTTCATCTTCCTCTATTCTCATGAGTGCTACACCGAACGGCGCCATGATCAATGGGACACAAAGAAATTTATCAATGGAAGAGATGACACTGGATGCAGAGTTGGCTTTACTACAGCAGGAAGGGCTCCCTGAGGAGGATCGGAAACGTGACCATTGCTTGTTCACCTTTGATTTGAGGAATGTGTGGAGGAGTCCCTTTGAAGTTGTCTTTGAGGTTTTTGATGGTAAGATATACAAAAGGACTCGGTGATCTGAGATTCAACTCTCAGACTCTGACTTGATTGTAGGTGCTGAGGACATAACTCCTAGCCATTCTACTAAAACTATCGTTCATGCTGGAATGACCAAACGGTTTGTGCTCTTTTGTAGTGTTTTATCATCTGGTCCTAGATTCATATCGTTTCCTTACGTATTTAGCATTCTCCTTCCCATCAAGCGCATTCATCTTCCATCGGCGACTACAACGCTCCCTATCCCCCAGCCAGATTGGAAACAATTCGTAGTTGGTAAAACCCGCAGACTTTCACCTTCAGAAGACCGAGAACGTCGCACGCTGTTCTGGTATCGTGAAGCACTTGTTGGTGGGGTAACACCCCTCCAACATTCCCAACAGCCGAGCATGGCACGAGGACGGATTGTGGCCACTTGGTATTATTCACAAGCTCGAGTGGGGAGCTTGTCATTGCGCGGATTACGATTAAGACGAGGATTGTTGAGCGTGTTGAAAAGGGAGGAAGTGAGGATCGAAGTGAAGGTTGTGCCCTTCACTGACTACAAAGGCGGTCAGGCAGAGGTGACAGGTGACGCCGATCATGTTTTGGCGGTGAAGAAGATGAAGAAAGGAAGCTTTCAAATTGGCCTGTGGGAAACAGCGGTCATTGAATGGAGCGTGTGGAATTTGAAAGGTAAGGACTTAGGCATCTTCATCGTCGCGAAATCGGCGCCTAAACTGTAGTGTAACAGACCGACCCTTTCAACCCCTCCTCCGAATTCTCCCTCACCCTGACCCGCCACCGACATCTCTTCCTATAACCATCCACACTCCAACCGATGACCGATCCGTTACATTTCATAGCGTACCGAATATACAATTCGGTGGCCCATTGCAAACCCCACTCTCTCCACTTGCCCCGTCCGAAAAAACAACCTATGCTTTGCCCGTGGTACCAACCGGCCAAGGGCGTATAAGGATATTATGGCATTTAGAGGACATCACTAGCATAACACCAACCAAGGCGTCTCGAGGCACTGTGTGGGAAGAGGATACATATTGGGGGGGTGATGGGATCCTGTTGGATATCGTCGACAAGGTCGAGCGATGATTGTGTAAATGTAGATGATGAAGAATGTATATGATGAAACCACCAATTCAGAGCACAGGGCGGACGCTAGTAGAATGCCCTTTATCATTGACGCTTCACAATTGACGCGTAGTTTCACTCGTTTCGCTTAGCTCTTTTATTGTGCCTTATTTACCAATCGTGCATGTTTTACTCCTGAGTATGCTCCATGGACGTTCCACAGCGCTCAACCTTGCCCACCCTGTTCTGCTTCTTTCTTCAACAGTCGGAACAGCCCAGCCGCTTCTCTAATTCTCGAAAATTGTATGCAAAACGCTTGAATCTCCACAAAGAAATCAGTAATAGATATCGTCCGATTGCGAATCAGGGACTGTAGAAAAACGCACACCTGTTGACGGACGTAATGGTGACAGTGAGATGACCATAACGTAATAACGTCGTAAGGTGCAACATACCAATCTCACTTGCCGATTTTGCATATATCTATCGCGAATAGACTCGCATGTTCCAATGCAATGTACAATATACATGTGTAAGAAATCCGGGGGAAGTGTCACGGCATTGGCTAGTCGGTTAACAACTTCCAATGAATGGAGGGACATGTTGATCGTGACTAGAACTTTCAAGTACCTAATTTGTTCAAAAGCGCCAATTAATGAAAGCCCGAATTGACAAAAATGCCCCCGCTCCTACTAACTCTTGCTGCCTTGGTGTCCCCATTAATCGAAGCAATGACTCCACAGCAAGATTTGGATTGTTTTCCACAAGATCTGGAAGATTTTGTGGAGAAAGTCCACAAGAGTTGACCATGTTTGGATCCGCTTCCAGAGCGCCAATCACGGACTAGAAAAAGAGACATGAACATCTCTTTCCACAGGGACGCTAGCAGTAACCACTGTGCCACCGTAAGCTTACCTGCAGTTGTACTAATGAAAGCGGTCCTTTGAGTGCCATAGACATCAATCTCCGCACTTCATCTTTTCGAGCTACAGTTTGGCACATGCTGAAATCCCACTCAATTCGGTGCATCACCTCCGGAGGGTCAAGCCACAGTACCTAAAATATTCAAGAGCAATCAACTACTGCCGCATAAACGCTAACAGAGGAAGGGGATTTCTAACTTCTTCCAAAGCTGGCAGGAGAATGCCTGGTGGCGGCACGGAAAAAGGCGGCGCAAAGCCAAGCAGGTCCAATTGTTCCCCATCCGTGCGAGCTCCCGAAAATAGATCCTTTGCGGCTACCAACGCTTCTTCTACCGTGGGGTCCGCCGGGTCCTCGCTCATCGGGATGGCAAAAACGCCGTCGGTGGTTGCTGCTGCTGCGTAGAACTTGTCAGCGCATTGCCTCAGACTAGTCAAGGCCGCTAGCACTTGCTGATCGCTCAGCGTTTGCGAAATTCGGGAAACATCTAGCTGCATCAGCAATTGTTTCGGGGAGCAACGCGAGAGCTACAAGTTGACTTGGTGTTAGTCAAATTCAGTGTACAAAGTTGAGACTGCCTTGAGAGAAACCTGGCACGGTACCTCTTCTCTGGCGCCTTTCGGTTCCACCAAAAGCCGCGACACTAGATATCGTTCACAATTCGTCACATCCAACCCTCTGGTCCCTTCCCCGGTTCGGCTCGGTCCCTTCATGTCCGGCGTGATATAATCCAAAAACGTTGACAAGAAGGGATGAGCATCGGCAGGAACTGACTCATACAAATCGTGGAGTATGTACAGAGCGGACAACCGAATTGCAGGCTACGAAAAGAGATCGAGTTAACCCACAACCGTCTCAAGATAAGGCCCGGAAAATCCTTACATTCGGAAGTAGCGTTCTCTCGCTAAGCAGCACACTAAGAGCACATGCGAAGTCAAACCGCCGGACGCTAGAGGAGAAAGAGTCTCGAAGTGCCAGGGCGGCTGTATCGAGGGGAAGTTCCACACGAGCAAGAACGGAATACAATAGATCGAGATCTGTTCCGTCTATCATTGCGAGCAACCTAATCGGAAACAGATGAAAGAGGGAGGATAGCAACAGTGACAGGAACCTGCCAAGGCGCTGATGTTGCGGGAGGGAGGCATGCAGACGGGAGCTCCGGATCTGCAGCACCTGCTCGATGCAAACCAGGAAAGCGCCAATAGTCATGCCTTTCGATAGCCAGTTGCTATGGCAACATTCGTATGTACACTAGCTCCCCCGATCAAACAGGCAGCCCTGAACAGTTATCGCAAGTCGATCAAAAACATTCTTGGACGTCATGTTCTTGTTTTACAGCACCTTTGAATGTGATCAATATCTTTGGCCTTTTGCAACATCGCAGTTCTTTAAAGCGCAGTGACTCTTTGGCGGTTGCTTCAGATCTTGCAGCATTTTGTTAATTCAACCCAAGCAGATCATGTCACCTTGACAAGGGCACAGCGCTGTTGATAGTTTCTCACCCGAATTGTTCAACTTTTTTGTTATCCCGTCTTCATCGATCCCAGGAATATCGTTGATTAGCGTCGTCAAGTTCGGTTATTGTCTCCCACTTCGATTTGTTTGCTTACGTGAACCGCGTTTGGAACACTTGGTGCATCTTTGCAAACTCTTTAAAGATGCCGTGAACCTTTGCACCAAGCGCTGCTAATCCAATGTTCACCAAATCAAGGAGATGGACAGTTTCGCAAAAGAACAAGAAGGGCGATAGGTATTTGTAGGCATTGGTCTTGATCCGCTAACCGCTTTCTTACCACCTACCACTACTGGCGAAACTCCAGCAAGAGTGTCGAACAGACCGCAACACATTTGCCGTCATCACAGTCATCTTCAGCGCCAATAGATATTGCATCAACATCAAATTCACCGGGGGACGCAGCTCAAAATGTCAGCACAGAAATATTGAAGCGGCATCCAGTAGGAGAGACATCCCCTGGCGCCCTTCCGGCAGATGACGAGACAGGACAAAGGTCCTTACTGGATCTGTGCCAGGTAAGCTCTTGGAAGAACTTCAGTTTTCTGAGATTTTTGAGGTGTTGATTCAGAACCAATCACATACAATCAAAAGGAAGGCAGCGAAAAGGCTGTTCATCAATACTGCATTGCCAATGCCCGCCAGATCCTTCAATTCGTCAATGTTTCCATGGATAGCTTGGGGAACAGTGTTCTTCACCTCTCTGTATCTATGAACGACTTTACCTTGACCTCCCTACTATTGCTCAAAGGGGCCGATCCCAACATCGCGAACCGAGCAGGCATCACGCCGACCATTATCGCAAAGCGAATGGGATTCCATGCTCTGCTCAAAATCTTAAAAAAGCACGGAGGTGTGATTCCGTCAGAGGAGGAGCGGGTGACTACGCAAGTTGGCACGTTAAAACGCAAAAGCAGCAAAATGGAGAATAGCGATGCTCCGGAAATACCTACCGCCGATTCGGATCGGACCGGCCCCCCGCGTTCAACTAACGCAGATAGTCCGAGGAAAGGAGTAAGTGAGACCTCCTCTTTGACTCTAGAGCATGAGGGTGGCTCTGGGCAATGCAACTTTCCCACCTACGACCTTCCCGTCTACGATGCGAGCTATTTGGGCCTTGCTGAAGATATCATCTCCATTGCCCCCCTCCATGTTCTTACCGCAGCTGATGCCAACGGATGTACCCCACTCATGAAAGCATCATACAAAGGGCAGCATTCGATAGTCGCAGCTATCGTCGCGCGGAACATCGATTTGAACGCCACGGACAATCAGGGACATACCGCTCTGGTATGGGCTTCATTGGGTGGGAGGCTTGACGTTGTCCGTCTCTTGGCAGAGCAGCGTGCAGTCAATATTGATGGGGCGGTGAATCATAGGCCGGACCGGCACGCAGCGACACCACTGGTGGCTGCGGCGTTCGCCGGACACACCGCAATAGTGGAGCACCTACTGGATAAGGGCGCGGATATTAACCTTAAAGTGGGAGTGGGTAAGCGTCGAACAGCAGTGATGATAGCCGCCTGGATGCGACGCGAGGAGATAGTTCGATTACTAGTAGCTCGTGGAGCGCAAATCGAGCGGGCCACAGACCAATGGCTAAAAAACGGCTTCATTTACCTAAAGCGCTCTGCATTAGACTACAATGCGTGGACCGGCAGCCCTGGCTCTTTTCATCGACTAATATTGTCCGCTGGGGGTAGTGTAAATGCCGCACCTCAATCGCGACGGATGAGTCTGAAAGAGAAAGTCTCTTACTTTTCCTCGGAGGAAAACCAGGCGATGAAGATGCTGGAATTCATCATGACGGGGTCAGGGGGCAAAGACTCTCATGTGTCAAAAAGCGACCCGAACTTGGCTACCTTACACGAAAGTGTAGGTGATAGACAAGAGATTGCTGCTCCGAAACCACGAGTTCAGAGAGGGCGGGCGCGCAACCGATTCAGACAGGGTATGAATCTGGATGTAGGTTTTGCAATTGCTTATCGATCGTTCCGATTTACCTCGTATATTTGGTCACCATCTCACACTGTTCTCTACCAATGTATAGAAGCTTATTGGGCACAATCCGGAAGTCATTATGGAGCTTACCGAACGCCTTCCGGAACGGGGAACCGAACTTGATGCCATATGGGTCCAAGTATTTCAAGTCGTAATCCAACTCCTGATGGCCGCCAACCAAAACAAAAAGGCCGGGTACATCCTCATCTCCGCCAAAGCTATTCACTACGCTGGTGAAATTGGTCGCGCTGTGGAAGCCATTGACAAGGTGCCCGCACCTGTGCTAAAGCCTTCCTCAACGATGGGACCAGCACCATCGCTTCCAGCACAGACAACAGAACATTCCCTATTTGCACAGAGCAAAATACGAATAAAAATTCGTGAGCTGGCAAGGACGGTGAACAATGATCTACCGAAGCAGCTGATGTTGACAACTAGGATTGCAATCGGAGTTTGGCCACCTCAACATGCAATGTCCGATATGATTAAAGCCGCTACCGATTTGGCGAGGACGTGCAGGGAATTAACGGATGTAGCGAATATGACCGGTGTTTTCCCAGTGCTGGACAAGACGCTAGAAGTCAACGTGAGTCGGTCAGCTCGCTTGCGGTTACCTTACATGGCTAACAGCTGTATTGCTCCAGTTCGATCCTTACGAAGACGAGACGTTGACTGCCAACGCGGTATCAGAGCCCAATAAAGCCGTTCCAGCATCCGGTTTAACCTATGAGGAATACAAGCGCCGAAACGATCTCAAAGTTCTTGAAGAAATTTCTAAACAAAGCACTGGCCGTTCGCGTCCTTCCTCATCGGTCGAAAATATGTCGTTAGTGGAAGACCGCGACGCCCAATTCTTTTCAAAATTGGACGATCTTCTTCGTCAGTTCGTCGGATCTGTCAAAGAGATACAAAGCGCTTGCAGCAATCACTTGAAAGACTTGTATGTCAGTTTGACAAGTACAGCGGCTCACACTGCTGAGCTTTTGATTGATGAGATTAAAGGCTATGAGCTGCTTTCCGACTTTCCGGAGGATCTTCCTTTCGATCAAGAGGATGCCAAAGTTCTCGCTGCCAAAGGCGTCAACGTAGGTGATAACTTTCCAGTTGCAATTGCCGATGTATGGTACGCTGTTCTGGATGAAGTTCGACAAACCGCACGGACTATAACTATGCGCGGAAAGCTCGCGTCGGGTGTCATGCCACCTCCCAACGCGGGTTTAGAGATGCTCAATTCTACAATACCATGTGTAATAGCGGTCAAAAAGCTGGTAACCATTTCCAAAGAGTGTACAGCCAAAATCCGGCGGACAACCTATGAAGACCGAAAAAAGAAGGATCAACTGAGGAAGGATGTCCTTCAGAACGAGCATGTGAAGAACTTGTTCAAATTATGGGAGAGTCAAGTCTTGTTGCCACAAACGGAAGCTGCCCCCGCAGCTGAGGCAGAACTGCCCAGTACGGAGGATTTAGAATTCCTTCAGGATGACTTGGAAGGATTGCAATTGGACATGTCGAATAATCCACCCATTGTCAAGGGTGGAAAGTTGACAAAGTTGGTAGAATGGATGACATCCCATACTCAATATGGTACGACTTCATCATATTGCTCTCTGAAAAAGGTCCTTGGTCCTTGGATAACCTTATTATTGTGTATGGTAGACAAGGAATTTATTTCCGCCTTCATTTTAACACACCACTCCTTCACCACGTCTCTCGAACTTCTCGAATTCCTCAGCAAACGGTATACCATCAATCTCCCACCAGCACTGAGTCGTCAGCAATATGATCTCTTTCTTCGATGCAAAGTTCTGCCTGTGAAGCAGAGAGTGTGTGGCGTCATCAAGTACTGGATGGAAACGCACTTTGAAGAAGACTTTTCGCAGTGTGATCTGGTCGTTTTCAAGTTGCGTGATTTTGTTGAGAGTGTGGTTACCTTAGATTCAGAGGCATTGGCCAAAGATCTCATGAAGATGCTGGACGAAAAGGTCCGGTTGATAGTGAATGCGCCCTTGTTTATTTCTTTCTTGTGCTAACGCTGAAGGTCTTGTAGTTAAGCGCCACCACGAGTGGTGCAACCGTACCGACCAAAACTCTATTAGCACCGCAACCCCAAGTACACCAGCCTCCACCACCTAAACTACCCCGGTCCTTTGCAACCACCAGCCCTGAAATCTACGCTCTACTTTCCTCCTCCTCGACGGGCTACTTAGAATTCGACCCGCTAGAAATGGCGCGCCAGCTCGCAATCCTCGAGTTTGAACATTTTAGGCGTATCAAGGCCCATGAATGTTTGGACCAAATTTGGGGAGATCGGCGAAAGAAGGAAATGGTACAGATGGGGTGCAACGTAAAAAGCGACGGTGTAAGGTCTGGACTGACGGATATCATTAAGCATACGAATGTGGTATGTGCTCCAATATTGAAATGTGCACAACGCCCATTGAACTTCTCACCTTGTATATCAATGGCGTAGGTAACAGTCTGGATTGCAAACAGCATCATTCGTCACGAAAACCTCAAAGACAGGCGCGATACTTTAAAGTACTTTGCACAAATGGCGCTGGTAAGCGGCAAAAAGAATCACAGTTATTGTTTATGCTTGTACTGAAACTACCCTTTGAACTGTTCCCATTGCTTTCATTAGCACTGCCAAGAACTCAGCAACTTCAACGGCATAACAGCAATTAACGCCGCCATGTCTATGGCACCCGTCCATCGCTTGCGAAAAACGTGGGAGGTAGGACGAAATAATGGCAGCAACCATGTTGGGTCAGCAGTAAATATATATCTTGTATCCAGGCATTCAAGGAGAAATATCCTAAAATCCACGAAGCATACGAAGAAGTAGCTGCTACGGTCTCGCCCAAAGGTCAATATGCAAACTACCGCCGTGCTCTAAAAGAGCTTGTTCCACCCGCAGTACCCTTCCTCGGTAAGCTCCGCAATGACAGGAAAGCTCGCCCGATCCATCGTCCTAATTAATCATCCATCTCATAAGGTGTGTCCTTGACTGACTTGACGTTCACCGAACTTGGGAATCCAGATTTCATTCCCGATACAGCATTCATCAACTTTGACAAACGGCGCAAAGTTTACCACATACTCTCGTCATCCATTCAAAAATATCAGACAACACCTTACAATCTTCTCCCGGTGCCAGGTATGCTGGAATTTTTCCGAGATCTTAGCCGAAGTGGGGCTGGAAAGAGTGGGCGGGCGATAGGACTGGTTGAGCTCTCCTTGATGGATGAAGAGGAACTGTATGAGATCAGTTTAAGAGTTGAGCCTAGGGAAGAGGAGTTGAGTGATGAAGACATGGCTGATGATGGATATTGAAGAGGGTACTTAGTGTTTGATGCAGTTATATGTAATTCTCAGTGACATGTTAATTTATCATTAGTCTTTTTGGCGCATGTAAAACACCTCGCGATAATGTCGCTGATTTGGCGAGCTATACTAGCAGGATATTTAAGCCAGACCAAGGCGTTCATTCTCAGAGCCATTCAATAGCAGGTGAATCGTCACGGCATCAGGTGTTCGAGATTAAGACATGAATGTGCCGATGACCACACGAACACTAGTATTCAAGGGATCAACTAACAGAGGACAAGGTATATTATCACGGACATGAGAGTGTGCAGAAAAAATATCCCCCGCAATCTCATCATATCCTAGTCATATTTTCAAGCATTTCTTGTATAAATGTGGGGATAAACGTGCGCTGTGGCAGTTTACTATCAACGCAAAACGAGTATGGTTTAGTCATGACCCGGATGGAAGCGCGTGGCGGGAAAGTCGAATACTCACGTAGTTTACGCTAATGAGATAGTCAGCCAATCCTTCTACAACCTTTGTCGCCTCACCCGCTTGAACTGGAGCATCGTAAACGCCGATCAAGACGGCCTGCTTTGTCTTCACAATGACAACACCGCCCTGTCCCTGATTGTGAGAAAACGGCGGTGTTAGCTGCGCACTTAACATGATGTGGAATCACGACAGCTAGTCGCGTATCAGAGTGCATACCTGCTTGCCGTAGATACTACGGTCATCGGCCCGAAGCGTAAAGTACTTGGAGCCGTTCAGGTGAATACCGCTGGCGCGGATGGTAGAAGCATCTGTGAAAGACTTGATGAGGGTTTGGACTTCGTTTTGCGCGACCTATTCAAAGCGAGGAGACGTGAGACCATTCGTCTGAAAGCTATGCATGTGTGGTAAAACGACAACTCACGCTGAAGCCCTTGGAGGTTGCCCAGAGAGAGCCATCAAGACCGTGAATGGCCGCTTGCTGAATCTTTCCGGTACCAATCAGGTTGCTGTCGACGTACGCTTGCCAGGACATGTTTTACAGATAGTGTTGAAGGAGAGGTTTGCGAGGAACGGAGCAACGAAATAACAGAAAAACACGAGATGTGTGATGAGCGATGAAAAGCAAACGAGCGTGCAGTTGGGAAGGGGACGAACGAAGCGCTACGGCCTTAAATACGGATACAACTCTGCGCGGCAACCAGTCCAAGGGAAGGGGCGCGTTTGAATGGAGCTTCCATTTGGCTTCTAGAAGATGCATTTGAACACTTGCATTGCAGGCGCTTTGTTTATTTTCCTTCTTTTGACGCAGTCTGGAATCGACGATACAAAAAAAAGGAAAAGGATCATCGGAACTAGGACGAACAGTTTTTCTTGATACAAGCAATATATTGATTAGAACTTGACAGTTAATGATACTGACGGCGGATTATCCCCCCCAACGCGGACACACACAAAAAACCATTCACTACAACCCGTAATAAATGCAACTAGATATATCCTCCTTGCTCTAAAACCCAGTAGCAGATGTTGTACGGTCTATGCGCATCTTGAGCTTTTCCACTTCTTTCTCAAAGCTGTTTACAATGAATAAATGATGGGATCAGATAAAGATTGTCTGGAGAAAAGCAAAATATTAGGAAACTTACCGCAGTGCACGATCTCTGTACTCATTTGCTTCGCGTTCAGCGCGACGCTTAGAGAGTTGGAGGTTACTTTCGGATGTTTCCTTTAAAAAAAGACTGTTACTATTGCTGTATCGAAGCATCATAATATATTCAGTTATCAAGACTCACCAACTCGTCCAGCTGTGTTTTCATCCTCTTCATCTTTTGCTCCATCTTCTCCATTTCCTCGTCATTTCTTTGCTTTTGCTTATCCTTCTCCTGCAACTGGAATTGCAGCTCCCGAATGACGCGATCGGTTTTTCTTGCGTTCTTCGCAACCTCATTCTTTTCTTTGGTCTCAGCATCCAAGGCTGCACTCAACTCTTCAAGGCGTGCCTCAAGTCTTTTCACATGTCCAGCATCACGCTGTAGAGCAGTGCTTTCAAGATCAACGATGCGAGCATTGAGCTCTTTAATAGTCTTATCCAATGCAACCTTCTCCTTTTCCATTGAGAGTGCTCGGTCTTTTTCTTTTGAAAGATCTCCGGAAATTTCATTGGCAAATTGCTCGGCTCTTCTGGCCCGATCCTCTGCGGTTCGTGCTCTGTCCTGGTATTCCTCAAGTTGGTCCCGGAGGTCGGCATTATCTTGATCAAGGGCTTGCATGGATCGTTGAATATCAGCACGTCCACGAGCTGTATCATCGTAACTTTCGCTGAGCTCTTCGACACGTGCTTCGAGTGTCCTCTTTGTCTTCTCCAGTAGCGATCGTTGCGCCTCTGAATCGTCCAATGATGACCGTAGATCACGAACTTGGTTGAGGAGACCGGTGATTTGGGATTGGAGATCATCGTAGGTGTTGAGGGAGTCGTTGTAAGCGCGATTAAGGTCTTCGAGCTTGGCTTCCATTCGCTCTCGGTCCTTTTTCCAGTTTGTAGCACTGCGAAGCTCTTCCTCGAGGCGGTTGGAAACGGACTCGAGATCTGTCTCCAAGTCCTTTGCGGTTGCTTTGAGGTTAACCGCATTACTCTTCTCAATTTCGAGTTCAGTCATGAGCTGTTTAATCTCTTTCTGGTACTTCTTGCGTGTCGCATCTACCACCAACTCACGCTCTTCCAATTCCCTCCTGTGCCTCTCATGCAAGGCTTCGATCTCTTCCTGGAGCTTACGCTTCACAACGGCGAGATCTGCAAGCTCGTGCGAGTCTTCCTCCATCTTGTCCTGCAGATCAATCACTTGCTCCTCCAGACTCCTCACTTTGTCCTCAGCCAACTTACGTTCCTTGAGGGCCTCATTGAGGCTGTCCTCCAGTTCATTTATCTGGATTCGGTAGGAGCTCTCGCTCTTCTCAGCCTTAATGCGAGCCAGCTCGGCTGCTTCAAGCTTAGTAAGAGTCTGGTCAGCCCTCGCGCGGTGCATGGCAAGAGACTCAGAGAGGTCATTCGATTTGGCAGTCTCAGCGTCAAGCTTAAGTTGCAGTTCTTTAAGCTCCGCGGCCAGCTTTCGACGAGCGGCACCCTCGTCACTCTTCGCAATCACTTCTGCTTCTAATCTGCTCTTGAGCTCATCGATCTCCGACTGAAGCAATCGTCGCTGCTTTTCCAAATTGGTAATGTCCTTATTCTTATCATCCAACTCCTGAGTTGTCAACCTCTGAGCGGCAAGCAGAGCTCTTCTTGACTCTTCGAGTTTCTCGATCTTGCTATCAAGATCATCGCGCGCCCGAGACCGTAACGCTTCTAGTTCACTAGAGTTTGAAATCCTGGCAGCTTCAAGTGCGGCACGGGCTTCCTCGGATTCTTCGAGCTTAGCTTGCAACCTCTGCAGCTCCTTTTCAAGTCTCTTTTTGGCTTCCCCGAGCGCAGCTTTGCTGTCATCGCCACCTTCGAGTTCATTGTGCAACTCTTCCACCTTACGCTCGAGCTGCTTCCGTGTACGTTCGCTGCTGTCCAAAAGACCTTCCAGTCTCTCAATCTCACTCTGAAGGGAATTGGCTTTCTTTTCATGGCGCTGGCTCAATTCCTCAAAATTCCTGCGGTTACGCTCCTCCTCCTCCAACTTGAGGTGCAGCTCGCGCAACTGAGCTTCCGTCTTAGTCTTGGCCTTTTGAAGATCGGTCTGGCCCTTCACTGAGTTTTCGGCGCGCGACATGAGATCTTCAACCTGCTCCTCAAGTCTCTTTTTGGATTTCAGCAGCTCATTCTTTTGGTTGGTCGTTTCGTCTAGCTGCTCTCCAAGTGAGTTTACCTCCCGCATGAGCATGCGACGAGTCTCCTCCATTTGAGAATCTTTTGTGAGCAGATCTGCTTCCATCCGCTTCCGGTAGTCGCTCAATTGTATTTCAAGACTTTGTTTGGCCTCCTCAACCTTTCTACGAATAGTCTCTTCTTCCTCCAATTGTCCTTGCAACTCATCAATGCGAGATTCTAGACGCCGCTTAGCTTTCTCCAGCTCATGGACATTCTTGCCACCATCGCCGATTTCGTCAATCAACGCTTTGAGTTCTGTTTCCAGCTCATTCTTACTCTTCTGTATACCGGCCATTTGGTGAATCTTTTCGTCTACCTCTAGTTGCAGGGAGTCGATGGTGCTTTGGAGTTTTCTTCCATTGGACTCTGCAAGCTCCCTTTGGCGCCGCTCATTCTCAAGAGTAAGGTTTGTTGTGCTAAGCTGGGACTCGACCTGCTTGAGCAGTCGCTCAGCGTTTCTTGCCGCATTGTGCTCACGCTCAATCTCAATGCGCAAGTCCTCCGTTTCGGCGGTGAGACGAGCTTTAGTTTTCTCGAGGTTGGCGGAATTGCGGTCCAGCTCATCATATCGTTGCTGGAGGTCTGCGAGTTCCTTTTGCAGTTTTGTCCGTGCTTCCTCAAGTTCTGCACTACGGCCGGCAACTTCTTTGTTGAACTTGTCTTTGAGTGCATCCAGCTCGGACGTCTTACTAGCCAGGCGCTTTGCAACGTCAGCTTTGTTGTTCTCTTCCTCGTCCAAGCGAGCCTGTAAATCAGCCAGTTCCATTGTGACCTTCTTCTTCTGGCTTTCGACATGAGTACGCTTCTTGACTTCATCCTCTAAATCATCACGGAGGGCATCCGCCTGCTTCTGCAGGCTCTGTCTCTCCCTGTCCAGGCGTGCATTGGTTGCCTCGCTCTCGTCAACGCGGGCCTGCAAGACAGCAATCTGTCTTTCAAGAGCCTCCTTCTGTGCTTTAACCTCGGATAAAGCTGCCTCTGCGTCCTCAGCACGGGATCTAAGGGAAATCAGATCACCTTCGACCTGACGCCTATTCTTCTCCAATCTGGCGCGCGTTTCTTCGCTTTTTTCAACCTCTTCCCTCATGTTGTTCAAATCCCTTTCTATAGCCGACTTGGCTTTGCTGATATTGGCGGAATCTTCTCGTGCAGCGTCAAGCTCCATGCGCAACTTGTCAATGACTTGTTGCGTTTTTTTCCTTGTGTCATCCAGTTCGGCTTGCGAGGCGCTGAGTTGCGATTTGAGATCCTGAACTTCGGTCTCGCGAAGGCGGCGCAATTCTGTCTGTTTCGTCTCCTCAGTGCCCTTGGCCTCCATCATGTGGCGAAGGGACTCAAGCTCCTCCTCCAGCTTCTTGCGCTGTTTGACTAGCTTCTCACGTTCTCCGCGCTCCGTTTCCAGGTCGCCTTGTGCGCTGTTGAGCTTGAGTTGCAGGTCACGTCTTTGTTTGTCGACGCTTTCCTTTTCGGTACTTTCAACACGAAGACGCTCATTGAGTTCTGCCAACTCGTGCTCGCGCTTCTTGATTGTACTTTCGAGTTCAGCGCGCACTCGTTGGAGCTCAGCAACGTTTTCTTGGGCCGTGCGAAGATCTGCTTCAAGGGCGGATCGGCGGTGGTCGAGCTTCTGTCGATCATCCTGCTCTTGTTCCAATTTCTGCTCGAGCTCAGCAATTGTTGTTTTGAGCTTAGTTTGTTGCCGGTTAAGGTCAACCTGGCTATCTCCAGCGCTTTCAAGTTGACGCTGAAATTCAGCCAACTGATATTCCAGCGATTTCCGGTCAGTTTCCAATTTTTGAATCCTTTCCGAGTCATTCCTAAGCTCATCCTCCAACTCCTTGATACGCTGCTCCCGAGCCTGCTTCTCTTTTTCAAGCCTGTCCAGATTAGCGCGCTCTTGCTCAAGCTGTCCACGCAGCTCACTGATGCCTCCTTCCAGTTTTCTTTTCTCCTTGCTCAGCTCTTCATTGGCAGCCTCACGTTCTTCAAGATCGGCCGAAGCTTCCTTCAATTGTTCGGAGAGAGCGGCTTCACGCTCCTGCACACGGGCAAGAATCTCAGCCTGGTTAGCTGCGGCGTTCTTCTCGTCGATAAGCATGTCTTCCAAGCGCTTTTTCTCAGTATCAAGAGCGCTGCGAGCCGCCTCAAGCTTCAGCCGCTCTTCCTGTTCCTTCTTGGCCTTCTCCTCCCATTCTTTGGCAAGCTCTTCCCGTTTACGCAGCTCTTCATCTGTGCGCGTCACAGCCAATAGAGGCTTGACCTTGGTATACAATCGCCACCATGACCACTCCCGCAATGTCACATAAACACGGGCATTCTTTTGAATGATGCGGATAGCCCGGAACTGGTCGATGCGTTTCTTATACAATTTGCGAGCAAGGTACCCTCTCATAAGCGCTTGAATGCGCGTTACGATCCTGGACAATTGTACGTCCCGTCGCTCTTCCAGCTCGGCCAGCACTCCTGCGCGGAAGAAAACTTTGCTGCTTCCGAGACGGTACTGGTTCTTATCAAGAGCGAGTGTTTCGAGGAGTAGTTGAGCAGCTTGGCGGCCATCCATGAAACCTCGGGGAATTACTCCTGAGGCGAGGAGCTCATACCGCTGACGGAAGTCGGCGAAGGGAAGTCGGTTGGGGAAACCAGCTCGGCAAATACGGATCCCTTCCAAAACACCGTTGCAGCGTAATTGATCGAGAACTAGGTTTACATTTAGTTTACCAGGGCGTTTCTCCTCATTCGGAATGATACAACGAACAAAGTGGGGTTCCGTCGAGTATAAAGTATTCATCAAAGAATTGAGTTGCTCTTTATGTCTCTGAGCAACGGTTCGGAAAGCACCCTTCTTTGTAACTCCTCTGGTCTTGACGTTGTCCTCGGCCTCTGCCAAATACTCTGTAAACAAGGACCCAATGTACTTGTCCGTTGAATTCGCCAATAATCGCGTGACATTCTCGTTCAATGGGTCTTTGTTCTTGTCCAACCAGCCTGCGGTGTTGTACTCGACCTTTCCTGCGTAGTGCTGGAGAATGAACCCTTGATTGAATCTGGGTGTTTCGTACTTGGCCGATTTGCCCTTCCATATTCCGTTTAGCTTTTCGATAAACGTTTTGTCGGTGGCTTTGGGCATGACACATTCCTCATCCAAGCAGGAAAGGATACCAATTGGCGATGTCTTCTCAATGAGGTCAATAGTGGGCTGGAGGTCGAGACCAAAGTCGATGAATTTCCATTCAATGCCTTCACGGCGGTACTCCTCCTGCTCAAGGATAAACATATGGTGATTGAAGAATTGTTGAAGACGTTCGTTGGTGTAGTTGATGCAGAGCTGTTCGAAGCTGTTGTGCTGTACAAAGATAGAATCAGCCACTACTTCAACCAAATGGCAGAAGTGGCAGTATGCAATACCTCAAAGATCTCAAAACCTGCAATATCCAACACGCCAATGAATGTGGATTTTGATGAGGGAGTGTAGATAGCGGCATTAATTCGCTCAACCAATTTTCCAAACATGCGCTCATACAAGGACCTTGACAGAGCTTCAATAGAATACAATACTTGCTCTACATTCCTCGCCTGAGTAACCCAGTCTCGACCAGCTTTGATCTTGGGCTTCAGCAAACTCTTGGCAAATTCGGCGACAGGAATCCCCAAGACATGGCAGACCTTTTCGCAAGCTGACTGGGCTGCCTCGCCTGAAAGCTGTGCCTGATCTTCCCTGTCTGCAGTGAAGGTGATGTTTCCAAGGTGAAGAATGGCCGCGATGATCTTGAACAGGTCCATTTGCTCATCTGGGGAGATCTTCATGATATCCAAAGCGTCACGAAGCATCTTGAATTCTGCGGCATCATCGACTCCTTCAATATTATGGTTGGAGCCTTTAGTAAAGCGATAAGATGCAAGGTTTCCATCAAGCAGGAGCTTTTCCTTCACATCGGCAGGCGCTCCTTTGAGAAGTTGATAATAGATGTGATAATTCCTCTCTTTGGATGTCTGGTGCGTCACGCGAGACTTCTCGAGAAGATACCACTCGATATTCGCACCCGCAATGTGTCCAGTTGTGTTGAATTCGATCCGAATGAACTTTCCAAATCGAGAGGAGTTGTTGTTGCGGATGGTTTGAGCATTACCAAATGACTCAAGAATAGGGTTTGCTTGGAGAATCTGCTGCTCAAGAGTTCCTAGGGATTTGCCGCTTCCGCTGGTGCTCGCAATGGACGCAAGGTATTGAATGACCTTCTTGGTGTTTTCGGTCTTTCCAGCGCCTGATTCACCTCTGCAAATCAATGGACATTGTTAGTTGATTCAGCAAGGGTCTTACAGCACTATAATGGCCACAGGCAAACATACGTGATGAGAATAGACTGGTTTTCTCTGTCCTGGGTCATGTCGTGATATGCGGCATCTGAAATGGCGTAGATGTGAGGGGGCATCTCACTCCTTTTTTTGCCCTTATATCCCTTGATGATGTCGTCCGTGTAGATGGGAAGTCTCTTGTACGGGTTGACAGCCACCAGAAAGAGTCCAGAGTATGTCTATGTAGTGACTAAGTCAGTGTTCGGCTGCCGGACAAGTAAACACAGACGATACCAACATAGATCAGGTTTGAGAGGTACCGAAGCCTCAGATTATGAACGACGGAAGCTTCATTCAAGTATGTCAAATCCGCCATATCTTCCGCTTTGTCAAACTTTGGCGGATTCATTTTTTCGGTATCATTAATATTGACTGTTCGTTGCTGGAGGGGCAATGCAAGTTGAGCGCGTGGTTAGCGGATGCGACATTGAGTTCAGCGCTAATGCACACTTGGTACTTACTGTATCATTCAGTAGTGCTACCAAAACGTTGTCCCCATCCTCGCTCACAATCGAACCCGCAATGTACCCTTCCTCCTTGTCGCTCACCCATACCCATTTTTTCTCCGCCCACTGCGCTTGTGCTAGAGCGTCCGCCCCAAGATCGGGGCGAATTCGCTCAGTATGTGACACCATAGTAGAGGGGTTTGTTGGATAACTGGCAACGCCGTCCAATGAATGTCAGTTGGGATACTACGACAGGAAGAAGCGAAACGTGGTCATACAAACCTGTCGGGAGACTCAATTCCGGAAAGTTGGGCTGCCGCGTGCAACTCTCCTATAAGTGGGGTATACCAGCAACTTTCTAAATGTGCCGAGAAAACGTTGCGGTCCTGTGTTTAAGACTCTTGACTCTCGGAACCCGTCGCGAGACTGGATTTGCTGATGCAAACCTAAATAGGCTGACATAATCCCAGTAATTGTTCTGGAATATAGCGCGCTTAACCCACATTTTTGGATTCCAGACGCTTCTTTCTTACGCTTTTTTGCACTGAATTCGGAAGCTAATTATGTTCTTCTTGCTGCAAACGACATCCTTCAGGATACGCTCTTGTTTGTACGCAAGACGCAAGAAAGAGGATGGAGCGGACAAACGTTCAGATGCCGATTACGAAACGACCACACGTGACTGACACGCCAAGTTAACGACAAGAGCCCCCCTTCCCTCCACAGGATATTCTACCATCTTGGTTTAAAGCAGAATACTTTTATACACGAACAATGATGGCAGACTCGGAAATACAGCGACCCAAGTATCCGACACGTGTGGAAAACGTTCCATATGGGAAGGCGCTCTGCGCGGACCGGGATCTACCGGTGGGTCATCGCAGAATTGCGGTAGTATTCTGCTGAACAGTGGTTTAACTCATCCTCACATCAACATGCTTAGGCTGGCACGGTTGTAGAAAAGTTTGAAGGAAAAGGTGAGATTGTGCAGATGGAGGGCCGTTTTTGTGAATACATGGTTGATGTTTCGTCATCAGTTGTGGAATACGAGGACCTTTCAGATTATGACAAAACATATGTATTGAATTTTCAACCTAAAGGCTCGACAGAATGGAAATGGTATGTAGATGTTGAAGCATCTTTTCCTCTTAAAACTGACCAACAGTGACTGTTAGGCTGCTACCACTGTCGAACGCTAGATATGCAAATCGTAAGATATACTGCATCATTCGTATACAGCAGTTGATGATGACTTAATTTGAGTTCTTACTGCGCAGATTCCTGCGATCCATGTGCATATATTAACGATAACCGGGAGCTTGTGCTGCGCAGAGCCGTGCGCGAAGGAGATCAAATCACTTTCTTATACAATCCAGGAGAAGATTCCGATTGGTGGGATCCAGTATGGAACTTCAAGGTCTGCCTCAACCAAGGAGTGGAAGTTCTGTACTAGAAACTGTTTGCTAAACTGGCCATTTCTATCTATTTTCAGTGCTGCTGTGGCGCCAAACAATGCCAAGGAGACATTGATCGGTATAGAAAACCCACAACTGTCAACTGAATAGCAGTTTATCTATTGAACAAATAAAGTCTGGCTCCATCGCCCGTGATGATGCCCAATGATCTATTATTACGGGTATCAAACATGCGTCATCTGTCCTTGGCGTCTGTCCAATTAACGCCAGAAAATCTGCTTTACTTGCCATCTCATCGTTGTTATAGAACGGACATAGAGCTTCCAGAACCATAACACGATTGCTGAAGGTTGTGTGCACCGACGCGCACGGGGCATCGCACCTTCTCCTGTCACTCTAGCATCGAATAGCATATCGACATCGTAAAATCTGTCTAACTAGGAAAACAGATATAGTCTACACACAGTGGGCCGCGGGATATTGATCGTATGATCGAATTGAGGTCATCACAGCGTCCCCAGCCGGGTCTTCCAATGCTCGGTGTCGGCAGGTCTAATGACTTCTTGGACCTGCTACCACATTTGCCCGTTGCATCTGTGCCCCTCTAACAGTACTTGCCCTCGCGCCAGGTCTCGCCTTCCTCTCTCCATCTACTGTCTTTGTGTCTACATCACCTTTTCGCGTTGAATTTCGAGAGGGTGAGTTTGGGTCATGGGATGCTGCACGTGTCCGGTCAGAGAGAGTCAGTGATGAAAGCGACGTGGTCAAAGGTTTGACTCGTGACGAGATGGAAGGCGTGCCGGAAGTTACTGGGGAAGGAGATATGGATGTTTGGTCGTGTTGTGGGAGTTGTTTTGTGACACGTTCTAAGGAGAGGGCAATCGGGTCATACCAGTGCTGCTTATCATATATTAGCTCTCCAAAGTGATCAGATCTATTTGGCTATGCTGAACCAACCATTGCCGCTTCATAATCTCGATTGACCGCTTCATACACAGGTTTGAACTTTTTCTCCCACTCCTCACGTTGGTCCTCTTGTTCTGCCTGCTGTTTTTGAAGTAGTAGCGCCTGTTGAAAACGCATTGCTAGCAGGGACTTCTAGGGGTTGGGTGTTCTGAAGTAGTTCTTGGGGAATGGAGAAGGAATTGCGGGGCAGGAAGACAGTAGTAGGTAAAGGATTGATCGATCGCGAAATCACATGACTGTTTACATAATACCCAGCCCACGATAGACAAGGTGTTGAGCTGGAGGTGTGTGTACGCTGCCCAACTGGCTCCTAGGGAAAGAGCTGGTAGGTCGTAAAGTGTAAGGCGTTTGGAGGCTTTCCAAGCATCCTGACATGTACGGCTAGATTTCTTAGAGTTATTTGATATTTGGGATTTCAATGATACTTTGAGATTACGATGAATTATTGTATCGGACAATGAGTTTTAGATGCCATGATGAGGCCAATAGAACATCCAAAAAGCATGGATAATGAATCTCCCTATGTTGTGCGCAGATTGGGAGCGACGCAAGGCAAACATGACCTATGAATTTTTTTGATGGGACATGAATACAGAAAATCAAAGTATAAAGTAGCTGCGGATGGGCAGATTAGTGCTACAAGTGCTATGGACTCCAAATGCGGAAGATGCTTGGTTAAGAGGAACGTTCTTCGAGGCGGCCATCGTTATCATCTTCCAATGGTACCGATTCTGTCGACACATTCAATGGAGAGTCTGGCATTTGCGACTCGGTCACAATCGAATCAGTATCGTCTTCTTGCTTGAAATTGATACGTTCAACAGCATTTTGATGTTCTTCGGTGTTCAGAAAACGCTCCCAATCTCGTGACTCTCGCAATGCAAGGTCTTCTGATCCAGCTGGCGAAATTGGTCGTGCTGAAATGGCTAGTTCATATACAATCACAAGACGTTTACCCCGGTGTAATCTTCAAAATGGCAGGTTACCTGATAATGCAGTAGGATCTCCATCTGATATGCGCCGTGGAGATGTCGGCGGGGGTGAGTTGAAATGAGTTGACGCACGGCAGCTCCCCTCATCCACAGCATTTTTCGACCCAGACTCAGGCTCGTCATCTGACATGCGCCGTGGAGATACCGGAGGGGATGAGCTTTCACGAGTTGATACACGACAACTCTCTTCGTCCACAGTATTGTTCGACCTGAACTCGTGCTCGATTGGATCCTCAGTAAGGGTCAGATCCCGCTCCGGAGAATCAATCCGTTGCTTGCATCAATGTAACTCAGTGATAATCCAATGGAGCCATTCGATACGCTGGTACACACCTTCTTGATTTTGCGCCTAAAAGGGAACCCCTCAATAGCTCCCAGAGCAATCAGATCCATCGAAACACCCCCAAACTCTGCATTTCTCATAGAGGCGGTATCCTCGCTACGAGAATTCCCAGAGCTCGGCGTGCTTGGAAACTTTTTCTTCCATTTGCTGCACACCGGCGTGGAAAACTGTTGCTTTAGCCTCTTCCGACTGAAAAACTCCCGTTGCTGTTGCGGCCACGGTCCTTTTAGTATCGGGACAAATGTACCTGCCAATAACTTGTACCTTTTGAAGCTCCATTTTATGCTTTGCGGACCTGTGGGATCCCGTTGTCCAATTCATGGCGCATGGGTCAATGTATGAGTGGTGGGAAGGGATCTGAGAAAGAACAGCGAATTCAGGAACCCTAACCCATTGCGTGGCTGTGCAATCAATTACCACCTTCTACAAGGTTCATCATGAACTTTTAGATGCTAATAATACCTCTATCCATACGTCTATCTGTGATTTACATTAATGAATAGCCCCTGCTTTCTTGGCTGCCTCCAAAATTCTGTTGACTATCTCATCAACGCCCACACCATTCTTCACTTGGGCGAAAATAGTCGGGCCACCATCACGCATCCGATCTGCATCACGACGCATCACTTCAAGATCTGCACCAATGAAGGCGGCAATATCCGTCTTATTCACAACGAGTAGATCAGATTGAGTAATGCCGGGACCACCCTTACGCGGGATTTTGTCCCCACCGGACACATCGATCACATATATGATATAGTCCGCCAGCTCGCGTGAGTAATTCGCTAAAGTCGACACAACAATGATAAGATATGAACCAAGTACTCCACGAATATGCACACTGACGACTCACCAGCCAAATTGTCGCCCCCGCTCTCGACTAACAATACTTCCGTTCCAAATTCTGCCTGCAACTGTTCCAACGCCTCCAAATTGGCAGAGATGTCTTCTCGAATCGCGGCGTGAGGGCACCCGCCTGTTTCAATAGCGCGGATGCGCGCAGGATCTGGGAGTGCTTGGTGCCGAATAAGGAATTCCGCATCCTCTCGCGTGAAAATATCATTGGTCACGGCCGCTATGGACCGTTTGGTATGGAGAGCTTGACAAAGGGCAAGCTTCCGAGGATGTGAGATTGGTCGCAAATATCTTGCTATTGATTAATGAGGAAGAACAAAGTACCTACCATTAGTGCAGTCTTTCCGCTCCCTACAGGTCTGGTGTCCGGTTAGCGCATCAGCATCAAACGAGTACCAAACGAGTAACATGCCTTACCCTCCAATTCCAACTGTGAACGCTCTCTCTGTCCAGTTTCTAACGCCGTACAGGGGCTGTTCTCTCTCCTCGTAGCGTCCCGGAGAGTCAAGATGCTCGTGTGTGTGACCGTGTTCATGCGTATGATCATGAGAGTGACTATGCCCATGATGACCGTTGTTGTCGCTGCTTGCGTAGGAAGGGTGATGCACTTCCACACGAACAGTTTTGGTGTTGGCTGCTGCAGACATGGTGAAAGTCGTGAAGGGGCAGTTAGAGTGGCAACCTTGGAATTGATACGAGATAAGGGCTGGCGATCGTGGTGGCTTGGGGCCTTGCTGTGTCATCCAGGAGAACGCCACATCGGGATGCTGACGATCATGGAAGGCAATAGGCTGGCGACTCTTTTTGAGTATTCACCAGGTTGCATTGGAAATTTATGTACACTCCCAGAGATGCTTAATCGTATCGCTATCCTTCTTGTTATTGACTCTATCGGGCCTGCCTCTGTATTGTAGACATTATAATCCGAAGGATAAACTCGAGAGCTAGATAATATATTTCTATATAATACAACGATCCAATGCACGTTGACATCAGACAAGAATCCGCAGGCCACTTGCATCCCCGTGCCGGATAAGTCCCGCACGGCGCACTTATGTACACGATTACACTGTTTTGTTTCAATCCTCCATCCCAGCCCGCAACCGTAGCGCTTTAACCCACACTTCCCCGGCTGCAATGATAACTGCCATGACAATGAGAATGATGATAATCCACGTAATATATGTCATCTCGTTCGAGTTCATGTGTTCTGTCAACATATCCAAGAGATCTGAGATGATGTCGGCACGAGTGTTTAGGAGTTTGGCTCGCTGCGATATTTCGAGGTAACCTATCAAGTGTGTAAGAGTCTTGATCTCATTTCAGTCCGATACGGATTGATTACCTCTTATGGCATTGTACAAGCCCTCAAGCTCAGGTTCACTCCAGAACAACTCGGGGGTATCTACAAATACGATGTGGCATCTCAGCTAAAGGTAACGTATCACCGTCATCCCGGCAAGCACTAACCCAGAACATTGCTGATCAGATTCACGTTCATCCTCAATTTGAAGAGCTGTCCGACAATCTTCATAATGTCCGTTCGAGTCATCCTGACCTCACCATGCTGCGCCATAGTACGTGGCAGAGGAATCGTGCCGTCAATCGTCTCCTCCATCACGTTTTCAAAGAAAGCCAGCTTCACCGACTGTGCGAGACCGTGCGAAATAGTCAGTTTAATAAGTGAACTCCCACTCTTCAAACTACAGAGGTTGAGGCGCACAGTTGTTAGACTCATCTTACGATAGAGTAAGAAACCAAGTGATTACTGACGTTATCATGTCATTGAAAATTCGAGGTTGATGTGGCCCAGATAAGTCGTATTGATAATGGAAATCTTCATTCTGGACATCATCTGTTGTGTACCGACGTCAGTGGGAATAGGCGAAGGCATAGCTATGAACTCCTCAGCATACCAGGAGGGAGCATTCCAACCGCCCATCTCCGTATTATCTTGAGATATGCGGTCTCCTCTTCTTCGCTGAAATTCCAAAACACTATAATTTCGAAAGGTGAAACCTTGGGGACATACGTTTGCTAGAGACCTGCCTGTGACATACCTGCGACACCATAGTCGAAAATAAACACTTCACCGCGAAGCATCCAAGCAGGCTGGGAAGGTGTTTCCTCATACGAGTCTACGTGTATTGGTTGACTTTCATCGTGATGAAAACGTGGTATTTCCGGGAATTCCGCATAGCTCCCAGGTAAAAAGGCCGTCGATCGGGGTGAGCTCGCCAGTACGTCGTTTACCGTACTAGTCGAAGATGTGTTAATTTGCAGAAAGCTGGAACGCCCGCCCGTACTTATTTCACTTACGCGGTCATCTTCATTGGTCGCGCTTTGGCGGGGTGTGGTCCAGCAAATCGGGCTTGGGCTTCCGGCTCGTAATATACATAAAGACACTCATCATACTTTTTAGTTGAGACCTGATGGGTATTTCGCAAGAATTTGGCTGTGGTAACCAATACAATTAGTCGGCGTCCGGCTGATGATCACTATCGTAATTTCCGGATCTTACATATTTCGCCGATTTTGTAACCTTCCGCAATGCAGTAGCTGGTGACTAAAGTCCGTGATATTCAGTTATGAGCCTGTAACTGATACAGGGAGCTGACGTGAATTGAATACCTCGGGGCATTTTTGTTCGCTGATCCTTACTCATACGTTCCGCCTCCGTTCGAGCCGCGTCGGGGACGATATCTGGTACTACTACTTCGTTATAGCTCAGATACCATGGTTGCTGCTCATTGTCATCAATCCCAGGCGTAGGTTGAGAAGGGGCTAACGGGCCAGTGTCGTCGGGAAAGAGCACCAGCTTCTGCGTTGTCTTGGTCGTTCTCTGAGGGGTAATCTGGCGAGTGCCTCTTCGAAAGTCCCGATTGCCGCTCAAAAATGAACCGCCTCGAGCTTGCACCTGTGGACCTGAGGGAGGAAAACTGGCGCCATAATATGGTGACAAAGGGGAAGTGCGCTGGAAGCAGCCGTGAGCTATTTTCTCCAGTTAGTCTTCACAACTACAGTCCGTCCACCTACCGGGAATGAATCTACATAAGGGTTGTGGTTAAGTGCATCCGCTGGGCGCGTGGCTGCTGGCAAGTTAAACTGAACGTGATGTGTGTCCGCTCGAACGGTGGGTGGTCGACGTTTCATCTCGCTGGAACTAGGAACTGGTCACGGACACAGGAAAGGTGCGAAGGAAACCCAAGAAGCTTGATAGCGTGGGAGAAGCTAGTCGTCTTTTCCGCTAATTCCAGTATCGCTTTTCGCCCAGTGCAAGATCACAAAGATCAGTAAAGTTATGGCTTTCCCAAATATCCTTCCCACAGACGTGCGTCATTAACCTATGGAAGGGTTCGACTCTCGACGCAGACACTTTCAAGCGACGAGCAAAAGATTTTCGCAAGCGCGATCTTCGGACACAGATCCCGACAGTAAAGTCACATCTTGCTTCTGGTTCGTTGTGTTTTTTGGAAAAGAAATACCAACTCTTCCAATATCCGCATCCCCATTGACCGGTATTGACCCCTCACCACGCAATGGAAGTTGATGATGTACCCGAAGTAAGGCCTTTTACCGATTCAATGGCTACTCAGTCAAGCTGACTGGGCTTGTCAGCTCCCACCATCTCTCCGAATAGACGAGTCTCTCAAGCAACCTCCACCACCGTTAAGACGAATAGGTGAATCACAAGGGAGCAGCGAAAATGGTGCAAAAGACACTTCAGCGGCAAAGCCTGGCAATGACAAACAGAGGGTGGACAAGGAAAAGAAGGACGGACGCACGAAGAAGCGCGAATTAGTGAAACTTGACGCCGAAAAGTACTTATCCCTCGTACAAATCTGCTCGCCCTCTAGGTGCTGACGTGCGCTATACTCCAGACTGCTAGGTCCAAGTGGTCTTCCCCGCCTCCGACACCTGTCCTCCAAACTTACCTTCAAGGGCAAAGGTCACGAGGTGCTCTTCCGTTCATGTGCATCAACTCCACATTCATCGAGTTATCTCACGCTTCATCAGACAGAAAACCTCCGAAAGCTGATTGCATTTTATCAAATATGGGCTCATAACCTCTTTCCCAAACTCAAATTCGCCAGCTTTATCGAGCGAACGGAGAAAGTTTGTCGAGAGCGAAGAATGAAGGTATTTGTATTTTTCGCTGAAGTGCATATAAAGCGATCTCATTCATGGTGCCATTGGAAGATCTTCTTGGAAGCGGTCCTTCAAGAAGAGCGACGAAGAAAAACAGGGATAACGGACGATCAGATGGATAGTAATGATACTACAATGATGGAAGGTGATGGCGACGGTGAGTGAAGATTGGAATCTGAGGTGGACCGGAGGAAGTGACGCTTAAGCGCGCTGTCGCAGATCATTTGGGACTGTTTACGTCCGACTCACAGCCTGGCGGACTGCCGCAAACTGTAAGTTCCGCTTTACCTTCAATGGAATCGCTGGCGCAGGAGTATTCACTTGACCGGATCTAGCCCAATATGGACCATGGAAATACCGGGATACATATATCTGGATCACAACCTCTTTCACCATCAACCCTCGCCGCAATATCTGCTAACAAGGAGCGCGCTCTTGCCAAACTTGCAGAAAAGAGACGACAAAGAGAGCTTCAGGAGCAGAGAGAGGAGGAGGAAAGGATGATAGCGGAAGCTGAAAATGCTCCGTTATTCGCAGAGGATGAGGATATATTCTAGGCCGATGTCATTTGTCGGTCCCCATGCAGCCGGCGAAGGAGTATGCGATGTTACGACATAAAACCAGCAATTACGTGCTATCTGACCAGCACAAGGATCGATTCCGGATGTAGGACCAGAAATGGATACGAATATGACTTCCCGACAATGCCGAGCGGTCTTCAGAAACCGGAAGCCATATATTACACGATCCCTATATATAGAAAGCCCCATGTCAACGTATCCCAGCCTGTGTTCTAGACTCTCTTACAATAGAGTTTTGCCGACCGGATCAGCCTTTATATGGCTCCCACAGCATAGCTATCTACGCTGCGTTAAAACACCTCCATTTCGCCCTCCTACTCATCATCGCTTTCCTCCTTCTCCTCAACTGGCTCTACCCAAACCACTCCACCATTTCTCAAACCAAGCTGTTTCAAGCTTTCCGTGAAATCATAGGGCACAAACCTGCCGCCATCGTGATCATTGAAGGCATCTCCACCAACGATCATCCCGACTCTAAATCGTCGCGCACTTCCAAAGACTGCATCGTAAACGCTGCCTTTCCATGTACCTTTCTTTCTTTTCTCAGATTCTAAGCCAAGTTGTCGTATGGCATGGGCATCTTTCGTAAGCAGTCTTTGGAGCATGTCGACGGATATATCGAGAGTTGGTACGTATACAGTCGCTCCAGTGGACGAAGCTTGCATGCGGTTATAGAGGCTCTTGGCGCTGCGTTTTGGTGAAGAACCAGAGAGGGAGGTGACTGTGTGCGGTGTAGGTGGACGGTGGGGGTTAAAGAGTCGCACATTTATGTGGAGCGAGTGCTGCGTATGTGAGATTGGCTGCCGTGCAATGATTCACTATTAGAGTGTAATGAATGGCAGGAGAGAGACAGGAGCTATCACTTACTCCGCCTCTGATGTAAGCTGAATCTCGCTCAAAGTATTCTCGTCCCCATTTCGGTTCGATGCTTTGACGAACTACGCTGTCCGCTTCCTGTTCAAATTCCTTTGGACGATTGTGATGCGTCTCACCCCATTCGTAAACGTCGTCCATGCCTTCGTTCACTGGAAAGCCGTGTTAATTTACTAAAGGGATACGAATAAAAGGAGATTAAAAAGTCGCCACTCACTGATGTCCTCCATGGTCTCGTACATATCCAGGCGCGTGTCGTACTTTTCTTGCCGCTGCTGTACAGTCTTCAGATCTTCTTCTACATTCGCGTATCGTATACCCTAACACGCAAAATCATTTAAAACTTTAGGAAATATATGACCGTTATCGGTAGGAGTTGCACATCCACCTTGATGGCCTCTACTTCAGCTCGATTAACAACGTGGTTTGACACAAAGAGCTGTGCTCTGGTATCAATCATAACAGCAGCCTCAAAATTACGGTCTGAGGTAACCCGGTAGTGAGAAATTTGATGTGAAAGGCATTTCGCTTTGTGGATATCGCCTTTCTGGGCATAAGATTTGAGCTGGGACATCTGGAAGGATGGCGAAATTTGTCAGGACAGCTAATTGTATGCGATGCAACCGGCAATACCAACCAAATGCCTCTCTTTTCGCTCCAGATCTCCTCGGTCTCGCCTCAATTCACGTTGGGCTCGGTCTGCATTGACTCTTGCTTCACGAAGACGTCGATCCCTCCGGAACATCGGTCCAGAGATGAACCAGGAGTCTAGTCCCTGGAGAATTCTGGCATTCGTAGAGGTCGGAGTCGCCATGGCTGATCTCTGAAAACAGCAAGGATTGCGAAGGTTCTATGGTAATAGTTGAGCGAATTCTATCTTTACAAGGCTGAATATCTTGAGGAGTTCGGAGTATTACCTAGATGTCGTCAGCCTCTGCGCCACGTTGCTGTGCCATCTGCGAGATACCCGTAATGCAGTACTGCAATGCGTGAGCATGTTTATTTCTACGCTTCAGCAAACATTTACAGGCTCAAAAACTCTACAAAGCTAAAGCCAAAAGGCACATGCTATGGTGTATTGGCCGCTAAAGAGACAGCGCTATCTCTAATATTCTCATCTGAGGAGAGAAACTCTCTCACGGCGACGGCCCTATCGGGATGGATGGCAAGCGCTACCTGCCCTGCCCTTTCGATTGACAGTTCCGTTGGTCGTTGTATATGTATGTATTCCCCATCTGACATAGGTTTCATGCGTTAAATGAGAATTGAGATTCAAAGACAGAACATAGCGTCCACCTACCAATGTACACATAAGTTTGGGCAAGGTCCTGTTTCGCGCATACATAGAGGTGAGCAAAAAAAGCTGAGATGAGCGACCCTTTACTCTTCACAGTTATTACCTTCTGGCTGGTATCAAATACAATCTTCAGAGGGCATTCAACTTGTCCGAGGGCATCCACATCTGTCTCCTTCCGAAATGCCGCAAGGAAGTTATTCACCAAATACCGATGTTTGCAAGGATATACAAATGCTTCTAGTTTGTTATCATCAATTTTTTGTGATGGCATGTGTCGCGCATCCGCTGATGCGTTCCAATTCCAGAGCGAATGGTCTTTCCCTCCTGCTACTGGGATATTTTGAAGGTTCAATTGGATCGCAGTGTGCGATGCGAGCATGGTTGGTGACCACGACGGAGTTTGAGAGTGTATGGCAGATATGACGTGGTTGATGTGGGGGTGCGGCAGGAGGAGTTGCTATAATAGTGATGATAGTTCTGGCTTTTAGCGTTGTTATTTCCAAGAAACTCGGCAAAGTCCTTACCCGAAGCACGTTGAAGCTGGAGATTAGCATGTTACAGATCCGTGAGCTTGACCGATGCTTTTCAATGAACCGACCGAACCGCGCTTCAAGGCCAATGCACACTTGCAGCATCATGTAGTGTGTGTCACGGGCGGGTTCATCAAATCTATAGTCAGGATGACTCTGCTTAGCCTCGTCATCCCTATCTTTAGACCCAGAAACCTCCACTCGCATTAGATCCACCATTGCGACGGGCGCTTGTACGATCTTCTCGATCAGATCTGATAATGAGTCCATGTAGTCCTTTGGCATCGAACTGCCCCATCCGAGAAAGCGGGCCAGGATGTTTGCCGTACCAAAGGGTAAAACGGCAAAGACAACGCGTTCACTGAAGACAGGTACACTACGTTCATTGAGCGCACCAACAATTGCGGGAACTGTACCGTCTCCACCGCATGACAACACCCAGCAATTTGGTCTCGGTCGACCACACTCCTGGTTCTGCTTATTCAGAGATAGTTCGATTTGTTTTTGAATATGCTCCAAGCCTCGATTGAACGATTCCGTGTCGCGAAGATTGTAGCACCATAAACGCGCATTGGGCAATACTTTGTGGGGAACGGGAAGTTCGGCTAGCTTCTTGGCGAGCCGGCTCCCACTGCGCGAATTGTATATTGCTATGAGTGTCAGTTGCTCGTCGTCGCCATCGCTTGTACGTTCGGAATCGGCACTTGGCGACACGGAATTTGAGACCATCTTGGGTTGCAAGCACCAATAAAAACAGGAGGATTTGGTATTAACGGAAAGCTTAAAAGCTTGCTTACTCGAAAGACCTGACGTCACGAGTCACGTGATTTGTAATTATGCGATAAGATGCTCAGATCGGCACTCTAAATGATGGCTGTAGCGCTGGGTTAATCATCACGGAGGTATGGTCTAAAGGATCTCAAATCATGTTGAACGCAATACGTTGATTTCAAAAGAAATTGTCTAAAAGTTACTGTCCAATTTGCTTCTGGGGCCCGTAGGGAGGTGAGTATGGGGATTTACGGCTGTGGCAGTGAAGGAGGAGCGCGCTAGCTTGTTACGTAATGACCAACGTCATTGTTTGACCTGCAGCTGGTCGTGTGGTTTTCGCTGCACCTTTTAAAAAGAGTAGGAAGGTAGGATTCAATCGACTTGTACATAAATCTCATCAGTGTTTACAATGGATACGGATACGGTCAAACTCCGTCATGTCAAATCTGCAATCACCGACGTACCAAACGGAGAACCCAACAAGACAAAAAGTGCCAATGTGAGCAAAAGCATTACAAATGTCATCGAGAAAAAGCTTTTGGATCCTGAGATCTACGTGCGGTTCGTACAAGGATTTGCTGGGTTCCTGGCAAAAAGGGTAGGTCCAGTGTAGGGTCGTCGTTCTGGCCCGTCAAAAGTCTACTACTGACGCACCATCCAAAAGAACCTGATCGATACTGGCATTGGTCTTGTCATTGGTACCGCTTTTTCAAACATGATCCAGACATTTGTTGACGATTTGCTTACCCCTCTGCTTGGTCTGATTGTGGGTTCCCGCATGTCAAACTGGTTCATTGTTTTGAGAAAGGGAGCCAAGGCATTGCAATATCAGCACGAGTCCACACATCGTTATAAATATGTGACTATTGAAGAGGCAGCACGCGATGGTGCGGTGACATTGAACGTTGGGAGGGCGGTGGAAAGCGTGGTGAGATTTGTGTGTCTAGCTGGTGCTGTGTTTGCCCTCTTTCGAGGTAGGCTTGGTATATTTCACTGTGAAAGAATGTGGCCCGGCGAAATTAACCATCTTTCAGTTGCAATGAGAACTTGGGAGGCGCACAAACGTACGTTGGGACCGATCCTTTTTCCGGACGAACATAGAGACCCAAAGGCCAACGAGTCTGAATCGTCTGGGGACGCCACTCGTGAATGTCCCTTTTGCACATCGCAAATTCCTTGTCGTGCATCAAAGTGTCGTTTCTGCACTGCGGATGTCTCAGGTATCGCAGCGCCATACAGTACAACAAAAGGTTCCATGGGCTTCACAGGGAAGGAAGAGTGACAGAGGATAAAAAAAGTGCTGTGAATTGTTAACGAGGACCTTGCTTAGCGTAGTTTGTTATGATGGAATTTCTTTCCGATTGTACCCATCCCGCTCTTGTACCGTTTATACCTAAGATCAACATGTATAGTATCCCTCCCCATGGCTCTAAATAACAATCTTCAGATGGACTTGTGTCGTTCTCGTCGAGACGGCTTGCAGAACTCGCAGGCACTGAATATCCTCCAACCACTGCTATCGCTCCCATTGACCACCAATTCTCAAATGATTCCGATGATTGATTCCGCGCAGAGGGAATCCAATGTATGTCCATCTCTAGAACTGGTATCAATCGTCAACAAGCGGAAAGTGGTAAGAAAGAAGGGAATATCGGAGGAAATCTGAGCAACCGCGGCAAAACAACAACAACAACACGTACACAGTTGCTGGAGCGCGTCCACAAACCTTCCCTCGACGCGCCTCGTCCCGCCCTTTCCCCAACATCTTTCACTCTCATTCAGAATGTCTACTCAAGTCCGCCTTGTCAACGAAGCAGAGCTAACCAGCGCCATCCGCAGTGTGCGAGACGACAAACAACCCACTAACTGGGTTCTCGTCGGGCACGCTCAAGATGGAACAGACCCAAACGCGCTCGTGTTGGTTTCAACTGGTGAAGATGGCTTTGAAGGTCTGAAGCGAGCATTGTCAGACGACCATGTGCAATATGCCCTCCGTAAGCTGCCTAGAGCTTATAAGTCCATTGACTTCACTGAGAAACAATTTCATCTCACGGCTCCCATTCATAGTCCGAATGACAAACAAAGTCGACCTGAGCACCACCGTCAAGTTTGTCTATATTTATAACTTTGCGGATAAGCTCAGTTTTGCCAAAAAGGGGCGGTTTGGAGTGGTTAAGGGTGATGCAACAAAGTATTTCATGGTATGGATTAACGTGCGAGCGTTGATCGGGGTGTTCGCGCGTTAAACCTATATCGCATATAGCCATTCCATGTGGAAATTGAGATTGGATCCCGCAACGAATTAATCGAAGAGGTATGGCTATTTGGGTACGTGCTGCAGATGCAGGTCTGATCGGTATCGCGACCTTAGGAAGTGGTGAAAAAGATTGAAGCCGCAGCCGGTAATTTGAACAATGTGCGCGAGGCAGACTTTATAGAAGGCAAACAGGTAGCAGTCGACCGCTATGTTGTTTTGGAATTGCATGCTCACATTCTACATTAGGAACGCGGCTATACAGCTCGTACAACTGTCCGTCGTAACTCCCTAGAGAATGTACCGCTGTCGCGATCTAGCACTACTTCCAACACTACCGGCTCGACACCAAATCTCAACGCAGCGTTCCAAGGAAACACGGGCTCAAGTAACAACCTGCATAAATCACAGTCCAATATCCAAAAGGGGGCGAAGCCCTCTGCCGCCACCCAGAGCCAAGGGGTAACCCTTGGGACTGAACTGCTGGAGGCCATCAAGGATCTTCGAAATGATAAAACGCCCACAAAATGGGTTGTGGGAACTTACCAAGATGGGAACATTGCAAATCCTATTGTATTGAGTGCAAAGGGTGACGGTGGTGCAGAGGAAATGAAACAAAAGTTTGCTCCGGACGGTATCGCGTACAGCCTGATCAGAGTGGTATGTCGCTACTGGTTCGCCATCTCTTAGCCAACTTAATACTGAACCGTCTTGATACCGCGTCAGACGGACTTTGTAGATGGCCATCCGACCGTTAAATTCGCCTTCGTCACCTTCATTGGGCAGCAAGTAGGCAGTAAGTATATCCATGTGGCAACATCTTTTCGTCCGTCATTGCCTCGCAATTTCCTTCTTTTAATCATCACCACCATTATTCAGTCATGAAAAAGGCCAAAATCAGCACACATAAGGGAGGAGTCACAGAGCACTTTGCTCCCTACCATGTGGATTTCACGATTTCCGAAAGACGTGAAATCGATGACACTGTTATCATGAACAAAGTATCGCGAGTATCTGGCAGCCGTAGTATGGTCAAATAGTGCCCTTCCCATTGACGTTTATTTTCTGAATGAAGGAGTATATATATTTTATATCATAAATGGTTATAGTGTAACTACCTGCTCCTCCAGTCTGTTTTTGCAATGCACACATTTGCCAATGTCTTCAGAGCAAGTTTCATCCTGCTGAGATGCAATTATGTGATCTGACGCGACACCCTGTGGCCCAAACGTCCACGCGATCTCAGCACACCATCTTGCAGCAAAAAGACGCATAGCAGCCCTGCTGGCGGCTCGTTGCGCTGCATTAGTTTTAGACAAGCTTGTATAGTAGAGTGCTCTTCTAGCAATGTCTGCCGAGGTTCGCGGTGCAGTCAAGCAGCTGAGGACTCATCAACAAGGACAGTTGGCAAAGTTGCAGGTATATGCCACGACGAGTTTCCAGCTTCATGCCCCAAAAATAACACATGGGGTCTCTCAAAAGATAAAATCAGAAGCCGAAGTTGAACTGCTTGAGAATTTAAACTCTTATTTTAGGGTGCGTGCCAATCTTGGGCGGTCCGTACTATCTACTCGTCTCTAACTCGCTCGTTCTCTTATTGTAGAAAAGAGCGGAGATCGAAAGCCAGTATGCTACTGTACGTTTACCTGTCTGAACCTACCTCGCAGCTATATTTCACACCTCGCGGTGACAGGCACTAGAGAAGCTGAGCAAACACTACATAACCAAAAAGTTCAAACGAACAACGGTTGCGAGCGGTAATCCAACACCTCTATCGTCTGCTGAAGATGCCACAGCGGGGTAAGTTCATACCGCTGTAACAGAATCGTTTGTATAATGACCTCCCCGAGCAGTGCCCTATATGCATCATTCTCTGCTGTATTGACCGAATCCGAAAAGCAAGCTCGAAAACGAGGTGACATCAGTGAGAAACTTGTCGCAGATATTGCGGACAATATCAGGGAGCTAAACAAGGAAAGGGCCGCGGGTGCAAAGAGGGTTGGTTCTAGAATACGTTGCTAGCTTTGGTGAGATGTACTCACATTGTTGATCATCCCATGTACTAGAACCTTGAATTTGGGGTATGTCGCGGATGTGAACGCAAATGACTACGATCTTACCAGAAAATACCAACTATTTCAGACGAAATACCACCAAGAACTGTGGACAGCCTATGATGAGCTCGATAAGGTACCAATTGTAGCTATAAAGTCGACGATGCAGATGCTTACACCGTCAAATAGGCTAGGCAAGCGTATGACAAAACAGCGAAGGAAGCTGAATCTGCGCGGAAAAAATATGACGACATTTCGAGGAAGCCGGGCTCTGGGCTGAATGCCATTAAAAACCTTGTTACTGGTACGGACTCGGAAGAGCGTGTGGAAAAGGTTCGCGATTAGACCGAAATTCTAGGGTATGTAACGATAAGCTAACAATCTCTCCCTGGTCAGCATAGAACCAAGTGGAAAGCTTTGAGCCGAAAGTTGAACGACAGTCGAAATGACTACATCCTCGCTTTGGAAGGCGTTAACGTCATACAAGCAGCGTATTATAAAGGTATTTGTCCTTTCGTTGGGCGTGGCGTCAGAATTAGATAACCTAATGAACATGAGTGTAGAGGAACTGCCCAACTTGATGCTAGTAGGTGATTTGACAGGCTCTTTGACCCACAATACCGGCCCATACTCAACCATCTGGCGCAGAATCTGGACGCAAACTTTTATACTGTCTATCCCTCATTGTTGGAAAAGTACGCTGGCCTGGAGAGCGACTACACTGGCGCTTTACAAACAAGTGTAGAGACCGTACGAACCTCACTCGGAAATGTGGATCGTAACAAGGAATTGGATAACTTTTTGCGGGATCACAATGCTATCTTTCAAGATCCAGGGCCGTTCCATTTCGAGCCCGGTGCTGGGGATGATGTACGTAAATGGGGGTGTAAGGTGCGAGCGGAGGTTTCTCTGCGCTTACCTCATTAGTTGATCAGGTGGAGCATCTCACTGTGGACGACGTGACAAAAGTGGCGTTGGGACAACGCCTTGGCAGGTTAATGAATCGAGAGGAAGAGATAAACAATCACATTGCACTGAAAGAGCGGGAGCTTGGTGGTGTGACACAGATGGCAGATGTCTATAGTCAAACACCATCATTTGGTAACGCAGCGACGCCATTAGAGGTAAGCGGCTCATATTGTACCGAAACATCCGAGTTAAAGACTGAATCCCTTCTCTCCTGATCCCAGCAAAGGCAAGAGATTGAGAATGGCATCCGCCTATTGAATGCCGCAAAGGTCAAAGTTGCAGCCCAAATCCGAATATTGAAGAACATGGGAGGTATGAGTTTCCATCATTGCTGAGAAGCTCAGTGTAAATCGGTTCTTAACGTGGTTTATGTGTATCTTTGCCCTTTATAGTGGAGGCCATCATCCCAGTAGCTCCGGTTACCGCTGCTCCGACCATGTCGCTTGCATCGAAAGCAAACGCGGTCGCAATCTACGACTACGACGCGAAAGGTGAAGGAGAGACATCCCTACGCAATGGCGACGACCTTGTGATAGTTGTGCCGGAATCTGATGGCTGGGTCAAGGTACGCATGGAGTGAAGACGCTTTGTTATTGCACCTGAGGCTCATGCACACTGTCAAGGTTCAAAATCTTATTAGCCAGGGAGTCGGGTTAGTTCCCGCAAATTACATTAAGAATCTAGAGCCAGTTAATGGATCTGGGCCGGCTCCATCCACATTGTCTCCTGCGGGACCAAAGATATCTGATTCGCCCAAGTCCAAACAAGGTGCGCTCTGCTATCCTCTCGAAAATGTCTTCTTTTAAACTAATTGGATCGCTATTTTTCTAGTGAAAGCACTTTACGGTATGCTCACACCTGTTGCACATCAGACATGTGTATGAATTTGTTCAACCTCATTTCTTACCGAATCCTAGATTTCAATGCCACTGATGAGGGCGAGTTGTCTTTCCGAGGTGTGCAGTCGCTTCTCCCGTTTAAACACTTATAGGAAGCTAATCTTCATACCTCACGTAGCTGGAGACAGTATCGAGGTGGTGGACACGAGTGGAGACTTTAGCGACGAAGCCTGGTGGGAAGGTCGCGTCGCACGCACTGGACAGATTGGTCAATTTCCTGTCGTCTTCACACAAGGATGGCAAGCACTCGCAGCCTCCGCGCCAAGCAGCATAACAACGTCAGTCGCTAGTCTAGCCAGATCCGTTTCGACACAGCAGCATCGGACGTCCATGCTTGATACATCTTCATCGCGAAGATCATCTACTGTTATGCGTCCGGTGTCGTCTGTGCCGAAATATCCCAAAGGTAGGTAACCCTAAGTCCCCGACCTTGTGGCCGCTGACGCTTTTGCTGATGTTTTGTTCAGTTCGGGCAATGTATGCATACGACAGTACGTGTGATGGAGAGCTGACCATGGCTGCCGGTGACATCATCACCGTTACGAACAAGAATACGGGGAGCGACGCATGGTGGGAAGGGGAGGGCCCACATGGCAAGGTACGGCTATGCCTAATTCGCGGGCCGCATCAATGATTGCACAATCTGAACAGTGGATGCAGGGGCAATTTCCGGTCAATTACGTTGAACTCATAGACACTGCCAGCGAGTCTAGTGCTTCCCTTGGAGTGAGTCTATTCGTTCAAAGCTCGAGAAAAGAGCAGTATTGATTTAATGCGCTCCTCTTTTAGGCAATTTCAAAGAGATCATCACTGAATCCTACTCCTACCCCGTCCTACCCACAAGGTGAAAGACATTGCCAGTCATGTTTCTGGGATACCTTGGTCTGAAATCTGCACTCTATAATTATAGTGAAAGCGCTCTACGATTACACTGCCAGTGAACCTGACGAGATAAGCTTCCGGGCCGGCGACATTATCCGGGTTACGCAGTCTGCGGTATGTTGCCCACGATATCATTGATGGAGATGACACATTGCTGATTACGATATGATTCATTCTAGGATGCCGACTGGTGGCAAGGGGAGTTGAATGGGAGGAGCGGAGCATTTCCCGCTAATTATGTGCAAAAAATATAATATTTTGAACAGTTGTAGACGGCCTCTGTTTGCAAGGATGCTTTTTTGTCTGTTATCGCTTTTGCTCATAACTTGCATATACCCGTCCAGGTGAAGGTTGGTCTGCGATCCATGGGAAATGAAGATATATGTGGCACTTGTCTCTTTTTCTATGGCAATTTCGCTCCGTACACAAGTTTCAATCACCACATTCTCAAATGTAAAATCTTAGACAGTACGCCGAATTTTAATTCTAAAGGATCCCATAGAAGGGGGCCCTCGTCGCGCTCTTCATTAATCGCCAATGCATCCCTGTTGGTCCTCCTCGCACTAGTGCTGGGGTTTGACCTTCTGGGTCAAATGAATACCAGCCCCGTAAATTGGCACGCCTATCTGATACAATAAACTACAATCCTGTGCTTGCGTCAATATAGTGCAGGATCCATCCGATAGCTGTTACAGGGAGTATAGCGGATGCTACAAAGGCGCAAGTATCTCGGTTGGACACTGTTGAACCACATTGTTCACATCTTCTTGACGTCCTTCATGCGAGGAATCAAGGCATTGCGCCAGACAGACGCCCCTGCGAACTAGCACAGGCGGTGGTTGCAAATATGACCAAGTTTGCTCTTATCCCCACGCGGCCGTTGTGGAGTAGTTTATTATCAAATTGCCTTCTGTACCGAAACACTAGAAGGTCATTAGGATCACTTGCTACAAACGTACAGTATAAGACTCTTTCTCCCGCACCTTGTACAAGTTTCCAACAATTTCATCTGGAGCCGGTGCGAATGCGCTGTTGACGTAGAGGAACTGCATATGAGCAGCATCTGGTTAAAATAACGCGAGAATAGTCCAGCAACGAATGGTTTGTACCAGCGGGTCCTGCGCCTTATAGTTCAGCTCCTTCCTCAGAAAGTTCATAACAGTCTGGAACTTTTGCGATGCAGTTATTTTGTAAAAGTTTTGTTTGAGAATGGGAGCGTTTCCTGTTGCTCTAAACCGCACCACGACTTTCAAAGACATGTTGATGACGAGCCTCTTACCAGTTGGCCAAAATGAACGTACCTTTTGCTGCCGGATTTGCCGTCCTAGGTGTTGGTGGAGAGCTTATCGGGCTTGTTGGATTGTCGCTCATCGTAAACACAATGCTTGCAGAGGGTGATCGCACACAGCCAAACCTATCAAGTGTGGTAAGTCTAGTGGGCGTGTCGCGTTTGCTGGTCAGGATCGAGCGGCTGTGCAAGCCTCGCATTTTGGGGGGTCGAAGAGGTTTCTTCGTAGCATGAGTGGGTGGTCTTGCTTCCTTCCCATCATAAACTCGTCCCCAAGGGCAGGTCGTCAGAGTTTCCGTTTGGTTTCCCAACGCGACTACATAAACCCGTAAGATGAGCTACTTGAATGGAAAGAGCTATGAACCCCCGACCCTGTCACATATGGAGGAAGAGGTAACTTTTTGTTACAACTGGTCAAAGGAGTGTAGACTTCATGAATGGCCGATTATTCCAAAGGCGATACTCCAGTTTATGACCGACACCGGAGCCCCGTGGATGACGGCTCTCAAGTTCTTATCTGCGGAAGAGTTTAAAGTTCCAACAGCTGTAGCTAGGTGGAAAAAGTGCAAAGTAAAGTTCAAATCATCTGTTATATCGTTCGTACGATCTGAATGCATATATGGAAGATCTTACTTATAATGATGTGTTTGTCATTTAAACTTGGTTACAGGATTTTCTTAGATCGGAAGGCATTTCGGATGTACCAGAACCGACGGCTTCCTTGATGCATTATCTTACCGTCCCTCTGTTCTATCTGCCTTCGACGTGTGATCGACGTGGGGCGACGTTGCTTATTTTCAATGCTCGGTATTGGGTGGCCGATGAAGCAGGAACGCGAAGGATGTTAAAGGTAACTGAAATGACATGCGGTCGCCTTGCATCTAATTGACACATCCGGATATAGTTGTTGCACTATATGTGTGACAAGGCAGCCTCAGCGTAAGCTGGATATCTGACATGGATCATAATTTTGAACATGTTAAAGAGCACAAGTTCAATTTAACAGAGAAAGGACTCGCAGATGTGGGATAACTCTGATATCAAATCTGGATGGCATTGACCGACGCTATCAGGCGGTAGAAGTTCATCGATGGATAATGGAAAAGTTAGAGGTATTATTGAGAACCTGGAAACTCTGGTATATGCTTTTGCATGCTAAGAAATCAATCCATAGTATTATCTTCCTGTGACCTTGCAACAAGTTCTAATATGCAAAGCCCCATGGTGGGCTCGGGTATTCCCATATGCTTGGCGGCCTGGCGCTTGTGACTGTGGACCGCTCTCTGCTGAGGTATATTTGGCTCTCGATTCGTCTTAAAAACACTCTAAACCTGATACTGGTACCTGGAGATGCACATATGCTCCGATTTGTTGCTCTACATTGAACCATCCCAGCTTCCCAGGGAACTTGGCGGCGAGCTCTTGTACAAGCACAAGGAATGGATTACGGATCAATTAGTAAGCCTTTTCTGGTTCGTTTACAAGTTGCCTTTAGTTGAGCATGGCCTTCGCACCAGCGTGTCGAACAGTGTGGAAACGAGGACGTTCTGGTCGAGGTTGATTTGGGTGCCATGGAAGCCCGTGTATTTGGCTCAAATCCACCTTCACCATCGGACTCTTCCCAATCGTCGACGAGTCGTGCTAAATATAAAGGCATTCACCTCGGCTCACCCGTCCCGACTCCGCGATATAAAGAGAACGGTGATGGTTATTTTCCGGATATGTGTGCCTCTCCAACTAGCATTGAGGTAGACATGATTGATATTGACGAAATTCCTCTCGAATCATTACCTCTACCGTCCGACGATCTTAGGTCTCTCGACGGTAAAGCCGATGATGGAGAGATGTCCACAGATGCAGCCCTGCGCGTCCAAGGTGACGTTTTACCGCAGACCCTCCCAGCAAAGTCATTGGCGCCCCCCCAGCACCATGTTCCACTTGTTCTGACGGATTGCTCGCGAGTGTCTCACATTGCGCCGATTGCACCTGCCGTCGAAAGTCATGCAAAGTGACGGCATCTTGTACATTGTACGTGTACATATGACGGTGAATCATTTTCCATCTTTCTATGTAAATAAGGATAAAAGTGGAACGGAATATCTCCGTACAGCATACACAGCAATCATTGTAATTGAGACAGACTACTGATCAGGGTTGGAAATCCACTGGCGGACAGCAAACGCATGCCTGTGGGCACTGATCGGCAGGCATGAGTAAGCGCTTACACAATCATATCGGCTAAAACCGAATTCCGCTTGTGACTAATACCCTACTAAGCGATGGGTTTCACGTGAGTGCAAGGTCCATTAAATTACAAAGGGCTCGTCCCGCTCCCGCAAGGAAAAAACGTTAACTGATTTTACATGGGATCTCGGACAAGTAGGATTTGAAAACCTTTACAAGACTTGCTCCACCTTTATATGTGCAATACCTTTGCGTGTTCGCTATTTACGCTTTTCCCTTCACCCGAGACTCGTCTGACCTCTGACTCTTTGGTTTTGTAACCTCTATTGTGCTGGCCAGCGAATTTCGACCATGATGCTTCCCCACGTCCTCAACCTGGAACACCATCTCACAGAACAAGGCTCTCCATTGATAGCACCGTCTCCCCATCGTATTCCCTCACCCTTTCTTCCCGAAACATCCTTAACCTCCTATAGTGGCTCATCGCCCGCCACCTCAACAACGTCCTCACCAACGCAACCAGCCCGTTCCAGCAAGCTTGTGCCACTTGCTGTCAGATGTGAAGTACGCACACGCATCCCGTCCGAGTACGGTGGCATATGTCATTTGCATCTTTACAGCAACTCGCGGGATGCGGAAGAACACTTGGCAATTGTTTATGGCGATGATCTCAAGAGTTCTTCTTTGGAGGAAGTCCGTCCGGGAGACACAGAAAGAGAGCGGATGCTGAGAGGTGCCCGACGAGCAGCTGATCACAATGGAAGCATGACAAACGGTGCATCCTATGAGGAAAAGCCAGTGGACAGAGATGGGGCTCCGAACGGGACCAGAAAGAACGGCAATGGAATTCACGTTGAAATCGATCCCCCGCTTATCCGCATTCACTCATGTTGCTTTACCGGAGAAACCCTTCGATCTCTCCGTTGTGATTGTGCGGAGCAATTGGAAGAGGCCATGCGGTTAATGGCACGAGAAGGACGGGGGGTAGTGTTATACTTGAAACAAGAGGGACGGGGGATAGGGTTGAGGGACAAGTTGAGGTGAGGTTTCAATTCAATGGGATTTGCAAAAGATGGTGCAATGGGTCTAATTGCAAATGGCTTCTTGGTATTAGAGCATACAACCTCATTGATCTCGGACATGACACAATGGCGGCAAACCTCCTTCTAGGGCATCCACCAGATGCACGATCTTACGAAATTGCGTCTGCAATTTTACGGGATTTGGGTATCGATCGAGTTCGTCTACTCACGAATAACCCCGAAAAGTTGAGTCATCTGCAGAATGATGGAGTTGAGGTTGCAGAGCGGGTACCGATGATACCAGCCAGTTGGCGTCGACTGGGAGCAGATGTGGGCGTGGCAGTGGAGAAAGTCAAAAATGGGGAAAAAATGATGGTGGATGAAACAGCTGTAGTGTCTGCAAAGGTTCGAGAATCTGGCGGGTTGACTCTGCAAGATCGAGATGGTTACCTTGTGACCAAGGTGCAGCGCATGGGCCATATTCTGGACATTCCATCACAACTGCTCGACGCATTTAAGGCAACATCTGTCACTGAGGACACACAGTTGAATGGACAGTATCGCCATAGCTCATAGACACCGCCTGAAGCCCCTCCGTTGGCATGTACACTACTAGATTATTACTTCACAATGATTTTGCATGGCTTGTTGGACCTTAAATGTTTGTGATTGGATCCGATTCTAGCCATACATCCAAATAGGTTAAATGGTCATCTAGCCTAATTTGGAACGGCTAACGAGACCCCCTTGTAAGCCTTCATCTTTTGGCGGGACTGTTTCCCCCGACGTTTTTACCTTTTCCTTTCCTGCAAATGATTGCTGCCGTATGCGACGACGACGACGACGAGTCTCTCCGGCAACCACACTCTCTCCCACAGATACGCCGTCATTCCGATGCTCCCGTGCCCGCTGCAAGTTCTGTGAAGCTTCACCGTCTCGCGTCTTTTCCTCTGCTTGTGAAACAGCCTGTCGCACCATCACCAGCTCCCGCGCTGACTGCAGAACCGCAATCGCCCGTCATCTCGTCCACGCAGACCTCATATCATACGCACCTGCCTTCAATTGCTCCCAACAGACATCCCTTACTCCGGAGATCACACTCGAGAAGTGGTCCGCTTCCCGGTACTCTCAACATTGGCTTAGGACTGAACCTATCGCATCCTGGTGCCCAGTCATCTCTTCGAAGTGCGCCCACGTTAGGTACCGTCGGCTTTTGGACGTCAGGCCTTCCTTCCCAACCTTTGTTTGAACACGCCACGCTGTCTGCTGGTCAGGACACGTCGCCGGAGTCACCTAAGGTGGCTTCCCAAGGGCAAGCGGATGGTACTCGCCACACAGAAAGTGGAAGACCTGCCGAGCAGCTGGTTCTACTAGTGCCAGATGAGGCATCCGACAAGGTCCACCGTCGGCGAAGCGGATGGGACTGGCTCAAAGGTCAGCCACTAGCCCAGGTAGTGCCAAGTACGGACGACGCTGCAAGCGCAGCTGCAGAGCCCAACGTTGCAGTACCTCTGATAGTGTCTGGCAATATTGAATTTTCCCCTGATGATTCACAATTGAGGCGACCGCCTCGGTCACCTGAACGAACAGAGGTTATCGCCCCGCTCAACCAGACACCTGTTGTTTCTCCTAAATCGCCTGTTGAGGATTCTCAAAAATGGAGTCCCTTGGCAGGAGAGTTCACTGATGTAGCCTTGCCTGTTGCAAATTCACTTTCTCGAACGCCATCGACCACTCGGAAACGACGAAGTGGCTGGTGGGACGGCAAACAAGACAAAGATGTTCAGATCCGTTTAATCAAGGAATTAGTGAGAAGCACAGTTCTCAGAAGTGCTTCCGGTGATGGTGACAGCGACCGCTTAGTAGACGATGATGCTGAGGATGGCAAAGGCACAGAAGATGAGACAAAACGAGACAGTGTCGGGTCTCATACTGACGGATCTGGTGTCGAAGCCGATGCCAGTGAAGTGGATACGGACGCTCATCCTCAGCAACCGGAGTCGGGGCGCGCCATGAGACTTTGGAAGCGTAACTCATCTGTTGCCATGAGGGCTGTCCTGACTATGGATGGCATCGAAGAGGAAGGGAAGCTGGTACCAGACGAAAACAAGAGCGCCAGAAGAGCTTCTGTTGCCGGTGTCGCGCGAGATGAGGAGGAGGCTGATAATCGCGCAGAAAGATCCCGTCCGAATTCGCCACCTGTATCGTACCCCGCAGCGCCTCCACGACGCCCAGTCTACAGCAGGCGGAGATCTGCTCTAAAGCTGTTTGGATTGCAATCGCTGGTCCAGGATGAGAGTCTGGACGATGCCACTCCTGTGACAGCATCATCAACTGGTGGTAGATCACCTGCTGAGCAGCAAAACCAGTCGTCAACACCGGTGCACACCCTGAAGCATATGACATCGTTATCGTCCCTCAAAGAGGCGGTTGGTGTGGCAGTGGCCGCCGAACAGCTTGTTGGTAGTACCCTTACTGACGAGCGAATGCCGTCACAAGGTACTCCCTTTTCGCCCCATATGAATACCGCGGCTCTTCCGCCACACAGTATCGCTGAGCTGATGGAAAGCGAAAGACAGCTGAGAACGCAATTGATTCAAATGCAAGCCCAATTACAGCAGCTGGAAGCCGATGCGTCCAAGTACAGAGATGCGGCAAAATGCATCTCCGATGCTGAACGAAGCGGCCCTTACACCGATATTCCTCCATCGATGGCCGTGAAAGCTTTCACACATTATTGTAATGCACACGGACTCGAAGCAACCGCTCGTTCGCTCCGAACCGAGTCTGACAATATAGGAAGGATTGCGCGGGAAGCAACCCTCAATGAGTGGCTGCGCAAAAAGGAGTTCGGTCGGGCCATTCGCGTCGTAGAAGAGGTGATGAAGAGTGAGTTGGAAAGAGCACATAACGACTCAAAACGTTCTACGCCCCAGAATTATGGCTCAGAGAACGAAAGTCTTATTCCTGCTTTTGAAGACTTGATATACGTCTTGAGCAAGTACATGTGCATTCATCTTGTTCAAACTGGGAACACGGAGCTGGCTGCGAAGACCGTTGAAACCATACTCAAACCACGAGTGGAGAAGGAGAGGGCGGGGAGAAGCAAAAGTAGAGGGGAATGGTTTGTCCGTGATCTGGCACTGTTAGACGATTTAGTCTTACGAGAACGTACGAGCGACTATTCGACAAACACTACAGATGCCAACCCGTATTCGCGCTTAAACTGGGACAAGGAACTGGAGGCGTTCTGGACTGCAGCTCGGACGTGGCATCGTCGTCATTCTCGACGGAGACAGTCAGAGTCAGCAACAGAGTTAGATGAAACTCACGAGGGTCCTCTCTTTGCCAGAGCTCTGGGTGAATTTTTCCTTGCTGCAGATTTAGATTGGAATAGAGACGATGTGGAAAAGGTATTAGATAATTCCACGCTGGAGACTTTTTATATAGGTTGGAGCAAATGGGAGCAGGTGCGAACCTCTCTGGAGAGAATTGGTATCATTGGCAACGGGAAGAGCAGGCGAGGACGGAAAGATAGAGAGCGACTACAAAGAAGAAAGAGTCAAGTCAGCAGCCAGGACAGTCGAGGAAGTAACAGGTCCTCCACTGGAGACAAGAGCGCACGGTTGAGCCAAAATCGCGAAAACGGACGGAGAAAGACACGAGCGAAACACCAGCCGGAAGTACCCTCGAGTCCAATTATTGAGCCACGTTCGAAGAGTGGCGCTGTAATAGTAGAACGAATACAAGGCTCTTCAATGTCGCCATTACCAACCATCACGCACACGCTACCATCTCCCCATACTAATGGCAACGTTTCATCAAACTCCTTCGTTGCTCCTACCCGCACTGCAAGCCTGAACATCAGTCCTGTGAGATCCAGAGGTCAAAGCGCCTCTATGGTACCGAAAAGCGATTCCGCGGGGAAAACCCCTCGGCGTTTATCCCTGGAACCGACCGTTAGAGATAGGCGAGAGTCACTATGCGCCCGCAGCGATGACTATGACCGCATTAGTTCTCACACGACGTTCTCATTCAACGGCGACGCGGACCTGCCGCCGCTACCACAAGACCCGCAGTCCGCTGACTTTGCTCTAGCCTCCACGTGTGGTCCTGTTCTAAGTCAGATCCGTGCCATCGATGTTACCGACATACCGTCGACCGGTCAAATCATCGCTGCAACAGCGGGCAACCACGACAGAACAGACAAGAAAATATCAATATGGGATGTGCGAAGCGGGACTCTTCTCACCCAACTTGATAATGGAACCAGTAAACCTGTTACATGTCTTGCTTTTCATCCAGACGATCCGTCACTTCTGGTCTCAGCAGACATGGAATTTGACGTCAAACTATGGGACTGGAGGAGCGGAGCATGCGTCAGATTATGGAGAAAATTCCATACCAGGATAGTATTTAAGGCGGCCATAGTCCCTGGTGGGGATAATAGGTGAGTTTCCACCGCGAGACAACAAGTGCAGGCGTAAAGTGCTGAGTTGTAATTTCGTCTTGCACAACCAACAGAGCTGCTACATGTTCCGGCGATCAATCCATAAAGCTTTTCTCCCTCGACACCACATCACCCACATCCGTTTCTTCTGTCCATGCCAACGAACCATTCACGTCTTTCGTATTTGCTGGAAACCCTGATGACACATCTCAACAAAAATTAGTAGCGAGTTTGAGCTATTCCATTCGGATCTATCGCTTGAGAACTGCAACGCTGTTGCATACTATACAATTACGGGATTTGAGAATGAAGTGAGTGAAGATCTTAACTTGAAATGATGCTATGGTCCTTGATCTGATGATCTGATGCACTTGTCCCAATAGTAAAACTCCGCTCACTGCGCTTACTGCACACCCAATACATGACACCTATATTTTACTGTCCTGCGACAACCAGTTACGGTTATTCAACCTCTTGACGGAAACCACGGTTAAAGTGTACCAAGCCCGTGACATACCGAACGGCGTGCGGGTTGAAGGACAATTCAGTCCCTGTGGCGCGTGGGTATATTGCGGGACATGCGATATCAGAGGACGCGGGCGAGGTAAAGAGGGCGTAGAAAGTGGCGGCGGCGGAATTGTTATTTGGAGAGTCCATACGGGAAAGATCGAGAAGGTGCCGTGTGGAAGTGATGGCACGGCAGTCAGTGTGTGTAAATGGTTTGTAGACAGACTATGGACTTCGTGCCGAGGAACACTATGCTGAATGATATATTTCTTTCTAGGATAACGGCGAAGGACGCTTCGCGACCAGGTCAGGAAGCTGTGTCTCGAAAGGTGCTTGTAGCAGCGGGATTAGATCGGATGGTTAGAATGTTTATGTAGGACTAGCAGAAGGTAGGTTGTGTACAGGAAGTACTGTGTGCGGCAGTTATACCCTGCCGTTAATTATTTTTGATGCGCGGAGTAATGGGCTCATAATAGAACCCTAATATGAAAACAAACAGCTCAGCGCTGCTCTAGTTCCACCTGTGAGGTCAATGGTCAGCACCACGCACTTTCTACAGGACGATTCTCCAACTTACCAATACTCCCCCGCAATCTTTGGGATGCAGAAACACGACCGGTTTTCCATGTGCACCAATTTTTGGTTCAGGATCCAATGCCCTTACTTTCTTTTCCTTGAGATCCTTCATTGCAGCGTAAATGTCGTCAACCTGAAGGGGAGCAAGATGAACGTTATTTGAAGAGCTAGGTGTATTGGAACATATTGGGATAAAAGGTTTTACCTCAATGCAAACGTGATGAATACCACCATCTGGCTTTTTCTTCAAAAAGTTTTCGATGGGGCTTTTATCGCCGTAAGGATGCACTAAGAAATGTTAGCTATATATATCTAGTTATATCCCCTTTATCTAATTCTCGTACTGAGAACTTACACAGCTCAATCTTCGTATTGCCCAATTCTACAAATACAGTATACACTCCATGTTCAGGAAGCGCCTGATAAACGTATTGAAACAGATATCAGGAACCGACCCGCTAAACAAGGTTGGCCACCCGGTCCCCAGTACATACCACTTTATCGCTCACTTTAGCACCCATCACATTCTTATAAAAGCCGGCCGATTTATCGATATCTGGAACGGCGATAGCCACATGGTTCAGTATGCCCAATTTCCATGCTGGGTTGGTTGCCGTGTTGGTTGCAAACGAGCGTAAGACATTGGTCGTGCGGACAAGAGGACGAGTGCGGCAAATGGCCCGTGTAAAATACATGACAGTGTATGTGTCGGGAGTGGAGTTAATGAGATGGGATGACTCCGTTGGAGAAAACGAAATGGAAAGCGGGTGAAAAGTCTAACATGTACACTGGTGTATACGACACTGACCTTGGCACAGCAACCGATCGTGACAACCGTTCATACGCCGTGTCAGTTCAGCTTGTTCAATTTAACATACATTTACACTTGTTAACTTTTCGACAAACACAAACAGATGCGATGAATGAACCACCAGAATCTTCGTACAGATATCAACGAATATGGCCGTCCATTAAACCCAAATCGCATCTAACCCTCCAGACTCCTGCAGACCCTTCCACTTGGATATTCCTGATACCATCACTTCTCACATCATCCGAATGCAGCCAACTTCTTGCCGCCTGTACAAAAGCCCACCCGCTGCAGCTCTCCTCCCACGCACAAACACGCTCTGTAGCATTTCGAGATAATGACCGTAGCGCTTTCACTTCTCCAGAGCTTTCACACTTGATCTGGAACACCGCCGGTCTGCGGTCTGTTATTGAGCAGACACCTGCCTTGAACGAAGTAAGCAAAGGATTGAGGGCATGTGGATTGAATAATATGTGGAGATTGTATCGTTATCGAGAGGGACAAAGATTTGGACCGCATTATGATGAGGAGGCCAAAGGAGAAGGAAGTCAGCGAGGATACTTTACCTTATTGATATACCTGAATGGTGGGGAAGAAAGCTGCGATACATCTGGCAAAGCCCAGGCCACGACCAAAGACTCTCCAAAGACAAAAAGTCGGAAAGGTCTTAAATCTAATGCAAAAGTAGAAGACGACGCGCCATTAGAAGGTGGGGAAACAGTGTTCTATCGAGGCACACTGAAAAACAAAAAGCCCGTTTTGTCCGTTGCACCTGTTACCGGTATGGCATTGTTGCATGCACAAGGTGGAAGGTGTCTATTACATGAAGGCGCCGTAGTCAGAAAAGGGTCGAAGTGGGTTCTGCGATCAGATCTGATGTATGAACCCATGTAATTTAACAGTTTTGATGCTGTCCTGTAACTACTCAAATTTCATTGGATGACCAAAGTATGGCCAGTAAATATTGGATGTTTGTATTAGTTTAATGAAACCACGACAGGGTGGTTGTCGGGCAATATTGCAATGATCCTTGATCGACATCCTCTTAACCCTTAAAATGCAGTGGAAAGCGGTCAACACTTTAAATTTGGCGTAACTTTGCACACAATCAAAGCAGCACCATCTTGCCTCACGCCATGCAAAGGAAACTCGCAACTGGGGAAGGCGGTCCTTCCAAGGCTAAGGTCGCAAGTGGCGGGGATGACATTGGAGGCCACCAATCTCACAAGTATAGGTCGGAAAACACAGTCGAAGCAGCTCTATCAGCACAAGCTCAATCTCTCTTCCCAGCGCTGGTCGCGGAAGCCGATCGTCTTCACCGCCAGGGACAATTGGCAGCGGCTGTTTCTTTATATACCAGAGCGATTGAAATTCGGCCGACAGACCCCAATGTCCTATCGTTACGTTCCAAGTGCCACAGCCTACAAGGCGAACACAGTTTGGCTCTCCGCGATGCAGAAGCTGCTTTGCAGACCGATCCCTCTCACATCAAGGCTTTGGCGGCTAAAGCAGATGCACTTTTCAGTGCAGGAGACTTTGAAGGAGCATTAGTACACTGCCACCGAGGTGCTCGTTCTCGGCCTGACGTTGAAGAATTCCGCCTCGGAGTATTAAGATGCAAGCAAGCCATAATGGCATCAATTGAAGGGATTGATTCACAGAAACTCAAGGAGAGAAGAATTATAGAAAAGCAGGAGTCAGAGCTCCGCAAAAATAACAACGCAAAGAAGGGCCCAGGCGCACACCACCCTGGTGTGATTGGTTCCCTTAATTCACGACGACAATCGACCGTCATGTCTCCTCGGCGTTCGGTGACGGCAGCACGGCACTCCGTGATAGCTGCACCTAACATTACGAGCCGTCCCACTTCAGCCTATAACCAAGATATACTCGAACGCAACCTTTTAGAAGAACTTTATGACGATCGGGTCTTTCTACTGAGCCTTGCATCCGACACCTCGTTTATGCGTTCGGCGGGAAAAGTAATCAGTCAATGTGTGGAAGAAGGGTTACACTACCTAGATGGGCGGTTAGAATATTGGAGAATGATGAATCCTGTCGGACGTCCTGCCTCTTCAAAGCGAACAGCCGCAGAGAAGCCGAAGAAGACGGCCAAGTACATGAAACGACCGGCTTCTGCTTCTCTTTGGGTTGGCAATACAGGGAAACCTTCGGAAACTGAGAATGTGCGCAAAGTAGTAAGGCCCAAGTCTGCAGTATCTCAACGTGTACAGTAATAAACATCCATACATGGCTTTTACAATCGGAAAGTTGGCAATTAAATTACACAGGGATACGGGGGAACTCAAGCAACTAAAGCGAAGGGCTACGAAACAGCGTGTGCGACTTATTCGTTCCGCAGACCTCGCCTCACTAGCCGGTTCAAATTCCCCCAGTTATGTACAAATCCAGGAATATCCGAACCTCACGTTTTCCAAATCGGTACCATCTTCGCATCATCGGCGTCATCAAATTCAAATGTCAATCTCCCCGATTTGACCACCCGTCCAGGTTTCGGTAATATTCGAGGAATCTTGTGAAAGCGATCCAAAGGCCATATAACCCGGTCTACACGGGCATCAATGAGTCCCAGGGGCACTGGTCCAAAGACATTGCTATCGAGTCCTCTATAAGGCTAGAATGATAGCACTACTCAGGGCAAGGTAACAACCTGGGCAGAAACGGTGCGACCCATACCTCATCTGACTCCACCCAACAGTGGCCTTTGGGAATTCTAACATACTCATCAACTTGGGATTTTAGTATCCAGCTTCCTGGTGCCACGCCTTCCCCTGGCCCATGCCTTGGTCTGATAGCATCGCCACCAAGTGCCACGATCCGCTTTATCAGCTTCATTTCTGGGTTCGACGGTGACGAGAGTATTACAACATCCCCGACATTGTATTTGCCGCAGGCTGGGGAGAAGCGGTCGAGGAGCACCCAGTCTTTGCGGAGCCCGCTACTGTCTGGGTTGAAGGTGGGCTGAACGTAGGACTTGTCAGAATGTACACGCACCGTTCATGCTGCAACGATAACTGGCATATGAAATACCTGCATTGAGCGGCCATTTACAGAACCAATCGTGTAGCCAAATTTCAGAAACACCAAGGCTGGGGGAATAACGTACAACGCTCGGAAGAGCGTTGCTCGAAGGCGGCTGGATGACATGGTGCCAACAGAAGCCTAGTCCAAGAACAAGCCTTCATTAGAGTCATCTGCTCATGTGATATCACATGATTTAGTATGGAAATTAAATCTTATAGAGCTAAATTAAAAATGTCTCCCAATCATTGCGATGAGTTTCCTCGTTGGGGTGCTTCTTTGATGTCCCATCCTTGCAATGACTTTACGTTGACCAAGCTCCACTCCCTTCCTGCCATTATAACACATATACCACTAGAAGAGTCCAATTGCCGGCAGCGCCTTAATGCCGGGTACGGAGCTCCCAGGAGGGTTGTGGTTGGCCTGGAAGTAGTCGGAGGAGCACTTTTGTTGAACTGTGGAGTTGAGGGCGTTCCAATCGCATCACGGAGGAGATAAGGTGCCCGGTTTGACAGTATGCGGCTTTCGAGCAATGGCGAAGGATCCGCCACGTTATATATCAGAAAGATGCCTGTCAAAGCGATTACCGCCAACAGATCAGCCCTTCATAGAAGGTTCCATTACACACATGAACTCACCATCGGCCGCATATGCCATCAGATATTGCTTTATACCACTCCCATTATTGGATTCAATTTCCAGGACGTCAGCCCACACTAGAGCTTGCTCAGAGCTGTTCGGCCCACGCTCTTTATCCTGATCTGCGTAAGTATACACGATTGGCGAAGCGGTGGCCAGTCCAATGTCCATAGGATACATCCTCAATGTGCCATCGGCGCAGGAGAGCAGCAAATACGGCTTGTTGCTGGTCGTATGCATGAATGTTATCATGCACTTTGTCTGGAAGTCCACAACTTTCGGTCAGCATCAAGTGCATCTAAAATTGAAACCTGGTACATACCACAACGTCGGGGTTGTTTCGAAACATGAACATTGAGCGACTCTGTGCTTTTCCTGGGCCTTCGTCCCTTCCAGGTGCGGTTCCAGGAGTACGAGCCACAGGCAATGACATTGAAGGCAATGTTTGGACCTACAGCCGAGCTTCAGCATACTGACCATATCAGCCCTAAAGCTCTCGCAAAGATACGTACATCCAAGCACCAAGCTACGAATAGATCCTTCCGAATCGTTACTGGCATAACCATGGCGGGCTCTGCGATTGATTTCCTGATACTCTCCCGGCGACCGCCCGGAGTAGGCTCTTTCTCTGGGTCTTTCTCCTTGTCCTTATCTTTATCTTTCGTTCCTCCGGTAACAATCGTTTCACAGTTCAGCCGTAATATTGCCCCAGATCGCATGGCAACTAGTACGTGCTTGTGAATGTCGTCTGCTGTTATAGCAGTGATAAATAACTCATCTGGGTGATCGTCATGATTAGTACTCTAACATAGACAGAACGAGAATAATTGTCACCTGGTTGACCTTCAGTATTTCCAGAACTCATGCTGGTGGTAGGTCTCTCATCCTCCGCTTTTGCAACGTCCTTCACGGTGTCCAGCCTTGTTTGTGCAATAACTTTGAGCTGTTTGTCCTTTGCCGTATATCGTAACACATCCCCTTTGCATTGCCATTGATCTTCCAGATTAGCATTATATGCTGCAAGGACGTGATCGGACCCGTAATGAGAGACCAAACAGACGATGGTTTCCTCGTGCTCAATAAAACAGGAGATTTTTATAGGGTTGACGGAGAGCAGTCGTGTTTTGGTAATCGAGTGCGTGTATGACTGCCAGATCGCACGCACACATGAGCTGGAGCGATTAACATGGAGCAAAATAATCTGTCTCATACCAAAGCATCTGTCTCCCGATCCCATGTGACAGCAATCTCGAAGCAAGCCCCCATCCCAGATTTGCATCCTAGAAAGAATGCATGCTTCATTACCGTGAACGGCGGTGGTTCAGCTGCCTCATCCACCCTTACGTCTTCTTCGCTAGGTGCCACAACCATTATGGGCTCTTCACGCTCCGTCCCACTAGCCTCTGCGACACTCTCCGCCGACTCCTCCTCGGGAACATTTCCTATCACCCGATGTGTGCGGCTCGACATGCGTTTCCTTCCCCCGCCGGAGGTCTCACCCCAGAGTGATCCGCTCTGACGTGGTGGTGGAATGCTTTGAGCATCTTCAATGATTGTGTCCTCCGGAATCTCAGCAAACGATGTTATAGTAGGTCGTCGACCTGTGACTGATGGACGTCTGCCGATTGATGGGCGTCGCGAGTGCTGTACAGACGACATCGCCGTGGCAGTGGGGGAGGCAGAGGTTTCGGGGATAGGTGTTGCATCTTCAATGAAAAGATCGCTTACGGTGGTAACTATGTCCAGACTGCTCAAGCGGATGATATCTCGAAGAATTGGCTGCTCGCCGGTGGATGGAAGCTCCCAGAATTCTTAAGTTAATTTTGGCTGTTAGCATGCATCAGAATACACTCACTGTACCCTGATTTCGTAGCATACCCAAGTAATTGTTTGCAGCAAAAGCTACATACAATCTCTCTGCCAAGATGTGGACATGGAGGATATCCCCATTAGTGGAGGAAAAGTGATTCAAAAACTTGGGGCCGGCTGCGAGATAATGAAAATGAGATAGCTATTGAGCTTTTGCGATCTGATATCAATCCCAATCAGTTTGATATCTCACCCGCAAGCAATGACTCTTTCTGCCGAAATTTCCTTCTTGTCTCAGCAGTCTTGTTACGAAGAAGCTCTTCATAGTCAAGTTTTTGATTTGCCTACATCACATATTCCCCAGCATCAGTCATAGCTATTTTTCATTGCCTACAGGTCATGTACAACCTGCTGCTCCTCCATCTTTTTTTTCTGTCCACTACGTCTTAACAGCTCATCCTTTGCCCGTGCAATCATCTCCTTTGCATACTCTTCCTCTCCACTCAAAGATGAGGCTGGAATTTCGGAGGAAAAAACTGCGTACGGCTGGAATTGTGCCCGTCGAATTGACACATTCTCGCGGAAGACTTTTTCAAGACTCTATATGGACGTGCATGTTGCGTCGACTTTTTTTTTCCATGAACCGCTGAGAAATTATTGTTTTCGTGAAGACATACCTCAATGTTTGCTCTCAGCTCACTGATATGATTTTTAACCTGTGCGAGCTCCGCTGCCAGCCCAATTGGCTTTGCTGCAGGAGCTTTGGTTGGAGACCCCGGTTGAACTACTTTTGGAGACATGTGCGTACCCAGGTAGCAAGTTGCAGAAGTGAGGTTTAGCTGCGCGTCTGAATGCTGACTAAGCGAACATGATGCACTCTCTTTTGACTTGTATTTGTAAATCATTGTCTTATAATACAAGAACCTATAGTTCATCTCTAACGGGAGAATACTGGGATATACTTTCAGTCACCCCAGAGGTCTTTGTCACATTTCCGTGTACTTGCGAATGGCCAACGCGTTTGGCGACAGCAGCTACTTCTGCGTCCAGACCTTCCCATTCGGGTAAAATGCGTTTTGCTCTCTCTAGTTTGGGCTCTTTAGTCAAAGGATTATTGCACTATGATATTCATCGAAAGAGTTGAGTAACGCCGCATCATGAAAGAACTAAATGAAAGCTTTTCCAACCAGATCAATGGTCTTAGCTGTCTTCAAGGACTCGTCACTGCACCAAGTTTCGCACCATAGCCTGATTGTGAATTCTCATTGAGCGGGATGATCACACAAACGTCAAGCCGCTGACTACGCACCAGTCTTGGGACAGCGAATATATAGGAAGCTGTCGAGCAGTATTCATGTTGTTGGGCAAATCTTGGTCCAAATTAGCCAGAGAATTTGGATCGGCACTCAGCATTTGGTATTGCTGGCGAAGTTGATCACCAGCTGCCAGTTGTCTGAACCGCTTCAAATCTATGACGTAGAGAGCGCTGCAAGGTGCTATAGCGTCAGAATGCCAGACCTATGTTTGGCACGACAAATGAAATAAACCTGATATGATAAGGCTTTCCCGCCAAGTGGTCCTTCCAATATCCATGCTTCCAGAATCGAAAGCCTTCCATCTCTTTCCGATCATCACAAAAAGGAGTATAACCGTACACGGCGCCATGAAGATCAAGATCGACGAGCTGCTTCAAATCGGTGCGGACCACTTGGTCAGCATCCACAAATATAACCCTGTCCAGATTCAATGGGAACAGGACATCCAAGAACAGGATCTTATAGCTATAATAAGAGGACAGGATGAACATCTTCCTATGCATACCATGAAATAAGCCGCTTACTTACCCCCAGATAGTTCTCTGTTTTTCTGTTTGCTGGCGGAGCCAGTGAGGCCAATTGTCTGTATGAATGGCATTGTCAACAAATACTTCCGTACAGGATCCAAACAAAACACATACATGTCACAAGCTCATACTCAAATCCGTAGGCTTTTGCTAAATGAGGTAAGAATTCCTACACGGGTAATTAGCTACAACGTCATTTTGATATTGTGCGTGCGCGAAGTCCCATTGCCTACCTTGAAAGAGGGAGACAGGAAATTGCGAACTAACCAGAACTTGACCGGACTCTGAGTGTTCTTCACGACACTAGGTACACCTCTAGCGTGGGTCTTTGCACATTCTTTGAATTCTTAGCACGAAGGACTTACGCACCTGAGCATCATGATGGACAAGAATCGTTCATATAGATGTCCAGAAGCGACAGAAAAGACGTTGATTGTGGCATTGGCTGAAGTGGACGCGGAAGAGCTGAAGAAGCTGAAAGAACATAATGGTCAAAAGAATATCGGGGACAAACGTAGATTACCCACTTACTTGGCTTTAATTTGATTCCAAAGCCCTTTCCCTTCACCACTTTCCGCATTCTCCACCGCCAAAATGTCCTCTTGCTCTCTCCCAAGTTTCTTCTTTACAACTGGGAGGACAGTGACACCTTCGAAGCTGTTGACAACGATCGTTGGTCCGTCCTCGCCAGCCAAGGTAGTAGTCTGCGCCTCAAGAGTGTCGGTAATCGACTCGAACTCGTACAACTCGCGAGATCGTCCTTCCCGAAACCGCAAATGCCATACACCAGGATTGGCCTTCAATTGAAGGTAACCAAGATTTGCCATCGTAATAGTATCATACATTGAGGGAGACTGCTTAGTTCCTAACACGAACTGTAGTCCGCGAGGTGGTCCATTCGTCCTGCTATCCCTGGCGTGGCCTGTAACAGGGGGTGATGGTCTGTCAAACTGTCATGATCATCCGCTGATTATACACCCACCTTCAACTAAAATGTTTTCGAGTAAAAACTCTGCGTCAACTCCTTTGCGGCGATTGGTAAGAGTTGACAGTCGTATGTTGTCAAGGTCATGAATAGATCTGCTAGGAAACACTAGCCATGAGCTTGCCACTATCATCGTATATCATGCAAATTAGTACAGCTGCCATGATGTTGCGTGGTAGGAGATGCACCCACCATCCATTCCAAGGGTGTATAAAGGCTCCTCCGGAAGACCATAGAACGCCGCACTGGGTGGTTTCATAGCGCTGTAGATCGTGAACGAGGGAGCGTAAACCACGTGGGAATGGAAACAGATACCGCTAGACAGATCTCATACCCTGTTAAGCTATCAAATTCTGGCTCGGCCGCTACCACATAGCGGTAAAATCGCTTAATGGGGAGACTGCCACCCATGTCCGGTTCAGGGTTCAACAGGATCTCAATGCGAACGCCTTCAAGTTTGCTGAGGACTTGAAGTAACGCAGATACTTTCTGTGCAACCTGGCTAACGGGGTCCACTATGGCGATGATACGAAGTAAGGCGTTTTCTTCCTTTCCGACAAGTATGCAGCTACGTCTGCAGTCAGCAAGAAATTGTCACCCAGATGTCGAAAATCATTCACAACCTATGCTCTTTCTTGAGTTTCGCGAAAGTATCTAGCGGGCGTCTTGTTTGCGGGCTGGTCGACAATGGTTTTGAAATCTCCTGCATAGCGATTGTTGCCAATGCCGACGTCGCTTTAAATATCGCCATCGATATGGCATCGCTGGCCGCCACAACAATCAATAATCGGACACGCCATCTGGAGAAGCTGGTGACACAGGTGAGTACCTTTGTCTATCCGGAATACCAAAGAATCCAGCCATCTTCGTCGCGACATTTCCAATTCGTTGCCGGAATTCACGAGCAATGAGCAGCTCAAAGTCTTGAGCATCAAAGGGGATCTCAGAGGGAATGGGACCGACGATCTTTCTCAAAAGAGCTGTGAACAAAAGATCATAGCTTGCGAACAGGCGCTTTTGTCGTCTATCCTTACCCGTCCGTTCACGACAATCGCTCGCTGTCCAGTAGCTAGCCCCAGACTTCTTATAAAGGCCTGCGTCTTGGTGTGTAGGCTTTCGCCTGTGACTGTGATGCAAACGAGTTCGCTGACGTTGGACTAGAGCAAGAGTAGCACTAACCCTACGCCATATCTACCTTGAAACACTTTATCTAACTCATCCAGTCCTTCTTCTTGAACTTCCGCGTCAGCCCTGGTTGATCGAGGTACCTTCGATACAGGCTCAGCACCGCTATTGATGAATGTCATCCGCACGCCCTCGGAAAAAGACTGCAAAACATATATTCAACACCGCGTTTCCAAGATGGCCCACTAGAGTCGATTACTTACGAGATATTGAACTGCTTGCAAAGCAAAATCGATACCTTCCTTTTGAGCGAAGTCTGCAACTACAATGATAGATATTGTGCTAGGGACGGTCTCTACAGATTGCATCCAGATTAGCGAATAATGTAAGCATATCTCCAGATGCCACGTCTCACCAGGTGATAGCCAAACAATGTCAGACAAAAGTTCACATTCGTCGCAGTCAAGGAAATTTTTCATAACTGGTTCACCAAAAATGAACTCGTTGCGCTTGCTATTAACGTTGGGTAACGTTAAGAAATGATCATATAAATTGTCACGATCGGAAATTTGTCCGTTGTAGACCTATGTCAACTTCAGTCAAGACGCGGCGGCAGTCAACCGTGCTCCTCTTACGAAATGGGACATACTTTCTGCATTAAGTAATCCAGCATTTTGAAATACGTGGTGATCATGGATTGTTGCCATTCCTGAAGTCAACGTGAGCACTTCAGATGTAACAGATATGACCGCTAACTACCACCTATCCGTAATAAATACCTCGTTCAGTGGAACATATTTGCCGTTAGCAAATACGGCACCCTCTCTCAAGCTCGTGCCAAAGCGGAGGGAGAACTCATGCAACCGACGAACATGACCGCTATATCCGTCGTTCCATTCTGCTAGAGCTGCTTTCAGAGACTTCCCAGCCACTTTATTATATGCGGAATCCACCGCATTTGGCGTAAGGGTTTCGTCGCCGCTAGCATCGCGAAGCTATAGGTATCATTCAGGGTTACTGACTATGGTTGAAGATATGGTGCATGCCAAGCGAGTAAGTACCGCTTGTATGAAATTCTTGGCATCCTTTAGTTTCGCGTGCTTAAGGAGATGATAGAATGCCCCAGCGGCCAGTGATGCTGGAAGGGAGGATTTGTCACTGTCTGATCCGAACAACGGCTGGACTGCTACAGCAATCCTTACACGCGGAGTCATGGTGTTGTATATCTACCAGGGGCAGTATCCCAAAACGCAATGGCACTTCACGCTCAATAAATGCGAAGACTTGAGTCATAATCTGAAGATGGGACGGATTCGCCAAATCCAAATTGAGCACAGTGCTCATCAAGTTCTTCCGCAAGTATTTAAGCTGCCCGGGATAAGATGGACGAACAACCTAGTAATTAGATGCAGAGTTATTTATGATGGTAGCAAAAATGAGCTTGGGTTGCCACATCTCACACCTCCATGACGCTTGCTGGCCAGTATTTATACCGACTGTCCTTTTCGAGATTGTTCCACCATACCACGAGATCGGAGCGCACGTCGAACGTCTCGCCCCATTCAAGATCGGAGCCACTCTTCTCGCTGATAGGAGTGGTCAGCAGATCAACTGCCTGGTCTGAAGTGAGGTTAAGCGCTGTGAGCGATGCTACTCGGCTGACTTCCATCCGCAGTGTCCGCTGCAGACTGCGCACGTGTGTCAGTCGAGTGAGCTATTCGGTGCAAGCGAAGAAACGCAAACCTGAAAATATCAATCCGCTCCGGATCCAACTCAATTCCATTGATCCACAGTCCATGACGGCGAGCAGCTAGGTAAGCGCGATTGTACGACAGTTCCGACGCTATCGCGGCTTCCACTTGCACTCCTTTCAGAAGGTGCGCAAACTTCGGAAAGTTCTGACTGACATCGACAAGAGCACGTAACGGGTTTGTGCAGTTCAAAATGAACTGCGTGGTTTTGAGTCCGAGACCTAGGAGAATGTAAGTATGAACGCGATCGCATCGCTCAGACGGTAGGCAGTACCTTGGGTTTCATTGGCAGTTAGAGCCATGACTCTTGGAGGCGATTCAAAGAGTGGATCGTCTTCATTCATGACACTGCGAGTGCCCGATTCGCTGGATGTGCTCTCATCTCCTATCGCAGTTTTAGTCAGCATGGCAATGTCGAGTCATTGCTGAACCAGGTATGTGACTTTTGGCACCTTTCTGCACTTCTCGGTCGTCAACAACTTTATATTCAGTGCTCTTCAATGCGAGTTCGACTCCGTATCCGGAAACGTGAAGCGGTTCTTCTGGCATTGCAGAAGGTGGCTTATACCGTAAGACATAAGCGAGATCACCTCGCCGAGCCGATGCAAGAAGTGCCGAATGGAACGGCGGAAACGCATCTGACTGCAAGTCGGCGTAAAGCACCGCGAAAGGGCGACTGTTAACTGAATTATCTAATCGATAGATATGGTCGGATGGGAAAACCAATGGCGCTGACGCATTGCTAAATAGAGACGGGGACATTAGATCGAGTACTAACACGTCGTCATCTCACTCCATTAGCACATTGTATTCGCGGACAAAGATGGCAGTAAGCGACCATACAGGATATTGAAACCAACAGAACTACACCTATTGCAACGGCGTTTGGCAATAGTGAATAATATGTCGACTGGACTAACCTGACAGATGCACTGACAAGCTTCTCAACTTCACTGACGTCGCACGATTGAGTCCCGTACCAATCTAGCCAGACGTCACATTTTTGATTAAACTTTGCGCTTGGAGACCCAAAGGCAGGCAAAACATTTTCGGTGTAAAACCGATACTGTGCTTGTATGCGGGGAGCACTACTACGAGTCGCTAGTGACAGCTTCAATAACGATAATGATGCAGCACTCAATAGAAACGACTCTCTTTGCGAGTCTCCTGGCGTTTTGCTCAACCCCTCATCCAGCCCTCCAATAATCTCATTGTAAATTCTGTTGGAATTCGCTGCTGAAGAGCGAGAGAGTACTCCTGTGCTTGCCAGCTGCGAAATGTAGTCAAAGGCTTGTGCACCACGATCTTGCGCGACAAACTCTCTAAACGGAAATAAATCAACTTTAGTCCTTGGAATGATGCACGGCGTTCATGACCATGATAACGCAGGCGGATTTCAATACATTGCTTCTAGAATGAGGGGCGGGGCTGGCCATTCAGTCTTCAGTCGAGTGATAACAGGAGCTGAGCTCTCCTGAGGGTTGGTGGTGGCGGGAGCCGCAAAGAGGAGAAGGGTAGTGGCATAAAGCCATCCTTTTTGCGACAACATCGTCCTTACGTTCACCTCCTTCGTGATGAGAAGGTTAATGTGGCCAAGATGGGTTTTGGAGTTGGGCAATCCCAGTCTGATCTTGTAGAGTTTTCCGTGCCTGGGATGTTGCGAACGATGTGACACATGTATTTGCGAGTTCGATTCCCGGACAGTGTATTCGATCGAATCTTTTTTTCTAAAAGACCTCCTTCCAACTATCAGGCTTTGTTTTAAGAGCGAGTTAAGCCAATCTATTACGAACACACACGCAATGGTGCAAATATACAATGGCGATTGGCCGATTTGAATGATGCGATTTAACCTGCTTTAACAGCTTGGAGTCCTTGGTTCATGACCTCTTCAAAGTGTCGATCTGCAAGAAGTATATGACATCATTTATTGGTCTGTAGAAATCGGCTCACGGCAGACATCGCAGCACTTACCAACTTGTTTCTCGTGCGGATCAGTTGCGGCGAGCGCTGAATAAGGCCATTATATTATGAGCATTTCTCAATCAAAAACCTGCTTGAGCAACAGATCCAAGGGTCATACCTGCAATCCCGCCAATACCGGCAAGAGCTATAGCCGAAACAATTCGTAAAAGGTCAGCGACCCAGATAGTGGAATGATCATCAGCGAAGGCGAGTTCTTACCCATGACCTGAGCCACCAAACGTGCATTGATGATCTTCTGGGCGGGGGGAATGTCTGGACGACGCCAGTTATACAAGAATGCACCAGCTAGTGTTCCAGACCACAACGCCACTGTATCAGAGATACTGACTTTGAGAAATGTGACCCCCAAAGACCATTTAACTCGGTCTTACTTACTGACAAGAGGATACCGGTGCTTAATTAGCCATTGGCGGACGCCAGTAATTGGCTCCAGTTGGCGTATCTCGGCTTCCGCTTGTTGGGGATGGATTGCAATGCGCTGAGCCAGTTGACGTGATACTCTGATCGACGCACGGTCGGACACAGTAAAGAACGTTCCTGTTGTCACTCCCAGAACTAGAAACGTCTGAGAAGAATTAAATGTCTGGCTCCATGTAACTGCTCGTTACAAAGCAGAGCCACATTCCAGCAGTTGCTTACTTTGAAAGGCAGACGAAGGCGTCTAAACGCCGGCCAAGTTCGGTCTGCAGCAACAACGGCAGCCGTTGTCACTCCCGCAGCCACAGCGGCGGCCTTCGTACCCTCCCAGATGATATGGTTATATAGTTGTTCTTTCTCTTCAGCAGAAACTTGGGATTTGGCTTGTACATTGGAATTAAGAGTACTGTCGCTCATTGTGCGGGATTGTGTATATGGGTATATGGCTGGGGGAAAACTGAGACCAACTCGCTTTTTATCCAAACCTACAGTCCAGTCCATTTGTACGTGATGACAAAGTGACGTGTGCGCAGCAGGTAATGATGAGTCAGCAATCGGGATCTTGAAGGTTGAAGAGACAATCGCTCCATGTTTTTGTTGATTGGACTGGGCAGCACCATGGCCGATAGGCCGTCCATGTACCGACGGAATACCGCGGTGACCCCTCTTTCACAGCGAACCGTTTCAGTGTCCATCAATGGGTCATTATCTGAATTACCTTCCGGATGGACTAGTGCTGTTCAAAGCGCTCGGCCGAAGGCAACTCAGCCGGTGAAGCTACCACCAAGTACTCTCAATGAAATCATTAGCCATTTGACAAATGATTCGCGAACATTGTCGGATCAAAATGGCCAGGCAGAGCCACCGGTTTCTGAAAATGCAGCGCACAAAGCTTTTCTGAGCAGCGACGCTTGGCCAAGGTTGGGGGATCCTCAGCCCCATTCGCAAGGTCCGCTACTGCTACTGTCCAAATTGCAGATCGCCACTTGTATTTACAAGAATCATTATAGCTGTTAAGCAGGTCGATATTCGCAGCAAATTGTCGGGTATCGTTCGTAAGTGATCGTTCTTCCGAGTGGCGAACCTTGGCCTGCTGGTCTACATCTCTGACGGCGATGAATTAGCGTCGAATGCATTAGAGCTTGACGATCTCAACTCTCGAATTCGGCAACTGGCTGCAAAACTGCGACTAACAGATCCGGAAACCGAGTTGAAGTTGGCTGTAAATTCGGAGGACAGTGACGCTCCTGCGACGGATGGCCTACTCACAAGCATCATCGACCCCGTGGTACCCTTTTCTTCAAGTGAGCAATAAATACAAATTGACAGCGCTAGATTATAACATCTTACATATGAGTTGCGATAGTCTTTCTTACTGAAGTTCCCAGGCTTCGGTCAAATGGGGAGCGAGATGGCTCGGAATTGCCATCTCCATTGATGGCTGTACCTCAAGAGAAGTCGATAGAGGTGTGGGAACCCGGTGATCTTAATTCCTTCTTTTCCCTTCACTAACTGCAACATACTAGCATGCTAAATTCCCCGGCGTTCAAGAAACCCCGCTCTCCCTCCCCAACGGTGTCGCTCCGAAAAGAATGCTCTTCCGCGTGCTACAGAGCCGAACTCATCGGCGGAAGCTACGGCAAAAATTCATGAAGACAGAAACCGAATGTATTCTCATGGACTGCTTCTGGTATATGTTCCTTCATTTTTGGCAACCGAAAGCGCATGTCGACAAGGACAAATTATTCGCACGTATCTCCCAAAACTATGTACATTTACTGCTAAAAACGGGCTCTAAGGAGAAGGATGATTTCTGTTCTGTGAGTCTGCAAGAAAGGACAAGTTTAGTGAGGCGCTTATTCTTTTATTGATGTTCAAAATTAGTTGTTTCCCGACGTAATGAGTCAAGCGGTGTATGTCAGTTTTTGCGAATGCTTCCCCGATTCTATCAAGCAGTTTGACGAGGAGTTCCAAACCAACCTCTGCGACGTCTTATCGGAATGGATGAATGGCCTTAAGCCAACATTTCCGACGAAGTGGAAACAGATTGGACCGATTGTTAATGGTAGCAGCTCAAAGTCCGAGCTAAAAGTGGAAGGACAAGGAAATGGCCAAGGTATATGATGTGGAATGGTGTTATGGCTCACCACGGTAGTCTAATTCATGTCTCTTCGAAGAGCAGAGTTTCTTAGACGAGGTGATGGGCAAATCAGAAAGCATGCATGGCGATCTCTTGAAACAGGATGCTGTGGTACTGGCCCTATCTTACCAATTCAGTGGTCCATGTATAGAAAAAACTGATATGTGCCCATGCCCCAGCCATCTTGCCCAATGGGACCTGGTCCTCAGACGCATCGTGTTTGGTTTGACGCCAACAGGAATTCCGGCATTGTTGAGCGATACCTCGGAAAAGCGGAGCGACGGACACTCAAGATCCACCGAGCGGAAATCATTCGCGAAACTTTACTCAACGATAACCCGACCTATCGTCAAATCATTCTGGAATCTTTGCGTCGGTCCAGGAAGCTGCAACGCACATACAAATTAAGCCAAGAAGAGGCTCAAAGAGAGAAGAACAGGCTACTGCAAAGCTTGAATGAGCAACTGACACGTGAAAGGAAACGGATCTGGAAGATATTAGCGAAACCAGAGCAGGTGGAGCCCACCGCCGATTTATTCTTTCTATTTTTCTAAAGGATGTCTTATCCTTTACTTCAACTCTTTGTGTAGGTTAAAGCCTCAGCTGACCAGATCGTTGACGACATACAGAAATTGCGCGAAAAGACGCCAACGATAAATCTTAGCAGATAGAGCATTGCAAGGCTAGGCGACTTATTGGAACCTGCTCATGAGTTCAATTTAATTGACTCATCCCGCTGATTATGGAGGAATATATCAGCGAATGTGATATGAGATAGCGCGCGTGAAACAAAAGACAACTCACAATAGCCTCTAGGTACGCTCGTAAGTGCTCTGGATCATGATCTGGGTACATGCCATGCCCCAAGTTCGCAATGTATCTCTCTTTCGTGCCGAATTTTTCCAGCATAGTCGCAACCTCCTGCTTGATTGTTTCCTTAGGTGCATACAACAAACTTGGATCGGCATTTCCTTGCAATGTCACTCGCCCTCCAGTGCGACGTCTAGCGTCGACTGGGTCTATTGTCCAGTCCAACGACATAATATCATACTCGATATTTGGGCTTGAGAGAGATTCCAATGCGTAATGCGCACCACGTGCGAAGACGACCATGGGAGTGGAGGCGAGATCAGGGTTTACGTCGCGCAGGGCGGCACGTACTCGCAGCGGAATTTGCTTCAGGTAGGGCAGGGAAAAGGTGGCAAAGTGCGAGGGAGAGAGTTCACCAGCCCACGAATCGAAAACCTGCAACAGCTAAAAGAATCGGAAATCATCAGGCCCTGTGCCAGATGCTCTAGAAAAGTAGGATTACTCACTTGCGCGCCGGCCTTAACTTGCGCGACTAGGAAGTCCACCACAACATCCGTGATCCGCTGCAGCAAATCCTTGCTTTCCTCAGGCCACTTCACCAACCATGCCTTCGCCTTACTCAATGTTTTGCTGCCACCTCCTTCGATCATATAGGCCATTAAGGTCCATGGTGCTCCAACAAATCCAAAAAGTGGCACACGGCCATCCAGTTTCTGCCTTGTCAAGGTGATAGCCTCCAACACGTATCGCAGGTCGGTCTCTATATCCACCTTTGTCTTCAAGCGGGCTAGGTGAGTCGGATCTACCAGAGGGTCAGGAAAGTGCGGTCCTTTTTTTTCAAGCATTTGTACTTCAAGTCCCATTGCCTGTGGGACGACAAGGATATCGCTGAAAATAATACTGGCATCCAACAATCCAGCATAACGGTCAATAGGTTGAAGTGTCACCAGGCATGCCAGGGAGGGGTTCCGGCAAATGGTAAAGAAGTCGTGCTGGGCACGGACCTCACGAAACTCTAAAGTACGACAAATAATTCAGACTTTACATTGCAAATCACTGCTGATCCTTCTTGTCCAACAATTACCTGGTAAGTACCGTCCCGCTTGTCGCATGATCCATACTGGCACACGTTCAACGCTTTCTCCACGCGCAACCCTGAGTATCAGGTCATTTTTGAGAGGTGGAAAGTCCTGGTCCGTGTAGACCGGATATGGTTTGGCAATATCGTTACTGACCATGTTGCCGTACAACATTTCTGCAAACAATGCTGAGATGGTGCCAAGCTGTTGCCGTTGCCGTGGCAACAGTGACGAGCCGATGACATCGATCGCGGAGTGCTTCAGAGTTCTCGATAGTCGTCGACCTGGTACAGCTAGATTTCAACGGACAGTATCGAAAGGCTCACCGACCCATCTGGATAAAGCGGCGGACATGGAACTGGAAGAGGAGACGGAGGCAGAAGGCATTGATTATCGGTGTTTGCTGCGTGGCAAGTAAGCAAAGAAGGGTCTTGCAAGAATGTCCGCACTCTCCCTTACTGTATATCACGCCAGCCAGACAGCACTGGTACGAGGTACAAAGGACTTTGCACCAGACGGATCTGAACGGCAGAATAGCGCTTTGGTGGAGTCCCGCAACGCACTATATCAAGTTTTACGAGAGGAACGGAGAGCATCCAAGTCTGTTCATGCTATGCGATAGAGAATAGCATAAGCTCGAGTATCTAATGCGAGTAAATATGCGTGGAGCAGGAGAACCCTTAGCGAAGCAATATGGCACCACCACTCCAAAACCGCTGAGGTGACGCTTCACCGGGGCACGCACTTCCAGGTTATAGGGACTACCGTCGACAAAACACTCCGCTTGTTACCAGAGGAAGCTCTCTTCATGCTTGAGCGAAACGCCTTGACGCTCCGGTATCTTGGTGGAATAGTATCGGTGCAACATGGCTATAATCTCTTGTTGGATGACGCCGGAATGAGTATGAACGTGTATCAGGTACCCTTCTCGATTTGACTGCTATCGTCATTGTCATAGCGACGTAGTTAATGTGCATGACAGATATATGCATACCTTAAACGACTTGGATACATCGTGCTCCGAAGTCGGCCAAAACCCACTGTACCCCAATATCACAGCCCCGTGATGGCAGGTAATAATCTACCAACACGCAGCTCCATTCCTTCCCTCCTTCACTACTGACTGTGGTTCAGTCGTACAATATGCCAGAGACTTTATCATCAGATGGATGCGATGGCTATTTGGCCATTGGCTATCGCCTACTTGGCCATTAGTGAAACTAAGAACTTGTCGACTTGCTGGTGTGTATTGAATCAAACTGGATGCGTCCATGAAAGGGAGGCGGAAAAACTGACCCTTCTCTTAAACAGGTGACATCTACAAGCAACTTCAAGTAGTGCCTCGCGTTTCCATTTCCAGTGTGTCACGTCCAGTATCAACAAGCACACTACCGTTTATCGTATTCGATGTTTACAAACCACGGACCGGCTTTCGCAAGTCGAATCCCGGGCCTCCGAACTTTCGAGTGGTGGCGCAACGGTAGGTTGGCTTTCCAATGTGTCCCCGACACACTTTACTTAACCGCATTGACTTGGTAAAATAGTGCTTCAGATGGTCTGCCAGATTATAATCTGTTACGCAACCTTTTTGATCACACGGAAGAGGGTGTGCAACTCAAAGTTGGGATAGTTGACGGTGGCAATGTATCATTTCTTTCTCTCTATGAACCAAAGCCATCACCTTTTTAGCTTACTACATACATATGCTTATGCATTTTAATTACAATATGACGATATACTCAATTATGGTGACATGCGAGAGTCGCTAGGTTTTCTCACAGCCTGATGCACACTTCTGAGCGCTTCTATCCACCTTTTCATATCCTCCTCAGAACCCGCACATAGTACCATTTGTCTTTTAGGCAAGACCACTTTAAAACAGAACAAGTGATTTTTGCCTTGAGGATCGATTTCCAACACGTCCAGAACCGATCGCAGCGGAATAAGACGCTTGACAACATACTCCTAAGAGTTTAATAAGTAGAATTGAGTACGATAGGTAACCCTAGCAGGCTCTGACATGCCGTATTGTGAACATACCCCATCATTCTTGTACCCAAACAGCCTCCCATTTCGTAAAACAAACCATCGTTTCTTCCACCCTTTCTGCGTTGCAAGCTTCTTGTAATTGTTTGTTACTCGTTTTTCCAAGTACCCTTGCATCACGACACGATCATCATTCGCAGATCCATCTACAGAGGCCTCTCCCTCTTCATCGGCATCGTCGTCGCTACTCGATAGCTCCGGTCGCCAGTTGGACGGAGTTGAAGCAATGGAGGTAGCTTCAACTGGGGTATATTCTGCAGTCGGGGATCGTTGTGCGTGCGCAGCGGGTACTGCATCCAGCGGCGGTGAGCCAGAGAAGCGCATTCTTGCAACTGCTCTTGAAGGGGCGTCGATTTGAGTTGGTGCAGAGGGTACATAAGGAATTACACTGCTAGGTGTTGAATCCGTCGCTGATATGGCGTAAGCACTGAATATGGAGGAAGGGGTCGTTGTCACTGTTAGGAATGAATCAGCCGTACCGACAGAGTCCTGATGTGAGGCTTGGGAGCTACTGTCCGCTGTAACGTCTGGACGAGGTGACGGACCATTGGTGGTGCTTGTTCGGGTTGCGGGCCGGACGGGACTTGAAGGAGCCGTAGAATTTTGTGATGGGCCTTGCATGATAAAGCTATTAGTCAATCAAACATAGCCGTTAATGACACGCTCAGGATCTAACCAGTATGAGATGAACCCGTTTGAACAGTCAGCCCGTCATTCCGCGTCCCAGAACTGGACGGCGCTCGACTTGCGTCAGCATGTGCTTGCCGTTGCGCGGTCCGAAGCACCCGAAGCCACTCTTCCATGTCCTCTCTTGACAATGCCTGCACATAATACGTTCTTTCACGGGTTACTAATCCGAAGACATGCTTCCGTTTCTTCAACTCCACTTCCGCAATCGCATGTATGTCCTTCAAGTCGATGATTTTCAGCAATTCATATTCCTGCATGGAAAAAAGATTCTCATCTTATGCTTCAAGCTGACAAGAGATGACATGACCATATTCTTTACCTTATCATTTTGATAATATGCAAACCTAGTTGGCCGCAACACAAACCAGCGCCGCTTCCATGTCTGGCAAAAGAACACATTGAGGCTTAGAACAACGACCTTCCAACAGCCTCCATCAATGTATTTAGCAAACACCAACCCTTCGCTTCTCTCCTTTCTTCATCAAGTAACCACTCTTTATGGCTTGTTGGTTTCTCAAAGCGCCGTCTGCTTCAGCTAAGCTGTACTCCGCCACCCCTTCGGAGTCATCTGCATCATCCGTAGGCCGGAGTCTTGGAGATTCCTCTTCATCTCTACTAACGCCCAGCTCCCCTGTTACCAAATCATCTGTCGACTCCTCTGTGTCTGAAAACGGATATCGAAGGAATTCTCGAGGCTAAATATTTCCATCATTTCAAATTTCAGCTCGCTGACGGGCAGAGTCCGAAAGGTCAAGATGCTACCTCATCTCCAGAGACGATGCGCGTGTGTCCACTTTGATCCCCGTCACCGGCTTCAGAGGCCCCAACTCCTGACAATGTTCCTGCGCTCGCTGGTTGACCTAGTAAGGAAAGCGAGGGAGAGTCAGAAGTAGCCCGGACAGGCAACACACAACCAAGGTCAAAGTCGTGGGTTTGAATATTCGACTCTGACAACGAGCACTCACTCATACTACAAGCACAGCCGATCTGTCACACTTCTCACACTTCCCGACCAGCGCACACGCGCTGCCTAGCGATTTTTGAACGCGCGTCGATAGGTAGCTGTCACCAACGCACACACAATGCAGACACAGCTGCAGCTGCAGAGACAGACGGGGGGTTTGTCCGTCAATCGTGTTCGTGCACTTGAATTCCGGGGAGGCACACCAGAGCGGACGGCGAGTCGCTGTTTGGTGGCTTGTTGGTTATACTAAGCGTCACACCATGCGCAGCCATCTGGGTTGTTGCTGTAGCAACAGCCAGGTCAACGTCTCCCCCAAAGCCCCACCCTTCCGCCCAGATCATCCACAATACATCACACCTTACCATTCACAGCAAAAAAAATGCTACGAACATCGCTAAATCTGTACGCCAAACGCTCACTACGAGTGCACCATGTGCAGCTGTCGGTGGGTTAATTAATATGATTTCGTCTAAACGCGGCGCATTGTGACATGTGGTTTTCAAAAGAGCAAAGCATATCCGGTCCGTGCCTATGCCAGTGCGTCGGATACTGCGGTGAGCAAACTGAAATGTTTTATTATTGCAAATGTCACTTAAGTATCTCTAAACTGGCTTGTTCGGGTTTGAAGAATTTGAACACACATTTGGAGCAGAGCGATCCAGAGGTGTATGATATCATTCAAAATGAAATGCGAAGGCAGCGGGAGAGTATTGTCCTGATCCCTTCCGAGGTATACTTGATTCTATCTGAGGGGGGAGATGAGAGCATATGCGATGCTGAGCTGAACATCCGACCTGTTGTCCTTAGAACTTCACTTCCCGCGCTGTCATGGAGGCTCTCGGCTCAGTCATGCAAAACAAGTACTCAGAAGGGTACCCAGGAGCGCGATACTACGGTGGCAACGAGTACATTGACATGGCTGAAACACTTTGTCAGCAACGTGCTCTTGAGGCGTTTGGACTGGACCCTGCAAAGTGGGGTGTGAATGTCCAATCCCTTTCTGGTGCACCCGCGAATCTCTACGTCTACAGTGCATTGATGAAACCTCACGAGAGGCTGATGGGACTTGATCTTCCACACGGTGGCCAGTATGTTGATCTTGATGTTCAGAGACGGTGTGGTGGCCGTCATTGACCGCTTGAGTTTCCAGCTTGTCTCATGGTTACCAGACTGACACTAAGAAGATCTCGTCTGTATCTGCATACTTTGAGACACTACCATACCGTGTCAACGAGAAGACGGGCATAGTCGATTACGACATGTTGCAGAAGACTGCGACTCTTTATCGCCCGAAGATTCTAGTGGCCGGTGCCAGTGCTTATGCGAGGAACTGGGACTATCAGCGAATGCGCAAGGTTGGATTCTGTCATTTTACTCGAAACAATGACTGGACAAACTTAGGTCTCAGATGCCAACCTACAGATCGCGGATAGTGTTAACGGGTACTTGATGGCCGACATGGCTCACGTTTCTGGTAGGGCGACCAATGTGTGATAAGCCAGGACAAAACTTAATCTGTGTAAAACTTGTCGCAGGTCTAGTTGCTGCTGGAGTCCTCCCATCACCCTTTGAATATGCGGACATTGTCACCACCACTACTCACAAGTCCTTGCGAGGACCGCGAGGGGCCATGATTTTCTTTAGGAAGGGAGTGAGAAAGGTCGATAAGAAAGGCAAAGGTAGTATGTCATGGTTCCAATTTGTAATTCAGAGGCTTATATGAAGATTCTGGCAGAAATAATGTACGATCTTGAGGGCCCAATCAATTTCTCCGTCTTCCCTGGCCACCAAGGAGGCCCGCACAACCACACTATCACGGCATTGGCCGTCGCTCTTAAGCAAGCGAAGGGGCCTGAGTTCAAGGCATATCAGCAACAGGTCTTGCGTAATGCCAAACAATTCGAGGAAAGCTTTGGTGCACTGCAATATGATATGGTGTCCGGTGGTACCGACACACATCTATTGCTACTGGACCTTCGCAGCAAGGTATAAGACTGTGGTTCAATGACCTCTGTATATTCAATCGATCTAAACCGGTTCTTGGACCTCTAGAACATTGATGGAGCGCGAGTGGAGCGGATTCTCGAATTGGTCAACATCGCTACCAACAAGAACACGGTTCCTGGTGATAAAAGCGCCTTGATTCCCGGTGGCTTGCGCATCGGTACGGGATATGTTGAATCTCAAGCCCTCATGTGATTGATTATCTGATTAATTCTACTCTAGGGTCTCCGGCAATGACCAGTCGAGGCCTTCAAGAAAAGGATTTCGCACAGATTGCCAAATTCATTCACCGAGGAGTAGAAATAACTCGCGAGTTGAATGCTGGCGTTTCAGGTACGCTATCTTCGAATGCTTGAGCTCATGAACCACGCTCATGTCCTCCTCAATCGTAACAGGCAAGAAGCTCAAAGACTTCAAAGATTCGCTTGGAGATGGATCAAACGTTACGCAATTACAGTCTCTCAAAAAGGAAGTCGTAGATTTCGCGAAACAGTTTCCCACCGTCGGCTACGAACCAGCGGAAATGAGATACCGGTAGCCGATATATACAGCTCTGACATTAATAATACAGAAGCCACATATAGAGTTGACGTAAATACACCCCGACCCCACCATTTACTACGCCCATGCTTTTCGTTTTCTTCGCCATGAAGTTTCGTAGTTTACTGGCAGTGCATCGTAGTCTTCATTCGCGTTTCTTGCATATAGAAGGTGGGAAGCCTTTTCTAAAAATTGAGTAAGGTTGTCCTCCACCTGTCGTGACTGTTCAGCTTGTTTGGCACGTAAGATCGAACTAGGTTCATCATTCTCATTTGATATCTGACAGAGGGCCAGCGGCGGCAACACATCAGAAACAGAGCCATGACCTAAAATGAAGCACGGACAAACCTTATTCGCAACAAAGGTATGTGGACTTGGGAACGGCGGTAGATGTGATGGTATAGACGAAGGTCGAGGTGGAGGCTCGCTGACGTACTTAAAGCGGTCTTCCTGAAAGAATAATGAAGAAACTGGATCTGGCTTGACAGTCTTGTCGGCGTAGTCGGATACAGACTCTACAAAAGAAGGTGAGATCGCATATCTGAGCAATATTTACATCCCGCGGATTTCTGATACATACCTATCCGGCCCTTTTGCTTCAAAGTATCAACGTACGCGGCCAAATCCCCAACATCCAATCCCATATCCGCCAATCCCAGCCGTACGTCATTCAAGTTCGGCTTTGTTCGCGTTGAATGCTCACAATACATATGTATGCGAGTAAAGAGCTCCTCCATATCTGCCACAAATATGTCAAAATGCGCTCTTTTTAAACAACGATAGCCGGACGCTATCAGCACAACATCAGGCCTTACACAATGCGTACACTTCTGTAAACATGTCCAAGGACTCTGCCATAGTGCCGGTAAACCCCGTATCCTTCAAAATTCGTGCAATGACTTTGGTGCAGGCTTGAGTTTCAGCCTTTCCCATTATGTGCTTGTGGCTGGCAAGCAGGCACGAACTGCCCTAGCGATCGTCCCGACTGTCGTTATGCGAAGCGCTCCAATGGACCTGGGAGACCGCAATACGGAGTGGAGCAGTAGGTAAAGGAACTCGGTGCGAATATGACAACCGCTTGGAATGACAAGAAGATAACCGCGCAGACTTGAAAACGAGAAGTCGCGCAAGGCAATCCGGTGCCGAAGCCTTGAAAGCAGCACCTACAGGTTAAGGGGGTCTGGTTGTTGCCATGTCACTAGCTGGCACAGCACTGCCTACGTAATGAAATGCACGTGATCCCGCTGCGTCCACCGCTCGACTTCCAAGACCTTTCGTCACGATCTTGGATGCTCCCATGGCGGCTCCTCTTGCAATAACCCCCTCGGTACCTACCTGGCACACAAAGATCTTGAAGCGCCTTGCGGACCGTGACCGTCGAGAGAGGGAAGCTTTTGCGGACTTGTTCACGGCTCGTAAGTCAACCATTTAGGCCGTTGTCTACTTCGTTCTGGTCTTTCGAATGCCTTGATAAGAAGATAGTTAAACTATATACTTTATTATGATGGCCCGTTCCAGATAATGCCTTTCGTGATACCCTGTCAAACCTTGAGTCGAAGCTCAGTTCACTTCGTATCGAGCATGCGCAAGCAGTCAAAACAGTTGCCGCGGTCAAAGACTTTGGGTGAGTGGCAATTTAGAAAATTGCTGACTGGCACTTCGCTCTTGTCACGGACTCACTGTATCCCTACGCAAAAACAAGATCTGCGGACTCAGCTCAACGGTTCGCAGAGCTGGAACAGCAGGTGACTTCTCTCAAGGAAGAACGCACCGAGTTGTACAAAACACAGGGGCAAAATGCGCAAAAGCTGTTAGAGCTTATGGAGGCTTTGCAGAAAGGGGATGGGAAAATTGCTAGCTTGGAGGAGGAGTGAGTGCATCATGGTATCACTTTCACCGTGCTCGGTCAGCTGATATATTGCTAGAAACCAGACGCTCACAACCAGTCTCGCAAGTGTTAATACCCGTTTACGGGACTTGCAAGAACTCATCCGGGAGAAGGATCACGTCATACAGGTTTGATTTTTACTGCTCTGTTGATGCAAAAATCACGGTCTTTAACCAGTCCCCAATCACATCCTGTGTCGTAGATACTGCGTGATGAGCTTGCAACACACCAATTGGAGCTAGTACAGAGGGAGGAGCAGTTGAAGGAGAAAGAGGAGAAGCTGAATAAGCTTGAATCGGAGAACAAACAATTGATCGAGAGATGGATCCTCTTGAAGCAGGAGCAGGCTGCAAGAATGAATGAAGCGAACGAGTTTGTGGCAAAGTAGGGCGAGAGCAGTTGTTGGCATGCAAGTCGACGAGACGTATTTTTGACTGAAACACACGTTAGCGCTCTCAAGTCTAAAGCGACATCACCTCCAGTATCGCGTCAGACATCAGCGGCAAATGTCTATGACGATCAAAGGTCGCATTCTACACTGTAACGCCGAGCTCTCCGCCTTGTCTGACCCTGAGTAATTAGTCCACAGCCAGTTGTTCGCACATCACTGCCTCAGGCGGCGGTTAAGAAGATTGTGAGTCGATAGCCCCACATTTCTCTTTATTGTCGATACATACTAAAATACATGCAGCATTCGCACGACTCTGAGATAAATTGTATTCAGATTAGTCCTGACGGCTCCTTACTAGCTACCGGAAGCAACGACAAAAAGGTCATACTTTACGATGCTAAAGCAGGTATGTTATGTGAAGTGCCTTAGACGTTCCTCGGGATCCTGGCGTTATGGTAACTGTCCGGCTTAAGGTGTGGTCAAGGCTACTCTATCAGGATCACTACAGGGTATAATGTCCTTGGCCTTCAACAATGGAAGTGAGCTGGTAATGGGCACCTCCAACGACAATTCTGTTAAGATTTGGAACGTGGGAACGGGCAGGCTGAAGGTATGATTGCAATTGTGCTTGTTGAATACGACCTTCGCGTTTTCTGTGATTTGTAATTGATATGTGTAGCATACATTGACTGGTCACATCGGGAAAGTCTACGCAGCCAAATTCACAGACTCAAATTGCGTGGTAAGCCCATTCAAGATGCGTCTTTGCATTGTTACATATGCTGAAGCATTGGCAGATCTCAGGCTCTCACGATCGCACGATAAAGATATGGGATTTGGCAAAGGGCTTTTGTGAGTGCCATGATACTTCAGCATTTTTTATCTGTTGAGCTGTCATTCATATCGCTGATAGGCACCAGCACAATTTTCACATTGTCCAGCTGCAATGATCTGACGTTGCTGAATGGCGACGGGTATGTATGACTTCAGCGGTTATGACGCCCACAGTATCTTACACAGCAATGTTTGGGTCTTATATGTTCCAGCACTGTAATCGCCAGCGGTCATCTGGACAACAACATTCGAATATGGGATACGCGATCTGGAAGTTTGGTTCGAGAACTTACTGGTATCCATCATGGGCAGATCACTAGTGTTACCATGTCACCAAGTACGATCCCCTATCGTCATGTGCTTGCTGCGCTCTGGAAGACATTGGAGAAGACTAAGACTTTTGCAACTCGTAGCCCAAAACATCCTGATGACAACTTCACGAGACAACACGTTAAAGTTGATCGATTTGTCCACTTACCAAACGGTTGGGGTTCTATCGTAAGTTGCAGGGATTACCTTCACATGTTATCATCTGCTCATCTTTTGTAACTTCAGCCACGATCAATTCCGACCTGGAATGAACTGGCTCAAGTCCTCGTATAGGTAAGGTGATGTCCATATTTTTGAGGCTGATGTTCGCCACAAGCCCAACAATCTTCGATGTACACAAATCCAGCCCAGACGGAAAACATATAGTATCGGGGTCCGCAGACGGTTCTGTTTTTATTTGGAACGTCATGACGGGCCGAGTAGATAAAATTTTGAAAGAACACAAGTACGTGTATCATTCCCGACTCTTGTGCACAACCCCGGAGTTGAGCTGATGGATACATATGCGCCTACAGGTCTGCGGTATGTGGAGTGGTCTGGAGCCCCCAAGGAGGCAGCACTGTGTATTCTGCAGAAAAGGACAAGACCGTAGTCTTCTGGGGTGCATCAGCCTAGTAAAAAAGAACATTGCTGCGTATAGTTATTAGATTTACTTTCATATTTCTTGAAATGCGCGGCTGAGGAAAAGTTCCTTCCAAGGGAGATTCAGCCTCTTACAACTAGGCTAAGCCCATTATTAAAGTTTTCGCGCTTCTTTGGGGAGGGAACGGCTTGGTAAGGACACAGCCGCCTTCTACTCTCCACGACCTCCTCCGCAGTAGCATGAGTTTAAGACTATAACAAATAGATTGGCCCCTCGAGTCTGTCATTAGCCTTCAGTGTCATGCAGCTTTTGTCGACACAGCAACCACCTGCAATGCCCGACTTCTCAAGGGTCAGTGTAAAACAATGCGTTCCAGACGACTTGTGGCTCGTCATTTTCAGCCTGGTTGCCCACGACTACAAAGACTTGGTAGCGGTCTCGCAAGTATGCCGACGTTTTGCGAGGTGAGCAAAACAAGATTGTCACGTTCTCTGTAGTGTGAAAAAGGTCCTAACTTGATGCTCTAGACTAGCTGCCGTCAACCGTTGCTGGTTCGAGGCGTACAGGAATGTTTATCCTGCACTCCGCTCCACTTATTGTGGCAATGACTCTGACTGGAAAAGAAAACTATCTGCATCGAGAACCTGCATAAAGAACTGGGAGCAAATGGGACGACGTCGTACCGGACCTTTGATTACAGAGGTCATTCCTCGACACGAAATTGCGTCCCGAGTGTGCTCTTCGCACTTTGAGTATGCCAGCGTCATTGGAGATCACCTCTTAGAATTTCCAACAGCAGGGAAATGCGCTAGTGGAGTCGTTGGTTTATCTGTCATACATCCTGTTTCTTCAAGGACGCCTGATCAGACAATGGGCTCCAGTGTACTCTTTGCGGAACTCTCAGGCTCAGTGATCGGTCATGTAACGTTTTCTTCAAAATTGGTGCTAAAGCTCTTGGATTCAAAGCAAGACTTCTTTGTGTTGGCCGACGAAGATGAAACTCGGTGGACTCGGCTTGAATTTCGACGTTTATCGGCTTGTTGTGTAGATGGGTCGACAGAGTCATCGAGTTTCCTTTCTGAATTCGTCATGCCGGGGGACGTGGAAGTTTTTGCTTCTTATTCCTGGGTTTCTCACACGATCATTGTCCTGGGCATTTCCGACAATGATGAAGGTGTATGTCTTTTAATTGATGCTAAAGGCAACCTGGTGTCATCTCGGAATTATGGAAGAAATGTTAGTGCTATCGATTTCGGTGATCCGTATGACTCGGTGGTACTTACCGGTCATGAGCACGGCGGCATGCGAATTTGGGATTTTGAGACCGGAGCACCGCTCTTGTCTTTGGAAGGCTCCTCACCGGAACCTATCTTGGGATTCACGTGGCGGGAAGAACCGGAAAGTTGGCTTGGTGAATGGCGACGGCCGAAAAACTTGAGTCTAGTCACGTTTACCGATTGGTCGAACGGGTCGTGCATATGTGGAGGAGAGTTTGTCCTGTGGGATGTCGGAGATCTCTTGGCTCAGGCACGCGCACGTCTCGGTCGACGGACAGTCTCCTTGCCCCCCATCACGTCTGAAAAAATGTCCTTCCGACATCGGATAGAATTACATCCAGGCGATGATGTTGCTAGTTATTGTGTCTTGCACCCGCTGATCCTTGTTATTACGTGCCAAGGGTTTTTCGAGGCTTTGGAAATCGACACCGGTCGAAGTCTCTGTAGGGTCAAACTGGAGGTTGACGTACATAATCCTTGTCTAAGTAGCGTCATAAGAGGCCCACGCGGTGAAATTTTGGTTGCGACTAGTAATGGATTGTTTCGACTCAATGTTTAACGGCCACGGCCAGATATGTAATTCTGTACCATAGTATTCTTGCTCCTTGTACAAATGCAATATAATACAAATACCTACGCACTTGCCAGATTCGATCGTTCTTCGCTATGTGCAAATTTTCAACAGCAGTGATTATTTCAAAATATGGGCATGTAGCCATGCCAGCAATTGTGCTTGCATATATGATGATATGATTCAAGAACAAATCCACACCTTAATCGATTGATCTACAGACCCAGTAGCAACCACCGGACTTGCCTTTGCAAAATCTATGCAAGTAACAAAGTGGGAATGGGCGTCTAGTGTTTTGATACATCGCCCTGATTTGAGGTCCCACACTTTCAAAGTCTTGTCGTCGGATCCGCTGAGGAGGTACTTGCCGTTAGGATGGAAGACCACTCCTCGGATCCAATTGTCATGACCCGTCTTGAATAAAATTAAAAAGAAAGGCACAGGGTAGAGTAATAACAACAGGTCCCTTACCAAGGTAAACAAGCACTGTCCTGTCGACACATCCCATAATCGCAGTGTCTTATCACGGGATCCCGATGCTAGATATTGGCCTGGTACCCCTGGATCTTTACCTTTGCTCTGTAAGGGTTCACGCATAAGGTCATGAAAATACACAACAATTGCTCGCCGTTACATAACACCCACCTGAAACCCGGCTAGCTCTCGAATATTAGGAAACGCCGTCGTAGGCGCAAAAGCTATACACTCTACGACATGCTCGTGACCGCGCAGCTCGCTTTTACATTCGCCGGAACCAAAATCCCATATCCGTATTGTCTATGCAGATCGTGCCCTTAGAATGACGAATCCTTTCTCACTCCACACATAGCAGAATCTACCTGATCATTGGAGCAGCTTGCCAGCAGCCGTCCATCTTCACTCGAGATCGCGCCGCGAACCCAGTCAAGATGTCCAATGATCGTTCTCGTGCAATAACTACGAGATGCACATGGAGAGCGCCATCAGAATGTGTAGCGCGAAACTTTACAACCAGCATCCGCAGCAAAATCTCTCACTCCACGCACCCTGACGCAACCTCCCATATTTTTATCGTTTTGTCACGCGATGCCGAAATAATAAAGTCTCCAGTTGAAAGGAATGCCACCGACGAAACGCTGTGATCGTGCCCATATAAGGTTTTGACACATTGATAATCTGTCTGGGTATCCCATAATTTTATAGTCAAATCCGACGAGCACGACACTTCAGGAAGAGAAATGCTCTCATTTAGTCGCTACTCGCGCCTCGAATCCTGCTCAGTGACATACCCAACAAATTTCCCTTCCCATCCCATCCTACATCTTGTACCGCCTTTGTATGTCCCTTTAACGTTCGCTCAAACTCCCCCGTTTCATAATCCCAGATTTTTATTGTGGCATCTTCCGATGCGGATGCGAGGACGGAAAAGACGGGATGAAAGGCAATTTTGGTGATAGGGCTTCGATGACCGGTGAGAGCGTGTTTATGTGGCGGACGGGGTATCCAGTCAACGGAATCTGCTGATCGCCGGACAGGCGCATGGCTGACCTCTTCCTCCAATTGGGCGATTTTGGTCTCTTGCTCCATTATCTATCGAACAAATCTTAGATCGGTGTTGATTTCTGCAACGAGGAGCCGTTCGGAAACGCACACCCCCCATGGCTAGCTCCATACCTTTTTCTGCAAGCGGATAACAGACGTCCACTTCTTCTCCAATAGCCCAGAATATCGCTGCTTTCCATCCCCATTGTAGTCATTGACGCCCGCCTCTTTTTGGAAGGCATGGAAAGCCTCGTCGAACCCATTCAATCGTAAGTAGTCCAAGATAGCTAGACGACTGCCAACATCATTTAGCATTATCGATGCTATAGTGCTCGATAGTACTGGACTCACAGCTCCTCCTGCTGCCGCCCCGTCAACACGCTCATATTACGCGGAATGCCCGCTGGCAAGGGTATCTATCTATTGGTGAACTCGCAAGTGGACTGCACCAGGGATACGAGTGAGCTGTTAACTCCCTCTCTACAAGCGAAACACCGTCAGAAACTGTCATGTCAGCTAGTATTTATAAAGGAATTACCTGTGATCGGGCGTATCGTACTGAAGATTACCAGACGGTTCGGGACATGAGAAAATCGCTTGTCACGTCCAGGCTCTTGGACAACGGACAAAGTTAGCGGCACAGTCACAAGGAACATCCCATGACTTTGCCTCACCAAAGTCTTGTCGAGCAGGTTGGAATTGCCATTCGGCAGTCCGATCTTTGTCGTCATCAGCCAGCATGCCTGTCGAGCTCTTAGAGTTTCACAGGTCTATGGTAGAGGACCTCATGCCCTCCGCGGTGACTCCGCTAAAATCCTCCTCAGCACTCGCAGCGACGGCACCGCGTGGCAGTGAGGGAAAGGGCGACGGATTGCTTATCGCGGCAAAGGGCTTGGGTCTCCGACGCATTCTGCTGACGTTTCTCCAGGTGTATTCGGATCCTCGGAACTTGGTTCTACTCTTAAATACTCCATCTAGAGAAGTGGACGTATTAAGGGAAGATCTAATGGCTGCCATTGCTGCTCGTACTCCGCTAGAAGGGGCCAACAAGGTGCATCCTAATCTGTTTAAAGTTATAAACAATGAAACGCCAGCCAGTGACAGGTATGCACAGGCTATGTTCATGGAGCGTTTGGGAGTAGGATGGGTAGGGTGGGGGATAACCCGTAGGGATATTGTTGTGTTCGGAGGAAAGAATGTGTACATATGTTCGGGGTTCAACAGAGATATTTCAGGAAAAGTTAAGCCGGGCATGAAGTTCACCTTTTAAATACATCTAATATCTCGATTTATTCTGACAATGGGGTCTGCTCAGATCCGATCTGTACCGCTCTGGAGGCGTCTTGTCTGTAACATCCCGTATTCTCGTCGTGGATATGCTTAACAAAGTCCTGCCATTCGATCTGGTCCTCGGGATAATAGTTAACCATGCTCACAGGTGCATATCAAAGACCTTGATGAACGTAGCGCAGCATTTGGTCGCTTATGTGGTACACGTCACACTCAATCCTAAAGGGTCACCGAGACGTCAACAGAAGCTTTTATTCTTCGACTCTACCGCGACGAGAATAAGGTTCTCTCCAACAACCCCTGTGCTACTAAAAAAGAGCGATAACAAAACAAGAAGTCTGTTCTAGATTGGGTTTATCAAAGCTCTTTCTGACGAGCCGGAAGCCTTCACGCATGGATTCTGGAAACTTGAACGCTCGATGAAGCTCCTCTTTTTGCGGCACGTGTTCCTGTGGCCAAGGTGCTTGCTCTTGAATGGTCTTTTTAGATGCGAGATTGCTCTTCCACGTCATCCATCGGTGCTTAATTTCTTAAAACATCAGGTTCCATATGAGAGTTCACGAAACCTTAGAGGGATTAGGGAAAGTACATGTGATCGAGTCACAAGTACCCTACACTCAAAGCATGCGGGACATCCAAGCTGGTCTTGTCGACTGTATTGATCAGTGTTTAGCGGAGCTCCGGCGATCTAATCCGACAGTAAGTGGATCGTATGGTTGTGCTTTGACAAACTTCGGTCCCTCATAACGTTTTACTAGATTGATGCGGAGGAGTTTACCGTTGAGAATGCTTTCTTCCGATCATTTGATCAACTAATAAGAGTGCAGCTCGATCCTATCTGGCACCGCGTAAGTCAGAAGACAAAGCAATTGGTTGGGGACCTGAAGATCCTACGAAAGCTCTTGAGGTATTGTGAATTATATTATAAAGAATGTCTCGCTATAGGTGACCGTGCTTCCATGCGCTTTCAGCTACCTGGTGTCGTACGACTGTGTTACATTCAATTCATTTCTGGAGACAATTGTTGCAGCGAACGCTTCGGAGCCTAGTGCGGTGTTCCGTTCCGAAGCGAGCCAGAGTCAGTGGCTATTTCTTGACGCGGCACACACGGTATTATCTGCCGCCCGCCAGAGAGTATACAGGCGGGTTGTCGGGGCAACAGGAAATCTGGAGGCGGGTATTCCGCCGGGAGTTGAACCGGTATTGGAAGAGCAGCCAAAGTGGCGAGCACTTATTGATGCGTTACGAGTAATTGAAGCTGATAGGAGTGAACTTTTGGGACGCGGAGAAGGTACTTGCAATTATCTTGATTGAGTGTGCTCTCTTGTTGATTGTAGGGCTATGCTGCAGTACCCGGGCCAGTCTTGATTATGGTTGAAGGAGATCGAGCATGCACGCAATTGCGAGAAGTGTTAGCCGACTGCGACTTGACTGTTGTGAAACCTGAAGCCGAGGAAAAGCCGTTACGTGAGACCTTTACGAAGCAACGAAAAAAAGGGCAGATTCGGTCCTCGCAAAAACGCTCACGTTCCGAGGATGCTATAGATGAGACTCTTGAACAGGAGGGAGTCCTTGTTGAACACACTGATGCGCAAATAGAAAAGGAGGGCCAGCGACGGGGCGTATCTTTTTCCAGTACAGGGTCCGAGCAGCTTTTGAACCGCCTGATCCAAAAGTACTTTAGGTGGAAAGGAGGCATGTCAGCTGTCACACGTAATCTATTCAATAAGAGCCGAGCGGGCGGTGGTTCAAAAAGTGGTTCCACCAATGGTGAGCTGTGGTACAAGCTACGATGTAGCCACAATGTCAAGCATGCTGACTGTAGAGTCTTACTAAGTAGTGTCTGCGAATGAGGCGAGCCGTGGACGTGGACGAGGTGGGCGTGGTGCACCCCCAAACAAGCGACGAAGGGTCCGGGGCGGGAGTGCTTCGGCAACCCCAGAGACTGGAAGGACTCCAGATATTGGAGAAAGTAGTATACATACCACCTTCGAGCAGGAGGCGGCACAAATAGCGGAATTGTAGGTTTGATTATCGTTCAAGAACTGAAGGTTTGGCACGGCTGACGTGGCCACTGCATACAGTTTAAGTCAAGCGGACCCGGTAGCAACTGTGGCTGATGACATTCAGGAGCGGCCACCAGAAGACGAGGATGTGCTGGAGCCTGAAGCCTATTTTGGTATCGTCGATCCATCTAGCAGCATCGTAATACGACCTTACGCTAGCACGTCAACATCTTTTGCTGGAGGATCTGCAGCTAACGGTGATGACGATGCGAGAGTGTTGGAAGATTTGCGACCTAGCTATATTGTCATATACGACCCGGACCTTGGCTTCATAAGAAGAGTCGAGGTATATATGCAGTTCATTCGCTTTATCGGAACGATATCTCATACTTTGAATTTGAGGTCTTCCGAGCGCTCAATCCTACACATCCGCTACAGGTCCATTTTCTAGTTTATAGTAACTCTGTTGAAGAACAGCGATTCTTATCCCAAATTCGACGGGAAAAGACAGCTTTTGAAAAGCTGATTCGGGAGAAAAGTGTACGTGTGCAACACCTCCGTTGCGTTCGTGAATGTTCAAGCTCATTTCATCGGTTCGCAGATTATGGCGATCCCAATAGACCAAGACGGGCGAACACCTAGAGATCCAGAGGAAGAGTTCTGGCAGAAATTAGATACCCGATTAGCAGGCGGGCAGCGGATACCTGCCAACGAAAAAAATCAAGTTATAGTTGACGTTCGCGAGTTCCGTTCATCACTTCCATCGCTTTTGCACGCGCGGAGGATGACATTACGTGCATGCACACTCGAAGTTGGTGACTATGTCCTTTCTCCGCAGATCTGCGTTGAACGGAAATCAATATCGGATCTTATCCAATCTCTCAAATCCGGTCGTCTGTACACGCAATGCGAGGCCATGTCGCTGCATTACAAAATACCAGTGCTGCTGATAGAATTTGACAAGGACAAGGCTTTCTCATTGCATCTGGATCGGGATATTCGCGGGGAAATTGATGCCAGAGATGTCGGAAGCCGGCTAGCTCTCCTATGCTTGCACTTTCCAAAATTGAGGATTGTGTGGAGTTCTAGTGCAGCCGCAACCGCGGAGATTGTGGAAGATTTGAAGGTGGGGCATATCTGGAATAAAGTTCGCATTCTTGACAAATGCAGCACATTGATATTTTCAATACATCAAATAGAAAAATCAAGAGGAACCCAGTATGGATGATGCAATGGCTGTTGGAGTGGATAATCCGGAAACCATTGATAGTGCATTTAACATAACCCCATCGGTAAGTCATAATCTGGTACCTACATGTCGCTTTCAGCATATAAATGACCACCAAATATAGGATGTATTACGCTCCCTGCCTGGGATTACATCAAAAAACTACCGATACGTCATGTCAAAAGTGCAAAATCTACGAGAGCTGAGCGAGATGCCGCTTGAGCGCTGTCAGCAGCTCTTGGGACAAGAGTTTGGAAAAATGTTATATGCCTTCTTTAGGAAAAATCCCAAGGAGGAGGACATGTAAATGTAGACTTTTTGTTTCCCTTTTTCGGCTACCTATAAGTATATGGAGCGCTGCATGTATATAAGGTCCCCGCCAAAGATCCACTGATAACATAGCATGGTGTACCACGCGCAGAGTGGGTGATCGGATATCGTAATCAAAATGTCGCGTCCCACTGAACGACTTCCGCAACAATTGGTTTTCCATCGTCCATTAACCTAATGAAAGCAATTACCATCCGGTCTATACTCATTCTTCCGCTACTCTGTACGGCCAATAAAGCTGCTTCTCCATCTTCATCCTCACTTGCCGAAACATCTCACGCCAATGCCTTCATGGATACCATTCAGTGGAGTGCGGCTGCGTACATACGATTCACCGACACCATAGCTGCCCGTTTTGCGGGCAAATCAAAAGAAGTTTCACCTTTATCAAATTGGAGGGTAAAAAAGAGGGACAAGCGTGCTAGCGGACCATCCCAGGATGCCGTGGCACCAACTCAGAACCTTGAAGTGACATCGAAAATTCATCTTCATACACGTCAAGGTACTCATTCTTGGTGGCAGTGAAACTATGTATGTTTGTCTCATATGCCACCGTTCTATTTGGGCAGCGTCCTGTAATTGGGGACATAGTGTCGATGCGACCCTCACCCCCGTGGTGCGTTAGAAACAAATCGCGCACCTTTGATCTTGAGTTCTCTGACCTAGTAATGTCCACAGTACAACTGCACGAATACGTTGCTGAGCCAAGCCCAATTTGCATCCAAGCAATCCAATACACTCTGCTCAAGCTGCGCGAGCACGGATCTAGCATGTCAACAGGACTGTTGCACTACGATCACTACTGTGAGGCATTTGATCCGAGTAGCTTTTTTCCGCCTTAGGGTTACTGACAGACTCATATAGGGAACTCACTGCGTCTGCCCTGTCGACACCCGCGGCCCTAACTGTGCCTCTGATTGGAATTACTTTCTCTGCACTCCTACATTGATGGATCCTTCTCTGAACGCTTGCAAATCATGGGGCCTGCTGCCAGATCAACAAACCGCAATAAATGATTACAACAATACGGATGTTGCTTGTCCACGGTTCCCAGTGCAGGGTACCTTGAATCTCAAGTTCACGGTGTCGTGCAGTCAGCAGAACCGGCTACGGGTGAATTTAACGAGACAGACTCATGGAGACGGTTCAGTATCTTTTACTGACGGGGAGTTTCAGTATGATGTCGGAAATCAAGACATGGTATGCAAGCCTTATTGTAATTGATGAAGCTTCAATTGGCGACTCTGGAATTAATATCCGTCTATGAGCAGTTTGCTTACTCGCACTACGACGCAGCAAACACACAGTTTCGACTCAAGTTCTTCAACTTTTTCCGTCTTTCCGATCAGTCCCACGTCTATTTCACCCCAATGAGCAGCCCCCTATCCTTTGTCGGAGAACAATTTCTCAACTTTACAGTTGATATTGGCAATCTTACAACATCCAGCTATAGTAGGACGAGAAATGAATTTATTCCTGGAGGTCGACTGTACTTTGAAGGAGGTTCGGATGACAGCAACCAACATTGACTTTGGGAGAGCAATTGCTCATCACTTTTCTCATTTCAAAGGAGTGTATAATCGCTTTTCCGTTGGTGGACTTGCCAGAACCACTAGGTAACCACCCTAGAATTTACCTTGGTGTCTTTATACATTGCTCACTACTCAAACTTACCGTCAGGTACGCAAACTTCATTGATTTTTATTCCCCGGTTCCCCAGTCTGGAAATGCACCACCATACACGGCCCAAAAGGATTCTTTATCTATCGGGGCGATTGTCGGAATCGTCATTGCCTGCGTCGTGTACGTAACTCTCTGTTGAACCAGAGTATCACATATTGTAGAATGCTAATGATGCTCGTTTCGTACAGAGTGGCAATAAGTGTGATTAATTGTTGCATAAAAGAAAAACGACGCAGGAAGAAAGCCCGATAGTTGTAGTTTAAGTGTTTGTTTATATGACTCTGGTACAACAAAAATTCAGTGTGGACGTGCAAGTCCACCACATCAATCTTTTCCGCCCAAATTCAACATCAACATCATACAATAAATCGTTAAGGACAATATATTTATCAATGATCCATACAGAGCACCATACGGTCATCAAACATCTGACTAATAGCGCATCCACGTATACCATCCTAATCCTAATTATAGAACTTGCGGTTCTCAGATGGTCCGAAAAGAAGGATCCGGATGTCGGGCAACATCTGTCATGTTCCACGTTAATGATCTCAGTATAACAATATCCCCAACGTACACATCGGATAGCTTGCTACAGACCTGTTCAGCCAACAATTCGAGCCTCGTCTCAAGGGTGTTCGAAACTCTAATCCGCCCCTCATGAGCACTCACAACCACCCCCCCAGCGCTTTTCTCTGGTAATGGATTGGCCTCATCGATGACAACATGAGGTGATGATCCAACTTCCTTTTCATATGCCTGCTTGGCTTGCTCGATAGCTTCCTTGACAAGGTCTACATCCTTCTGACGGCAATTGACCTTCACCTCCCGCTCCATAAGTTGGTACAATGACTACAGGGTTTGCGAAACGTAGCCGATATCAGCAATGCTATAGACACATGATTGGAAGCAGAAACAGCGAATATACCTGCAAAATAAGGTCCTTCAGCAATGTCTGGTACTTTGATCGATCATTGCTAATTTCGACAAGTCGAGAACGAGCCTCCGCTAACAACTCGTTCAAAACTTGCTGCCGTGCCTGGAGCACCTTCAGACGGCATTTGTTGACATGGTTTGATTGTGCACTGTGTCCCAAAGCCATGATCAATCAAGGAAATCGCGGCGAGAGGGAAGATTCCATATTTACATTTTACGCTGCACTTCAGCCTGCTTCATTTTCTTCTGGTAGAAAGCTTCGATGGCAACTGTTTCCTGTCGCACAATTTTTGCTTTCTCAATGTTGAATTCCTCATCCGCCTTAATAAAGACCCCTCCTTCTTAATTAGCTAGATACCAGCTCGACATGCAAAATCACCAAACGCACCTTAATTTTCACTTCACGGGCTTTCTCCAATGCTTCCTGCTTGATAAACGACACCTGTGTCGAGAGAGCATGCAATAAGACATATAGGCATCTAAGACATCAGGTGCTTCAAGATGAGCCAGTCAGTAGAGAATGCCCAACTTCTCTTAACAGTCTGCGCGCGGTATCCGCTTTACAACTTTCCGCTTTGAAATTCGAAACCATCATCTTTCAAAAGAGGATGCGCGCAGATAGAGTAGCAGTCGCCCCTTTGCGCCATTGTCCTCCAGCATGGACCCTTAACCCCGACTTTGGACGCACCATCTTCGACATCTCCTGCGCGACTTCGTTATCGTTGAGTCGGCCCGCCATTTTGCCTACAATATGTCGGGTTCTTCAAGTGATTGGAATAGGGTATTTCACTCTTTTTGCTCCCGTATAGAGGTCTGGTAGGATGATTTGGGCAGACGAATTTCAGGATGGGTTGGCGTGGGTATCGCGATGTCAGCCTCCACCGCACCAGCCACAGTCAGCATTTATTCACATTCTAATCAAAAACGCCAGACTTAGCCAACTATGTTGCCCAAAACGGGAAATAGAAATCTCAACTTGTGAAGAAGGGGTTTAACGACATTCCAAAGGGTGCTGATCATGAACATGATGGGTAGGAGTTATCGGCTCTGAAAGTTTTTGGGCGTTTATGAAGGCATTGAAAACCCAATTGCTGTACACAGGTCCTGACGGAAACCTCGAGAGCTCTTTGGTTGGGGACAATCACATTCGTGGTGGGCATGGTCCGGACGTCGGTAAGGGCAAAAGCTGGACCTTGATCTGAGTGGCAAGCGGCAACAAGAAACTAACGATACATGCATATATTTTAGCATATTATGATGAGGACCCGGACCGTGACCATCGTTCCCACCATCGGAGCGAGAGGAGGCGGGACAAGGATCGGAGGAGGGACCGTAGCCGTAGTCGTAGCCGAGACAGACGTAAGAGATCTCGCAGCCGCGGTCGCGATGATGGGTATGATAGGGACAGGGAAAGGAGACGTGAGAGGGACCGTGATCGTGATGGGGAACGGCGACGAAGCCGCAGCCGTGATCGAGAGCGACGAAAGAGGTCTCGCAGCAGAGAGCACCGCTCACGCAAGGGCAGCCGAAGTGCTAGTCCGAAGCGCTCCAGTCGTCGTGGCACGTCAGTGACTCCTCTTCACCTGAGAAAGCGAAAGCTTCAAAACTGGGATACGCCACCGGCAGCGTTCCCAGGCATGACCGCTCAACAAGTAAAGGCAACAGGTAGAGGCCCAATTTGAGTATCTTTTGTCATAATTGGGTTCTTATACTTTCTGCACAGGTCACTTCCCACTTCCCGGACAGTCGGCGCGATTGGCTTCGGGATTGGGCGCATTGTATGGCGCTGACTTGTTTGGAATCAGAACTGATGGGATGAAACTTAGCCAGGGAGCGGCTGGGCCGATAGCGCAGAGTGCGAGTATTGCGAGGCAAGCTCGTAGGTTGTATGTTGGTAACATTCCGTATGGAATTCTTGAGGTACGTTGGCAGCCGTACCGCTTTGCCCTCTTCAAAATTATTGATAATGGCACATGTAGGATGCGCTGATGGACTTCTTTAATCAAACCATGGCCCAATTGAACATTACAACCGCTGCTGGTAATGCGGTTATTGCGGCGCAAATCAATCACGACAAAAACTACGCATTTATTGAGGTACTTGGACGCCAGAAAGTGCAGTTTCAAAAGTTTCTGTCATTCACATTTTCCTGGCCTGAACACAGTTCAGAACTTCGGAGGAAGCAACGGCAGCGATGGCATTTGACGGGATCACATTCGCTGGTCAATCTCTGAAAATTCGCAGACCAAAAGATTACCAAGCACCCGCAGGCGCCTCTGGGACCCCTCCACCAATTCACGTACCCGGTAAGCTGCAACATACCCTAATTGACCGATATTGCCAACAACCTGACTCTCTTCCCGGCAGGCGTTGTATCGACCAACGTTCCGGACAGTCCAAACAAAATCTTTGTTGGAGGATTACCTCCGTTCTTGAACGATGAGCAAGTCATGGAGCTGCTGAAATCGTTTGGAGAGTTGCGTGCATTCAACTTGGTTAAGGACGGGACCACAGGATTGTCCAAGGTACGCGGAGGTCTCTATCACCAATTCAGGCAGTAGGTGTTGTCTCACATCGCATTTAGGGGTTTGCTTTCTGTGAATACGTCGATCCAGCAATAACGGATATCGCATGCCAAGGTCTGAATGGAATGGAACTTGGTGATAAGAAGCTTATTGTGCAAAGAGCGAGCGTCGGTGCAAGCAAGATGGGAATGGGTATCTTGCCACCACTACTACCCACTGCAGTTTTGACTGGAGCCGCTGGACCTATCGAGCCGACCACTGTGTTGCTATTACTGAATATGGTCACAGCGGAGGAGCTAATCAATGACGAAGATTACCAAGGTATGGCGGCGAGTATATGACGAGTCCGACACTGTGACCTCATTCACTTTGCTGTATAGATATTCTGGAGGATATCCGGGATGAATGTACAAAATACGGTACTATTCGGAACATCACCATTCCCAGGCCTGTAGAGGGGCGTGAGGTGTCAGGCGTTGGCAAAGTCAGTATCTTTGACGTTGCTGTGGGCTTTAATTTGACTACTGACTGGCTTTGGTTTGTCCAGATTTTTGTACAGTTTTCGAACGCTGAGCAAAGCTCGGCTGCATTGCGGGCTCTAGCCGGAAGGAAGTTTGCAGACAGAACGGTTGTTGCCGCGTACTACGACGAACAGCAGTATCTCACTGGAGAGTTTTAAAGTGCATTCTGTACCACCAGAACCGCGGCCAATCATGAGAGTAGCTGTCATTGTCTTTGACTTGACAACGATGATCGTTTCCTTTAATAAAGGTGTTGCAGTGTATTGAGGATAGTACCGCTGAAAGGTGCCAGCCCCTCAAGATGGAACTAGCGGCATTATGTACAATGAGCGCCATCTTATGATATCTAAGTCTACGACACAGCGAGAGATGTTGTTCAGTCCAATAAATTTATCAGTTTATCTTGCGTTCTTTGCGGGTGCTTTTACGCGCGCGGAGTTCCTCCATTGTCTTTTCGTACTCAAATACCAAGATGTTGGGTATACTTCTCGTATCTCTGAGGAGGAACCATCGCGCAACAGGAGTATCCAAGTCGATTGCCGAAACGAACACGTTCTCTACCAGCAAAAACCAAATGAAAGCAAAGCATGTTCCTACAAGTAGACCTACGGCGACTTGCTTGGGTGTATGGTATGTGAGATGTATTCTGCTAGCATAAGTGAGCAGATTGCAACGAATATCGAAATTAGATAAAGAGAGACGCACCGTGAGTAAGCAACAAGTCCAGCAAGTGCAAATACGGTAGCTGATATTAGGATCTTCCAAGCAGTGTGCCGGAAGTTTAGCCTGTTGGGCAGCAACAGTTTGGTAAGTACTCTGATAATAGAAGTCATGAGAGCGGCGATCCACACCTTTTGACGGTATAAATGGTAATATAAATTGCAAAGAAGGCAACAAACTGCGAATGGCTTGAGGGCATTCCGTAACCCTTGCCCAGATACTCTAAACATTGGCATCACGCTAGTCAATATAATCTGCACGTTCTTTACGTCAGGCACGCCTGATGCTTTACTGTACAAAACATACCAGTCGGTCGAGCTTCTTTGATGATCTTCTTAGCGGCATAGTTTACCGCTTCGTTGACCAATTGCCCCAAGAACATGAGACAGGTCGCAAGATCCCGACGGAAGGCGATAAGTGTGCAATAGGACACCAAAAGGGCGATAGGGACGAGGGATGCGTAACCCATAAGTGGACCGTAAGGATCATTTGGGTCAAACTCAACGTGAGTGAGAGATATGGCTGCTAAAGGCTTCATTCCGGGTGGATTTGCTGCTTCCATCGTGCGGTGATCTTTTAAGACAATAATCAGCGAGATGACGAGTGACGATTGCTTCTGGCATTGCTGCGCCTTGTTATATGTGGCACAGTTGTCGGACCCAAGATTCTCAACAAGTTGCAAGAAACTAAAATTACCTGTTGGTAATGCCTGCCCGACACCTACGGTCCGTACCATGGGCCAAGCAAGAGGAGTGGGAGGAGGTTTATTCTTGGCTTTATGCCAGCGATGTGCACTTGCGGGAGAAGGGTGTCAAAAGGGTAAATCTATCGTTCCAGTTCGTACTTGAAATGTTAAGCTTATCCCTACTGTCTAGGTCAAAGCGTGGGCGAGCCGAGGCAAACTTCCTCATTCTGTAGACTCGACAGCGACACTAGTGGAGGTGTGGCTTCGGGATGGATGTGAAAGACCTGTATCGGAGCATGAAGTACGACTCATGTATACAATGGCCTTTATCCGGTATGTTTATGATTTCCCAAACAATGCACCGTGAGGTTGCTTAGGTTGTTATTATTTGAGGTTTGTGAACGGGGTGGTGGATGCCAACCAGCGGGGAATGTACGCTACAAGCGTTGCCAATATTGCAGAAGAACTGGGGTTACCGGGCTGGTTTGTTGATCTGCGGCACGCCGGGACCCACGACCAGCTCCCAAGCTTGGCTCTTCTTCGGTCAGGCTGTGAGCAAGTGAGTGAATTGGTCGATGGCCTGCTCGGCTCATACTAAATGGTCGTTAGGCTCTCCAATGGCTTCACACAAACTATTGGAGTTTGCAAAAAGCCTACTTGGCAGACACTCTCTCAGAAGTCAGAACCCTGCTAACGACGTATAAGAAGAAAAAACGTGCATTGCTTGACAAGGAAACCGAACCTATACTCAATGAGATTGTGGCACTTACGACGACAGATAATTACGCCGATGTACTTATTCCAACCCTGCTTGAGGAGGGGCTCCTCGTTCCAAAAAGTCAAAAGTATGTGTCACTTTTGCAATATTGATTGCAAATTTGGTCAGATCTTCATAAGAAAGATTTTGATAGAAAACGAGCGACGTTCAATGAAATGAAAGTGCCTGACGGTTTCCTGGAGCTCTGGAAAGGTCCTTTGATCCGCTTTGAGAATGCATGGCCAGGCTTTGCGGAAGAGCTGTTCCTGCACATCGTGGATATACTGACCGGTTCTGGTAAGCAGTCATTTCGCTTCCCTCATAAGACTCCTGTATCATAATGCAAGATAGTTGCAGATACTGTCCAACCCTCTACAAAATCTACCCACCAAGTCCTCGCTGCTTGGGCTCATTATGTTCTTCGTCATTTCCTTCTTGTACAGGCTTCTGGATGGGATAATGCACTTGAAGCATGTTTGAAGCGACACCATATCTAGTGCGTACTCAACGCTTGATATATTGATTGAGGAGCGAGTTTTAATTGTAGAGTATCTATCAGCACACGTGCTATGGTCGGTTGTTTTGCAGAAGCCGTACCTAGTCTGCGCGAGAAGCTATCTCCGTTCATTACATACATGGACGCGACAGCAGCCGAACCCAAACGACGAGATGCTCAAGCGACAATGGATTCTTCTCTGGTGGAGCAGCTAGAAGTCTTGCGCGGAAGAGTTGAGGCATTCAAGAATGCAGCAGATCTCCATGTCACCTCCAAAGGAACATCCCTTCCAGGCAGCGACGCCGAAATCAATGATGAACGTGGCTGGGTGCTGTACCCGTCCAAAGAATGGCGTCCATGCCCCATAGGATGTCTGCCGGGCGGAGTGTTGCCCAGCCTGGAACTGCCAGACTGGTTTGATGATGAAGAGTATGTGGTAAATGCAGGTAAATATGGATGTGTAGTTGATTTTATGGTTACTTTCTTTAAATGTGCGTCACTATGTTATAGGAATAGTTCAAATCCCGGCCTACATGCCAGCCAACATGGAAGAAGCAGCGGAGGGCGGTACCCAAACGTAAGTCTTGGGGATGTAGATCTCACATTGCTTGAATATGATTTAAATTGACGTCGTTCCTCGGTCACAGAACCTCGATACTAGAAGAAGAAATTGGCGAGCCAGAAAGTGATGAGATGGATTTGGATATGCAACCTGATCCTGCGCCTGCGGAGATTGTAGATATTGCAGCCATTTCGCGTAAAGTGGTCCTATTGTAATTTGTATTGTAATAGAGCGATAAGTTAGACCAGACATACGGGGATGGAAATCACTTGTGGAAAATGCTGCCAACTCTTTGAATCCCTAATGCCTCTACTCGATGGACCGTTGGAACAAGTCTTTCACTGCCCATCGAGGTTCCAGATCCTAAACTTGCTTTCATGGTTGATGGCAGACTCCAAACACTTCTATTCATTCTACGAAGCAGTGTATGTACAATATATATCGAACTACAACGATATTGCCCTAGGTACTGGCCTGGACGGGTGCTGCTGGTGCAAAGGGGGTTCTTGGTCCCGCGTTGAAAAACTTGTCCACTATCTCCTGCGTGAGGGTTTTCCGGCGCTAAATAAAACAAACATAATCAGCCCTTTGGAATGCGCCCAGCCAGTCCACTCATCTATGTACTCACATCCTGCATGTCTTTGACCAAGGCAGAGACAACCGCTATACAACGTTGCTTAAGTTCGCCTGTCAGCATCTCTCCGCTCTTGTACTTGGCCTCTATATCTGCAAGTTCCTCGTCATCCTCTAGGAAGAATCGGAGGTATTGGAAGCTAACATCTACATCTGGGTTCCCTCCAAACTTTCTCTGTTCCTCTAGGGTCGCAGCACCTCCAGAAAACGCATACTTGTTGATTTTGTTCTTGATCTGTGCAGGGGTATCGGTGAGGTAAATGGCCGAGTTCGGGTTAGAGGCGGACATTTTGCTACCCGGTCCCTGCATGTATCTATGTATTAGAAACGTAATCTCAATGAAACTACGCTGATTAAATACACACCTGAAGAGCGGGGAAGAACATGGCATGGATCAAGGCAGGTTTGGGATATTTTAGTCGATTCGCGACGTCACGGGTTAATCGAAAGTACGGGTCCTGATCGATGGCACACGGAATCAAACAGGGGATGTCGCCCTTTGGACCAAAGATTTGTGGGAAGGAGTTGGAGAAAGATGGAGCCGCTTGGACGGAGACAAAGTGAACTTTGCCGACGTTGTCACTGGATACGTGGCTATCCGTTACAAAAGACCCGTCATACTTGACAATGACTAAGTCCCTACGCACCTGTCATTGAATCCAAAGGTTGCTTTTGACACGGATGTGGTGATGCACTTTGCAATCTTTACAACATTCTGATAAAACCCGGCGCTACGGACGAAAAGGAAGTCAGACATTGAGTCCTAACTTGCACAACGCTATCAGTTCCTTACTTCATGTAGTTCAAGTTTGAAAAAATTAGAGTCTTCTCGGGATCGAAACCAAAAGCCATGATATCCTTGGCATTTTCCAATGAATATTTCAAAGCGTCGGCCATCTTTAATTCTTGTTTGAACAAAAACTTTTCGTCATCGGTAAGCTGGATCACCAATGGACATTGGAATACATCCTGTAACCACCTGATAAGCGCAAATGTACCCTTTAGCAGAAAGTACAATTGAAACAATCACTTGCAAGAAGCTTACTTGCAGAAAATGAAGGGGACCATGTGTCCAACGTGCATGCTACCACTACTAGGCCCACGTCCAGTGTAAAGATAAAATGGCTTGCCTTTTTCATATCGGTCAAGTAACTGCGTCAGATCTCTATTGAGGGCAAAGAAGGAAAGACGATGTGATGGTCAATAATGATCCTATAGCGCTTTTGAAAATAGCCAGTGATCTTCGTGACTCCCGGAGCCAAAGATAGACGAGATCTTTCAATTTCGTTCAGTCTTTGGAAATGCCTCGATACTCCAAACCATCCATATCAAGCTCTTCAAGAGTGATATACATCGCTGCCTTTGCCCCTGCTTCCAAACAGAACAGAAAATCTCGGTGCATTACCTGTGAGAAAAGAACAGTCCTCGCCTCAAGAAAGGATGAGGTTTACGCCCCGTCAACCGTTCCAGCCTCTCCAACAGCGGCTCGTCAATCCGGCGTGTGCCAAACTGTTCAATCAGCTTATTGTAGTCGATCGCAACCAACTTGCCGTCGACTTGGGCTCCTTGGACTTCCCAAGGCGTTACGACCTGCTCGTGCGAGCTTTCTTCGACAGTACCGTCCTCCTTTTTGGGAGCAGGTTGCGCGATAGGTGCACCGCTATCTGTGGCTGGGTTCGTCATGGTTCGGTGGGTCTATCCAGCGGTGGACGGCAAAAGGATCGGTCAAAGTGGGGGTCAAGCAGCGGAGGAGTTTTCGAACTTCAGTATCGACTGTGCCTCGCTTTTGGCACAGTGACTTTCATCTATCGTGACTGCGGATCTACACACCAAGCATTCCGACTTGGAGCTCGTCCATCTCGCCCATTGCTATTACCAACTCGTCCGCTGACCATTTTTACCCTCCTCCCGCCGCTGCTCGACTCCTCATCATAACGGTAAGTGCTGCTGGCATGATCTGCAAGAACCTCGCGTGGGCGGGACAACATTGAACCTGACTAGCCTGAAGTTGCTCGGCGACGAAATTCCGCCGGCGACCCGCCCGCTTGACGATACCTCAATAATGGGCCCTGATAAATTTCATTTGTTTATTAGTAAACATCATTGCCTGTCAACTGGTCAACTAGTACAGAAAAATTACGCTCATGTACTCAAATGTCTTCTGAGGATTATGGTATAAAAACTGAAACCTCTTTAGTGGAATATGCGCTCGAAATTGATACGGATGCATATTTGTTGACGTCTATCAGAGCGTACACGCACCCGGGTTTTGGCGAGCATACTAGTCGTCTTTTTGCTCGCGACGCCAATATGGTGGCGAACAACTGAAGTGTATCGAGCACCTCTACCCGTTGAGGACATTCGGGCGTGGAAGGAGGACAAGGTCGGGATACGCAGTGTGGCCTTGCTAAAGTGTCCATTGGACTGATGTTGACGTGCAATGATGTACACTAGACTTTCCATCGAACATTGACTTTGAATGTCGACGTGGCGTTTTACGATCACACTGGCGATGGCTCGATACCCACGGCCGGAAAGCTTTTGGAACTCTCAGAAAAGTTGGAGGCTGATCTCAACGAACTCTATGGGACCGCCGAGAGGGGACGAGCAGTGAGACATCAGGGAGACGTGGAGGAGTCTGTACCTGGAGAGCTGTTTGCAGATGTAAAGCTTTGGTTTCGTATTAGTGGTGGACTAGGTAGTAAATACTGGGAACGTGGGCAAAGACCAAAAGGTGAGATGACGAGATTTGTGCGCCAAGGCAACTGTACTAAGCAGACCTTTCCTGCATCAGATGTCGCAGCAAAGGGCGATTCATGGTCGGCATCGTCGCTGAACGGACACTACAAAGTCCATGTAGCATGCACTCCGCCAGAAGCGGGCAAACAGACAAATATTTACGTTAGTTCAAAGAGGGCGGTTTTTGTCGAGTTACCCGGCGAATGCGTCGACGATGGTAACGTTGTTTGACTTACAAACATGCTCCGTACCAGTATGCGCTAACGTTCTGCGGTATTCAGTCAGAGTATCCAATACACTCTTGTCGGTGATAGGTGGTCTCTTTGCCGATGAGCAGACAAACTACCTGAAAATGACGGAGCAAAAGGGAGAGGCAGCAAACGTATGTACTCCAGAAAGTGTTGCATGAACACCAAGTGCCTGGGCTCATTTATGATTTGACCCGTTCGTAGACGGATTGGGAGAGTATGAGAACAATGAAATATGCGTCAAAGTATCAAGTCACTTTTAGCTTACTGAATGCGGATCCGTCCGAAGTGCTTGTGAGTTGGGATATTCAGGAAGCTGTCAATGGTATGTTGCATGCTGCGTATGGACTTGCAGACCGTCCGTTGATGTTTGCGATCAGCGTATATTTTGCCGTTCTTTTCTCAGCTGTCGGAGCTGTCGGAATTTGCGGTTGATTCCCAGGTAACAAGCTCATACCGGACCGAAATCTATTGAGAAAGTTTTGGAGTAAGGATTTAAATACCAATGTTTTCTGGCAATGTAGGTGCAGAATTACGCAGCCCTTCCCATTCAATCGCAGTCGATTGAAAAAGATGGACGCACCGTACATGTCCTTCGCCCAGAGGCGCTTCCACATTTTATCAATTCCGCCGAATGGAATTTGGGTGGGTGCTTCACATTTCAGTTTATTTCTCAATACCGCAGGCAAACCTGATCAATATTTGCTCTCTTACAGCATCGGTCGTGTCGTCCGCACCACCGCTAAACTTTGTTCTCTACATTCCGCCACAATCACAGAGCCCCCTCCACGTTGTCACTTCCAAGAACGACGTGTTGGATACGAACGCATTTCTCATTCCTCGATGGGGCGGGGTTGTTATTTCAAACGCTAAAGAGATTGGAGTGCGGCATTTCAGTGTTGATGACTTGCATCCAATTATGGAAGTGTATGTCGCGCAATTGAGGGATCTCTTGGGTGTCAAGCATATTCGCATACGCAATGTGGAGACACTATTGGTATGTTGCAGATGCATTTTTTTTATTCACCCTTACGGTATTGACGGTTGTCGGCAAGCCCAAAGCTCAGGTCACGTATGAAACGGCACCCGATGCTGGCATCACGTTATGGGAATTAGATCAACTCGTCCGCAGGAGGACGGTGCAAAATATCGTCGATGCTGTGACTACACTTAATTCTTTGGCGACGTTAATTACCAATCTGGAAAGCATGGTTGTCTTGGACGATATTCAAAACCAGGTAAAAATCTGAATAAACATTTTTGCATGAAATCATTTTTTTGATCTAAAATGAATTATAAAAAGGTCTTGTATGCATTGGACGCGCTCCATCAGGTAAAAGAAGATTCATTTCCTACAGGCGATGAAATAAATTGACCAAACAACTTGCCAGGCACGACTTGCATTAGAGGCCAATGACTTTTCTTTGGCGTCTCAGCACGCAAGGGATGCCTTTGTTTCTTCTGAAGCGGCCTTTTTTGATCCGACCATGGTGTCCATGTTGTATTTCCCTGACGAGCACAAGTACGCTGTGTACATGCCGCTCTTTGTTCCGATATCGGTTCCGCTTCTCATTGCGGTCATTAGGGAGATTAAGGGATGGAAGAATAGAAAGAAGAGAATAAAGCAAAAGGAGGAATAATGTGAAAGCATAGGAATATTACTTTTGACACTTGCGCAAATATTGTACATTGGCACATTGGAAGGTGGCCAACTCTTTCACTATCATAATTTCTATCAACGGTCTGAGATAAAATGTCTTTTGCCCTAGTATTCACAGCTCCAGGGGACTCACCGCCAGTCGTTGCTTTGAACGCGAGCCCTGGACACCAAAAGGACACATTATACCTGACCCTGTAAGTCTAATGATCACTACCACCAGTCAAACGTAAAAGAGGATATGCTTTTGACTTGTCGTAATAAAACGCACCTAGCAATGGTCAACTATGCTTGTTCTCGACCAAAATCTCTAAAAAAAAAAAAAAATAAATACTAATCAAAACTCCCCCAACAGTTAACTTGAAAACAGTGGCTCTAAAAGGGTTTGTCGCCTTCCCTTCTGACGGTCGAATAACGTTTCAACGCCTGAATGGCACAGTCATGCAATTAAAGATATGGTGACTGTGCCTGTGATAGTCCACCATGGTGCGTTCAAAGGTTGGGCGGCTGGTTGAGCGTTGTGGTTTTGGGTGGTGAGGATGCCACTTGGGCATTTCCTTTTGGTCTGGGCTCTCCCGACTTGAGAATTTCATCCATTTCACAAACTGCCCCAACAAACCAAGTATTCCCTTTTTTTTTTTTAGTAAAGCCTTCGGTCTCGGCTTTCAACGTTGAAGTTCCATTTGTCACCTCCTTTTTGCCGCCGCCCTTTTTTCCCTGTTCGCAGGCGGTCCTCCACCCACCCAAAAAGACGTTGACCGTTTTTTTTTTAAAAAAAAGTTTATCATGAACTCTCAGCGCAGTGCTCCTGGAAATTATACAATACAGAACTTGTTCGGCACCGACTCGGACACTGAGACTGACGACTCCATCACTTCAGAGTCCGAGCTCGAAGACCGAACAACTGACGAGGATAGTATGGACGCGCATGGAGATACCGTTGGGTTTAGTGGTGAACATGCGTGGGAAGGTGGTGCTCGGACCTCTACGTCTGCGTCCATGACGGCTGTGACGTCTGCGCTGCAAGAAACTGTGGAAGATGCAGAGACGATCGCTCACCAACAGGACTTGCGAAAGCGGATTATGGCTATTCAGTCGAATGACGGGTTTTCGGCTATGGAAAAGGCAAAAAAGATACAGGTAAATATGCTGTGATGGTTTCCATGAGTGGTCCAGTACACAGCGTCATGTCGTTCGATGGACGACTCAAACTGAGACATGGCTGTGACTGCGGACTCCCCGGATTTTTGACAAGAACCCTATCTGTCAGACACTCATACTTACGTTGCTTTTACAGGAACTAATGACCAGTAACTGGAACACAACACAACGATCACAAAGCAGTCGAGCAGCCCTCGCCAGCAACAAATTAGAACATAGACGCGCGGATTTCAGTGTCGTGACAGATCACGACAAACAACGAACATATCATGTAAAAGAGTGAAACAGTCATGTTGCTTGTGGTATGGCCAAACACTCACACCATTGCAATAGGACAAGGACGCCCTGATATTAGGATGCAAGCACTATCAACGAGCTGCAAAACTACAGGCGCATTGTTGTGGGAAATGGTACACGTGCCGATTCTGCCACGACGAGGTATCAGATCATAACATTGTCAGGTACGACGCTGGTTCCTTTGCATGACAATATGGCGATCACGTCCAACTGACAGAAACCCATTATAGAAATCTGACGTCGACCATGATGTGCATGTACTGCTCCACCGTCCAGCCCGCGGGCCGGGACTGCGCAAACGTTCGGTGCGGAAAACGGGTCGCAAAGTACTACTGCCCCGAATGCAAACTCTGGGACGATGACCCGCGCAAAAACATTTACCACTGTCATGATTGTGGGATATGTCGAATTGGGAAGGGACTCGGACAGGATTACTTTCATTGCAAGCGATGCAACGTGTGTATGGCCATCAGTTTGAAGGGCAATCACAAGTGCATTGAAAGGAACTTGGAGAGTGATTGTCCGATTTGTGGAGAATACATGTTTACCAGCACGACTACAGTTATTTTTATGGTACTGCCTTTTGTCGAATTTTTGTTTCGGTTACGGTATGGATGACTAACGACACTTTTAGCCCTGCGGACATTGCATACACTACAAATGCCACCAAGAATATATCCAAACCTCCTACCAATGTCCAACCTGTTTCAAATCCCTCGCCAACATGTCCGAATACTTTAAACGCATAGACGCCATGCTCGCCCAACACCAAATGCCCCCTGAATACGCAACAACACGAAGCCATGTCTATTGTAACGATTGTGAGAACAAGAGTTTTGCAAAGTTTCATTTCCTGTATCACAAGTGTGGGAAATGCGGGGGGTATAATACCAAGGTACTGCGAACGTGTCAGGCAGGGGAGGAGGATCTGATTCTGGGGAAACAGGTTGGTGTTGGGGGTGTGGTAGCGGCTGCGGAAGGGGGTGCTGGGGAGGACAGTGGTGGTGGGGGTGAAGCGGGTGGACTTGTTACTTCTCAGTTTGATATATCACCACCATTTTTTAGTGAAGATCAAATGGACGTTGAGCAGCGGAGGGGGAGTTTGGCGGTGGAAGGAGGGGATGGGGCTCCCATGGTTGCTGGGAATGGGTATGAGCAGAATCACTAGACTAGTAAACGAAATCCGCAAAAAGACACAAGAAAAGCAAAACTCCCATGTCATCCGTTTTATGTATAAACCAATTTTTTTAAGCGAACCCCCAAAACTTTTTGTTTCTCCTTTAACACTTTGGCACGACACTTTTACACTGACCAACGATTAAAGAAAACATTCACATTACATCAACAACAACAACAACAACAAAAGGTATCACTACATGTAACAGCAATAACAAATGGGACAATCTCTCAAAAAACTCCACCACCAGACAGACTATATACATCAACATCCAGCCCAGGATTGTTCCCAAAAAAAAAAAGCGAGTGTTGCGGGGGCAAACGCAAAAAGATGCGCAGAGAAAGAAAGGGGGGAAAGGGTGGTAGAGAGTATGGGAAGGGAAACAGAAAAAGAAAATACATACAAAAAAGGAATTCATAAAAGGCTCAAGGCTTTTTTTCTAGTGGGGTTTGGTGATTTGTCAGGTTTCGGCACTAGCAGCCAACGTACTCTGCGAATCATCCATCAAAGCGCCTAAAAGAAAACACCAACAAACATTAAAAACCCACACATGTACAAAACAAGCAACATTTTCCAACTTACGAAAAAACCGATGCCCCATAGCTTCTCTCGCCGTCAACCGCTCAGCATGATCATACCTCAACAACCTCTCAATCAAATCCAATGCAGGTTCCATAGCCAATTCATGACACGTCCAAGAAACGGTCGTATACTCTTTTAATGCAGCCCGTTTATGTCTGGATTCACGTACAATGGGTGCGATTTCGGGGACGAGGGGGATAGAGTATTTACGGATATAGGAACGGAGGTCGGATCCTCCGAGGACGTTGACGATTGTGCGGAGTTGGTCTGTGTCGTTGTCGCCTCGGAAAAAGACTTCTATGCGAAAAATCTTTTGGGGTGTTAGTCAGTGGATTGATAAAATGTAGGTTGATGTTTTCACGTACCATTCCGGCTAGGACGCACCCAACACTCCACATATCAAAGGAATAGTCGTATTGTCGGTATCCGAGGAGGATTTCAGGGGGTTTGTAGTATCGGGATGCTACGCGGAGGTTGTATTCCTTGTGGGGAAAGTAAAAGTCTGCTAGACCCCAGTCAATGAGACGGAGCTATAAAATATTGTCAATACATGTGTGTGTGCGTTAAAGTAACGGCTTTGTTTGGTGCTTTTTTTACCTGGCGGGTTGCATGGTCAATCATGATATTGTGGGGTTTGACATCTCGATGCATGATTCCCCTCGAGTGAGCATAATCGAGCGCCTAAAAAGTGTTTGAATGGAGTGCACCCCTCAAACTCTTTGCTACAATCATAAATTCCTACCCGCAAGAGCTGGAACATGTAATGCCGAACATCATCATACGAAAAAGTTGGATACAGGTCCTTCCAGTTGGTATTATTGATGTATTTGAAAATGAGTGCGGGTTCCTTTGTCTGGGATGATGAGAACATGGTATTTCATAAACCAAAACCATAATTTTCGGATACTCACCTCCCGATCTACAAAACACCCATAAAACTCAATGACATTCGGTCCACCCCGTAAATTCTCCAATACCAAAATCTCCCGTTTGAATTTCTTTGTTCGGAGGGGTTTGAGGTACTTTATAACCACGACTTTCCCATCTTTGCGGACAGCTCGGTAGACATTCGAGTACTTGCCCCGTCCAACCAAGTCCCGCCTCATATAGCCCGACCCATCAACCCACCGTACATCCGAGGACTCCCAATCCGAGTACTCGATAGGGAGTTTTTCATTGACGGTTGCGTAGGTTCTTGCAATGGAGGTGCTTACGGGGAGGACCGGTGCCGAGGCGGCGCGTTGGACGGGTTGGGGTGGACGGTGGGCGGTACGCCAGGGTGATGAGGTGTCTTTGGGGGACGGTGTCTGGGACGTGGAGGGTGTGGAATGGAAGAGATGGGACGCGAGTTTGGATATGAGGTCGGCCAACATGTCTTTTGTGTGTTGAACCGCTACCAATGTCGTAGGCTTTATGTGTGTGTTGTGGCGGACGGAGAGGGACGGTGGAGAAAGGAGCGTTGCAAATAGAACAAAAACAAAAAGCGCTCCAAAAACAAGGTGCAAAGCAATGGTGGTCAAATACCACTCGAGTATAAAACGTTTTACAAAAGGGCAATAAAACAATCCACAAAAACACAAAAGAAAATACAACACAAAAAGGTTCCAAAAGGCCCTTGTCGACAAGCCAACACCCCGTCAGGTTAACCAAAAAAAAAAAAGGAAAACGCCCACAGAATAACACCCCTCCAAAAAAGCTCGCCCCCAAAAAAGCACACTTGTAAAAAGCCCCAACGATACGGTTGCGCGAAACGGGCAAGGCGGTTCATAACCCTCGTGACCCCCTTCCCCCATTTCTTACCCTTCCGGTTTTGTTGATTTTGGGCAACAAGAACCTCCGATAATGTGCAAAATACAATAGCAATACGAAAGGAACAACACATAAACAATGCAAAAGAGTAAATGAAAGGGTTCGGGAATAACCAAAGGAACAAAAAAAAAACACACATGGAGAGAAGCAACGACAAGGAACGATGGATATTTGGCACGAGACCATCTCCCATTTGATAAAAAAAACGCCATATCCATTCAAAAAGTACACACAAGCGGGGCAATGCAACACTCCACACATTGGCAGGCAAAGCAAGCATTCGACCTTGTTCGAAACGGTTCAAGATACCCAACAATGAGCCCATCCTTTGCATTATCCTGCAACGAAAGGCTTCCGGTAACGATGGCGTAGAAATGACACAAACGATAGTACCTGCGTTGAAAAGAAAAACCCAAAAAGCCATCTTTCGAACGTCTTGTTGATATATCCACGTGATGTACCAACAGCAGAACAAAAGTTACCGCGGCATAGGAAGAGAGAGACGATAACAAGAAAAAACCTCCGAAAAGGGCTACTCAGCGATAAAAGCGGAGGGAAACATAAACAATTCTACCAAATGGTAGGTTCAAGAACCCCCCATATTCCAATATTACGGCTAGAAATGAATAGACAAGCTTTTTACAGATGCGTTCTAGATAGAGAATCTACACCAAACCGATCCATTCCCCAATCACCAGACCTCCGAGCAATGACATTTTACATTGACGAACCGCAACCCAAACCCAATGCACCATCAAATAGGTCCATGGTCCAGAGTCCCCTTCAAAAAGACAATGCCAGCATTGGGATTCCCAAATGAATGAAACGGGGCTCAGCAAAAAACATACGTAATGATAACCTTTCAACAACTTCAAGAAACGTACATTGTCTTCATTTCGGACAATGATTCCCATGTCGCTCTACACTTTTTTGCACATGTCAAAATCCCTCAAAAGAAAACCACTTGAAAAGAATGAACCAGCGCTATTCTTTATTGTTTGAACCCTGATAATGCAAATCAAAGAAGGACGTACCTGTTTAAGCCAAAATGACCTTTTTGGCAGATAACATTATCCACAACCCAAATTCTTGGTTAACAAACGTACTTAGTCCATTTAAAGTATTCAAGGTTTGCTGGGTATCCCTCAAAAGTTAAAACCGTAACCCAAAAAACCATGAATGTATTCAAAAAGTGGGTTGGCTAGGTTTGGGTGGCAATATGTTTGGGGAATATGACGAGCAATGAGCAAAAAGACAACATACAAAAATACAAAGGTTGCTGATGACTTTCCAGAATGGGGAATGCAACTTGCAAAGCCTTGTTACTATTGATGGTACCATCGATTACCCACCCATGTGTTGATGTCGGGTGCTTTGGTCGATTAACGATTGTTTGCACCTGCTTTTCGCCATGAGAGAGTAGAACCAGCCTAGTTTCGCTTATTTACTGTCTTTGTCAATCTACACCTTTTCAGATTCCATTCATCCTTCAGGTCAAAAAGACGTAAACCTACCTTCATTGCGCCTTTTTAACCAACAAACCTCAAAAAATCATTGACGGCAATTCAAACACAAAAACAACGTCCGAAAAGCTTTTACTGTGCTGGACCTTGTCGATCGTGTGTAGCTCCCGTTGAGTAGATACCCAAAATGCTGTCTAGTTCGCTTATCCATTCACAGTTCTTTTCACAGCAAATCCAGATCTTTTTCAAACTCCCATTCATCCTCCCGAATATACAAAAGGTACTCACTGATGTGTGCATGTGTGGGACTTGGGCGTGGTACCTGCCCACCCATCTTTCACCAATTCAGGTCTAGGCTTTTCATTTCAAACTCTATTCATTCATCTCTCTCTCTCCGTTTTGCATCAAAAAGGCGTAATCTACCCACATTGCCTTTTACCACAAACCTCAAAAAAACAATGAAAAACAATGCAAACGGAAACTTACAAAATATGAAAACTTACATTTGTTGTTGTATTGTGCCCTCGCTTTCGCCATGAGAAGCACAAACCACCCTAGTTTGCGTATCTACAGTCTTTTCACAGCAAATCCATATCTTTTTAAAGTTTCATTCATCCTCCAAAAGTGCGTCATCTACCTTGACGCTTACCACAATCCTACACCGCCCTTCACAAACTGCAAAAACAACATAAATATATCAAGAAATATTGAATAGACCAAAAACTCTCACTTGTAACTTTTATTATTTAAACAATAGAGATTCGAACATGCGCAGAAGAGCCATTCAAAACTTGTAGTAATTTTCAATAATTCATATTGCGCATACACGTGACACCTCAGCCCCACAAAAACCTAAAACTCCAAAAACTCTACTTTGCCTCTTCTAAACAGAACAATCCGCCATCACAACAAAAAAAAACACACCTTTATTGAAATATAAAAACTAAACTCCCCTACAAAATTCCGCTTTTTCATTCTTTTCATACGCGGCACTTTTACAATTGCGAATCAACGGTACGAACACTACCCTCATCTCCCCCTTTCCGCACATGCATCACCGAACTCGGATCAAACATTTGGAGTGTGGTAACACCTTCATTCCTCCGTCGTCCGCCACGGAAGGCATTCACGACACCAATGGATTTAGGTACAATCCGAGCACGCTGCCACAATTCTTCGCCGGATCGAGCAGAAAAGGTGCGTTGAGGACGAGGAGGGGGGATAGACCCATCGGGAGCTCGAAAGGCATTCACGACGCGTAATTGCATTTGCGTACGACGGATGGCAGTGTTCCATCTGTCGTTGGTCAGAGAGGGTGTCGAAGGTGGGCTCGTAAAGCTTGATGTCGATTTGGAGGGTTCCATAGGTACGAGTTCGATATCGGAATCAGGAGAGGTGCGCCAGTCGGGTAGGAGGCGGATGAGGAATCCAACGGGGAGGGAACCTGCTCCGACCGCTAAACAAATTCCCCATTGGGCCCCTGTTAGACCGTCCGTGTGGAAAACGTCGCCTCCGAATTCAACAATGAGCGCTTGAAGGAGGACCGTTAGGGCAATGATACTGAGAAAGATGCGGTTGTGGATGATGCCCTTGAAAATATTGACATCTATAAAGAGCCTAAGTACATGTGTTTTGCAAGAAGAAGGTACAAACACACCAAATGAAAACGCACCTTGATCAATGGACCTCGAATTCACCTCATTAAACACTTGACAAAACACAAACGCATTAAACACAACCGTAGACGTACTCCTCCGCATCCCCGTTTCCTTATCAATACTCCCATCCGTAAACCACGTCCGTCCCCCAAAATAAAGCACCAGACACACAACAATCTGGTATATGGCTTGTCCAACAATCATGCGCGCCATGTGGAAATTCACCAATCGTTCATTCCGACGAGATGGTTTCCGGTTCAGGAGGTCGGGTGTCGGGGGGTCCGTGGCGAGAGCAAGAGCAGCAAGGGTATCCATAATGAGATTCACCCACAAGAGTTGGACGGCTGTGAGTGCTGACGCGGGTTTGAGCGCAGCAATCGTCGTGTAGACAGCCGTGACAATCGTAATAACGACAGCAGACACATTGACAGTCAATTGGAATTGCAAAAACTTGCGAACAGAGTCGTAGACACTACGACCCCACAGCACAGCTTTAACAATCGACGCAAAATTGTCATCGAGAATCACGATATCACTGGCTTCTTTGGCGACTTCCGTTCCAGTAATACCCATACTGAAACCCACATCAGAGCCCTTGAGGGCCGGTGCATCGTTGGTACCATCTCCCGTCACAGCAACCGTTTCGCCGAGACGTTTCAAGTTTCGCACGAGAATTTGCTTATCAAGGGGAGAACTACGGGCAAGGACTTGCAATTTAGGGAGAATCTCATCCATTTGAGCTTCGGTGAGACGTCGAAAGACGGGGCCTTCCATGACGATTCCATTCTCTGTCAGGATTTTACATTCAGCTGCAATCGCACGAGCCGTGGCGATATTGTCACCCGTGACCATGCGGACGGTGATACCCGCCGACATGCAAGTCCCGACAGCCGAAGGGACTTCAGGACGGACCGGGTCCATGATACCAAAGATGGCTACGAGGGTTAACCCGTATTCGTCCGTTTGGGGCCCGTCGGCTTGGGTGGGGGGCTTGTCGGATGAGAGACGCGTTGTCGATGATACGGGTTTGAAACCGGCGCAAATGGTCCGGAGGGCTTGGTTGGCAAATGTGTTGATGATTTGCTCATATTGCATTCGCTTTCCCTTGTCCAGGGGTTTAATCTTTGAGTAGAAGAATTGTCAGCAACACTCCCAATTAAAATCTGGTACATATAATAACGTACCGTTCCATCCTCGGCAAGGTAACTATCACACCCCTTTAGAACAATCTCTGAGGCCCCCTTGACACACAAGATGGCCCGCTTGTATTCAACCACCTCGGGCGCATCCTTCATCCCCAACCGCTCCTCAAACGCCGCGTCATGATCTACCAACATGATCGTCGACATTCTCTTACGCTCTGAACTAAACGGCTGGATATCCACCACCGTCGTACGTTCCCGGTCGACTTTATAGGGATACCCAAGTCCAAGCGTCAAATTGAGAATAGCAATCTCGGTCTTGTTACCGTTGAATTCGACATTTCCTTCCCTATTAACGCTTTCGCTGGCGGTCGAGTTGACATTGACGGTCCGAGCGACGAGTTGGAGGATTTGTTTCTTGTGGTCAGTGGTAAAATGGGATTTCAGTGCGTCGGGAATGTCGGTACGTGCGAATTGATGGTCGGTGATGACGCCCGCAGTGACGGTCATTTTGTTGAGCGTGAGGGTGCCCGTCTTGTCAGAGCAGATGGTGGTCGCGTTGCCTAAAGTTTAAAGAATGTCAAGCCCTTAGACAAATTGTCAAAAAAAAAAAGAAAAACACCTACCCATGGTCTCGCAGGCCGACAAGTGACGGACCAAATTCTTGTCCGCCAACATGCGAATCGTGGCATGCGCCAATGCCAAGGTGACTGCCAACGGCAACCCTTCGGGGACTGCAACCACCACCAAGGTAATAGCCGTAATAAAAATGGCAATGACATCGTTGGCAATCTCTGAACCAGGGAGTTTCGCACCTCCTTTGGCAAAGTACGCTATAATGAGAATTACGACCATGATGGTCGCGGCCCCAACACCAAATTTCGCAATATCATCAGCCAATTTGCCCAATTTCTCTTGGAGGGGCGTTTCTTCGGGTTCGACTTCGAGTGCAAGCATGGAGCGACCATTGAGGGAATTGACTCCGGTTGCAACGACGAGCATGCGACCCATGCCGTTGACAATTTTGGTTCCCGACAACAAGAACGGATCGTCTTTAATATCCTTGTGAATATTAATGGGTTCACCCGTCAAAGAGCTTTCATCCGTGTCGACATTGAATCCTTGGACGAGGACACCGTCAGCGGGGAGGACATCGCCTGTTTCAATGAGGCAAATGTCGCCGACGAGGAGGGAGGCTGTGGGGATTTGGATGGTTCGGCCGTCGCGAAGGACTTTGACGCCCGAGAGGGATTTGCTAAAGTCGTTGAGTTTGCGGAATTGGGCTTGTTTGCGGTAGTCGTTGACGGATGCGACGAGAACGACAATGAGGACTGTATGGGAAACAAGCGATGAGCGATGGTGAGCGAGTGACACCGAGGAATGCCATTACCATCGACCAACAACAATGTGATCCATGCTTCCTGAGAGAGAACGATAGCAACCCAAAATCATGTCCTCTCATGGTAGACCTTCCTACCAACATACCATTGCTAACGACTCACCCAGTGGACGATGACAAGGAGCAATAGCAACCCAAAGTCATGTCCCTCATATCCCACATGGTTCAAATTGCATTCCCAGAACCCTCCGACGCGGGTTCATGCACCATCCCACCAACAAACAATTTGATCCATGCATCATGAGAATGCTCAAAATGCATTCCCAGAGCATCGCCAAAATCATCCTACCAACACCATGCACTCCATGCACCCATCCCACAAAGTTGAAATGCATTGCCAGAGCCTTCCCACGCGGATTCATGCACCATCCCACCAGCACAAGGTGATTCATGCACCAAGGACCAACACAACGCGATGCACGACGCGAAATCCATTCCTGTACATTCTTCTCATACATACCAGCGACAATGATGGCAGCGCCATCGATAATGGCAAGCTTGTCATCTTCCTTTGTCAACTTATAAATGCCGACGGCGATTTCTACAGCGGCGGCAATGCAAAGCACAATGAGGGTCTTGTCCTTGAGGGCATCGAGCATAAAAGCCAAGAGGGACTTGCTGACGGGTTCAGGGAGTTTGTTGGAACCAAAAGCCTCACGACGGAGATTGCCATCCAAAGGATCAGCAACGCGTTGTTGTTGATTAGATGCACTCTTTCCAGAAAAGACACTACTTGCTCGCTTGTTGAGACGGTGAACCAGGCTGCCCGTTTCAGCAGCATGTTCATCTGGGGCCAATGTTTGTTTCTTTGTTTGCAAGCCCGTGTGCATGTCTACTTGCAATTTCTGGAGCATGCCGTCCCTCCCCCCGAGTTGAGCATATTTCTCTGGATTCTTTGGATCCAACAGGTCGTAAATGTCGTCTGGCGTAATGCCAAACGTGTCATTGTGAGGCGTTTGTCCATGTTGCTGATTCTTGAGATGGGGTGGATCAGTGGAATGTGATTTAGAGTCTTGCGGTGAGGGAGGCGTGAGAGGGCATGTGGATCCCAAGTCTACAGAGACATGCTCGCTAGAGCCATGGATATCGTCGGGCATGACAGTTGTGTGTGTGTGAGAGAGTTGTGTCCTGAAAGTGGGTGTTGTTGAGCAAGAGGAAACGAGCGTAAAAGATGCAAACACCGTACTCAAAGTATGTGAATTCCTCGTTGTGTGGTGGGAATGGAATATTGTGTGTGTGTGTGTGTGTGGTATGCAAGAATGCAAGATGGAGAAGGGAGGAAAGTAAAAAGATATAAACCCCCCAATACCTAAAATACGAGGCTGTGTGATAACGTAATCATGCAACTTTATTCAATAGACATAATGCACAGTCACGCAAGAAAGAATAAAGTTTGAAAGTAAAAAATGGATATAAAATGATCATGTGATGTCATGATAGGGAAAAGGCGAGTTGATAGACAACGTGTGAGAGAGAGAAAGAGAGAGAGAGAGAGGGTAATGATTACGTACATACACTGGGAGAGTGTGAAATTCACACATTCAAATGCACATAGACAAATGCACATTCAAATTGAGAAGAGATAGATATATATTCACATAGCGAGAAAGAGAGCAATCATACATACATACACAAGGAGTGTGAATGTGAGAGAGTGTAAGAGAGAGTGTGTGAATTCAATCATACAATCATACACACAGGGAGAGAGAGAGAGTAAAGAATCATTTCAACTGTTATTCTGTTTATATTCATTCATTCATTCTATTCATAGCGATTGCATTAGAATTCACACACAAACACACACAGAGAGAGAGAGTTTATTAAAGTTATATATTTCATTCAATCTCTCATTTACACTCACACACATCACATGACTATTATCACGTGAGTTACTGTTACCATGACATTTCATTAATCTCTCTCTCTCCATATTCACACACGCATTGTATTAGCATCGCTTTCCTCTCTCTCCCACACTCTTTGCACATTTCAGACATGCCACCTCCAAAGTTTCGTGGGGCAAACTTTATGGTTCCCAAACGCCCCAAGATTGCTTACAAGGACCGCATTCAGGAAGGGTCATGGAAGATTCATGTTGGTGACAAGGTATTGTTACGGGTTGTATTTTTGTTTTTTACTCGACTTGTAACACACACACACACACACTACATAGGTCCAAATTGTGGGAGGGAGCATAGATGTCGGCAAACAGGGCAAGGTTGTTTCGCTCGTCAAGGAAATGAATGCAGTCATTGTAGAGGGTTGCAAAATGGTATTACCTATTGAGTGCTTTTTCAATGCGTTTTCGTTCCTGTTCTCATCCACACCATGACATTTAGGCATTCAAACACGTCAAACCCAACCCAGAACATCCTTCTGGAGGTCGTATCCGCAAAGAACTCCCCATCTCTTATACACACGTTCAATTAATTGATCCTGCCACAAAGTATGTGTTCCCGTATTCTACGTTTGGAAGTTATCTGATTGTTGACTCGTTGATAGTCAACCCACCAAAGTCCGCCTCACGACCGTCTTTAATCCGACCAAACGACGTAAAGAAGTCTCGCGCGTGTCACTAGCCACGCAGTCTCTGATACCCGTACCAGAGGAAAAGGATGAATTCAAAGAAAAGCCTGGTGGGTTGACAACGTCCGATTTTCTCGCTTTTCTTTTTTGCCTCCCACTCTGTTTTGTCTCAATGTTGCGTCTTTAATAGAGGGACCGCTCGACACATCTGCAGACGCGGTGGCAAAAGAAACATTTACCATCAATATTCAACAGTGTCCGTTTCCGTCTGCGTTTATGAACGAGTTGGAGAGGATGCGACGAAAGAATCGGGAGAGTCATGCTTGTTAGCGTCTGTCAACGCACACATGCATAGGGAATTTGTGTGTGCGATTTAATGGCATGGGAGATTCAGTGTGTGCGATGAATCGCAAGGGAGAGGCGTGTGGAGTTTCACACGGTCAGGACTGTACATGTTTTTCATTTTTTTTTTAATTATATTGCATGTGGACGGCAAATGGGAATGGGACATGGTTACGAATGTTGCGACAAGGAGACCACAGGTGGACTCTCTCGTCTTTTCATTTGTTTTACTGCAATTTGCCATGATTGAATACTCATATGGAGTGCCCTGAAGATTCGTATGGTTGAACTGAACACCTATCCTCTACCAACAGAACAATGTAAATAAAAGTGCGCATTGTCCATTGTGCAAAGTTGTGTACTGCGGTGGACTATGTGAATTTGCAATGGACATTACTCTCAAGATAAGCGTAAACAGCATCTTGTCTTAGATGCCTCCTCCCATCATTTGCAACGACCTCTGACACCCCGCACACACTTGAGCACGCATATATTACGATAAACCATGTATGTGATATAAAGTATCAACTCAAAGCCTCTACAGTGGGACTATTCCCCATGTTTGAGCACCCGAACCCATTCCCTGTAATTAAACTGTCCGTTTGCGCCAACGGGGGCCCCTTTAAACATGATATCCACCTAAAAAGCCACAAAACAAAATCAGAACCCAAAACACAAAAGGCACTTTTGCACCCCTTGACATACCTCCTCATCCGTAAAGCGATCCCCCATAGTCGTCATATAATCCCTCAACACCTCCGCATTAATGACACCCGACTTGTTATCATCAAAACACTCAAACGCGGCTAGTATCTCATGTTCAGGATCCGTACCGCTCATTTTCTCGCCCATGAGGGTTAAAAACATTGTAAAGTTGATGGAACCGGGTGCTTCAGAGATCATATCGTCAATGGATGATTCAGTCGGTTGTTGGCCTTTGGTACACACGGTGTGAGCATTTTTTCTGAGGGAATTTGAAAACGAAAATAGAGACACTTTACCTAGAGAAGCCAACATGTCTTTTAAATCCTCTTTATCAATAAACCCATCTGAATCATGGTCAATCATTGAAAACGCTTCCTTGAATTCTGCAATCTGTTTTTGGTCAAACATGGCAAAGACGTTTGAGTTTTGGCGGACGGCGCGCTTCTTTTTCTTTTGGGCTCTTGCAGACTGTTGTATTTGGAGGTTGCCATTAGTTTTTACCTTTTTGTCATGCGTATGCGTATGTGTGGTCTTACCATGATGGTATTTGCAACTTTTTGGTAAAAAACGAACTGAAAAAACGATGAACAAGAACGAACAAACGAACAAACAACGTCGGGAATTCAACCAACACGCGCCTCACGTAATCCCCCTTCCAATCCTTCTAGAACCCCGCATGACACACACAACGCACCAAAAAACCTCAAGTGCATTTGTCATGCCCATTCACCCATCATCAGCATAATGTCCTCAACAACCCTCCGCCCCCGCCGTATCCTCCTCGGCACAACCGGCAGCGTCGCAAGCATCAAACTCCCAAAAGTTGTAACAAAACTCCGCGAAATCTACAAGGTATAAGGTGAGGTAATGTTGAATCTCGTACCGAGATGCAGTCATGCTGATATTTATTAAAGGAGGAAATCGAGATTAAAATCATTTCAACGGCACATGCTTTGCATTTTTTCAAAGTTTCGGATGTGAAGCCTGTGGAGGTTTTAACTGATGCAGACGAATGGAAGGTAAACGCCTACCATCACACTGACATGCAAAACCTTTTTTTAACGAGTTTTTTGGTGTTTTTTTGGAAAGGCGTGGAAGAGAATATCTGACCCCGTCTTGCATATTGAAGTATGGTTGTTTTATTAACGTATAAATACACAAAATGCTGATTGGGAATTTCTAGTTGCGGAATTGGGCTGATGCGATGGTGATTGCACCCCTTGATGCGAACACATTGGCGAAAATCGCAAATGGAATGTGTGATAATCTTTTGGTATGTATTACTCTTTTACCTTTTGTGCGTTTTTCCTTTTTTTGGTGGTCTCCTCGCTGTCTCGTCCCCACTTACCCACACACACACTAACCCCCCCTCACATCACAGACCTGCACCCTCCGCGCCTGGGACACAACAAAACCCATCATCATCTGTCCCGCAATGAACACCCACATGTGGGACCACCCCTTCACAACCCTCCACCTATCAACCTGCACAACTCTCCTAAAACACACGATCGTTTACCCAATTTCTAAAACCCTTGCGTGTGGGGATACGGGTGTAGGCGCCATGGCTGAACCGGAATCGATTGCGAAAATTGTGCATGAGGTTGTTGAGAGGGTTTATCCTGGGAGGGATGTACGAGAGCGCGAACCGTGTTTAAAAGCTTTTGAGTAAAATAAAATCATTCAAAACCATCTTGTTTTTTAACTCGATATTTTTGTAAACCTGCACCAACACTCTATCCAAATCTTCTTGCGTGTGAGTGTACGCCATGGCTGAATCTCATCCTAATGCGAAAGTTGTTCATGAGGTTGTTGAGAGGGTTTATCCCTGGGAGAGATGTACGCGAACCGTGTTTAAAAAGCTTTTGAATAAACTAGAGATTTATAAAGTATTGCCAAAGGGGGAAATGCCCTTTGGTGGTGAGAGACATGTGGTTTTGTTGAATATTGTGGTTTGTGGCAAGCAGTGAAAAATCTCCCAAATTCCAAAAATACAATAAAAAAAATGGGAGATTGGTATATTCATTCTCGTTCGATAAACGCACAAAAATATCTCACAAAATCCTCCACAAAAAAAACCCAACCAAAAACTTACGACTCACACCCTCCCAAAGAAAAACTACCTCCTCAACCTTACAAAAAACGCATTCTTACATTCCTTACTCTCAGCCGGTAAATACTTGTCATAAAACCCCACAATAAATTCCTCTGGTTTAAATCCCAAACGTTGATAGAGTACCTATCCACATAAAAAAACCCATTTAGTTTATGAAAATGGTGGTTTTGGGATCAAGTTAACGTTACCATGGCTTTATTATTCGCAGAAACGTGGAGTGTCACGTCTCGTGTCCCCGCAACCTACCCACATCACAATCGTCAAAAAAATAAACAAGTAAAACGCAAAAACAGCCATTCAACAAACATACTTGAATTAAATGAAACAACATAAACCTAAACAAAAAGTCAAAAAAACACCCAACATAATAGATGAAGAACTGAATGGGAACTCACCTCCCAATCCCAGCAGATCCCCACCCAGGCCGAACAGCAATATACGAAATATACCCTTCAGGCGTCATGAAAGCACATCCAACAACAACACGTTTATAAAGTGCAACGATTGAAAAATCGGGGTATAGTAAATTTTCCGAAACTATTGCAAAAAAAGAGGCATCAACACACGACACACACTCCAAAAAAAAATCCTTCAAAAACACAGAACAAAACTCACCATCAATATCCGGCCAAAACATTCTACACAACACCCCATTCACCTGCTCCAACATCCCTTTCTCCAAATACACGTAATCAATCGACCCTTTCTCCCCACTCCACATCTCCAATACGCTTTTCCAGGGCGGGTTAGAGACTCTATCTCGCCATATATAGGGGGCAAGGACGTGACCAGTGTATGGACTCGTACGTGGGGACCGAGAGACGAGGGTAGTGGATTTAAATGCGTCCCCATAAAGTCGAGACAAAAAGGAATGGGTATAGGACGTGGTATGCACATTTGTAACCGCCTAACAAACATACCAATCAATACCATTCCATAAAAAACAAATCATAAAATTACCCTAAATACGCACCTTGAACCTCTCAATAGCCCTTCGGGTATCCATCCCCCTCACATTCACAACCTCCCATTTCGGACACACTGTAAACCCACCTACACGCAACCCCCTCGACACAACACCATCTAAATCAAACAATGGGAGCCCGAGAGATCGTTTTAGGCGTCGGAGAGAGAGTTTACGGTGTAAGCGGCGGAGAGGGGGTGTTTTGGGTATGAGTCGGTTTAGGAGATGGTATTCTTCAGAGGGGGTTAGAAGTTGGGGTGGGGGGTGACGTGTAGGCTAGGCAACAAAAGAATAAATAATGGATGAATATAGCGATGCTATTGTCGTTTTTTACACAAACCTTTTGTGGTTGTTCGACTCTCCCATCATCTTCCACTTTAACTCTTGTATCATTCTCGTCATCTTCCTCCCCTTTTTCATCAAAACTTAATTCAACATCCGACAACTCTGACCCACTCTCAAATAAATCTTGGATGCGCGGTGGGATGGGTGTGGATGTCGAGGATGGGATGGGGGATGGGGGATGGCTTTTGGGTTGTGGGATGGTTGGTGGAGTGGGTGTGTCTGGGACCTGATGAACAATTATCAGGTTTATGTTGAGTAGGTTGTTGTACATCTTAAATGGGATGCACTGTACCTCTGGTTTAGGAGACCTCTGCTTTGGCGTAACCTACAACAAAAAACAATACATTCAATAAAAACCCCCAACATCTCCATAAAAAAAAATAAACAACAACATACATCCCCCTCTTTCTTCTTTTTTGGTTGTGGTTCCAATTTAATCGGAACCTCATCGGCTGGTGGTGTCTTGCGTTTCCGTGTCGGCTAGAATAGAAAACGAGATATCTCAGAATACACCATAAATGACCCATACTTTTTGATCCAAGCATTACTTTTCGTAGCACGGATTTCACGGGTGTCCCTTTTGAGATTATGGGAGGAGGCGGTTCATTTACCTGGAGCGTCCAAAACCCTAGACAAATCACTCATAAGTATGATACAACCCCAAAAAAATGGGAATGGAAAACAAATACCTGGTTGTCCATACGTTTCTGTACCAGATTTGAATACCTTGCCTTGTGCAGTTGATAACACACTTGCAACGGTATTATGCCACGTCGGAGACTCTTTAAAAAAAATAAGTGTGTAAGTACATCATCCAACCAAAAAAAAATCCCCTCCTACTTGCAAAAACACAATAAAAAAAACATACTCGGTTTCCCAGGTTTGAAATACTCCCAATACATTTCCACAAAACTACATATATCCTCTTTCCACCGCACATATTCTTTCTCGGGTGTCCGTTTAAGGAGATTGTAAATAGTCAAATGCGTAATCACCTGCCTATAAAATACCTTAACATATAACACTTTTGCATTGAAAAGCGTTTTGGCGGGGAAACGTTACCAACTCATGTTGGACCGAGTAAACAGTTGTGTACCATTATTACAGACCGAGCATGTAAACGTATAGAAAACGTCACCGGCAAGAAGAGGCTTTGGGAGGCATTTAACGCAATCTACCAATCGATACTTTTTTAAAAAAACAACTCTTCAACGCATTTCAAATACACAAGAACATACTTGAATGAAATAATTGTCGACAGGAAGAACATGCCAACATGGCCTCAACCCTACTCCAAAAAAACCAAAAAAAATCAAACAACCCTTCCATAAAATAGACAAAATACGATACTCACACCCCCTTATTCTTCCCACAATAACAATATATCCCCTCTTTATTCGCCGAATGGTCGTCGAGCCATGTCAGTGCTTGCAACTATAGTCAATCAGCTCAAATTGCATTTATTGAGCGAGTATGAGGAGGCGTTCGTACCTCGTAGGGTAGGGATGTGAGTGTCGGTGTGTCGGTCTTTGATTTCGGCATGTCATGTAGAGTTGCAATGGGTAATTCTGTGTGATCTCTTGTAAAGGTCGGTGTTGTCGGGTGAGACTCCGCAGTCACGGCGCCATATGCTTACGTGGGCTTACGATATCCGATTGGGGAGAAAAGTCCAGAGGGATCTCATTGGAGATACATGCGAGTGAGGGGATTAATGAACGGGAAGCAGTTAAATATATCTTCTATATATCATATGCTCCTGCGACCAGCCTGCTGGTCCTCAAAAATGATGGCCTGCTTAATCTTATCACGAAGGGCCACGAGGTCAAAAGTACATTGATCGTGCTCCAAGTCCAAACCCTCCGGTGCAGGAACCCCTTTGAACAATATATGAAAAGGAATTGAAGGTGGAAGAGCCTTCTCCAAATCGATGTTCTCTCCAAATGGGTGTACGGATACTTGTGTGGCCTCACGTCGCCCAGGGATTAGCTCCGACATCCAAATTTCCATTGACATTCGCCGTCCAAGAGTCGCACTTGCAATCCTTTGTATATCAATGAGGATAACACAAGCAATGTCAATATGGCTTGTGAGCCATGTTCTCGCATCGTCTTGCAACTCTTTGAGCGCTTCTGACCATCCAACTTCAATGAGAACAGTAGGATACATTCTTCCAACGGGGACGAACCCCGCATCGGGTTGCTTGTACACTTGAGAGTTGACTTTCAAGGTGGTAGTGCCAATGTTATTGCACAGGCTGTCAAAATTAGTCGTTCCGACTTTGTCAATCAAAGATATAGCGATTTGATTGAAAGTAGACGTGGCGGCCCGCTCGTGCGGGAAAGACGGTACACGGCGAATACGAACAGTGCCGTGGTCGTAGTCCAGCATACATTCCTTGAAATTGCTTTGAGCCAACTCCAAAAATTCATTCTCTGGGACATGTTCTGCCACCTTCCAAAACTGAGTTGATGACATCTCAGTTTTTATTGCATTTTTCACCACTTGGCGCAACTGTTCGTCCTCAGATGTGATCATTTTAGAGGTTATCGTGATGTGTGATTGACGTAGGAGGAAGACTTTCCACTGGTAGACGGACTGGAAATCAGCGACATTGGACTTTTATGCCTCCTTTCCCTACTGAGTTTCATTATTACATAAGCATAATCACGGGGCGATCGTTTGTTTGGGGGCGTGATTTGTTGTCACATGACCCGGCACATGACCATGACCTTGATGCATCGCGGCTGCTGCTCTATTTGCTTAATTTGTCTCATCAGGATGCCACATTATACTGAACGTCATTCCAAATTACTATCTCCTTATGGATATTAACTGTATAGCAATAATCAAGGCCAGTGGTATTTTTTGCCGCCAGGAATTGTATCTTGCAGTAGTTTGAAAATACAAAGTGAAAATAAAGACCTTTTACCGGGATATAGACATCATATAGCATCTAGCAAAGTGCTTCCGTACTGTAGCTGTATTTGCTTTCTGTCTTATTGTCTTTTGAGGTCGTCTGTCAAGTGCGTTGCACGCACGAGCTGACACGCTAGTTGAATCCAGTGCCATCAAGTTATCGATGAGCTGTAGCAAATGTAGAGTTCTTGTTGTGTTCAAATGGCAACGAACAATCTATTCGTCAGGTTTCCTGACGACGCCCATATAGGTTGACAATCTGTATCTCTTCTGATACTTTAGTTTCATTGAACGAGATGACAATCGACGACGACACAGCCCAAACTCATCGAGCCAAGCAAACTACGTAAATCTCATATTCTGCATGAGATGAAACAGCCTAGCCCATTAGCGATCTATTCGCTGACGACGCCCATATAGGTCGACAATCTGTACCTCCACTAATCCTTTAGGTTCATCGAATGAGATGACAGATCCACACATGCGTAATTATAATTGACGACGACACAGCCCGAATGCAAAGGAAGCAATCAGGCAAACTATGTAAATCTCTAATTCTGCATGAGATGAAATAACCAACCCATTAAAAACAATAAAAAGACAAAAGTCACAAGAACTTTAAACAGCCTAAACCTAAACCATAGTTCTAAATTGAGTAAAATTATGATTAAATTGGTTGGAATCTATGCCAATTGGCGCTTATGCAATCGGGCTGGCCACATGACCTTGCCCAAGACCAGCCCTTTGAACTGCTGAACGGACCCAGCCCCATTTGCTTTCTCATTTTTTATTATTTAGGTTGGGCCTCATTTATCCATCCGCTCCTCTGTAAAGTGTTTGGCAGGAACAGCCATGCCGCCTTCTACAGTGGTCTGTGAGCGTTCAGCGCCAGAAAAAGCACGCTACATTCGTGAGTTGACACTTTAGATCTCCCTTAAACATTATTTACATGTACTGACAATTACGTTTCCGCAGCATCCTCACTCCCCAGTTCCTCCACACCTCGCTCTATCCACGTTCGCATCACACACGAAGCAGCATATCATGACGATGAAGAAGAAGACGACCTCCCTATTGGGCTCTTGCCGACAAGTTCAAACAATCCCAACCTCTCACACGAGGACTCGGACGACGAGGTGTCGTTGGCTGTTGCTGCGCGCTTAAAGGAAGCCATACCAGAGTATATGCGGTTGGAGGAACAGGAAAGGGAGTTAGCGGAATCGGAGGCGCTGGTCAAGCATGCTGAAAAGAGGATGGAGCATTTGTTGGCTGAAATCCGTGGAGCGAGTAATGAAGCTGACTACTTGAGCGACAAGTGGTAAGTTCTTGGACAGTATTCGTAATGCGCCTGCCTACATGCCAAACCCACTTTTTTGAAGGCGACAAGAACGTCAATTCCTTGCCTCCGCCCTCTTAGCTCCAAAACAACGCCGACAAGCCCTAGAAACTCTCCGTCAAGAAGAACAAAAAGCCCGTCAAAAAGTCCAACACCTCCAACGCCACCTCGATACTGTTCAATCTCAACTCTCATCCCACACGCTCAACTATCGACGCCTCCTGCATGTCCGTGAACGACTTGAAGCACTCTATGAGCGGGTCTTTCGGGATGCTGCTGCTGATTTCCCTCACGAGCATCGGTTAAAGCAAGGCGTTTGGGCTTTGAATACTCGGTTGACTGCTTTAAGGGAACGAAGGGAAGAGGGTGCAAACGTGAGGAGGGAAATGGGGATCTTGGAAGTCAGTCTTAAAGACGTCAAGGCGCGATTGCTTAAAGAGCGACGAAGAGTACTTCGATGGGCGGTCGTAAGGGGCTTAAGAGAAGGTTCTGGGAGTGTGGACGATTTGCCACCGCCTTATACGCCCTCAGCAGACGCGTTCGCACTCTCCACGTCGCCCCCCTACGCACCCATCACCCTTATGCGGGATCCGATCTGCCCGGGAGACACTGACCATGACAACAGTCCGTACCTCATCTCTCCAACGGAACTCCACCTTTGCGACGCAACGAGAAGAAGAAGCACAGGTTCCGTCCTTGTGACCACACCACGACGACAAGACCCTCCAAACGACCATGACGACACACTCTCCACTGTTTCCTCAGACGAAGACCGACCGCTGGGTTTCAATAGACACTATTCTACCCGTCTACATGACCGTCGTCGATCTGCATCCACCCCGCCTCCACCCCAACGAACACGACGAAGGCCCTTACCCCTTGTATCGCTCATTCCTGGTGGGATTCCGGTACCGGTTGGGCAAGAACCTCGTGATGGTGAACGAAGGCGGTAAGCGTATACTCCCTGGTGGAGTATTTTGTAATTTAGAACAAGTTTCTTAGTGATCCCCCCCATGTATTTGACTTTTTTGTTTTGTATGTAATAGCAATATTGGATATTAAAGATATTAGTAAACAATAGTTTTTGGTTTTGTTTTGGTGATTTTAGTGTGTGGTGGACAGATGGGTTTTGCGTTAAGTAAGCCATCCCGACACGGTTTATGAAAGTACGACCATCGCGTTCCAAAAATCAAAAAGATGTGCCGACCTTTGAGCGCATTTGAAGCGGGAGCAACCCATCTCATCGCTTTAAGCCAACAATGTCCGTCCTCTTAGAACAAGCAGAGTCCCTCATCGCGACCCGCACAACCTACCTCCCAACATCCCTTCGAATCCTGTCCATTGGCGCCCTCGAAACAACCTATGCAGCCCTTGAAGGCCTCTTTACCTCCCGAAAGACTGCCCAACGCATCAACGATCTCACCACTGCGAACCCAGGCCAAGGTCGTGGTGTCATTGTGACAGGTGGGAATGCGGGTATTGGGTACGAAACAGCCAAAGCTTTAGCTGGGAGTGGATGGAAAGTGGTCATTGGGTGTCGGTCAACTGAAAAAGGGCAAAAAGCTATACAAGAAATTCAAAAAGCAACAGGCAATGAGCATGTTGTGTTCTTTTCGTTGGATTTAGGTGATTTGGCGAGTGTTCGGGAGTTTGTTGATCGGGTGGGTGATCTTGGGTGGGGGTTCAGTTTATTGATAAGTGGGTACCATTTCTGTCATTTTCAAAAGTCAACTTTTGTGAAATTTATGGTTGTTCTTCAAGACAATGCAGGTATCATGGATATTCCCTATACCCTCGACAATAAGCAAATTGAAGGCCATTTCTCAACCAACCATCTGGGCCACTTTCTCCTCACCCATCTCCTCCTCCCGAACCTCAAACAAAACACACCCTCTAGAATCGTCAACCTAACATCTTGCGCGCACTACGCAACCAACAGTATCTCTTACAGTACCGTCACATCAAACCCATCCTCGAAGCAATCCCCGCTGGGATACTACTCCCACTCCAAATTCGCCAACATCCTCTTTACAAAATCTCTCGCGCAACAATTGAAATCAACCGGTGTTGTCTCCTACTCTGTCCATCCAGGCATCATCCCAACAGATCTGTACGCCCAAAACAAGCTCAATTATTCCGTAATGGGGTTATGGAAATCTCTTCTCCCCACGCCCTTTGATGGATGTTCTACGGTTTTGGTTGCGGCTTTGGATAAGAAGTTGGAGGGGGATGATACGAGTGGTGCGTATTTGGCTCAAGGACGGTTGTGGAAGGAGGCGAGTGGTGCTAATAATGAAGAAGAGGCGAAAAGGCTGTGGAATTGGAGTGTGGATGTTTGTGGGATTAAATGCTAGTCTCTAGCGTTTCCCTACTTTTAGACTATGTTTTTTAATGCACAAAGGCCGTATCGTACGTAGCTCATAGGTTTAGATTTAATGCTAATTTCTCATAGTTTATCTGATACTACTGTTTTGCTATAATCTTGTACTGCACTAATATATCAACTATCATTGGACACTGAATCAGTTTTATCATGGGGGTAATCATCGCGCGAAGCTCGTTGTCGCTTCATTCAATGCTGCCATTCATCAAACCTTTGATGACTTGTTGCGGTAGCGGGGCAAAGTGCCGTATTTCCTGTCATTCGCCACTACCATGTTGGCTGGTCAGCTTGTCTACGTATCTTTGAAACTCCCTTGTTTCTCCCACGCTCTCACGATATTTCTCTTTCAAAGACCTCCTGTGGCCCATCGTCTTGGTTCTTCCCATCAAGAAACGTAAAAGCTAAAGCCGTTACATGGATTTTCCTCGTTAATCTTCTTTTGATCAATGAGATCTTGCTCCGAGAGTTCAAGTCGGACTTTAATCTCACTATTGCCTTTTGTTGCTGGTCGCGGATCGTGTACGCTCCTATGCTGCGCGTACATTGTCTTGCATCCCTGTAGCCATTGCAGGACTTGTACAGACTGTGTGCTCCAATCCCAGAGCCGTTGGCCTTGGATAACATATCGACCGTTTCCTCCTCTGAGAGTTGAAAATATGGGTGCTTTAGAACGTTTTCCTGCGTGCAAAAGACCACCCATTCTAGCTTGGTGCCATTGCTTCACCAGAAACCTGATGGATGTCCTCCTATATCGCTTGTCCCAGACCGTGGGAAAATGAATAAACAAATGATTTCCACCATGGACGCGTTTACATAATCCTACGCGCGCAGTGTGCAAGGGGAACGAACGCACGCCAGGAGGTATGCCAGGAGGTGAGAACGACGACGATGATTGGGCATCGATGAGGTGACGTACGCAGGATACGGAATCTTTCGCCGACGAATTCCGAAATTGCGAAAAAAAAAGCGCAGTTCCCCAGGGTTATAAAAAGGCGAGCTTTCCTCTCCCTCCCGTTCTTCTTTGTTCCCCACCTTTCTCTATTGCTTTTTAGTGTGTTAGATGTTCTTACCTTTTTTGCTTTTTTGTGTTGCATGGGACTGTAGTCTGCGTGGCCGGAGCGACTGCCTCCATCCTTAGGTGGAGCCCAATGATGGGGCCGGAGGGCACCTTTGCTCAATGATGGTCACCAGAGGGAGGGCCCGGTGGGTGAACAAGAAATTTGTTTATTCCAATGGCTGTCGCCTGAAATGGAATCAAAAATACTTTAGAAAATAAAGGAAGAAATGAAAGGATGAAATAGCAACATAAAGGACGTTTCTAAAGATGAAGATTTACAATTATTGATGCTCTGCTAAATGGTTTGCTGCACTCTGAACGCCATGCTCGCTCATCCTGCCAGCTGAACTCTTAGAGCTCAGCTCACATCTGGAAACCTGGCAAAGACCTCTGAAGCTGATCGGCTTACATAACATCACGTGCACTCTGAATCCGACACGCTGGTACATTTTTTATTTTTGTCGAGATCCAGCGAGTTCAAAAGTCCTTGCGAGGTCATTTTGTCAAAAGACAGGTCCCACTCGTTTTGACCAAAATGAAGCGAGCACGGACACCCCAAAAGTCCCACCCCGCACCAATTGATCCCTCTACAGATGATGAAGAATACACTCTCGCCGAAATTGTGGATGACGACAGCGCTTCGGACGGAGACACAGTCTTTTTCTCGGCTGAGAGTGACACGGAAGAAGTAGATGGAATCAACAGTGCCAGTGAAGAAGAGCCTGCTGAAGATGAAGACGAAGGAGATGATGACGAAGGGGACGAAGACGAGGGGGATGAAATTCCAGAAGGAGATGAAGATGAGTTTTCGTCCGATCAGAGTCCTGAGGAAGGGGATGAGTTTGCTAGTTCCGGCGATGACGAAGAGGAGGAGGAAGACGATGGTACTGTAAGAGTACTGAGGAAAAAACCCTTGCCCGAGATTGATCCAGTTTACGATGAGGATACGTCGGATGAGGTTGGTTGTGAATGCCTCTGACTTGGAGATCACTTGAACCCATATGCCTAACCTTGTTACTCGCTCTCACACTAGGAAACGGCCAATACCGTCGGAAACGTGCCAAAAGAGTGGTATGATGAGTTCCCTCACAGTGGATACACAGTGGACGGAAAGAAGATTATGAAATCTGCGAAAGGAGATCAGCTGGATGCCTTCTTGTCCGCGATGGACGATCCTGATACATGGTAAAATGATTATCGTTCACGGTACCTCTTGATTGTCTCGTTGCTAACCTATTTTGTTGAATAGGCGCTCTGTATACGATAATCTCGAGGACCGGAACATTGTACTAACAAAAGAAGAATTGGAGATGATCAAACGAATCCAAAAAGGCGATTTCGCCGATCCAACCTCCAATCCCTATGAGCCAACTGTAGAGTGGTTTTCTAGCAAGACACAAATAACACCCCTCTCAGCGGCTCCGGAACCCAAACGTCGATTCATTCCGTCAAAGTGGGAAGCTCAGCGCATTATGCACATTGTACGTGCGATCCGACAGGGGCGCATCGTGCCAGGGAAAAAGGCCGATAAGAAGAAGCAACAGTCCCAGTTTTATTCTATTTGGGACGATGCCACCGAGCCCACTGATCGCATCATGCACATCCCGCCTCCCAAGGCATCCCTCCCAGAACATGAGGAGTCGTACAACCCGCCAGAAGAGTACTTACCCACTCAACAGGAAATAGAAGAATGGGAGAAAACGGATCCACAGGACCGACCAAGAAACTTCGTTCCAAAGAAATACAACAATCTCCGCAATGTTCCTGGGTACAACCGTTTCATCCAAGAGCGGTTCGATAGATGCTTGGATTTGTACCTCTGTCCCCGTGTGATTAAAAAGAAACTAAACATTGACCCGGAATCGCTCATTCCCAAACTTCCAAACCCCCGCGACCTCCAACCCTTCCCAACGACCCTTGCTATTACCTACAAGGGTCATACCGCACGCATCCGAAGCATATCCATCGATCCAACGGGACAATACCTCGTTTCTGGCTCTGACGACAACACAGTGAGATTATGGGAGATTGTTTCTGGCCGGTGTCTGAAAACCTGGACCTTTGATGAACCCATCACATTTATAACGTGGAACCCCAACAAAGCCCTCTCTCTGATTGCTCTGGCCTCTCATACCAGCGTGTACATTATAACCCCCAAAAAAGCCTCCCCCGAAATCCAATCAGCAACTGATGCCTTGATTTCGCACATGTGGGCTAACCAAACCAAGCACACAAACGCGGAATGGACCAAGCCAACCGATAAACACGCTGCACAGGGACGGCTAGTGACGATTCGGTGTGAGAAGAATGTCACGTTTGTTACTTGGCATAGAAAGGGAGACTATTTTGCCACTGTTTCCCCGGATGGAGCGAGCAAATCGATTTTGATACATCAATTATCAAAAGGGTTGAGTCAGAATCCGTTTAGGAAGGCGAAAGGGTTGGTTCAACGAGTTTCGTTCCATCCGACGAAACCCTTCTTTTTCGTAGCAGTAAGTACAAAATTCATTCATTCTTGTCATCTTGATTCCAGACATGTTCTTACATTTTATTTTATTAGACCCAGCGTACAGTCCGGGTATACAACCTCCAAACACAAACCCACCAAAAAACCCTTCAACCCTCCACGAAATGGATTTCCTCCCTTTCTATCCACCCGGCAGGTGACAATCTCATTATTGGAACCTACGATAAACGCCTGAGTTGGTTCGACATGGATTTGTCTTCGAAACCGTATAAAACCCTCCGGTATCATAAGCAGGCTATTAGGAATGTTTCCTTCCATTCTCGGTATCCCTTGTTTGCAAGTTGTGGGGATGAAGGCTCGGTTAATATTTTCCATGGGATGGTGTACAATGATTTGATGATGAATCCGTTGATTGTACCTGTTAAAACGTTGAGGGCGCATGAAGTTGTGGATGGACTGGGTATGTGTCTTTTGTTTTTGAAAACCCCTTTGTTGGCATGTGTTGACCGTAATTTTCGTTCCTAGGTGCCCTGCACTGTGAATTCCACCCCACCCAACCATGGATATTCTCTTGTGGTGCCGATGCAACAATTAAGCTCTTCTCTTGATGTGGCGATAATGGATTCTATTGTACATAGGGACCTGAAGTACAGCACTGTGTGTGCATTTAATAGATTTATTGCATATTTGCTAGAGTCTTTTGACATGGCGCACAAATAGAAATAGGTTAAACGGAATAGGATGGCCGTATCAAAAGGAGACTAATAGGCCGCCCATTAGACCCAATCCTCCTCTTCTTCTTGTTCCAGTATACCGCCCCCATCCAAACAAGTATGCACCAACGAATACAAAAGCCTCTAAAGACACGAGGAACAAGAGTTGCACATGGAACATTTCATAAAATTAATATGAAATTAATATACGGACAAGCACGGTACTTACCACGCCCCGCTCACCCACCCAAATCCCAACCTTGTCTTGCATCTCATCCAATCCCATGCCCAAAAATTCTCGTAGTGTCATGAGAGTCAAGATAATTTGGGATGTAAAAGGATTAAGAGGCGGGAATGATGATAAAAAGCGTTCTTGCTGTACATCCACAAAAGCAAAAAAAAAAAGTGAGAAACGAGTGAGAGCGTTCACACTGATACGGAAACGATCTTACGGCCGATTCTTCTTTTGCCAGCCATGTCCGAGTTTCATATGCGGTCTTTGACGACCAAGAACGTGGCATAGTCGTCACATTCGGCACCAAATAGCTGTTGGCAATCGTATCTCCGATATTCCTGCCACAAACGAATCAAGAAATCAGAACGAGCTCAGGTTGAAGCGCCGGAAATGTGGGTATAAAACGCAAACCTAGCAATCCAAGCACTCTCCCGCGTATTCATTGAAATACAACATCGCACAACCTCACCCATGCCCTCTAAACAGGCACAAAAACCACATAGCACATTCCAGCCTTTCACCACTGGTGGTGTAAACACATAGGTCGAGGATGGTTCCTTTTCTAGTACAACGTAGATCCGGCTGTAATGAAGAATAGACTTGAGGAGAAGGTGGCCTAAATCGGTCTTTGACAGGTGCGTTAAGAGGGCTGTACCCTGCGCAGTGGATGGTAGTGTGGTTGTTATCAGGGGAAGGTGGTTCAAGGGGTAATATCTGCGTTGAAAAGATGCTTGTCGTAAGACGGAGGTATGGGTATCGCAGCGAATACGTTGCTCACATGACGCAAGTTCGTTCATCTAGGATGAGGTCAACATCTCGATTGACAGGATTCGGCCCACGTCCCGCCTTTATTACAAAAAGTTACCACTCGACAGGTGATGAGGGTATTTCAAAAGAATTGGAGCTCACCCCGCGGAAATCCAGATCTCGCTCCAGTAAATCAACGGCAAACTCGTTCTCCAATGCCCTTACTAGCGCTCGGTTGGTCAGAAGTCGTTGTCCAGCAATGTAGACGTGGCGGGTTGCGGTTGAGGTGTCAAAGGCGGGTATGGTCCATGTGGCACTTTTCGGCATCGTAAGAGGAGGAGCAAGTTGGGCTTTGGGCACGGTATCAATTCTGGTTCCCCTTTCTGCTTTTTGGGAAAGTTTTGGTTTGCTCGGTACTAATTGAATTCGTCGTCAATTAACAGAAAGATTCTCGCCATTAGGATGTCCAGTAAACCACTCACCTGGTTGCCGGCTTCGCAACATCATAAACTCGTCTAAACAAGATTGTACCGAAAACGGTTGACGCAAAGGATGTGCATCATCATTCGGATCCTGATCGTCAATGCCAAGAATCGCGTCGGCTTGTACTGAGACAGTCGAACTTCCCAAAGAGGCTCCGGTGGTAGGCTCGATCGTCGGGGCATGGGCGCTCCGGATAGGTGAACTGGGAACCGCGGTGAGCTTCGGTTGCGAAAGAATTTCATCGCATTTTTGCTCATCAGGTGTTGGGCGTATGACTTCCCTAGTGTCTGGCGCTCCTGAGGGAAAAAACGTCCCAGAAAACCCTCGGTCTTTAACATTGGTGCGTTCACCTTGCCCATGACCATCGCCGATCACGGCAGTCGATGAAATCTCTCTGACACCATTTAAGACCCGTGCCAGCGGATCGATCGATTTTAATTGCCTGTGATCTTCCAGAACTTCAGCGGATTGCCGTGGACAAACCGAGCGAATTGTGTCAATAAACTCATCGCCCTTGAGTTTCTCGTGATAAGGCAGCATATCGCGGTATGCATCTTCACGCAAAACAAGCAATTAGGGTATAATGACATTTAACATCCGGTCTTGGTTTGCATACCTCTGCCAACATCAATCCCCTCAAAATCAAGATCAACAGCAACCGGATCTTCCAATCCCTCCTTCAGAATATCCTGCACAAACCGATCTCTGTCGATAACAACCCGACCCGGGAATATCCGCTGCATTGCTGCAACAGGGTTCCAATGCATCAGCGCTAGTTCTACCGAGGTGAAACTTTCGAACGCTCGAATGTTGAGGTGTTCGGTGAGTAGGGCTTTAAAGTTTGGCCACGGATCCGGGTTTGGGTGGAAGGGGTCAGGTCGTGGCAGAGTGGGAGCTGGAGTATCCGAGAGACTAAGCAAGGAGCGAGGTATATTGTCAGGCCTTCTTGTCCAAACTAACTTTACCGGTAAGTTGCCTCATGGATGCCATATCCCATTCCGCGTCCAATATGGCAGCAACATGATTTGCACTAGCCACATTAAAATCAAACAACTTTTCCAATTCTTGGTCAACTTCCATTTCTGCTTTGTCTTTGAGTGGGTTTTCATTGTCTTGATCGGTACTCAGGGACAAGTTCGTAGTAGGATATGCGTCGAGGACCACTCGCATTGCATCCGAAAAGCATCTGAGAAAGAATCTGATTAATTGGTAAGAAACCACGATGAAATGCCAGAGTTCGTCCCTACTCTGAAGGCGAATCATCCCGCTTATGACGTCTGGAAAAGCAATTAAAACCCTTTCTTTGTCCAAATATCAAAATGCCCGCCAAACACATACTTTGACCCTACTCCCGGTTCACTCGAAGAAGGAAATATAGGTAGCTCTAAACAGGATTCGAACAAATCATATCAACATCCAGAGTAATCTCTTCCACCTGCATCTCCATACGAAAAAGTACCTATCTGGGTAATCTTCCGTGCTCTTTTTCGACTAGTATTTTCCAAGGCAGCATACTCATGCTCATGTTCAGATTGAATCCAGTGTCCTGCCACTTGTCTGGCACTTTGCTGACTTTGAAAGTCCTCTAGGATGCTCTGTAGGTGGACTCTATCCTCCTGGGACGCTAAAGATTCTGTGAACAGGTTGAGCTCAATTGATGAATCTGGCTATTGTGCAGTCTCTGAGTGACAGCCCACCGTGCAGAACTTTCTCCAAACCAGGCACTCTTTGGTCTCTTCCCTCATCTTCCTCATTTTCCTTCAATTCCATCAATGGATCAATCTGTCGAATTCCTTCGACCAATGCGTTAAAGGGTGCATCACTCTCCAGCGAATCTTCCGGCGGAGGAGTTTTGTTGCCAGCACGTTGGAGAAAGACTATTCGAGAGATCTCTTCAGGGTCATGGCGATTAGCAAAGATGGGGGATTCAAGACATGTCATTTTTCGGGGCTGGCAAATGGTGAATATTCGGTCTCTATGACGTATTCCGCTTGCGCACTTACCGTACGGCAAAGCATCTCTTCAACTGCACGACGCATCCCCTTCGCGCTGCATTCTCCATCCCCAGTATCAGAGACGCCAATATCGCTCGAAGTAGGCAAAACTTCTAGGAGAATATCAACCGCATCTCTTGTAGCGATAAATCCCTCGTTCCTATTCTGGAATGAGCGACGCGCCATAGCTAGAGCTTGAAAGATTAGACCTACAAGAGCAATTCTGTGCTGCTTCGTCCAACGAAGTCGTTGGTTTCAGGTATCCGCAAAAGAGGGAGCTTGGCGGACACATCCTTCAGAGATGGTGAAGGTTTGAACAATGGATAGGCGGAGGTCCCAGTGGTCTTTGCTGGTAGGATGGGCTCTTCGAGTTTGGAAAGCTTCCGTCGTCCATCCAACATGGTACCCCCTTCCCCTGCTTATTACAAACGACCTTCAGTCACATGTCACAAGAGTATCTTGAAACTCTACCTTTGATAGTCCTGACCAGAGCACAGTCCGCCTCCTCTTGCCACTGTCCACGAGCAATCTCCTCTAATATCGCCATATGCCCCACAAATACAACACCATCTCCTTCCTTCCGAAACATGGTTTCGTCCATCGCCCATTCCTCGTCAAGAAGGTCGTCGAGGATATCTCCCACCTCTACATCTTCGCGTTCCAAGCCCAGGGATATTGCAAGCGCATTCAACGTCGGTAAAAGGCTTTCTGTGTCATACTCAGTATTGGGAAAGGGCGCCGCTGAGCCTCTCAGAGTACGCTGGAAGAAGTCCTCTTCCCAACCTGTGGGCATCATCAGGATTCAATTGGTTGCGGAGAGAACACAGAGCTTTGGAATTGACGCCAACCTTGATCAAAATCCAGCAGATCTTGTAACTCATTGACGACATCTTTCCTCCAGCTGTCATCTTCGTTGGGATCTATGTACAATTCCATATCGAGGGTCGTCCGTTTGGTGGGAAGTTGGCGAGCAGCTGCAAGATCAGATCGGATGTGTCATCCAATATACCCATTTTTGGATGTAATGAATCACTGTATCTCACGTGGTCAAAACAGCTCCATGACAACAAGAAGCAAATACAAGCTGTCGAGTGAGAAACTCTCCAAACTTCAAGTTATCAATGCAGTCTTATCTGGATGACACTGTTATTAGACTGTCTTGTCCTAAACTGACTGCGGAGAGCGAACGATAAACTTCCCAACTGCAGACTCTCTCGCTGTTGTAGGTCTCTTGGGATCTTCAGGTTGGCGAGATGAGTTTGAGTTGGGTGGACAGAATGTGTTGAGACTGGGACGGGCCCGCCATAGGGTTTAGTTATCAACACTTTTCTCTGCCATCATTCTTTCTTGCCAAAATACTACATTTTCCTTTCACATAAAGCCTTCTCTTACCCAGCAACCTCCCCCTTGAGGTGTTAATTGTTTTTCTTATGAACCTCCTCAGCAATCGGTGTCCCCCCTCACCTCTGCAAGCAACCATGCCTCCAAAGCTCTCGCTAGACTTCTCTCGAGTGGATACACGCTCCTCTGCATAAAAAAAGTTGATTCACTGCGCATTCAGCGACTTTTTTGACCGCTGGAAAAAGGTCATCCTCGGTATGGGCGACAGAGGGATCGTTGAATCGGTCTCTTACGAGGCTATCCGTGCCCGTTTGTAGATTGCCACGCGTGATGTGGAAGAGTTCATCCACGTCAAGCAAGTTTTTGTCTTCACCAAGCGCAGGGAAGAGTGTTTCGGCTTGATGAACGGGACGTATTCGAACTGTCAAAACGGGCACGTCTCACTGTAAATTGTATGATCTTCCCACACTATGTAGACAGCAAAGATGGAATGCCTTCTGCGACTGGGTTTTTGCAATGTCATCGATACAATTCTTCCTGCAAGCATTGTCCTCACCACAATTCTAATGGTGAAAACACACTGGAGAAATGTTATGAGAACGCTTTCGCTGGATTTTGATCTCAACCCCAAGGCCCCATCGGATCGAGGTTGACACCTAGCTAGTAAAACCACTGAGTTGAAGATGCGCGTGATTTCCTAGGACGATGGGTTGTTGGAATAAGATAGATTTGTGGATAGCTCAACCTGTATTTTTCCTACTCATTTTATAGGGGCGCTGGTGCATTTAGTATCGTGTACAAAGCAATTGATACCAAAACAAATTATTTGGTCGCACTCAAACTCATGTTGGTGGACAACGATGCATAAATCAACTCTGCAGGTTTGTAAAGTACAATATTACTTTGTTTAATCACAAAAAAACAAAACAAAACAACAATATAGTCTAAGCATGGGGATGGGTAGTACCTCCATCACACCAGATGCCCCGTCCCTTAGCTAAAATGGTTGCTTCCGTAACAATGCGCTCGGAGCCAACCTCCGTCCCCGGGAGCGGGAAGCATGATGGACGGCAGGCTTGATGAAGCTCTGCTGCGTCACGTGCGATGACAGCATCAGAACACCCCCTAGAGTAGAGTGATCGCAAGATGCACCGGTCGCAAACGATCACGAGGAGCGACGATGGCTCGCTCACCGTAGTAGATGGCATCCACGGCACGGTCAGAATCACCGAGGATGTCCTCATTCGCCTCATCTACTCCCCGGCCGTCCAGCGTCTAGGGGGTGTGCTTCAGCATGGAATCACCGGTTTGCTCGCCATGACGCCGCCAGTCACTCGTTTGGAGCACAGCGTTGGTGCGATGCTTCTTGTCCGCAAACTCGGTGCCAGTTTGAAAGAGCAGATTGCCTCTCTTCTTCACGATATCAGCCATACGGCATTGAGCCACGTTGTCGACCATGCGTTTCGCGGAACAGAAAGTTACCACGAGCTGCAGAAAGAGAGTTATCTGTTGAGCACTGAGCTTCCCGAACTGCTCAAGTCATTCGGCTACGATTGGCGGGACTTCCTCAAGGAGGAGGACTATCCGCTACTGGAGCAAGACTCTCCAAAGCTGTGTGCTGATCGTCTGGACTACGGACTGCGTGATTGCTTGGCATTTGATAAATTGAGCGAATCCGAAGTCCAACGAACTCTGGAAAACTTGAGGGTAGCGGAAAATTGCATTGTATGCTCGGACCCCCAGGTAGCGAGAGTTCTTGCTGAGGCATACATGGCCACCGATCGCGATGTGTACGGAAATCCGGAGCACATCGGCTTGTATGAACTCGCTGGGGCGGTCATCAAGGATGCTGTGGATCGAGGCTACATTACCAAAGAGCACTTGTGGCTTCAAGATACAGAATTCTGGTCAATCTTGTCAGCCATCCCAAACGAAGAGCTTAGTACCAGAATAGGGCTGATTGTTCCGACCACCCGCTTTCAGGAAGTGGTTGATGGAAGTCACGATCTTAGTTTCCGCCCTAAGGTTAGGACAATTGATCCAGGAGTAGTGAGGGATGGTGTCACGGTCCCCTTATCGACCATTGATCCAACATATAAGCGGATACGGGAAGAGTACCTAGCTAGTAAAACAAGGGAGTTGAAGATGCGCGTGATTTCCTAGGACGATGGGTCGTTGAATACTATAGATTGGTGGATAGCACTAGAGGTGAAAGGTGCATCATCAACGCATCGATCTATTATAACATCAGCTTCTTTGGTGGACGCGGCAATGAAGTCACAAAGTCGGGTGACGATTGACATCTTTGTTTGGCTGCATTTTCAATATATCATAGGAATACTGCAAACATTGGGTTGGGAGCACAGCCAGGACAAGTACAAGTAGCAAGTCTTTGTTAGGAATACATATGTGGGCAGAAAAAAGACTGTCAGTCTGCAGATAGATGTGGCCATTGGATCGAATGAGATGAAATGCAAGATGTCCCTCGATTTAGGCAAATGAACTATGGTTCGATGCACAAAAGATGCTCAACGGGTCCAATATGTGCGCCCATACTATGAAAACGGGTCCAATATGTGCAGCCATGAACGGGATTGCAATTACTATCCCTTTGCGGCCATCTATGAGAGGAATATTCGGCAACTGCATGACTCAATATATTGACTCAGTTTTTCTATATAAACCCCCCTCTTCTTCTTCCCTCTTGTTTCTTTATCCCTCAACTCGCAAGCATCTGCCCAATGCTCTCTCAAAGTCCATCATGAGAATACTGCTCTGGTGTCGAGGACCTCATCCGCCTGACAACAACAACATAACCCCTTGCAAATGCCGCTACTACTATATTGCTACGATTGCAGGTATATCCTTATGATTTTTCCCACGCGCGTATTACCCAGTCTAATTCTGATTTTATGTAGTATCTGAAACATCCTCCGACTAAGAATTTCGGAATCAAAGGGCGAGTAGGATTTCTCTCGTGGTGGTGGGCGCTAGTTACCCGGTTAGAACAACCGTAATGTATTGCATGTATAATTCCCTAGTAGTAGTTACCAGGATTGATGTAGTCCTTTAGATTTCACGCTCTTACTGTACTCACATCTGCGATCAGAAATGATCAAAGATGACTACATTATTTGGAGCTTTTCAATACATCAGCTGTGTAATATTGGACCACTATTTCGGTTATGCCTCTTAATGGTTCAATTATGTTATGTGCCTATGCTGTGTTATAACATATATAACTGGAGCTAAATGGAAATAGTTATTAGACATATTTATTAGATAGTTTTTAGTATGTTACAGTGGCAAAACTCAAATGCCAGACAGCAGCATGGGCATGGTCGCTCCTCGTGATCGTTTGCAAAGCCATTTGGCAAATGCTTATAATTGTATGAACAGGCAAAATCATAAATTTCTTGAGATCACACAGCCGTTTTGCGTTTTCTCGTTTTTTGCCCGTTTGCTGATATCAATGCATCGTGAATCGTGATGAGCGTTCATGGATGCTTGAGCAAGCCATGTTTCTCTCTTTTGCTTCTCCCGCCGTAATTTTTACAATAAAACAAGAAATGTTCCTGCCGCTTTCAATAAAGAAATCGACGGTCCAAAAAGGTTGCATCAACGACCATGCTGCAAGACGGACATATACGGACACACGCGAACAAAAAACCCACGCGTGTTGCTAATCCGAATCTGGACAAAAATCAAACGATCTGCGTTTTCACACTTCCAACGTCATTCCACTGAAAAGGAAATCGCATGCGAATTTCGGGAAGCAGCTCGGGGCCTCGTCAAAAACGGGAACGACGGGGGAAGAAGAAGAAGAAGGGGAGGGAAAAATAAAAAAAGTAAAAGATACACGTGAAGTAGGAGGAGAGCCTTGTCGCTTGTCACCCGATGGGCGGTTTCTCGCTTTTATTTCCCTCCCATCGTCTTGTTGTGTGTCTCTAGTTTTTGTAAACCTCATCTTGCGCGCTTGCAGGTCATCTCCCCCCATTTCCATCTGCGGGTTGTTCTTTCAAAGATTGCAGCGACCATTCACGCGTCTGTCCTTTCGCACCAGACCATCATTGCTGCTCACTGTTCCTCATCTGCAAGCAAATGCACACACTCTCTTCTTTCTATTCATACCTCATCTTGCACAACTCCTATTCTCCCTACGACTGATAATTAACATCTGGACAGCTCAGAACGCTGGTTCATCAATCATTAATTCCATTTGATTTACTTCTGCATTTATTCGTTCCTCTGTCATTTCCATCGCTTTGTCTGATACAGTTGAAGAACCTCTATTGTCAGCTGGCAAACTGATTCCCGAGTATAACTAAGAAACTACACATGTCCCGTGCTCGCTCAGCGACCCCGACGTCGCCCGTTGGACCTCGGAACGGCGATGCGGCGCGACTTTCTCAGCTATCTGTCGCTACCAGTGGATCAACCTCATCCCTTTTCTCGTCAAGTGACGACGAGGGAGGGCTCGCGACGCGAATGATTCGCATTGCTGGCGCTGTCTGCTCCAGAGTGGATGGACAGGGCAATCAGCGTGGACAAGCTGTTGAAGGGGAATGTAAGCTGCTGACAGTTGGAATGCCTGGCTTTGAGATGGTAGGTTAAAGCAACCTTCCTGTTCTACCAGTATGTACTGGATCTTTAATGCAATCTTTTCTTCCTTACAATTTACTTAGTTATATCTCAACATTGACGCATCCATATCGCACCCACTGCTGCCAAGCGCCAAAGTCTATAAAGACGGACCTAACGCATTCGTGTTTCCTCTGGAAGACGGACTCGGATATCATGTCCAATTTCCCAGGTTCGTAAAGCTTCAAATTACACTTTTTTTTTTTAAAAATAACATGTTGACGATTGTCTTGCATAGTGCATCCAAACGTGAGATTGAGCGATTTGAGCGGTATCTTCGACGTCGCAATATCCGTGTGTCTAGCAGACGTCGTCCAACTCCCAGGAAGCAAAGCTCCACCCATCCCTCTTCAACGACAGACTTGTCTTCATCTGCTACAGCTTCTGTATCCCCTGAACGCCAATCGCAACAGCGGCGAAATGCGCGAAAGGAGAGGCGCCGTAAAGATCTCACACGTGAATTGTCTCATGAGCCCCCGCAACGCCGATCGCCAGAGGTGCCTCAGGATTTGATTCCGGAAGTACAACAACCGGCAGCAAGCGAAAGATTATCGGAAGTGAAGGCTCGTCTTTCACCAAATCGGCTAGAGGGACGGGTTCAGGAAGTGAAAACGCGACAGCAACGGGAACTGTCTCAGGAAAGGCCCAAGGAACAGCTCACCAAAGATATCTCCAAAATCGTCCCCCCTCGGAAGGAATCTGTAAAGCTTGGCGGTAGTGGAACATTCTCAGCACTCGAATTAGATTTCGGAAATCCACAACCTGCTTCTACATCTGCTGCAAGTGGTAAGGAGAGCCAGGAACGAGTCAACCACGAAAATTCAGAATTGGGCAAATCTGAGAACCTTGGATATGGCCGGGAGTGGAACTGGCCAGATCATGCAAGCGCTTCAAACAAGTCTTCTATAAGGTCAAAGTCCAAACGTCAGGCGAAGATTCTTGATCTGAACCTCGAGTCTGTCCACACTTTGATGGAAGCAACCGAGAAAGAGACCAAGAGTCGACGTTGCGCGGCGTGTCCGCCAGATGGTGGCGATAAAGTCAAGTCGCCGACCCGTCATGTTGGACACAAATTGGAGCAATCTGCCAAATCGAGAGGATTATCGCGCCGTGTTTCGAGGGAGCCCATGATCGGGTCCGATGCAAGCCTGGAAGCGAAGCTTCCCGAGCTTGATGCTCAACCGGTACAACAGATTAGTCAGCGCCCTAACGAGAACAAGGAAACGGCTGAACCGCGCCGATCCACTGATTCTGTAACCGACCGTATTCAGGCTCTTGCCAGTGAACTCGCCGGGGAGCTTCAAGGGGTTGATGGTGTGCTAGCAAATAAGATACCAAACTCAAGGATCAAGTCAGAAGTCACCACATCGGTAAAGACCGAACAGGTCACCATGACCCGTCCGGATGCCGAAGATACCCCTACTCAGACAGCTATAGCCGTTGCAGCCGAGCCTTCACCGGCCAAAACGGAAGCGACTCCCTCTTTCGAGTCTCAACTTGAGAAGATTGCAGTATCGCCAGCTGCGCGTGATGCGATCAAGTCTGCTGGAACATCGCGAGCCTCTGATCCTATCAGCCCACTGGTTTTGGATGCTTTAGCAAAGGTATTACAAGCTGGCATGCATACTAGTCCCGTTGCCGAGAAGGAGTCGCCGTTCCAGAGCACTGAATGGGCGAGTACCACCACTGCTTTTGCTGCCGAGGGTGATACGTCGGTTTCAGGACCTGATGTTCCCCCAAAGGATGTGGAAGAAGTATCTCTTCCTAATGAACAGGCTCCAATTCCTCCTCCCAAGAACGCAAACTCGGACAGTGAAAACTCTTCCGATGCCGAACTTGACATACGAGGTGAAAATGGCAAAGTTGAATCGATGAAAGTCCAATGGGAAGATACTATTGGCAGGGGCGATCATCTCAAGGCCAGCAAACGACCGGTGTCGGTTATGTTGACCAAGCTTGCCAGCAAAAAGTCTCTGCATCTGATGAAAAATCGCTACGAGGCCATCGCTAGTGGAGCTACCCCTGAGGAAATTCCCAACCCACCAGACTACACTGTGGTTCCGGAAGATGACCTTCTTTCTGTGGAGAGTCCTGAGGAGGTGACGGAAGCTGCCCAAACTGTCCCTGAGGCAATTGCCGACACACCTGCGGCCCCAACGAATGAAAAGCCTCGAACAGGCTTGCTTTCATACACCTTCGATTTAGCCCGTTCGGGCACGGACTTTGCACTGTCTACAAGCAAAGCCGCCGTATCGCTTCCTGTCACCGCCACAAAGGCCATGGTTGGTTTCGGCGTTCAGACAACCAAAGCGGCGGTCGCTCTCCCTGTCACCGCTACAAAAGCAGCGTTCGATATTGGCATGCAAACAGGCAAAGCCGCGGTCGCCCTTCCTGGAACTGTTATCACTATGGGTGTTGATACAACCAAGGCTGTTGTCGCAGCTGGAATGGACACGACTGCTGCTGTTGCGGAGAGGGGGCGTGCTGTTGTAGGATCTGGAATAGAAGTAGGTCGGTCGGTCGCTGACAGAGGAAAGGCGGCAATGAGCTCAGGTGTGGAAGCCGCCAGAGCACGGCTTCAGAAAGGCGTGGATAACGGTATGATTGTAGCTGGTAAGGGGCGTGCTATCGTCGACTCTGGAACGAACACTGCCATGGAACGTGGCAAGGCGGCTGTGACCTATGGCCTGGATACAACCAAAGCAATGGTGGATTACGGGGTGGGCACAACCAAGGCCGTTGTTTTCAACCCCGTTGACACTACCAAAGCCGTTGTTGGATATGGGGTCGAGACAACCAAAGCTGCAACAGGAAAAGTTGTTGATTTTGGTGCGAATGTTATTGATATGGAAGTGCGGGCGGCGAAAGCTGTGGTTGGATACGGAGTTGATACTACCAAAGCTGTGGTCGACTATGGTGTTGGAACTGGCAAAGCTGTTGTTGGTAGGACGGTTGACACCACAAAGGCAGTTGTGGGATTCGGTGCGAGTGTGGTCGATATGGAAGTGAGGGCTGCCAAGGCGGTTGTTGGATATGGGGTTGATACGGGCAAAGCAGTGGTAGGAAAGACCGTTGACACGACCCGAGCTGTGGTTGATTTCGGAGTGGGTACTGGCAAGGCTGTCATGGACAGGACTGTTGATACTACAAAGGCGGTTGTAGGATTGGGAGCAAGTGTAGTTGATATGGAAGTTCGGGCTGCAAAGGCAGTAGTCGGATATGGTGTTGACACAACGCGAGCGGTAGTTGACTATGGTGTAGGAACCGGCAAAGCAGTTGTTGGCAAGACTTACGATACCACCAAAGCGGTGGTTGATTACGGTGTTGGAACAACCAGAGCGGTCGTTGATTACGGAGTCGGTACTGGTAAAGCAGTCGTCGGCAAAACCTATGACACTACCAAAGCTGTAGTAGATTATGGAGTCGGGACCAGCAAAGCTGTAGTCGATTACGGTGTGGGCACTTCTAAAGCCCTCGCCGCCAGAACCATGGATACAACCCGCTCCGCCTTGAACACCACCAGCTCCCTTGTCCGCACCAGCCTAGATTCCACCCGTGCAGCTGTCAACTACACTGTTGGAACTGGCGAAAGCGTTCTCCGAAGAAGCATAGACTCCACCCGTAGTGTAGCTACCCACAGCCGTGATACCGTCGCCGAACGACTTGGGGCTTTTAGAAACAGACTGAGTGTCGCATGGTGGTCATAGATATATAATAGATAGTTGCGATAGTGACTCTTAATGTAGTGATTGATAGTCGTACGTTTAATGGGTCCGTTGTTTTTCCTCATAGTTTACGAATAGCTTTTTTTTTTGGTAAGTCTTATAAATCAATAATAGATATTAATCGTGTTTAATCACTGAACTCGTATTCTATGTGTGTGTGACAACTCTGGTCAACATCCGCTTGTTCTGTCCGTCCTGCTTATATGATGCAGCCCCAAGGTGCTGGACAGCGATGTATAAATCAACTCTGCACGTTTGTAAAGTACAATATTACTTTGTTTAATCACAAAAACAAAACAAAACAACAATATAGTCTAAGCATAAGAATGGGTAGTAGCTCCATCGCACCACTGCGTTAATATCCCACTACAAATATAACCAGTATCTAAAAAATCACTGCTGGAACGGCCAGCGTCATAAACATCATCTCCCCTACGCCTTTGAAACGCACAAGACCTCGTGAGGGTAAATATATCCACTCGAGCACTTGTTGTTATTCCATTGGTCGAGTTGCGCTACGCTTACTCCGAATTTCTGTCCAATGGACCAACACGAATCACCGGATTTTACAGTGTATTTCTGGCATCCGGTGAACCCGGAGGATGGAGTGGGTTTGGCGGTTGTGGTAGCCTTGATAGTTGTAGTGACCTTGGGGCTTGTAGTTGGCTTAACCGTTGAGGACGGTTTCGAGGTTGAAGATGGTTTGATGGTACTGGTCGGTTTCACCGACGTAGATGTGGGAGGGGGAGTAGATCCACTACCGCTTGTTCCAAGGAGGCTACAGTCGACTTGACGCCATTGCATGCTAGTCGTCCCGTAAAGTTCCGCTAGATTCAGCAAGACAATGATGAGAAAATGCAATAGATATTTTATAGGAAAAAAAGGTAGAACATACCATTGGCATCACCGTTCATTAAGACTGACATGGCGCCAAAGGACAGATCTAGACCTCCAAACCCGCAGGAGGGGCACAGGTCAACCACTTGGACAACGATCGGCTTCCCGCCAGCGCACTATCGTTGTCTTAGTACAATTGGCAGAATTTGATATCGTGTGTGAAAATGCCATTTACCTTGGATTGGTCGGTGCATGTCACTTGAACGCACATGCCACAGTAGAGGCCGTTCGAGTATTGTTGAGAGTTCTGTCAGGAGAGACCAGATGTTAACATTTTGGGAGACTTTGAAAATACATCCATTGTAAAACCAACACACCAACGCAGCAAACCACTTTGTGACAGAGCCGGGCGTATATAAACATGACCCGGTACTCTTTTGTGGCGAGATATCACTAGGATCATCTGGATGGTAGAAACAATCTGTTAATTCTTTTAATTCGAGATTGGCGCTCTGGATTGTCAACATACTAGTTTGACCATAGTAAGTAGCCCGACCGCTAACAGTCTGGCCAGTGAATGCGGAGCCCTTGTAATAGTAGTTTGGACTAGCTTGTCTAATCTCAAGGGTCGGTGCGCCCAAAACGGCTTGGGCGAGCACGAGGGTGGAAAGCGCGAGAATGGACGGAAGGTACATAATTAATATCTAGTATTTGAGTATACGGAGGGGTTCAAGGATAGGGGCCAAGCTTTTTAAGTTTGGGCCAATACACTGAAATCCCACTGCGGGATTCCCCACGGGGCGTCTGCGTCCTGCATGCTCCTCTCCTTGCACCGATCGAAAGGGGCTTGCCAAAAGAAACTTTTCGGCCTGCATGGCATGGTGGAAGATTCATGCGCCTACAGATCAACGGTACAACAACCACAACGGAAAACCTTCTTCCGTAATCATGAAAGAAACAATTGTCATCCTTCCACCATTGAACGTTGAAAACGTTCTGCCCAGCTTGCCGGCTCCACCGTGTCAAACCCCCCTTCTCGTTCCACATCCCCCCCGTGATTGCTCTATTAGTCCATAGCTTCGATTTATCGAATAGTGTGTGCTGTCCTGCTGCTGCTTTCAATCGTAACTTGGCATTCTGCATGCAACAAACAAACGTGCATGTAGCCCCCATGAAGCATCTACAGTACACACGCTACATCAGTGGCTTTCGCACAAAAAATCTTTGAATGGCGTATTGCATCTAGCATGGCAAACCAGTCCCCATGAAAAGAGTTTTCAGGGTAAGACAGGATACTGTCGATGGCAGTTTTTTTGCCGTTATTTAGAGTTTTCCTTTCAGTAAAAGATGTGCTTTGCGGAAAAGGACATGCCCTTGACTCCGCAACACAAATGGCAAATGCGACCATACGACGGCTAACAACGCTCTTGTCGTTGAACGAGCGTGGCCATATGGCATGCGCTGGACATCCACCACGCCATGCTTCACGCTGCAGCAAGTCGTCATCGACAAAAACGTTTTTCTTTTCGTCCCCGACCACGACGCTCGTCCACGTTCGGGGAAGAGCGTTCAAAAACTTCTAAAAATTCTTTTTTCGCTTTTGGCAATGGGAGCGGACAGAACTCTTCAGGGACCAAAATTGTCTGCTTTCGGACATTTGCTTAGTCACGCGTTTGCTCAACTGGATGACTAGTATTGGACATGCAAAGGAGATAGTGTATTGGGCAAACGACGAGCTGGCGCCTTTCCACCTTGTGCAGGCTTCCAAGTTCTCAATCATCGATATACTACGCTACTATGCTACTTTATAGTGTAGGGAATAGAGCCCGTGATAGCAACACTCCACCAAAATCTCAGCATTCTTGAATGCAAGCTTCCCAGATAGTTCTCACTCATCGATATACTATACTACTTATCATTGAGCTCCTACGCTACTAGGTTCTTTTACTTTGTACGCGAACCGGAAATAGAGCCCATCGTAGGAACACTCCACCTTTTCAAAAAATTTTGAAAGCTCTTGAACTACACCTTCCATCTCGTAATCCATTTCCTCATCTGTGCTCCCTTGATTCGTGATATCTACGACAACCCGCCGTATTCCGAACGGTAGTTCTGCCGACCTCGCAACCTGGAGCAGCAGCTCCAAAAATGTCATGGGGTGAACTTGAGCGCAGTAAGCTATGCTGATCTCCAAGTGTCCCTGCGCATGTTGCGAATGGGATGCCAATCTTCGAGCTGTGATGACCTCAAGGAGACCATGGGCAGTGATTGTAGGGTTAGACACTATTTCTAGGGTCTGAAGATGGGAAAGACGGCCAATGTGCGCAAGGCTAACATCCGTCATGGCCATGTCTTCATCCATGCACAGGAACAAGTGCTTGAGATACGGACACGATGAGCACACGAGGGACATCCCGTCATCGTCCAACCCTGCGAAGGATTCATCAGTGGCAATCCAACTATAGATCAGTATTAACACATTTGGGAGAGCCGGAATGTCTACTTACACCCATCTTCTGTATTGATAATTAGCTGCTCCAGCTTTGGACAAGCCGCAATTGCTGTGGCGAGGTGCACGGGTCCAAACCCCCAATTGCCGCACACTCCTCGTCGTTCCAGCCTCAAGGTTCGTAATTCTCTCTTTGGGTGCTGCGTCCATATCATCATGTCCTCAGCTGTTATACTTTTCAAAAGTGCAAAGTTCCAATATCGCAGGTCTTTGCAGTTGGTACAGAAAAGCTCCCAGTCTGTCGGGGTCACATCAACACAAGCAACGTCGTATGGGCCACTATCACCCTCTACACATTCATCCACATCAAACTCTTGAATGTCAGGTGCATACAGTGCAAGAGAGCGCAAAATACCGCGCAATATGTCCCCACAAAACCGTTGGGCACCAAGTCGGAGGACGCGGAGATTGCCCGTATTTTGCAATAGTTTATTAATATCTTTGATGCTAGGTTCCCAGTTCCTTGATAGTTTGGATTCTTGCGCGTTCAAATATGGTTGCCAGGGGTTAAACAGCGTCAGTCGCTCCAGATGATGGCAATGGGACCCAAGAACATCCAAGAAATGGGCGTCTATTGGATAATTCAGACTTCTCCTTAGAATGACCAGATCTCGTAGATTTGGAAGACATCTGAATATGCACGCCCATTTCTGCTCATTGAAACTCCAGCTAGGTGCATTAGCTTGACGGATGTGTTGAAAAGACGTTCCCGGAGTAGCCATCTCCAGACACGGACGTAGCTCTGTATCCCCATTATTCACATCGTCATCTTCCACCTCCCAATCGTCTTCCAATGGCGGAACGGAAGCTCGGACGTCCAAGTTCAGTACCTCAACATGCTGTCCATATATCTCGATCAGTTGCAGTAGTTTGTTCTCAGTAAACCTCCAATGCGGTGATCTTGTGCTCCATTCCACACGTCGCCACAATTGCACGCCCGCGTTGCGAACAGTACAGTACCAATGTCGGTTTACCTGCTGTAAAACAGGTAGGAGAGAGAATACAGGAAACTTTTCAGCTGCTTTCGCAAACCGGAAGATCAGGATGAGCAAATCCTCTGGAAGCCGAGCCACAATGGGCAGTTCGGTGGTAGACATCACATTACTTGTTCCGGAGTGATGATATGGGTAACCAATTGTGATTTCATGCTGCAGCTGCTTCCTCCTACTAGCTGTCATCGAAAAAGGCTGTCAAAAGCATCTGGTCACGTGTTGCATTTGTTCATCTTGGTCTCTGGGCTTTATCAGCACTTTTGCATTGCCGGTCATGCTTCTGGTTTGCTTATTTTTGGTTGATGCTCTCTAGCATACGCTAACATATTCTCCACTGCTTCCATCAGGTTCCTACCTCGAACATCCGGAGGCGGATATGCTGCCATCCATAGCTTTTCCTCATCTTCCACCCAACAAGTTTTGAATCCCCTCCTTTTGGCACCCATCAGATCCCATGCATGTGCTGCAACCATCCATATCTCCTGGTCGTCCCTTTTCCTCTTTACTGCCTCATATACATCCTTGTGAGGTTTGGCCACACCAATTTCATCACACGACATGATGGCGGTGTTGGGTATCAACTCTCCCAAACCACCTCTTTCAATAGCACCCTGTACGACATTCCGTCCACCATTGGTCACAACAAAAACCTTCCAGCCAGCATCCGCTGTTTTTCTTATTGCTTCCAAACCACCTTCCACTAGTGTTAATTCCTCAGTAAACGCCTTTACAACCTTGTCAAAGTCATCCTTCCGTGTTTGATATTCAACTCCGTGAATTGCCAATGTGCGACCTATGGCACTTTCAAGTATCTGGACTAATGGTATGAAGGAGCCGGCGAGAGAAGCCGCCATATAGTCCCTGAGGGTTGTAGCAAAGAGAAACTGAAATGCTTGCGGGGGGAGGGAGAAAAGGCTACAGAACACAGTGGAAGGATGATAAAAGGATAGGAGGGTACCGAGCGCATCAAATGTTGCTGTGGGCATGGTTGTGGTCGTGCTTCAGTGTGAAATCTGTTAGGCATCTCAAACTGTAAGAACATCAGAAGGCCAGTTGCCAGCTGATGGCTGTGCCAGCGCGCCCTACGCTGACTCTCCTCCAGGATCACCTTCCCCCCAGATCACAAAGGACCATGTCAACCAGGGACTGGACTTGCACGTTGGACGGAGATTTAAGACTGCTAGGAACCACTGAAGCAATGATGTTCTTTCGTGAAAATCTTCGTTGACACGATCTGCAACGGAGGATCTCCAAGGTGCGTGTTATGGGCCAGAGTCAATATCCAACGTTCTCGAGAAGCAAGGGAAAAGGGGGTTATGATGGAAGATGGTGGGGGCAGGTGGGGCAGGGTGTTTCTTCATCAGTCACAGAACACGACGTCGCATTTAACAGCGATCTCTGCAGTATATGTTAAATGTTCTTGTCGAGACATTCAGCGCAAAAGAACATTGGCAGAACAGAACCAAATAAATATTCAATCTTAAACCAACACCAATGTCCACATGCTCCACAAATGGACGCAAGAAACGAGCAAGGAAAGAGGCGGGCACCCAGAAATCCGTAAAGCCACCTGAACATGGTGATCCGGACACTGCTGACACCTCGACAGCGAAGCGGTTGAAGACTGGTCTCGATCACCGCCTTGACGCCCCGCGCTATTCTTCCTTCCAAGAGACCGAACAGCTAGAGAATTCCGACCAGTTTACTCAAATCCCCCCTCCCGGACGACCAGCGAAGCCATTGAGCGCTCAACAACGCGATCTCCTACTCTCGCTGTTTGTAATTGGAGACGCCAAAGAGTTCTTCACTCTACTCTTTGACACGAACGAGATTGATGTGTACGCAGTGAACCTAGTTCTTGACAATGAAGGAAATACACCTCTTCATTGGGCAGCACAGCTAGCCAACATGGAAGTCGTCGAAATGCTACTCGAATTCGGTGCCGATCCCATGATTAGAAACAAGCGAGGAGAAACAGCATTGATGCGGGCCATCCAGTCTGGGGCCAACTATAGTCATTTCACTTTTGAAATGCTTTTGGAAGCTTTAAGAGATAGTTTACCATGTGTGGACAGAAAGGGTAGGACGGTGTTGCATCATGTGGCACTTTTGGCACAACGTCGTGGGCGAATGGCTATGACTTGTTACTATGCTGACTGTTTGGCGATGGCGATTGCCGATGAGTGGGTGCATGTCGACGAGGATATCCTTAACGTTCGGGACTGTTGTGGTGCTACCGCACTGATGTTAGCACGCAGAACTGGACATGAATATTTGATACAAAGACTGTTGCAAATCCGATGCTCAGCAATTTTTCCAAACTTGCGGATAAGTACCTCTCCCAACGGAAGAACTCGCTATACTGATGACCTGGACGGAGAGGATCTTCGGGAAAAGGCCATTGACGTTGAGGAGACAACAACTGATTCCGAGGGCGGAGATTCCCCTTTGGGGCGAATGCCTAGAGGTCGCCCTTCACGCCTGTCACCAGCCGCTCAATCAACCACGCCGACACATAACAGAGAAACCCAACGTGATCTTCAAAGCGCCCCTGAACAAACCCTTCGCACCACCTCACCACCAATCCCCAACATGACTTCCGATACCCAACCAAATTTCCTTACTCGTATCTGTGACCACCACCAACAACCCTGTGACATAGATCAGGCTCTGCGCACAACGCGTCAACAATTACTGGAAGCGAAAGCCGAAACTGCCCGCCTTCTTGGGCAGCACGCCCTTTACGATGCCCTTAAATACCGTATAGCAGAGCTGGAGCACAGATTGGCCGTTATACAGAAGACAGACGATAAGACAGATGCTGCAGATGTGGTGGCGAGGATCAAAATGTGCGAATTGACGACAGAGACGTTGATGCACGAGTGTGAAGAGTTAAAAAAGGTGAAAAGGGAGGAAAAAAGTATGTTGAGACGCCTTATCGCCCAATGTGCGGGGATCACAGCGGACAATGTGGATGATTTTGTGGAAGAGCTGGGAGAATGGGTTAAGCTGGGGACATAAGGCCGCTGTACACATATATGCCTTCATTTTTTGATTAGTTTGATAGTTATTTGAATCTACGTAGCCTGCTGGATTGTTAATTCTGCAAGTATTTGATTTGAAGTCTGGAGGTGGTTGATAAGCCACATCAAAGCCACATATTTATGCATTCGGTGTCCCAGTTCTCCATCGCTCAACATTTTGCCCCAGATCATTCCACATACACAAGTATGGCCACTAAATATATCCCACCAACAACGGTTCCGCACCACATTTACATCGAATCTACCCGACCACTGCCCTCAAATGACTTATTCCCAACCCTAACATCGTTCCTGAACAACGCACCCCAAACCACGCCGGACGTTGCGTACCAGTTGACCGAGCTTCACAAATCTCTTGAATGGCAAATTGAGAACAACGTTGATGGTAGAGACTGTGTGAAGGGTGTTGCAAGCATGTGGGAAGAGAGTGGGCCGGAAGTGGTCGACGAAGGGGAGAAAAAGAAGAAAAAGAAGAAGAAGGGTGGGTCCAAATGGGCGGCATAAGCGTAGGTGTAGAAGAAGGTCGATGTGGCAGTCGAATACAAAGACTGACACAATGCAAATATCAACTTGCGAGACTGGAAGCGCTTGTCTTTCCTTCACAATGTAGAAACCTAGTAATTTAAGTTAGCCATTTTGTACAAAATATACTATTTTTTGTTGCGTTAACGTGATCAGAATATTGGTGCGTCATTTTTTGAACCAGGGTTTCGTATGATACCCGTGCCCAAAGTTTCCGCTATGAGCACACTCCTCTCGCCAGAGCCCATGTGTAAATTACTCAAATTTAAGCAACATGCTAGCTCGAGCGGAAAGCAACCTAGGAACATAAAGGGGGACGAACGGAGATGACCATACGGCCAGCGTGATGCCCCACAACTCTATTTACAAAAGGAGGAGGTAAAACAAAAATAATACACCCGATATCAATAAAATATCCAACCCCGCAATATCCGCCGCCTGATACGGGTGACAACTAATTTGCGTGCACAATTGACTCGGTAATCCAACAAATCTATTCTCCAGTCCTCCGCCTCCTCGTCACGAAAAGATAACAACCAGAGTCAGTCAGTCCCATGGTGGTCGCCCCATATTTCATAAAGCCGTGGAATGATCATTGAGGAAGTCGAAATCCGTTCCATCCATCTCCGGTAGCACCAAATCATCCAAATTGCCTTCATAGTCACCCAATAACGAGTCTTGAAGGTCATCCATATTCAGCGAAGGTAGGAGCGTCGGGTCGACTGGGGCGGTAGTCAGGAGCCCATTTGTATCCATGGAGCTGCCACTTAGTAGGCTGTGTGGATCTGGTAACATGCCTGCTGCCTGAGACGGCGGTTGTGTACCAAGGGACGAGGGATGTATCGCGGCTGGGACAACCGAAGATGGGAGAGATGGATCACCGATATTTGGTATGTTTACGAGCCCCGGTGTTGAAGACAGTGCCGACATGGACGCACCGTTTGGTAGTGGCGCTGTCGTAGTAAGTGGATCAAGGTAGCCGTTACTAGAAGATGCTGTAGGAGAAGGAGGATTGTGATGACGCATCAAAGCAAGAAGCGTTTGCCTATCCTCCTCAGTCCCATCAACGGAAGGGTCCTGACCTAAGAATTCCGACACATCATAGTCTCCCAGGTCCTCCAATCCAGTGTCAAGGCCAACCAGTGAGGAAATGCTATGAAGATGATCTTGCAATAAATCAATGTCGTCTGAAACGCTATCGGTTGCTTGTGAAAGATTCGTGAGGTTCTGATTTTGCGCTACGAGTTGCTGACTGTAGTCCGGTGTTATGGGATTATTTACAATCGAACTGTCGGGGGACAGAAGGGTTATGGCACCCTGCATCAGGTTCGGGTTTAATGAGCTTATGCTGGGAGGTTGCATCAACTCCCGTACTCGTTGGTTGACGTTTTCTAAACAAAAAAATCGTAATTGAGTTAGTGCGAGTCGTCAACAAAATGATGCGTTTACTGTCCAACCCCTTGGTTTTGTTTGGGTCCCATCTACATGACCATGGGACAGGATGTTATTAGCTTCCCATATGCTGGATGCAACGTCAAGGCTGCCAATATTTCATTTATGGGAGCAATGGGTGCAGAATGGCCCTTCCAAATGTCTGAATGTGACTCACCTGCTCGGACGTCTTCTGGACTATCCTCTACTCCACCCGGGGTGCTGCCAAGTAGCAGTTTCCTTTTCTTATTCATCAGCGGCTTTTTCCTGGACGAGAATACGGAGGCCAGAAAGCGAAGGATCTTTTCGATTGTTTCTTGCTGTCGCTGATATCTATCACGTATAGAAACCGACTCGCTCCAAAGAACCTGGTTTTCCCGTTGAATATTTTTCAAGTCCGAGCTGATGGTGAGTTGGTGCCGTTTGATCGCCGCAATCTCTTGGATGATATAATTTACGTCCAGAGAAGACCCGTCCTTATCCTCAGCATTCTCGCGACCCTTCTTTCGCGTGACTAAGCATAGGAGATCGGGTTGATTACGCTGAAAGTTGGGATTGCTGAATTCCCATATCTCCGGTTCCCCGTCATTGTGTAGCACCCCCTGTTGAAGATGTGGTATCTTGTGAAAGCCGTACATGTTGAGTTGACGGACAAAACTCGCAAAATTATTATGTTTAAAGAATCGAGGCAGAACGTCCTTGGCAAAATCTTCGTGTCTTTGCACTGTCAATACTACATGCTTTAGACAAGAGCTTTAGTCAGCAAGGGTCATATTCACCTACCGATAAATGTTGTACCATCTGGGCCCCAATGGATCAAGTCATCCGTAGAAGGATCGTTCACCATACTGAGAAAGTCTCATTAGCATATCTAGTCTCTGCTCATATTTGATTGACAACACCTACTTGTACAGCTTATTGAGAAATGCCGGCACATTCCTTGCTGCGGTAGCGCTCAGAGCACCTCGGTTACCATTTGACGTTGGTGTAGCTGGTGCCCCCACAGTTGGCTTTATCAGGCGCTGCAAGGCAACAGGGCTACTGACAGCATTCGTACCGGTAATAGGCATGCCAATGGTAGCATCAATGGGAGGTGATCCAAGCGGTGGTGTAGGGGAGGGAAGGGGAGGCGTCGCAGAACTCGGGGCTGATCGCTTGCGCGAATTGGCTCTTCTGACGGCCACTCCGGTCCCTTTCGTCGTCATAACTCAATCTCACTCCAATTTCCTTTGACTTGACCGAATTTCCGACACTTGTCAAAATATGAAATGGTCCTAATGACTGAAAACCAGTCCAGACACGACTATTCGTCTTCTGAAAATTGATTGTTCTGCACCGAGCTCGCCGCGCTATCTCGAGCCGAGAGGGTGTACCGGAAGCAAAGAGCAGGACAACAAGAAACCCCTATAAAAAGCCAGGTCCTTCTGCAGCTTACAACGTGAATTGAAAAATGGATGTTTATGCTTGAACCAAACCCGGGGAGTAGGTGTTTGCAGCATGTAGTGGTAACGTCCTTGTCTCACGTGCTACTGCCAGCCACGCACGTGATGCATTTGTACTAAGCCACTCTATTATGGGGTAAGTTGGCCTTTGAAGGTGGCGGCAAGTAACTTTGAAGCACGGCGCCGATCATCTTGGCATTTTCCCCACTCTGCAGTCGGTGACAACCGAATAAGCAATTATCTTCACTAGTCCGTTTTGAATTCGTTGCATTGTCATACAGCGCTCACTCGAAAATAGAATAACCACCCTAACATTGGGTCACGATGGATACCAACCTCATCAAAACAGGTGCGCGTTCTGACTCTGCCAGCGGACACTGTGTTCGCAGTCAAAACTTATAACCCTCGCTTTTCCAGTAAACAAACTTCAGGATGCATTTGCGGCCGTTGGCGTTGCCAACCCTATTGACCTTCCTCAGGTACGTACACATGTTGCGATTATTCAAAGGATGGGAACATGCTGAGGCCAATGTTTTGAAATTGGTTCCAACTTTGGTCGTTGGATGGATTTCATGGACATTGCATCGTGGGAAGCTACGCACAATGCCCATACTGCTGGTAGTTAAAATCCTTGTTACTTTCTAGATTACTGTCATTGGCAGTCAGAGTAGCGGTAAAAGTTCCGTGCTAGAGAACATTGTAGGCCGGGATTTCCTCCCACGAGGTATGTTCATGGATGAGACATGATCAATACCTCTCTGCTATTCAGAAGTGTCAGTTGCTGAATTGGCGATCCTTAGGAACTGGTATTGTCACCAGGCGGCCACTCGTTTTGCAACTCATCAATAGGCCAAACTCAAAAGGGGAAGTAGGAGGGGTCGCTGCTGCGGAGTTCCATGGAAACGCACCTGTCGTATCGTCTCCGAACGGTGCTTCCACTCCACCGAGGGGTTCAAATGTCGAGGCCGATGAATGGGGAGAATTTCTTCATATTCCTGGGAAAAAGTTCACGAATTTTGACGAGATTCGCGACGAAATTGTAAAAGAGACTGAGGCCAAGACTGGAAAGAACGCAGGCATTTCGCCTGAACCAATCAACCTCCGAATTTATTCGCCAAATGTCCTGACTCTCACGCTCGTGGACCTTCCGGGATTGACAAAGGTGCCCGTCGGTGATCAGCCCAAAGATATTGAGAAGCAAATCCGTGATATGATTTTGAAGTTCATTACAAAAAATAATGCAATCATTTTGGCTGTGACGGCGGCCAACACCGATTTGGCAAATTCTGATGGCTTGAAACTTGCGCGTGAAGTTGATCCCGATGGTGTTCGGACTATTGGTGTGCTTACCAAGATCGATTTGATGGATCAGGGGACGGATGTGGTGGATATTCTTGCCGGACGTGTCATTCCCCTGCGTTTAGGTGGCTATCTTGATTGTGTGAAAATGTTCGAAATGCAATGATGCAACATCTGACCGCACATGCTGTTAGGATACGTACCTGTCATCAACCGTGGCCAACGGGATATTGAATCGAAAAAGAAAATCTCCGTTGCTTTGGAGGGAGAACGCAGCTTCTTTGAGAATCACCCCTCCTACAAAAGCAAGGCTCAGTACTGTGGTACCCCATTCCTTGCGAGGAAGCTCAACATGGTCTGTGAGATGGGGTGACCGATTATGCCATCCGTAGCCGAACCATTTCTAAGCAGATGAGATATCTTGTAGATTCTGATGCACCACATTCGAAACACATTACCCGAGATCAAAGCGAAGATTCAGGCAGGCCTCGCAAAGTACACACAGGAGCTCTCCCAACTTGGTGATGTCTTGACAGACGACTCCACTAGCCAGGTACGGTATCATGTGGCCTCTTTGTCATCCAATACGTAAATGTTTACATGGTGTTTCCCTCTTTTCAGTCCAACATTATTCTCAATGTGATTACTGAGTTCACCAATGAATATCGAACAATTATCGATGGTACCTCCAATGAGATCACTAGTGATGAGCTCAGCGGCGGCGCACGTATTAGCTTTGTGTTCCATGAGATATTCGGTTCAGCTATACGAAGCATGGATCCATTTGATCAGATCAAAGATGTCGACATCAGGACCATCTTATATAACTCTTCGGTAAGACTAGGGATTCTTTGTGGACTAGTAACAATATACTAATGGACATTGGGACATTGCAAACAGGGATCTTCACCTGCTCTCTTTGTGGGAACCGCTGCCTTTGTGAGTAGTAGCATGAAAAATCGGTGATCTCTTGGCTTGTACAAACCCCCGATGGTAATGATTTTGTAGGAAGTACTTGTGAAGCAGCAGATCCGGAGGTTGGAGGACCCAAGTTTGAAATGCGCGTCGATGATCTACGATGAGTTGGTGCGAATTCTAAACAAGTTGCTACAGAAGCAGGTAATACCGACAGTGTCAGATACTGTTTTTTGAGCTGACAGGCTAATGTTATGGTGTAGATTTTCAAGCGTTTCCCGGCTATGAGAGAAAGGTTTTATACCGTTGTTATCAATTTCTTTAAAGTAAGTTCCATTCACTTTCCGAAAGTGTATCGAATAGCTCAGTATGTGGACGAGCTGAACTTACGCTTGTTGTCGATTTCAGAAATGCATGATGCCCACAAATAAATGTGTGCAGGACTTGATTGCGTACGTACAATTGTTTCACGCAGTCGAATGTTGCCCAGGAGCTCACATGTCATCGTTAGAGCGGAGGCGTGTTACGTTAATACAGGACACCCCGATTTCATAACAGGACACAAGGTATATTGGTGTGCGACTACGATCTGTTTCCATTTCGGTGCACTGATGACATCTTGCAGGCCATGGCCATCATAAACGACCGCGTAAATGCCTCAAAAGCACCTCCACCGCAGCCACCGGTTGATCCCAAGAACCCCCGCGCGTCAACAAACTCTCCTGCAGCTGCATTACCGGCCCGCGATCCCAATGCTGATATTATTGCCCAGGCAAACAACTCAGACGGTTTCTTCGGGAGCTTCTTCTCTAAAAAGAAGAAGCCGGGCGTGTTGGAGAACCCTCCTCCTGTCCTGAAGGCATCAGGCAACTTATCCGAGCGGGAGTACATGGAGACCGAGGTCATCAGTGAGTATCGTCTGCTTACTATCCGTACATTGCTTGAGGGGTTCTCTAATCGGGTGTCCCTTGACAGAGCTGTTACTCCTTTCCTACTTTAGTATTGTCAAACGCACCGTTGCCGATCTTGTTCCAAAGTTCGTAATGTTGAAGCTCGTGCAGCACACCAAGGAAGAACTACAACGGGAACTTTTGGCGGAGCTATACAAGAAGGAAGTGTTTGATGACGCACTACAGGAGAGTGACTTCACTAAGCAGCGGCGTATGGAGTGCAAGAAGATGATTGACGCTCTGCAACGGGCTGATGAAATTATTGCCGCAGTTTGAGGGTTATTTTGCCATTGAAGGCGGGTTGTCGGCGGGGACGAAGGGAATGTCCTATGGTTATTTGTCTCTCTGTTTTGCTATAGATCACATTATGGTAATTCCATAGTAGAGAATTCAGTTCAGGAAATCCAACCTCATAGTTAATGAATTGCATAGCCACCCGACTGTTGAGTTAATGCACAAATGTCGACCGACTTGCCCGGATCTTTCATGCCGGCGTCAGATTCTTCTGTAACTCTTCTAGGAAATACCCCCCTCGACAGCATCAGATCGGAGCTACACAGTGCTCACGAAACACTCGTGGACATTGTCACGTCACTGGGATGCTCTTTCGACCAGATCGAGGAATACACAACTGTAGGATATGCAACTCCTTGCACTCTTTTAAGACTCGCAATCCTTATGAATAACTCTTAGCGTAGCAAACACCTTGTATCATGTCCTTATGTTCTCTCTCATCGTGTGCCCCAAAAGTTCTTGGAGCGACATGTTGAGAGGTGTAAGGCGAAGCCCTCGGTGAGTGGGTCGATACTGTGGACCGTTCAGGAATGTTCATTAACGTGCAGTGGTCTTTATCTTTATTGGACTGCCATGTTATTTCATTAGGACAGAGTATCTGAGCACAATACAGATCTGCGTAGGGTGGAAGGTTTGAACTTGTCTTGTTTTTCTTTCATGCCGATACAACTGCTTTTATATAATGCTCGCTTGTTTAGACGCAGCGCAGACTGGGTTAGGAAACCCGAAAAGGTCGTATGACCAGCTAGGGGAGCCTTCCACACCACTCGTTGGGCAACGACAATCGGAGGATAGTACAGCTATACAGCAACCATTGACTAGGTACCTTCCGAAGCATCTTCAAGGCGACCCCATCAAACGACGTCGAAAAGCTTACCGGACGAAAGGGAGAAACAAACGATCATTGCGAGAGGTAGTCATAAGATGTACACCCTCAGATGCTAGCAGCAACAGGGATTCTCATATAATTTCATGTTTAAATAGATCATGCGAGATGTCATTGACGGCTATATGGCCGATATTGCCAATGACGATGAAAAGTCCCAGCCAAACCGTACATAGAGCCTGTTTCCTGTTGCCCATTTGTACATATTCGCAGTTCAATCTCATTGGAGTGCTGTTACAGTGTGGTAGACTTGTCTAGGAACTTTTGCCAATGCACAAGACAGATGGCAGCCATTCGCCTGTTGAGCCAATTCGATCATTGCCGTCAGTGGAACGGGTGTATGAAAGACAAGAAATCGTTATCAATACACTCACCAGACACGGTACTGCCTTATAAACTCGCCAACACCCTCCATGCTAATAATGGTCGACTGGTGCTTGGCGATCCAATGTTTTATGAGTGGCAGATGGATGGGCGCTGCTGTATCATCCAACTCATCAAAACCATCATCGTCATCACATTCATCAGAGGATGATGAGCTGAAGGATTTTTTATAGAGCATTGATATTACTCGTTTTGTCTCCATGCGCTTGTGCCATTTCGCTCTATCCACATTTGGTTGTGGGGGCTGTGGTGTGCGCTGTTCCATTTTCCTTGAATTGTCTGGTGGATGTGGTCGCCCAGGAGGACTAGGACTTCCAAAGTAACGCTGTCCCTTCATGTTTCCTGCCTGATTTTTGAACCCCAGCGGCTTCCCATGCTCGTCACTCCCGATTGAGTTTTTCCTTCGTATTCGCAAACCTGGCTCCTGTATGCCGTGATGGGATGCATTGTCGGACCTTTCTAAAACGTTCTGTCGTTGTGAATGTATCACATTATGGGATTTCTCTTCAAAGTCAATCCCTTGCACGTTCCTCACGAGGCTCACAGTGTGACCCTCTTCTTGCCGCTGCCAGCAACTCTTCCTCCGTCGAGGTTTTCCGCAAGTGGCACTCCGCCGCTCAAGTACTCGCTCAATACACGGCCATTGTTCTCGTCTTGTGCATCGAATTGCAGACTTTGGTGACGGGCATAGGTTAGGGACGGAATTGGAATCGATTATGGAACTATTGGCGTGGACAAAGGCTAGCAGTTCGCTGCCTGGAGGTTTACTTGACTCGGCCATGATCAGGTTTACGCGAAACTGACGCGAGACGCGTTTTTGGATGGACGATTGAAGTGTATGGAGATATCCACTTTATTTTTGCACCAGTGTACACATTTCTTTTACTTCGGTCATATACACAAGAGGGAACACAGAATTAGACAGTTCCCATATTCTGCTATGCATCTCAGTCCTTCATTCCGTCATCTTGCGCGTGATGGATTGAATTTTTTTTGCAACAGATTTCGCGGTGGCAGCTGCTTTTGTAGCAACCTTCTTGCCCTTGGGGGCCAAAATCCCACGTACAGACTTTGCCCTTGCAATGGTCTTCTTTACTACTGGACGGAGCGCCACCGTTTTCTTTGGGACCTTCTTTGCGGAATTGGCTCGGATGGCCTTTTCCAGGTTAGCACGAGCTGCATCGATTCCATTGGACTGCCTATAGGCAGCTATTTTCTTCTTGTATGCTTCCGCTTCGGTGGCATACGCAGTTTGATATTTCTGTGATTGGGGCGCTGATCAGCAGCGGGAACACCATGAAAAATCATACCATTCATGTCTATACCTTTTTCTCGCTCTCAGGCAAACGTTTATACGCAGCTGCAACCAATTTGCTGGCCTCATGGGGAGGTAGGCCAGCGGCGCTCCGACCAAGCACTTCCTCCTGCTTCGAAGGACTCATCGAGTACACATCCTTAAAGAACCTGGCAAACGAGGTAAGGGGCGCCTTCGGAGCCTTTGCATCCCGTGCGGGCTTCGCGGTCACCCTGTCTGGTTTGATGGACTTCTTCAGTCTATAGGCCTTTTTTTCCAAAAGAACATCTGTCGGCGTTCTTTTGTCAAGATAATTCTTGTAATCACGCTCGTATTGAGCCTTCGCCTTTTCTGCCTGGGCATGATATTGCTTTTAAAGGGGAGGTTAGATATGGTCGAACAAACGGGAGTATGGTAACGGGACATATGTTTATACCTTCTTTTCGGATTCCGGCAAGCGTTCCCACCTCGAAGAGACCTCTCTGCTAATGGCGGTCAACTTGGCGCGATAATCCTTGTTGGCAAAGGCAGGGTCTTTGGAGAGTGTTTGGATTTGAGCGCTTGAAAAGAGAAAGTACGCGGGAATTGGCTTTTTGGGAGGGGTAACCGACGGCTTAGGAAGAGCTTTCAGCTTCCTCTTTGCCAATGTAACCGGAGAGGGAGCTGACCATGGAAAGCATATTTATGTCAATCAAGCCGAACATGAATCTCTGCGCATTGTGATCAGATCGGTTACATACCAGTGCCGGTCGAACGAACAGCACTAGTCTGGAGAAGACGGAGACCGTAAGGAGCACTTTTGACTATTTGTTGGTAGACGCGCTCCCTGGCGGGAAGAACCGGCTGAAGGAAGACGGAAAGCATGCCTGTTGAGCACGACAGTGATCCGATCTGTAAAGAGTTGCTTGTATAGATCGAATGGAGAATTTCGTAGCTGGACCGGAGAACGCGCGGGCAAGCGAGAGAAGCGTTAAGAGATGTCCGAAGAGCGGCTGCAAACACGCGTCAGATGTATCCCAGTCGAGACGAGAAGCTCTCTGCTCTTCAATGGCAGAACACAATGTCACAGATACAACCTTTGACTTTTTTGAAGTAAGCAATGCTAATCCCTTGTTGATTGGAAAGCGAGGAGAGAAAAGCTAGGCTGGACGTGTCAAAAGACCAAAAGACGGCTAGTTTGACGTGTGTCAGGTTCATGTCCGATAATTGGTCATCCGATCACATGTCCTGCGGGGTGTTCCATTCGCAGGATTGCAAAGATCTGGTGAACATTGCTTTGCGGAAACCGTGCCCATTCACTTACCGCCAACGCAAATGTCGGAAGCGCTTGTTATCTTCCTTTTCCTACTATTTGCGCTTCTCATGCTGGCGTTTGTCTGCTATCTTGGTGCGGACACATGCTGTGGACGGGAATTGCTTGCGTCTCTGAATATTCCGATTATAAGCCGATGGGCGGCACAGCGATCTTCACGTTACGGAGAACTCGATGACAGCGAGGGCATGAACTGGCAAAGAAGCGATGATGACTGGTTTGAGATGCGATCACAGATGCGAACTGCCATGGCGCCCGGTAGGTGCCATATCCAGCTTGTCTTGTGACTTGCAGCAGCTCCTAAATAGCCTCTCTGTTCCGGTGGTTAGAGCCATTGAGAAGCGACTGGGAGCGGGATCTTCAAGGGGAGCTGTGGATGAAGGGTTGATCGTTGAGGGTTTAGCGTGGAGTTATTACCATGATTCTGTGATTCACTTAATCGGCTGATTCGGGGGATAGACAAACCCTCTTGTATATAAGCTTATTGTACATGCTAGTGCGTAGATACTCTGCATTTTCAAACTAATACGTAGATACTCTGCTGTATATCGACACTTTGGGCGGCTCAGTGCTGAGCCATGATCGGCAAGCTTAGTGACACGTCCCAAGTGAGTACTTGTTGCATGCCGACTTCCTCTGTGTCGAATTGGGTCAATGCTCGCGACCACTCGCACCGCGCCCCCCATTAAGCGCTCTTTACAAGGGGTTACGGCTTCTGCTTCCAAAAAGATTAAACTTCACCAGATGACCATGTTGACGGCGACTGCCCCGACTTCTGCGCGGCCCCTCACTCCCCTAGTCACCTCCTTACTTGAAAGGAATCACAATGAACACCACATGTACTTTGCGGGGGGATTGCACAATCACTTTCCTCATACACTTTTGTCACAATTTGCCTTGGGTGCAAGTGAACAAAGATTAAATAGGGAATGGTCATTGGAAGATCCCGACTTGGAGAAATTGGGTGAACCCGTGGAGAATATTGTGCTGAACGAGAAGAACTGGAGAGATTACATTGGTATCAGAAGGTAAGCCATTAATCTGATCTACTCCTATACCTTAAAGAATCGATGTTGATAACGCTCTCATAATAGATACTATCCCAATTATCTCAAATTCTTTGACCACCTAGTTCAACGGGACGGAATTATTCCAACGACCGTCAAGTATGCGTTTGACCCAGTCTTGATACCTTCCGTACTGAGTGGACTTTTACATCCTCTCATCCATATCGGTTTTGGCGTCGAGTTCTCGTCGCCACTGGTAACAGCTGAAGGGCTGGCGGAGGCTTGCACTCATCAACCTAAAATGAAACCCGTTCTTGACGCAAGTCGAAAACATTCGGAACTAAATCAACCAGCATCACACTCGAAGTACAATACGAAACGCATAGTGGAGTTCTTTGACACACTGCGAAAGGATCCTCGGTTGGATGGCTTGGTCACTGTTGAAAATGATGATAAAACGGCTGCCACGATTCAGAAATGTGCAGAGGTCATTGCAGAGTACGCTAATCTATGGACGATTGAAGGTATACATCACAGACATATAATGCTAAGTGAATTGCAATCGCTTACATGTCATCACTTGCTTTTTTGATTAGAAACACCAGCCGGCATCCAAGATGCTCTTCACACACTTTTTCATACCACCACCGATTTGTATGCCTCGACCGGCTTGCGTCCAGGTCACCCAGCATCCCCAAGGCTGGACTTTTTTCTCCTCCACTTGTTGACAGCAACTCTCGCGACAAGGCACCTTCTCCCCCACCTCAGTATCGATGCTTCCCGAGATCTACTCCACGCCCATTTCACCATCTGCCTAACCTTCTACATCGCGCGTGGTCGTCCACCGGTGCAGCCTACACTACTACTAGCTCTACCTGTCAAGAACTCACCCGCACTGAAAACGTGGGAGCAAATTGTACACTATGCTCATGAGAGCGAGGATCTGCATGTACCAAAAGTGATCAGAACTTTGAAGATTGCCGAGGAGATGTACGGACCTGAGAATGACTTGTGGATTCAGGTTGCTAGGCTCACCATTGATAAGTTGGTGATCAAGGGTGGTCAGTGGGACAGGGATGGATGTGGTTACGAAGAGACTTGGGGAGGGTGAGGCGGAATACCCTGAACGTGGGACGCATTGATGTTTGCGATGGCCTGTGTGAGTTTTCCAACATTTATGGAAGCCGTACTGTGAGCGGGCGGATTTTGCATTGCTTACGCTCATGACTGAGTATTGGAGAGTCAACCGCTGATGGATAAGGCCGTCTCATTGTATTTTTTTTAACATAGCTGTTCACTGTGTATGGTAAATCATATCCAAAATTGAGCACTTGTAAATAAGTAAAAGTGCGATCCCCCCGCTTACTAAGTGATGAATTGGGGATGGTTATGCACAAAAACCAATACAAAATCGTAAAGAATGTCCCATCAGACAAGCTTATACTTTCGCGCCCACCAGTACACAAATGTCGCGATGACTACCATAAAGACCACAATCCCAATGAACCAGTGGAGGGTGCCCGTTTGTTCACCAGGTACTGTTACATTCATACCAAAGAGCCCTATGATGAAGTTCACTATTAAAAAATTGCGGGTACAAATCATCTGAGATCAACAACTAACCAGTTACAACGTTCAACGGCAACAAAATACTAGCCATGGCCGTCATTTTCATCACAACATCATTTGTTCGGTTCGAGGCTTGAGTAATTTCAATGGAAATCTGGGCCAGGTAATTGGAATGGGACCTTGCTAAGGTCTTCTCGTAGTGGGACAAGTTTTGCACCATTGTAATCACATGATCTGCACATTGAGTTAGTTTCTTAGAATTTGCATATAAAATGCTTCCTCGATTTCAATTTACCTTGTATGTCTCCCAAATACAGTGACGTCTCACTATCAGCTGGTAGCCTCTCACCACACCGCTTGATAATCGTCCGTAATACCTCCGCCTTAGTGCTCAGCAGACGTAACATCTGCATTACCTTTTTGCGCGCATGCCCAATTCGCCGCAGCATATCACTCTGCTCAGATTCCTTGAGAATGAGTACCAAATCGTCAATAGAGTCGACTTCCAACTCGATAAACCGGAGGAGAGGCATAAATGTGTCCGTAATATCGTCAATCAGCGCGTAGTTTATCCAGTCTATCAATTACAACAGGGTATTGTCAGAGGGCACCCGAATTGAATATAGCAGACGTTTGGTATTACCTGGAGTAATATTAAGACCGTATGACTTCAGTTGTTCAATGCGTTTTAAAACGTTGTTTATATGGTCTATCGGCTTGCAATGGAACTGAAGAAAGACGATTCGGCAATTAGCTTAAGCATCAAAACAAGATATATGCATGCTACTCACCGACAAAACACATTCCCTGAAAATCACAATGTACACATTAATCGGCTGCATGAACGTCACACTGTATTGGTTCTGGTCGAATGTCCGTATACATATAAACGAATAATTGATAAATATCTCGCATTTTTCACGTGTCTCCTCGGTCTGAATGTCCTCGGTTGTCAAGGGATGAATACCAAACAGCTACGGGGAAAAATCTGATCAGCTTCTTCTTCGCAGCATCACAATTACTCATGGAAAAAGAAGTTTCCTTATATCCGGAAAGCGGTGACTTGCAACATAGCACCAACCTTGCTGAATGTCACCATCTCAGTATGGCTGGGATCCGTCACGTCTATCCAGAACGGTCCCGAACGTAGGATTTCAGAAATAGGCCCACCTCCACTAGGGAGCGTGAGACTGTCCAACGACTGACCGCGAACTATCCCGGTCTTCTGAGAATAAAACACAAAGCGCGGTGAAGATTCCTCCTGATACTATTAACGAAAACGAGTGAAGTGCGTCAGGTCAAACGCAGTGCAAAGAGAACACACAATCAATATCTTACCAAACTTTTCTTCCGATCTTTGCCTTGGGGAAGAGCTTGCGCGGACCCCAATACATCGCCGATTGCTTCAAAATCCAGTCCGTATCCAACAGGCGAGCGGACACATACATCGTCGCCGTCATATACGGCGGATTCTTGGCGAGTTGACACCGACTCTCTTGGCGTTTCACCTACTCGGATCTCCTGAACAGATTGCCCAAGTTCCCCTTTGGACGATTTCTTGCTCTTGCGTCTGGTCGCTGCCTGGGAAATCGATGGCTCGACTGTCTCGTCGGTCGGAAGTCGTCGTGATCGAAAGCTTGAGAGAACACCTTTCCGCTGGGGTTCGCTTAATTCAAGACGCGGGTCGGCAGTCACACTCCGTGCAAGTAGAGGACGCCCTGCATTCAGCGACTGAGTAGATCCAGTCGCATGGGACTCTTCGTCGTCATCGAAAGGGAATGGCGAGGATACTGCCTGCGGAGCAAACCAAGCCTCTTCAAGTCCGTGTGATTCATCACCATTCCGAATCTGCTGCTCCGTTGATATACGAGGCATCCTCAACGTCTCCGTGGTGTCGTCGCCTCTTTGACTCGCTTCGTTTCCAGAGCCAGATTGCGGAGTTAAAAGCCCTGGGCCAGTAGTAAGTGTGTACTCCAAGTCCGCCGAAAAAGATGCTGCTGCTGCTGCATTGGGGTCTGTGAAGTTAAAGTAGGACGCTCGACGATGAGCTGTCATGGGCGAGACACTGCTCGGTTGTCTTGAGACGTCTGAGACCGGAGGGGGAGTGCGGTGGGACGTAGTAGGGTTCGTGGACTGGGAGCGTAGGAATGGAGTCTGGTCAGTAAGGGTCGTCTGCTCTGCGGCGTCAGGTGAGGCAGCCATTGTGGAGAAAAGTGCGTTCTCAGCATGCGGAAAGAAATGAAATCAAACTGCAAAGAAGAACGTCAAACAACCTGAAAATTGCTGGGCGGGGCAACTGAATTGATGGATTATTCTATAACACGTGCATGTCAAACCGCTATTGGATTGTTCTTTATTTTCATTCGAATGTTTGCCATGCATTGGACTCAAAGTAACAGTAGAAACGGACATGGGATTTGGATGCGATTTTGGCGATATTTATATCTTTTGCATTTAGATATATCAATGCATATTTGAGCATAAAAGTCTGCGTAAAGATAGCATCAGCGATTTTCATCTTCCTCCCATCTTTTGATTCTTTCATTAATGGCATGAGCCACGTCGGTATGTCCTCCTTGCTCTGCAAATTTAATAGCAGTTCCCAAATTCCGTCCTTGCTCTTGGATCTACTCCCCATCTATCCATAAGCTCCACGCACAGATCTCTATGACCATTTAGGGCGGCTGACATCAAGGTTGTCATATGTACATTGTTGTGCTTGTCCACCTCCGTGATGATTCTGGCTCCTTTCTCCAACATGGCTCTTGCGGCACTGATACTCCCTGATGTTGCGCACAGGCGGTCTAGTGCGGTTTGCTGTCGCGCGTCCTCAATATTAACACTTGCCCCCTTATCAAGGAGTAGCTCAACGATAGCCACACCATGTGGGTGCTTGGATGTTGCGTTCTCCGCCGCCCACATCAGAGGCGTGGAACCGCCCAGATCTTGGCTGTCCAGAGTCTCCGTTGAACGGTCTAGCAGAGCCTCTACAGCGCGGAGGTTCCCATAGGTAGCTGCGAGACTGAGAGGCGTTTTTCCAGAGCGCGTGGTCGCGGTGTCAGAAGCTCCGGCTTTGAGCAGGGCTTCCACAACGCCCCGTGAGGCGCTTTGACAAGCGTTCTACAAGGACATTATGAGACCATACATCGTGCATAAATGGGACACATCATGTCTACCATAAGCATAGTTTTGCCAAATCGATCCCTCATCTCTAGGCTAACTTCCTTTCCATGGTCGGAGGTAATTCGTCGGATAGCTTCAGCATCATTATTTCCAACAGCACGAAAGAGCTGATTTGTAAGGCGTGCCGAAAGGGTCTCATCTAGCGGGACAAAGTTGACAAGTACTCGATTGCTCAACAACTTATTCCATCCACCGACCTGTCGTTCTGCCCTCGATCTCAGCATATTCCTTGCTCCAGTCGCCACCGAGCTCCGGACTCTCCCTGACACGCAGCTTAATCCTATATCTTGTCTCTGGCTTCAAATCATGGATCTCCACGTTGGTATCACTTCCTTCGTAAACGACTAAAAGTTCAGGGTCTGCTTCTTCCCCACGCGAGAGCTGATATGTGCCAGTCTGTTCGACTTCATCTTGAGTTTCCCATTCCACGACTAGACTACGAGCTGCTGCTGAAATAATCTTTGGTGTAGGTATCACTGATGTTGGCATTGTTCCAAGTCTTGAGAGATTAGCTGAATGTGAAGGTCAACGTAATACGTGTCCAAACCCCGACGTGGATCCCCTGGTCGATCCTTCGTGTCCTTTTGGATCATACTACATTAAGCGTAACAAGTGAGGAAAAGCATGTTTGCACTCGGACATCCAAAAAACAAAGTCTGGAAATAGACCCCTGGTATATTTTAGCAAACGGGAAGTCTTATTTAAGTCTACAGCTATGAGATAAACTGAACAAGTCGCGGTTTCCACACCCTCACACGCCTACTAAACAGAGCACGAGCTTCATGATTTCACACAATGATATCTAATACTTGCTACGCTACCAGCCCAATGTTTTCATTCTCTCCGTCGGTGCTGGTTGCGGGGGAGCGATTCCGCCCATTTTGTGCTGGTAAAAGATTTGTGGAAACCCTTTCCGGTTGAAGGCCAAGCCTGACGCATTAGACCCATTCGCCATTCTCGCCTTCCTCAGCATAACAGGACTTTGAGCAGGACTTGACGTCCTCGACACTGCTGGGCTAGCATTCGGAGTCTCACGTTTGGCCATTCCGGCCAAATGTGCGACACAGTTCATCAATTTGACACGACCTTCCCATTCATAGTCCCCATCCGGTTTGAATACCTTGTTGATCACGAACCGATACACAGCCGTATTCTTGGGAAATCCATTGAGGAGGTCACAATCGAGCTGGAAATTGAGCTCTTCGATCAGGTGCTCCATCATACGTTGGATCCAGCCACCATGGGTCACTAGCAAGACGTTGATTTGTCTCATTCTCGGCGTGCGTGAGCTGCGAACGGAGTCGGTGGACCCGTTTGCAGCAGGCTTCTCCCTGCCGTCGGCTTGGCCCGGTGTTGATGATCCTGCGCGTTCATCACCATTTACGCTTGAATTGCCTAGCGAGTCAGTGGACACTGCTTGCAGCAGCTGTTGATGCGGTTGTACAAGATGGTAGGCGATTAGATCCGTGTAAAGGTCTACCACACGGTCCTTGAATTCTCGGTTGCCTTCCCCCTTTTCAGCAATGTGGTCGTCAAAAGATCGATCTTCCTCTTTCAAGATCAGTTTTGCTTGAGGCCATGGCAATCCTGTCAGGTCTCCCAAATCCTATAAGTGGGCCATCAGGGCATTCATAGTTTGTCGTGTCAACGTTCGTGTCCAATGAATGGCATACCTGTTCGCGCAGGCGATAGTCCTTTGATAGAGGAGTCGTTGGGTGACGTTTTGCTATCTCGTGTGCTGTCTAAACAGGCACGGGTAGACATTTAGCATCAACAACGAGGCCCAGACTCATCAACTTGTCCCATACCTGTTTCGCTCTCAAAAGATCGCTGGTGTAAATGTGATCGAATGACTCCTTCTTCAATCTCCAAGCAAGGGATTCAGCTTGCTTCATCCCACACGAGTTGATGGGACTATCTGCACAGGGTCCGTTGATTAACACTGAGCAGAATGGCGTTAGCTACAGCAGCTGCGATTTTTACCAGATTGTCCTTGTAGAACTCGCGGAACTTGGGCGTTCTGGTCGGTTTCCGCACTTATGTACGCAAAATACATGATTAGCGTGTGGTCCGTGTTGCCATTACTCTGCCCGTCACGACATGCTCATGCGCAACGACCATGCAATTGCATTCTTTTGAATGCTCCGAATGCATACTTTACAGGCTTGCAAGCGTGTACAACTCCTGCTTCAACCCTCAAAACTCAAAAGTAGAATACCTACTGTCGAACCAGTGTTACGACCAGACAAAGATTCTTCCCTGGCATGATGGATACTCTGCAACCGTTCAGTTTTGGTGACCGTGTCCCTGCCGCAAAACAACACAGAAACAGCGACTAGAGCTTTTGGAAACGTGTACGAGTTTTTGTATAAAAATATCGTGCGCTTGCCGTTTCCAATCTTCCATTTGAACATGAACCGTTGTTCCTGCAAGGTATTTTACACATGCTGTTCGTTATCTGATGTTGCTAAGAATAGCTCATTTTACATTGTCCCACAGGTATATGGACTCATGTTTTGAGGGTTTTAATGCATAGAAAATTATGTCCATACAACGACCGTAAACAAAAAAAACTCTAGAACCGTTTTAAGCGAAATCAACGAGCACTAGAAAATATTGTCAGTAACTTTCAGTGTTTGCAAAGAGGAAGCACCCTTATGCCTATTTCATGATGGCTTGGGCAAAGCATGACAGATGAAGTATGTCTTGCTTATTGGAGTCGATGTCGGTATCCCCATCTTTCATCACAGAGCGTTGGGACGCGACACCCTGAACGCGACGCGTATCGTCCACAGTTCAGCACAGATGACCTCCACCACATTGCATTTCGAGTCAACTGTTGCCCTTGACAAGGAGATTATCGATGGAGTTAGCAAACGAGAAACCCGCAAATGGAGGTGGAAGTGAATTATTTACATACGAACTGGAAAAGTGCGGCGAAGAGCCGACCGCAAACGAGATGCTCAAGATAACTAACCGAATGGACGATCCGGTTGAAGTCTTGGGCATACCAGAGCCACAACAGTTGCAAAAGGAGGATCACAAATCATCAAGCCCATGCGCCCAGAAAGAAGAAAAATCGGCAGCGTACGAATCAGATTTTGAGGAACTATCTGTATTGGAAGGTCGCTCGTCCGCCGAAGCATCAAAAGACGATGCTGGCAGTATGGAACATCAAGATCAGCCATTATGTGTAGAGGATTTGGAAACGAGTGGGAATTTTGCAAGATCCTGGCAGCCAGAACGAGCGTCACGAGTGCCACTACCCGTGCATCGACCCGAGATATGCACAGAAAAATCAACATCCAAAACAAGTGCAGGTTTTGTATCGCAGGTTGGGACAGAGAGTGGAGGGCGGGAGCCATTACAAGATGTGATACGACAGTATGCTCAACTGGATCTTAAGCGAGACGAAATTGCCTTCGCCGATTGGCTTGCCCGCAAAAATCGAACTCAATCTCCCATCTCGCCACACACCTCTGTCCATTCCACTGCTTCCAAATCGTTTCCATCCTTGGCCCACCATCAGACTCCTCTCATTCAACCGAAAAATCTTAACGAATCCATCCAAGACCCAGAAGCCCTCGCTAAGCGCACTGAAAGAAATCAAAAGGCCGTCTCCGCTTGGGTAGCACGCAAACGTGCCCAAATGCAGAGTCAATCCAAACAGGAAGCCGAGAGACGCGCAAAAGCCCTTGCCGATCTTGCTGAAGAAGAGCATAAAAAAGAGATACGTCAGCAACGTATCCAGCGTGAAGTAGCGCGGTGGGCTCGTGCAAAGGAGGAAATGGAAGAACGCATGGGAGAGAAGGCCATTCGCGAGGAGCGGGAGCGGCAAGAAGAAGAGCAAAAGCGACGAGAGATGGGTCAGCAAGCATTTGAGGCATGGAAGAAGGGGAAAATGGAGATGGACAAAAAACGGAGAGCGGAAATGGATCAGACAAAGAGGGAAAACATCCGTCCCGTTTGCACACATCGGAATGCGTGGACAGACATCGTAGCGCTACCAGACCGAGTAAGGCCTTCGGTACCCAGGAAGCAGGGCCAGTCGTCTAGCATCATACTTTCCCCACCTCATCTCTACAACGATTATAACCTCTATGCGGAAAAGGCCCCGAATTATCTACGCAAGTACCGAATCTTAGTGGCCTCAGCAGGAATGGATCTGCATAAAGATAGAGGTCCCAGTTCAAAGCGATCTGGTAAGGCAACGGGAGTGAACAAGAAAACTGGGCATCTGCCAAATAGTCAGAGATCGTGCTTTCGTGTGTCAACTAGTGAAGGCCTATAAGGCAGCATAGTCATTGAATTACATGTTTTTCCCAAACGCGCCACGCGCTCCATGCCCTGTCTTCCGCAAGCGACCATGAGATAGTTCACAAAGTTCTCTACCTAGATTATATGTTAGAAAATCCTCTTTCCTCTGCTGCTTGCTTCGAGTTAAGATAAGACTGAGAAACAAATCGGGATCAACAAATGAAACCTGACGAGGATTCAAGTTCGAAGCCATCTACCTGACACCAGCAGAACGCAAAAAGACCCATGTAGATGAACCCCGCTACATAGCATCCTTTGGCTACCAGTTGTGGGTCTGATGGCACCTCGCCTTTTTTGCCATCTACCAGTTCTTCGTTTTCAGCGTGGAAGAGCGCGCCCATCAGAAGCTGCGAGAGAACATCGCCAAAGAGAACTTGAGTACTATTCTGGAAGAAAAGTGAATGGCGACAAGGGTTTTCATACCAAGAATACAATCCCGACCGCGCTCACGATAGTACTACCAGTGGCGGCGCGTTAAAGAAGCGGTAAGTTGTGGATACCGACTTCAGAGCTAGCTCATGAGACCCAAATGCAATACTTCTTACCAGCACATGGAGCATGCGGGACCAACGACAGTAAGTCGTGCCATTGTGTACGGTCAGGTAAATTAGAGGGGAATATTGTAGAGTGGACGGCACTGGATGAGAAGGGAAAGCAACCTAAGTTTCCCCAGGCACGTCAGCACTTCTCCGACGGTGGCAGGCTGTCCCGTGATTTCGGGCACGTGATGAATAGCAAGAGGACGGAGAAAGTTCATTGAACGCTACAATCTAGTGTATCTAAAATAATACAATAATCAAATCGTATTCACAAGCGGGATTTATTCTGAGTATGCTTGATTGTTGAGGGCGATAATCCAAAGTTTTCAGATACTGGTACAGAGTGCTAAAATAATGGGAACACAGAGGAACATGGTTACAAACCATCCGAAACGGGTTGAGATAATACATAACGCACCTCAATGCATATGCATTTGATGAGAGCCATATGGTGGATGGCGTGGTGACAAAGAAACCACAGCTCTCGACCCATACTTGAACGAAACGGTGCATCACGTTCGTTATCCGATGCAACTGTTGCGGCGACAGACACAGGGGTGTCTATGCGAACGGGCGATGCCGCTAATCGCAAGATATCATGTCGCAATTCATCCATCGCTGCCAGAGCTACATCCGGATCATCCGCTATGTCGGCCTGGATATTCACTCTTTTAGTACGCTCAAAAAACGATCTTGGCAATCTGGACTATACAGACGTCGGGGCGCCTGGCATCGTAATTCATGAACATCACGTCATCCCCATTCATTTTTTTAACATTCAAAGCCTTTCCATTTTTTGAATGCGGGCCTCCATGTTCGGATGTTTCGGCCAGCAAAATTCGGAAATGATCGACAACATGGCGTACGTGCTTTTTTCAACAGCGCATTAGCCCAAGAGCTACTATGCACAAGGTATTCGCGCGCTTTACCTTGCCAATGGTCGAAGGCGGGACATACTTGGATGCTGCCGTGTAAGCTGCAGGGTTCGCTTCCTTGAGATTCCCGAGAAACTCAGAATACTGTCGCAAAATTCCAAGTGTGGCCTGAAATAGTTCCTCGGCTACCTCCCGCTCCTGGAGCAGGTATTGCTTGTCTGCTTTGCTTTTGTTAACAAACCGGAAGTGGGTCGAGGTCGTATATGCATGTCGGGGCATGAGGAAAACAGGGGAACCATGGCGTACTGCGAAGATGTGTGCGGGTGTTGGCTTCCAGGGACGGGGAGCCCTGAGAGATCGGGGAAGCTGTGAAAAGTAAGTCTCCATACGAACGCAATTTGAGAACCATTCTGCTACCTTTGGTTGTTGTCGTCCAAGATGATGTTTTAGCATTCGCTGTGTGGGTTGTACAGCTGTATGCTTTACAGTGTTCAGAAGAGCTGCGAGCAGGTGGCTGTCTCGCCCCCACATTACGTAATCAGTGTTCCAGTTCCGATGGGCAGGCCCTTTTGACCACCCTCCAATGACAGGCAGGTAGCCCAGGAACGAATGTTTTCTCCGAAGATGTTTATTTTTAGTCTTATTTTACATTCCGAAAACCCGCTGCAATCCAATTGTTAGCTATATCATCTTCTCCACAGTCTAACCCGCGGTAACCTCACACTTGCACAGAGTTCATATATCAGTTATGTTCACCTTCGGTCTACCACCATACATTCAATCCTACATACAACGAACACAAGCTGCCAGCCAGAGAATGTTTACCGGATCAGACATGCGATCTATGCAGCATCTCTGGCGATACTACTACCTAGGATCTGTGTTGCTTGCTGGCAACCCGTTACTAAAGGTATAATGTTAGGAGCCTGCTAAAGGCTGCAGTGTCAAAGTGGTATAAAGGGCTAATAAATGGTTGTAGCTGTTTGTGTATACGCTTTTTGCGGCAGCATTCTTTCCCGTTCTGGGATTCATCGGGGCCAGTCTCACCATTATCTTTGGCTCCGTATTCCTTGCCATCGGGCTCTTGTGTGTTGCAGGCAGCTGTCTTGGATTTTCTCTGCTTGTGTCACTCGCCATCGCCTCCTTCGGCACATTCTGGTATGCAGTATGGCGTTCCGCTCTACAGATAGCAAGAGGACGACGATAACTTGCCGATGAATGTTGAGTCGGTGAATTGAGACGGTGGTCACGATTGTTACTTAGAAGATTGACTTGGGCTGGATATGTAGATGAGGATTTCCCTCTGAGGCGCAGACGGCGCTCAATCTTGAGCTTTCCAATCTTTGGAGGATCCACCAGGATCAACAACATGCGATTGCAGTCAGCATGCGTGAGTACTGTTCATGAGAGCTTAGCAAGCTCTTGTTCGTTGTCCCCAGACTAATGTCGCACCCTCCCATTAGATCTGATATTCTTCCTGCTCAATACAATTGAATGCACAATGTACAATAGACATAATATAACCTGTTTCCTATATTGCATTGCATTGATATTGATGTTAGTAGTCTAGTCACACTGTGGTCTACTTAGGTTATCTTTGAGTGTCCTGTCAACTGAGGCCTCCCCTCGGGTGTGGTCTGAGGGTCCCGAAGGAAATCTGAAATTCTCCGTGAGGGTATGCCTCGTGGACCCGATCATTCATCCCTGGTGAATTCATCATCGATATATCCAGCCGGTCGATGCACGCCACAAACCCAATTCCAACCCATCATTGAGACAGCTGCAACGGTCCCAGCGCTGGGATGATGCTTGCCGACCGAGGCCTGGTCAATTCGGCCCATCGAAATCCTCCGCAATCAACCACTATTTTGGACGAAGGGGAGAATGACGACAACAGGCCCATGTCATCTGCTGCTGCTGTATTTCGCTTGGGTCTGACACCTCAAGCAAGATCAGATCGGTTATTATCGCCGTTACCTTCCCCACCACGGAGCCGTATTTCTAGCGGCCGTAAGGTCTCTCAGCAACTTGATTGCCTATTGAAGAAAGATAAACGCCGGGTGTTGTCACCACTCGACAGGCCGAAGAAACCCTTGGATATCCCAAAGCTTGCAGATAATTACAAAAATCCCTTCTTGGGACCCGGGCCACTAGAGCGACGAAAATACGAGCCGACTAAGAAATTGGACAAGAAGACATCGCAATGGGTAAAGTTCAGCGGTAGTTTCCGGATGTGTAAAAGGTCGTATCTAATGATTTAATGACCGTTGCAGGTGCGAGCGTCGCAGCTATCCCTCCTACCAGCAACGCCTGCAGGACCATCTGCTACACGAAGGCCGCATCGGGTTCCTGTACTAGGAAAAGTGCCACCAAGCATCCCTGCACCGGAAGGGTATTTTCGTATCTTTACTGAAATGAAAACAGTTGAGACCACCGACGCATCGAAAAATGGACATCATCTAGCATCTCTTCTTCCGCATCGGTACACAAAGAAAGTGCCTTTATACGGGACCAGTCCGAGAATGCTTCTGATGATGCAAAAAGCGGTAAGGGCCTGTTCCTTTTATCAAAGGTTTCTTCTTGTTTCTTACAGTAGCTTCAGCCCCCATCCCGTCTTGCGCGGCTGACCGTCACACCGGGAGTGTTACCTCCCATCCCTCAATCGACCATCAAGCCCTCACAAGTCAGCGAAAAAAGCCTTTCTCGGTTCACACGTCTACCGCCCGCTCCATCGATAGTCAATGATACAGTGGAGACTCCCACATCTCTCCCCACCTCACAGCCCGCGTCCCGGCGAAGCTCCACTATCAAGGTCCGACGAAAGTTACGGAAAAAGGTGCAAGTCGCGGAATCTCAATTACAACCTATATCGTCGTCACCCCATGCAGACATCTCGCCAGTACAAACGGCGCCTGAGCCTGACACATCAAATATAGTGGCTGGTCCACCATCGCATGTCCAGGAAGAGGCGACCAAGCCAGCTATACCAAAGCTCCCTGATGTCGAATTGGACGCAAATTCGGAGCTGACTGGATGGGAAACAGAACCGCAACCGCCTTCTGTTGTTGCACCTGCCCGACAGCGATTATCAGAGCCTGTGGTCCAACCAGCGGTGTCAGCTTCTCAACCAGTCATGGAGACCGCACCTAGTTCCAAACCCACGCCAAAGTCCTCCGTGGTGGATCGTCCTTATAAACCTCGCCGTCCCACTCCACCAAAACAAGTGACTGTAAATCTGCAACAACTGCTTAACAAAAATAAACAAGTCGACAGTCCTATTGAGCCAGGGTCAGACGGAGAAGCGGCCAGGGAGGAGGAGGACGAATTTGTTGTTTTCCGAGGCGACGACACAACAGCAGAAGACACTGAAACCTCTGCATCAACGCCGAAAATACCGTCAAGGACGTCACAATACCTTGGTAGGCATCGACAAAACTCCAACGACCCTGTAAGTGTTGCCTCCGGTGGGGAAGATGAGCGCAAGAAGAGGAGAGCATCAGTGGCTTTGGCTGCGAGAAAGAGTATTGTCCGACGAACGGTATGTGTTTGGAACTGACATTAAATCGGTTGAAAATTCATGGGATTGATTTTGATGATTGCACATTCCGTAACAGTCAAAGATAGACCTTGAGCATATGCGACGACAGCGCATTGCAGAAGGCGGGCCACACCGTGCTGGTCTGGAAGGCGAAAAAGCGAAAGAGGTGAGTACCATGGAAACATTCCGTTCGCAAGGGTCGGTTAGATCTAATATTTGGATAGGACTTCCTGAGTGCAATGGTCAAAGACTTGAACGTTCTCGGCGATGACAGCAAAGCGCGCTATTTAGCTCTCTCTGAACCAATCTTTAAGGACAAGACCTTGGTTGCAGTCGAAGAAATGGGTGCCGAGTTGGCAAAAATGGGTTGGGTCACAGAACAGGAGATTGAATACATCAACCGGGTATTTCCTTTCATTGTAGTTAGTATTCTTGTGAATTATCAACTTATCTTTCGCCATTCAAGGTGTTTGAACTTGTAGCGGGTGATCATATTGATCAATCTGAATTCTGTGTTATTGCTGCGTTGGCGGAGAGAATGACACTGCTAGAGTAGGTTACTTGGTGAATATTTACTGGTGGCTATGGACAGGTAGTCTAATCATTATTTATACTCGCTCGCAGTACGAATCTCCGCCTCAGCTTCAGCGATACCGACTTCAAAAAGCTGGAGAGGAATATCAAGCAGTACCGCAACCTCTTTTCTGTCAACACCTCTTCTGAGGACGGGCGAATGACATATGAGGATCTCAAAATACTCCTTCTTTCTACTGGCCTGCCGGCAGACTCAATAGAACATGTCGCATCATTACTGAATGTGGCGTCGGACGAGGCAGCCGCATCTGGGACTACCAAGCAGACTGCTGTGGGTTTCCTGGATTTCTTGACCTATGTTCCCTTTTTCTCGGTCCTACATGATAAGATAGTGGCGGATCCTTTTGCTGAAGGGGGCGGTAGTGGTGAAGATGTGATTAAGAATTTGTTGGCGGATTTAAAGGGACGACAAAAAGGCGGTGGAGCTGGGTAGATTCATTCACTTTTACAATAGATCAAGAAGGGATAATGCCAACTCTGATTGCACCACATTTGCATTCTTCATCCTATTAAGCATTAAAAGCGGGTATTAACCAGCATCTAAGTCCGCTTCACATTCCGCTCCTTCTTGTGCTCCAGAAACCACTTTACGACTTCAGGATTGTTGTACGTCTCGGTCCAACTATCATGCTTCGCCCGGGGATAGCTGGTGTACTTGACTTTACCGCCATGCTCCTGTAACGCTTCCACAGCCTGCTCGCTTTCCGTGATGGGGATGATGTTATCCAGCACCCCGTGAAATACCCAAACAGGTAGGTGCTTGATCAATCCAAGCCGAAGGGTATCAGTACCTCCACAAATTGGTGCAATCGCAGCAAACCGCTGAGGATTGTGCAGTGCAATATTCCAGGTTCCTTGCCCTCCCATAGACACGCCAGTTACGTAGATCCGGGAGGCATCGACCCGGTATGTGTCCTCAATCTCGTTCAATAGGTGCTCCAGAACATGAGCGTTCCATCCGTATCCTTTGGTCAGGTCGACTTGAGGTGAAACAGTGATGAACGTCTCCGCCACAAGCTTGGCAGTCTCTTCTGGAACCTTTGTATTAGAGGGTCAGTATAGGCGTCTTGTACAAGCTCAAGAATGTGATACATACCGGAAGTGAGGCAGCATCGGGCTCTTCTTCATCTACTGTCTTTTTAGCGGCTTTCAAGTCCGGAACATGAACGATCGGAGGCTTTCCCGCTTGGATAAGTTCATATGCGGTAACTAGTTTGGGAATACCGTGTCTTTTAACAAATTCCAAATCGTTTTGTCCACCCCGCGCGCTTTCACCTGCTCCATGCAGGAAGAGGATTAATGGCCATTTCTTGGATGAGTCTTCCTCGTACTGAGGGGGAGTGGAGAGGAGATACTGGTAGGCGTACGCGGCAGGAGACTTTTGTTGCACAAAGGGACGCAGCAAGGTGGTAGGAGAGGGCATGTTGTTCGATAGAGAGGTAATTTGCTGAAGAAAAGGTATCTAAAGTGACAAGTAGCTAAAGGCGCAAGTGAGCTGTTTGAAAAGACAAAAGATGGAGAAAACACACACGGGCTCAGGTCATGCAACGATAACACAAACAAACCACCTTCCAGAACGAGTCATCGTTGAGGTAAGCGAGACAGGACGCGACGCGACACGACACGGGACACTCGGGCAGATGGGGGTGGCAAGTGACAGTTTGCGTTTGTTTGCTTATAATAGTTTTGAATCATTTCCTTTTGCCTTTTCAATACATCGGTCGCTATTCTTGGGCATGTACACCGGTCAACTGAACGCCACAACCCCCATACCCTCCGCAGATCCCATGTGATTCCTTGGCCCCAAGTTCCTTTTACCTGGTTAATAAAATCACTTGCCAGGGCGTATGCCCCATGAATCTAGTCTGATTCCTACATCAACATGCCTTCCCTCGTCCGAGCAAGCTTCCCAACTCAAACTACCCCGTCTGCACATCCCAATTATGCGGGTCTTCGGCGATCTCAGGCAGTGTGGGATCTCCCATCTGTTCCTCTTGACACAGAATTGAATGTCAATGTTACAATATCATTTCCCGCCGCGCAACGTCTACCATTGTCTATAGAGTCCATGTCGACTGTCCATACGTTAAAGTCCCGCATTGCCGATCTACGTGGCTTGGATGAAGCCGGTGTGCAACGTATAAAGCTGACTTTTAACGACACAGAAATGGTGGACTCAGATCACATCTACGAATATGGGATCAGTAGTGGGGCCATCATCGTCGTACAATGGGTTGATCCTCAATTACAACGAGTCGACAGTGGAAAAGAAGATCTTATAGAGAAGTAGCGTAAATAACCTATTGTAGATATTATTCATTTGTAGAAAGTATGATATTTCATATATATAATCACTTGCTATAATTAAATTGGCAATTAATGCGTTCATCACATCTGTCCAACAAGTTTCGACATTCCTGGTCGATATCCCATCGTTTGCATCAAGTTATCGAAATGACTCAAAGGCATCAAGATATCAATGCAAAGTCACCGTGCCACGTACCTTAACTCATCAATTGAGCTAGCCAGATCGTGAACAGATCGTGAACCTATAGAAGTTTTGTTGCTGTGGATCCGTGACGTCGAAAAGCGATTCTACCAGAGTGCACCGTACATGATTGTGCTGCAGATTGGCCAGGTATGCATGAACGCATAACACTACGCGAATATTCTCTTCCGTCGTTTGTTGACCCCACGTCATGCTCGCTTCTTTGGTTGGCTTCAGTGTGGCATTCAAATAGGACAGCAGTTGTTTGACGTGCTCGAAAGGGAGTGAGTTCAGGGTTTTGTTTATCGGAGCTCAAGTGTATCTGTGTCTCATGTCCATGACTGAAGAAATACGAGCAAGGAATCGGCTATAGGTCCTCTCTCGAGATTTCGCCAACTAGTCATCGATACAGAACGCAAGGTGGGACCGGCGATCTAGCTACTGCGGATTGTCGGCGAAATCCTGATTGGAACGTTGAATTGAAACTGCAGACATGGCGCAAACGTCAACGCGAGTCTCGAAGCTCTATTTTCACTACACAATACATAGACAATGGCACAACTGGGCGGGGTAACAATTGGGCCCATGGATACTGGGATATCTCGCATCTTGAAGCTATCATGAATGCATACAGAAAAGCTGCCGAGGCGTCTGATACGAATGACGGAACTCTGCTGCTACATAGGTAATTCTCCGCGTAGCGTCTTTCCTGTTGTACATCGCGCTGAATGATGCCACTTCCACAGCATCGCTGGAGGGACTGGTTCTGGGCTTGGTTCACGGTATGGAAAAATGGCATGATGATGTTCCTAGAGTCCATACCGATATGAGATCGTAGCATAGCCGAAGAAGTGCGCGACCGATATCCAAAGCAATGTCTTATGACTTTTGCGTAAGAGGGCATTTACATTAGGCCTATACTCAGACATATTCTAATGTGTATATTCCCCTAGAGTGGCTCCTTTCTCGTCGGGCGAAACCGCCTTGCAACACTATAACTCTTTGTTAACGCTTGGCTGGATGCACAGGTTACGATCGCCATTGTCCATCACGAACAACAAACTAAGCGAGTTAATCGGCCTCCACTTCTTTAGATATTCAGATTTGATTGGTTTTCTATCTAATGATGCTATTATGGGCACGGTATCGAGACAGTACGGTCTCGTTTCCCGAGGTAAAGTCGATCAAAACCTGGGCTGCATCTTTTATACGTTCTGACCCCAATCAGGAGCGAAGGTGGAGAAGGTCACTTTGGACGATTTGAACGAGTATATAGCGCATTGCCTCGCTGGACTGGTGCTTCCTACCACGGAGGTCAAAAGCCAGAGTGGCAAGTTAGAGTACAAACGGTGAATATGCCATGTCATCAGGGTGACTGGGACTTTCAGGATCTAATTAATCTACTCGTAAAGTAAACCCAGCGCACTTAATGCGTGGAATGTGGTAGCGGAATTGACTCCGGTGCCAAGCTGCAAGATGGCGACACTGGCGTCTTCCACCGTTGTATCAGGCGTAGGCAACATTGCAAAGTACGTCAGCGAGACAAGTGCCACCAGCATGCTAATCCCAAGCTAAATTTTAGCGCACAGCGATTTTACATTAGGGTGGGACAGTCTACGAACGAATTTGATGCGAAATTTGGCGAGTATGCCTATTGGAACACGCCGCAAGTGCATTGCCGCCCGACTACAAGCGCGTGGGGTAATAGGACCAGAGTACTGGCAAAAATCAGCCCAGTTTGAGCAGAAATTCGTTACCAAGTTGGGAGTGGTAAATCAATCGAAATGGTTCGACGTAAAAACCTCCTCTTTATACGGTATGGCAAAACCGATCCACTACGGTATATGGGCCGCCATTTTACTAATCGTTTGCTCCTCAATAGCACTTGACATCAAGTCCCCAAAGCGATCTCTAGATGTGTGCTACAATGGGTCAGATGTGATACCAGTGCTTGATTCAATGCTCACAAAGGCGGAAGCAATGTACAAAGCAGGAGCCTATTTGCACTGGTACGAACGATACGGTGGCAGTGAGGTGCAAGAGGTTTTTTCCGACTGTTTTGAAATTATCCAAACAGCAAATGACGCCTATACGGAGATTTTGGGTAGTCATCTCTGAATTAGAGAGCTTTTAGTATTTGTACATATTATATATACATGCTATATTGTATTGGAGAGACAGCGAAAACTTTTGGCCCACGTCCTTCCTCCTGCGAACTTAACCTTCTTCGTCATAATCCTCATCAATATCCATTTCCGTTTTGACAGCTGTTACGGATGGAAAAGGAGTAGGCGTAGTCGGGGCGGGTTGATAATCTGATCCGGAAACGCCTGTCATACTCGCGGCAGATGCACGAGCGGAGGTGGGTGACCCTGGTACACTAGGGCCTCGTACGGATGGTGCGGCGGTAAGTGGTCGCGATGCTTCCGTGGATATGTCCATTGGCTGGTGCTTTGAAGTACGCTTATTGATCAAATGCACAACATTAGCATTCATTTTAGTGATTTTAGTCGGTTGGATTAATAAATGAGCATACACTGATGGCGATTTGAAAGTTGGTGCTGGTGAGTGTATGGCGCTCTGGGGGGAGCCGCACTCCAAATTTTTCGGGTATCAACGGGAGAGGGACGGAATTTCGTTTGGCAGCCAGTGCCTCGAGAAACTAAGTGCGCAATATCTCAATCTACAGCTTTGTACGAGGTGAAACACGGCAATACGCACCTCTCTTCCAGGGGGTGTGGTAAACGTATGAGGTGCCCGACCTTCTATCGCCAGACGTACGTCGTCGAGTGAAATGCTATTATGGCTTGCGTGCTCCGCGTAGATTTGTGCGTCTGCCAAAACATCTAGAACGTAACCTGCCATATAGATATTGCCAAATTGATTAAGATACAGAATCCTTGATAAATTGCACTTTGAATGCCTCGACAAGGACATGGCTAGAGCGTTGTTCATGCGGAGTCCAAACACAGAAACTGAAGGCCAAACCCTGGCGAGGAGTGAATACTCACGATGAATGAATTCCAAAAGTTGTGGAATGACTCGCGGCTCATAGTCTTCTACCCCCATTGCCTGTAATATAAGGGAAACCAACTTTGCATCCCGGGGAAGTTGGACGGCGTCTTGACGTCCGTGCGCTGCCGCGGCAGCAAGAAGGGCAGCGGTTTCTGGGTTTATACCATCTGGAACCGTTTGTTGAACAGAGCTTGAGATGGAAGTGGAGATGGAAGTGGGGGCATTGATGGCAGATGCAGGGATGTTTGGGGTGCTCGGGGGAGACGGGGCAACAGCTGGTGTTTCTTCCATTGGAACAGTCATGAAGGAGATCAGACTCGGTGGTAAGTTGGTTGGTAGATCTGGTGGTGGGGTGGCACAGGTAAAGTTAGCAACCACGTGATTACGCATTCCTTTGATCGTACCAAATCAAAGCTAAATAGGATATTTTACGCTCGATCGTTGCCCAAAAGCTCCACAGAATGTGAGGATGATATACATTGGTGTGTCTACGATAATTTAGCCCATAGAACTCTTAACACTAATCGGACGCCCATCGCAGTCTATTTGGCGATGCGTGAGCATTAAAGCTGCCAGCGGGTGCCAGGGAGGTGCTACCGTCACTCTGCTGTGCAGTGCGAAGACCCATCAAAATTACGGTCATGCCAACTCCAAAGATCGCAAAAAATTGGATTAATCCAGAAATTGTCGGGATCTCGTGGAACAACAGCACATTGGACATTACGGCACTGAAGAGTTTAAAGATGTTATTGAGCGACAGAGATGAGTCAACAATACGGAGTATCTGATATCTAGCTAATCCTACGCACCATCCATTGAAAGTAGCAAATAACATCGGTTGAAATCTTGACACTGGGTAATGGGTGAGCGCCCTTTGCCGGAAGAGTTCCAAGCCCATCACCGACATTCCGATCACGAGAATCATCGCCAACACTGGAGTGGCTACACCAGTTGATGATGTTACTTCGCCTGCAGCGCCCGTTGTAGCATTCGCTACAGCGACGTGGGCACCACTTGATGTGGCACTCATTGCTCGTACCCTTGCCAGTACGGACAAAACCTTTCCGCAGGTAACTGTCACCGCTCCAAACAAGGAGCATATGGCCACATGAAGGTACAAATTGTAATCCTTCCCTAGAAAGTCCCGCCATTTCTTTGAATATCTTGTCGATCGCAGAACATAGATCAACATCAAAACACTGGACACCAGGGTTGCCAGCCCAAGAAAAAATGAGCGTGTCCGGCAGCATTCATCTAATATTTGGGAGGGTACTGGAGGACGAGTAGGATCCTTTGTCAGCTGTCCACCCTTTGGTGCAGCCAGGAGGATTATCAGCACGCCGCAGGCAACCACACCATATCCAATGCGTTGGCGCCTAGTGATCTTCTCTCCCAGGTACTTGTGCGCTAGCACCGCATTAACGATGACCGACACGATTCCCAAAGGAGTGACGACCGCCGCAGAGACAAAGCTCAAGGCTACCCAATTGCCACATGCTTCTCCAAGATACGCGAGCAGGAGACCGAGCAGCCATGTTCGATTTCGAGCCCGTGTGGCTAGAGATATGGCTGGGTCGGCATTGGAAGGTATCGGACGCCGTCTCCGAGCTGATGGAAGGTAGGAGAGAGCAGCAATGCGGTTGATCGCGTGCTTCTGCAGAGTCTGTCCCAAGCCAATAGCGCAACTAACAATGCGGGATGAGATGTCCACTGCCGACCGATACCAACCATCACCTTTGAAACTTACTTGCCCAATAACGCTGCTAGCAAACCCAGCAAAAACATGAAATCTATCCGACCATGCGACAGGCACGTCCAAACGGCGTGTTGCTATTTTCGTGCTGAACTTTAAAAAAAGGAGGCGTAAAGAACGCGGCTTTTGGTCAACTCACGCGGCCTGTCGCCAAAACGGCATGTGCTGAAAGTCAAAAAAAATTGCCGTTTTGATGACAACAGCAATGTGTATAAAAAAGGAAGAGAGGTTCGTCCTCATCTTCATCTCTTTTCAGCAACTGCCCAACACTCCTTCCGCACACTCTCGCTAAACACACCATAATGGTCCGTTTTACCACCCTTCTCCTGCTCGCGGCAGCTACCTTCTCCACCATCTCTGCAAAGCCTTGCAATGTCGCCGATACAAAATACGTGGGACAAAAAGCGGTTCTGAAGCAGGTTGCTGCCAGCCTTCCCAACCAGCCTGCGGCCGTATTCCAGATATCGGGAACAGCAGAGATTCTTGATGGTTGTAACTTCATTGTCAGGAATTTCACTTTCCTCCCCGGTTACGCTGGTTCCGTATGGTTGGGACGTAGGCCAGGCGACCAAATGGCCAAGGGTGTGGCGGAAAATGTCGTGGCTAGCAACAATCTAGATAGCCAAAAGTTCACCTTAAGAAGCGTGCCTGGATCGGAAATCAGCTTTGACGAGTTTGACACCCTCGTTCTCTTTTCTACCATCGACAACTTTGAGATGGCTACTGCTCAGTTCCCCGGATTGGCGGCACCAAATGCGACCTCCACAGGATCCTCTCCAAGTGCAACCGAAGCGGCTAGTGGTAAAAGCAAAAGCTCCGCTTCCTCCGTCGGTGGGTCTGCTGTGATTGTTGGCGCCGCCGCTGCCGCCGCAGCATTCGCCGTTGGGTTGTAAGAGACATTTGCCACGAATATATAGTTCTGAATCAATATTACTCCATAGATTATTGTTGATAGTCAAAAATATACAGAGAAATGTTAATAGTTATCAGATAATAAGGATGCCCCATCATTGCCATAGTAACCAAAACACAGGAATGAAGCAGCGCGGCGGTAACGAAACTGACCGCTTTGTAAAGATGTATTTTTTGCAAACGATCCTTAGACAACCTTCCTAATCAGTGTCCATGGAATCACCCCCGCTCTGATCCTGGTTTATACGATCTGCATCAAGGTAAACAGGTGAGTATCCCACGTCTCCTTCCTACATACAGAAACGCCACATACCTTGCACAGATTGCAAGAATGTTTGGAGGGCTATAATTCACCAGTGAGAATCGGTAGATCAATCAAAAGGCCTTGTAGTCAAATGCATACCTTCCATATCGCTACCTGGAGCTAGATGAAGAGCCACCAGTGTACCATATCTTAGTGGGATAGTGTCATGTCATTCTGTTGATAGAGGAGTACGTACCTAGCTGTTGAAGTAGAGGCGCCAACTGCCCAGATCGTAACGCAGCACTCAAGGACTGCACAGACTGATGCTGTCCGGTCAACTTCCAAGCATAAGGCATTAGAATCTTTCTAGACCCACCTGTGTGAACTCAGGACTGTCCATTAATGCTTGAATCTCTGCCGGCGATCTGTTGGCAATTTGAGGAAGATTCGGGAAGAGCGCCGAAGAAATATTTGGGTTGTTGAGAATGGGTCCAACAGTGTCCGGATTCAGCGCATGCGCCAGGTCACCAGCTACAGACATAGATAAAGGAATTCAAATAATGGTTCCACTTTGGGATGATTGATGAACATACCAGACTCAGCCTCTGCATCTAATGTGGGGAACATTCAGTGTGTTGTATCAGGAATACCAACACATACTTTCTCACCTGATACGCGGATATTGGCCAAAACATCACGAATTTGCTCCAATTGGGCAGATGCCGACGCCGAGCTAGGAGTCGTTGCACCTTCACTAGACCCTGCATTCCTGATTACGATGAACATGAGCATCGTCATCCAACTAAGAAACCTTGGCAACCCATCATGCGGCGAATACCTGGCGCTTTGCTGTAAGACTTGAAGTAAATCATTCTCCATGGGATCTTGTCCGGGTGCAGGAGGATTGTTGATAAGATTATTAACCTGTGGAGAAATTGAATTATCAGACTGGTCAGTGCACCTTCGAGTTGGTCTAGGATTTAGCTTCACCTTTCTGGCTAGTTCTTCGTCCTTGTCTGACTTCGGCTCTGTGAGCCACAAATGGTGAGTATCCCCTTGGCATTCCCAGTGCGGGCATCCAGATTTTCAGAATGCTTACCCTGCATCCAGAAGAACAGCTTCTGTGATGACGACTTAAATTTGAGGACATATACGCGTCCATTTGACTGTGACACTTTAACAAAGTCGGCTTCCTCTATCAGAGTAATGAACTGTAAGCATCGTTCGTTGGGAGGGCTTGGACGAGAGCGCGTAAGAGGACCGACCTGGGAAAATGATCAAATCATCCTCCACTGCTCCCGTCCGTCGGTCTTTCCAGTAGAAGTGCATAAGTGAGTCCTGAACCCCAATGCAATCAGTATGCATCGATCAAGCTTGCGAAACTGCGTCACCCTTACGTCTCCTTGGTTCATGTAGATCAAGCTGCACATCGACTATGAGTTTCAATTTGTGGCAAAGTTGCTTTCGTTCCCTTACCCTTTTCGCGTGTCTGGCTTAACAAGAGTTCCCTCGCGAGTGCATTTCCCTATCAACTCAATCTGTCAACCTTCCATTGCCCCAGTGTCGCCGCCATCATCGCCGAAAGGCAGGCATACTGACCTGCTCTAAACTCCACCAGGGCTCCCGATCCTCTCTGCGCAGCCGAACCAAAGAGAGCAGCCGGAATACTTGCGGCCATGGTAAAGTGAATTACGAAGGGAAGCGGTAATATTCAGACAGATGAGTGTGATGCGTAACAACAACAGTGCACTGTAGACGCGTTCTTGGGACTACGATCACGTGCACTGTTGGATCTGCGAGAATGGAAGTGAGGAATGGACTTGATCCGTACAGATTTGAGTGAAGAAAGAGTGACAAATCTCTATATATTGATGCATCTTGAATAAAATAAAGTGTACCTATCCCCTCTAGTATTAATTACAGAGCCAGTACTTCATCCCTTCTCCGTCGGTATTCGCGTAGTCGCATTAAAGCATACTCTAAATAATCAAAGTCCAAATCGCTGATCTCTGCTTGCACCAGAGCCCATACAGCCCAGTAAAAGTGCGATGCAAGCGAAAATTTTGCCACCTCCTTGTATAGTGTTTCCACTTCATCCGTTGAAACCGCATCTGACCCAGTGAAGGACTGAAGATATTCACGGAGCCATCCTAGCTGGAAGGATTTTGTTGGGTATAAAGACCAGTCACAATCAAACCCTAGTTACGCGGAAATAAGCAGTAAAGTAAGCTCTTGATCACAATGAATGCAATACCGCAAGCTAAGCCGCTTCCTCATTACCTGCATGCTCGCAGAAGTGGTTTCCGATGTCAAATCCTCGATAGGAGTAGTTTCCGTACTCATAGTCGATGAAAGAAACGGAATCTGGACGAATGGTGAGATCATTTGCGTATAAACACTTTAATTGCCCAAAATACCTCTCGTCTGGTCATACACGATGTTGCCAGAAAGCAAATCATTGTGACAGAATGTTACAGGACTGTTCAATTTCTCCAATACGTTTTGCAATTGGCGCAGGTCTTCCTTCAGCTCATCCATGTTAAGTGATGCCTTGAACTTCCGGTCAGCTGACGAGTTGCTGTAGGTTGCTGGTACTGTGAAGATGTCAGATGCGCCCAGCCATTAACAGCCCTGCGATCGGAATTACTACATACCTGCATCTAACCATCGCCAAAGGGTCGAAAAGAGTTTCGGCACACGTGGTTCCCCAGGCAGATCCACCCGATGCCATCTCGCCAACTGTTCAGCGACCAGTAGGGACTTTCGGGGATGGTGCATGTCTGGTGGAAGGTCAGTAAGGATCGGGCACCAAGTCGAGTCAACTAGAGGATAATACAAAAAGGCCTACCTTCCACGGAGAACGGTACTCCCTCAACATACCCATACACAAGACCGTTATGAAAACGTCCATAGAGCGCAGGACTCAAACCCAACCGCGACAGTGCTATCAAATTCTTACAAAGGAAGTAACAGGAACGTGGCAGAAACGTCACAACGAGAATCATCGGCCAACTGAAAAAAACCCAAAAACCACATACGAGCATTTCCTGGCGCCGGTCAATCAAAATATCAGAGCCTTTGCCATAACATCGGACCAACGCTGACTCTCCTGTTGGCTGATGCAGGCACCGTACGAGCTTATTAGTGATACCAGCCGTGCATTGGATGAATTTCACGTCGCGAGACACATTCCATGCAGGGAAGAAATGAGCGATAACACTAGCGACACCTTCCTGGCAATGTTCTGGAACTTAGTACTGTGCATGGTGGAATCATCCTATTTATCAATCATCCCTTGCCCTCCTCTCCCTCTCCTGCCACCCTCCAACTTTATTTCACTTGTAATTATCTGGTGTCCCTACTCTACATTGTCGTCCAGAATATAAAATCCCTATGACAAAAGAATGGGCCATTTTATGTAGTGCTCAATTGGGTACTCACCAGCAGGTTGTCATGGTCAATAAAGTAGCTGAAAGAAGAGACACTCTCCACCAACTGTTCCGGAGAGCTGTCTTGCTTGTCTTGGGTCTTGAAGTGAACTTGCGAGGGACGACGAGACTCGGGAGGTGTAATGAGACTGTTGGCTCCCTTCCAGTTCAAATGGGTAGCATCATGCACTGTTGAGCTATCACAGGTCCGATCATATGCATCTGCGGGGTTCTCAACCAACATGACTAATCCCATGCAAAAAAAAAAGTTCAAAAGTTGAGATCAAGCCTAAACCGCCAGGAAGGAAAAATAAATGTCAGATTGGAGATAGGGAGCGGGGTTGCGCAGCAGATTTGCATCGTCAGGTCACATGTCGTATGGTAACACAGCTTAGTAAGTGTGCGATCAGAGGCTTTGCCCCATTTCCTGCAGCGGAGATCTCCGCTGGGTGCATTTCAAGATGAGGTTGAAGACAAAGGTGATCAACGCGGGTCTTTTGATCAGTTGCGTATCCTGAGATGCTTCTTTTGGGTTGCTTGCTCCAATTAATACTCGCTTGAAAATAGAAATGGCTGTCAGTGTGGAGAAAATGGCAAAACGGTGGATCTGGCATTTTTCGCCAGACTACATCCACTTTATCGTTGGGAAGCAAGATATTAGCACGACGATGCAAATGTTTGGACAGATAAAGGCGGTTAGTGTTTATGCTGTGACACAATTGGTCAGATCCTTATAGGGCCTCTTATAATACGCGGAAAACACTTACAGGATCGCATGTTCGAAGAATATGTAGTAGAAAGTGGTTTCGGAAACAATATCTGGATTGAGCTAACCGGGGAGCATCTTGTACGCGCGCTAAAATCCAGCCAGCAAGCCTCTAATGTCGCTATGCGCTTGACAAAAAAAGAAGGACTACCCGTCTTAGCGTTGAGCATTACCAACACGGTGCGCAATCGCTGGGGCAAAGGCGTTTGTATTTCCGCCTCTCAAAATTTTGGTCAACAGAGTCGTACAGGGAATTGCGTTTTTCTGAGCCAAGATATTCCCGTAAGACCTCTGAAATGGCAGGAAGCGGAAGATCTGAAGCAGCCCGTTATGATGGATTACCAAGTAACGAAGGAATCATATGGTTCTAAGTGACATTTTGTTTTAGGCTAATGCAAACAACTAGGTCCATATTCTCCTTCCACCATTGACGGATGTACGTACGATTGCTGAGCGAATGCGGCCGTTAGGAAACCATATTACTGTGTCGGCCAACATGGCCGGGGACTTCCTACTAAAGGTTGAAACCGATGCCGTTCGTGTGGAGACCACGTTTTCGGGTTTGGTCAATCCTGAACTTGGTAATGATCCCGTTCTTGCTGCTGTGATCAAACATCTGGAAGTTGGATAGTAATGCTCCAAGTAGATCCTGGTCACTGTGACGTCTCCCAACAACCAAGTCTCAGCCGGGACCGTCAATCACTTGCGCATGTCAGAGTTGACATAAGGGATTTTGTTAAATTTCTGCATAGTTCTGTGATAAATCCGCGTAATGTCGTCTGTTGTAAGTTTGGTCATACTCCGCGAGACCCAGCGTCGTAGTTTCGGACAATCGGATCATCTCTATTTAGGTCTGTTCGAGGGACAAGGATTGATTTTGTACGTGTATCTGGGAGAGGGAACGGACGCCGACGATGGTGCATTTGTCTATTGTAAGCCTGCGCGCTCCTGCTGCGTGGTCATGCAGTTACTAAATCACCTCTGTCACTGTCTAGACGTCCCAATGAGATCGCAGTGACGGCGAAGCAGCAGCAGAAGTGCGTGTATATTGTGTATATATTACGACTCATAACTTAAATTATATGTATAAACTGGCCTCCGGTTTCTCTGCGCTAATATACAGATGTGTGTTAAGATTATGCAAGCAGGGCCTCCGGTATCTGGTCGCGGGACGCTTTCTTTTGTGAAACTTTGCCCACGGACGGTGTTGCCCCCATCGCGGATATTTGGTCTTCCAACAGAAGTGCATCTAGTTCGGCGTCAAGCTCATGTGTCGCAATAGGGATCGCCGAAGATGAAGCGGCATTGGGTTTAGCCGGTGCAGCCACGGGCGGTACGTATCCAGTCACTGTTGGGTGTTCTGCCTTCTCAACCGCCAGTTCTGTGTTCACGACCGGCAGCTTTTCTACTTCCTCCGCGAGGAGTGCATCTAGTTCCTTTTCAAGGTCCTCATCTTCTTCTGGCTTGAGAATCATATTCTGGCCCACAGCCATGGCCTCGTCAATCTCAGCTTGATCAGCCAACGCGTCTTGCAATTTATCCATTGTTCCCTCTACCGCCTCCACAGTCAGACCAGATTCCTTAATAAATGATTTCAAAGCATTAGAGCCGGCATCATAAGCTGTGAGAACCTGCAGGAGTAAGATAATATTGTCAGGAATGTTGCTTATACATCTGAGTGATCCTAGAAGGCGACGTACCTCTGTCTCCGTCTCCGCCGACTGAATCTTGCCAATAATACCCTCAATTGTTTCCACCGAATGGAGTCGTTTCTCAAGAACTTGGGTAACTAGTTTCTTTTGCCGGATGTGATACAAAGCGCGCTCTTTTTGTCCGGCGCGAAGACGCTGTTGCGCCATCTTAGTGAGACTTTGATTTGGTAAAATGTTAGCTAGTTATACGACTAGCTCCATTACAAACACTACAACTCCGCAACTTACTCTACGATCCTCTCTTCAAGTTCGTCAACCTGCTTGTGAAGCATGGCCATTGTGGACTTCAGAGTAACAATACCGCGGTCCGTACTCGTAATGACCAGACTCGATTGGCTTGAAGTCAACGGTTTTACTTTCACAATCTAAAGGAGACTGATGAGGTTCTCTGATGTAGCTATGGTCGAGGACAGGGAACATACTCCACGCTCCGAGTTGGTAGGGTCCTCTGCGATCAACACATTGCCGCTCTGCTGAAGGTAAACCTGCACTAGCTCAAAATCCAAGTGGGAGGGCTTTCGTCCGGCTCTGGCTTCCGCCGCCCTATCGAATTGCTCTTGGAAGTTGCTCATACTAAGTACGTGATCAGAGGCATAGTGAGCATCCTTCCGGATGGTCTCCAACAAAGCTTCAGCGGTTTCCTGCCAAATCACGTTGGTCAGCGCGAATGATGTAAAACAGACATAACTTATACCCACTTTAACGAGTGGAATCACGACATGAGCACCATGCATGCTATGGGACTTTGGTTGTTCACCACCACCAGTAATTTGACTTATGCCCCACGAGAGCGGTGCTACGATCAGCGAAGAAACGGCCCAGGAAGCCCATCCTTGTGGTGAGCCCGATCGTTGTTTATATTTCGCTAGAGGTATAAGGTCCCCAGTTCGCTCCATATCGGCCTGACCATGTAAAGAGCCATTAGATGCTGTCTGTGATTGTGTAGAAAGACTACCCGCCACATACCAGAACTGTGCCGAGTCCCAGCGGCACAAGTCCCCTTCTCTTGAACTTAGTTTCCAGGCTGTCAGCATCAAAGGACAGAACATGCTCGCCAAGTAAACCCAATCCACAGGCTTCCGTTAGTACCCCACGCCAAAATGCCATTTTCTCGTCATAGGAAGGTGCATTGAGGGTGCTTCTGGAAGCAGGAAAGCGCGAGAAGAGGAAAGATACTTTGTCGTTGGCTTTCTGATCTGTCGAAGACCAAAAAGGCAACGACTCAAGATAACTTTCAAGATTAGGATATCGAGCTCGTATTTTGCTGTTGGTCATGATCAACCTGGGAAATAGACAGGAATGGAATTGCGAAATTTAAATGCCGATCTCGTTTGGTTGAGGTTGAGCGCCAGCTATCACGTCAGAATATGACACATGATAGTTGCCGCATTTGGACGATAGTATGGCGCAGCTCGCGGAGTTTCGTCCAGTCCCATGTCCGATCAATCCCCCAGCACTTATTTCGTAGTGGCCAGTAAGAACTGCCGTTTAGTGTGGTATGGTTCGTACTTGGCATGACCAGGTAAATGATGGTATTGATGAATATGAGTAACATGACAGCTAAATACATTCCTTGATCCCTCTTTGAAGAATAAAGAACTTGAAAGACAAAAATGGCTGGAGGACTTGGCAGCTCAATCGCGGCAGTTACAAGAACGAAAGCAGAAGGAAGCGGCAGAAAAAAAGGAGATGCAACTGGTAGAGTTCAGATAAGAAATTTCGGAAACATTTGAGCCCAGGGATTTACGAAGAACTGGCAGGTCTATAGCAGCATGTTCGAGGTTCCTTGGAAATCAAAATCTTTTGCCCCCGAGCAAAGGATAGAACCATTAGAAGGACTGTCCAAAGCCAGAAGAGTACGCTAAAAAAGAGTAATTTTATACAAGTTACATACAATTTTGACAAGATCGTCGGTTTCCTTTAGAGAACGCTGACTGCCATTCATCAATTGGAAGCACAGCCATCTTCACAGGTGTGGAACAATTTTTTCACGATATTAGCTTCCAACTCTGCAACTAACGTCCCTTACTTACTCTCAGATAATATCAGCAGGTACTTCATCCCATCTGCTATAAAGTTTCTGAACACTGAATATAACAATACTGGTCTTCGAAAGATCTACCCGCACGCAAAAGTAACCGCCCAGCCCGGATTGTTGAGGAGACACCCGATGATTTTTTCTGGAATCGACGATCGACAGGTGGTGGTGGGGCACCTTTACGGAATAGGGAAGGGCATATCAGCGCGCTCCGGAGACGACCCCCAACCCCGCCAACAGACGGTGGCAGTCGCGTCGAAGCGCATAATGTCCCACAGACGCACATAGCTAGCTCAGCGGAACCCCCAATAATTCAACAACCCGCTGAACCTTCATACCCTGCTCCTGCGTCCAGGTTTGCACGCACAAAAGGAACTTTTGGACCTGAAGACTCTGACAATACCCGACGCAGAGCCGAGGCACTGGAATGGCAGGCTTGCTTGCAAAAGCAAATTGAGGAAAAGAAGGCGAGGGAACGTCAAGAGAAAGCAGCGGCAGATGCAGCAGAGCGTAGAAGGCAGCTTAAGTGGGAGCAGGAAGCCGGTATCCTGCCAGTTGCCAAGGAGAGCCCACCCGTCCAGGTAGAACAGTCGACAGTGAAACCCATGAAGAGTACTTCAAGCAATGCCAGTGAAAGCACTCCACAACAATTGCAAAGCCGCATTCCTCGTCTGCGCCGAGAAATGCCAAGCTCTGGTAGTGAAAAGCTGTCAGAAGAGCTGCAAATTATGGCTACCACAGTTGAGCGCTTACTGCAAATTGCACCGCGCCGAACTGATATTACGAACAATAAAGGGGTCCGACATGTTGATAAGCTCCAACGCGTAAGAGCGTCAGCACCAGGTTCTATGACAAAGGGACCCGGGCAGCAAAGAAGAATCATGACCACTGCATTGCATTCTGGTCCCGGAAAATCCGTTATGGAGGCGCCCAAAAAGAGGGTGTTATCTGCAGTTCACGACGGAGAAAAGACATCACAACCCCGGCCAATAAGTTCGCAGCAACATTTCACGCAAAAACCCTCACCGGCGCAACGATTGCCCAAAATCAAGTCAAAACAAGATGTACCACACTCCAAGCCCGCTTCCAACCATCCGACGCCCCGTCCCCCCTCCTCCGAACCACTCCTGCGGTCATCCACCAGAAGAATAAAGGTCTCAAACTCAAACCAGAGGCAGAGCCAGCAGAGCCAGACACGGGAAAGCGTGATAATAGAACAGAAAGAATGGAAAAGAATAAAAGCCCTCACCGAGCCTCAGACCAATCTTCAGCCGGCACAGCCCACATTCCAAGACTCCGCTGAGAGTGAAGAAGGAATCACCAGTGCTCTTCAACAGAGCAAAAATGCCGTCGAAAAATCAGACACCTCCGTGAACGGATGTAGTAACTTGCTTAAAAAAAGCAAACTTGAATGTCCCGAGAAGAACGGAGGGGCAAGACCGCCCAACAAAAATTCCCTACCTAGTTCCTCTGCGTTGCATAATGATTCCGACTCTAGTGATATTCCACCAAACAACGTTCACCAGGAGGCAATGACGACATGGCTGACGAGCCTTCGTTCGCCATCACCGCCAATACCTACTCTCCAATTCAAGGATATAACAACCAGGTCTAAGCAGCAATCTATATCATTGTCTGTTGAGCAACCAAAGGTTGGTGGATGTGAAGTCGCAGTGAAACAACTTCATTTTGATGCTGTTTAATTTGTATCATAGGACCCACCAACTTCCAAAAGACCGTCCTCGGACGAGCAGAAAGTAGCTGCAGCACTTGATCAGTTGCGTAATTTTGAAAGTATATTAGTGGAAGAAAGGCGACGATTGGATCAAGAAATGTCAAAGACTGCCAAATAATATTAATACGCCTTTTCATTCGCTACGAGGTGCCTCTGAACGTTTCAAAATCATGATAACTGTATCACATGTAGTCCATAGAATGTGCATGCGGAACGACGCAGCTTTTGGTGTAGAACATAGCAGCTTTTTGGTTAGAGGACTATCTCGTATCTCGTCAAGTGAACTCTAATGATTCCATGCGGAGTCTGTTCAGATACTGACATTCCAAGATGAAGCTACCATAGTGCGGAAGTGATTGAAATGGCACTAGGACCCATTATTATCCGGATTAATCCGGTTAGTCATATCGCATAATCAGAACCCCCTTCTATCGCTTAATGTTTTTTTTTTTTTTCAGCTGGACCCCATTTTGCCACAATCGAGGTCTATAAAAGGGGGTCATTACTCCCTCTTCCCTCTTTCCTCTTTACCCATCCTCGACTCTCGAAGCATCTGCGCAACGCCCACGCAGCACTCTCAAGTCCATCATCATGAGAATGCCGCTCTGGTGCCGAGGACCTCGCCCTCCCAGCAAAAACAACATAACCCCTTGCAAACGCTGCTACTACTATATTGCTACGATCGCAGGTATGCATTATCTTTGTATTTTCCCACGCGGATTATCCAGTCTAATTATTCTGATCTACCTTAGTATCTGAACATCCTCCGACTAAAGAATTTCGGAATCAAGGGCTTAGTAGGATTTCTCTCGTGTGGTGGGCTTAGTTACCCGGTTAGAACAACCGTAATGTATTGCATGTGTAATTGGGCCTAGTAGTAGTTGGTTGGTTGTAAGGAGGGAATTACTTGGCTTTTCCGAACCAGTTGTCGCCGGTTTATTCCCTGGTGTAGTAGCTAGTGCCAGTTTCTGTCACCTAATACACTATCCAAGATCTCCGACCAGCCTTATTTAACCTGATTGGATTCAGCATTGGATTGAAGTTCAACCGGAGAGAACCGTTTTACGGTTCTGCAAGCATGAAAGCAACTGTCAGATCTCACCTAGATCCTATCAAGTAAAACATGCCATTAACAACCCTAGAACGAATCATAAACCTCAAGGAATCGTCGTCTTTGATAGTGATTGAAGACTCTACAAAACAGTCATGCGCTAGACTTTTGAAAGCTTTTGCAGCGTCAAGCATAGGTCCTGACAGGTAAGTTTCTTTGACCGTTGATTGACAAATAATCATGGCTAAAATTGCCTTGACATCGAAGGAGGCTTGTGGTGGTGTCTGTCGAACAGGCGTACTGGAAATGGAAGCGAATACTGAATTTGGAGAGGTATGTGAAATGCTGAGGAATGCGGAACCGATCGTTACTGACGGTACACTAAGCCTGACCATAATAGATGTATATTCCTCCTGCTTTTCATGGCTCGATCCTCCTGTGGCCGCCCCGGTCCGATCTGCTAATATCAAGAATCTGGTATCGGTAATCGAGACAGAGCTGCAAACCGGTACGCTCAATTGCTCTTTTGGATGTCGCGCTTTGGATTCACACCTGGAAATATTCTCAGCGCAAAATGGACGAATCACTGTTCTATTTGATAGTATAAATCCGTTCCTGCTCCGTTATTCCTTGGCAACCGTGGCGCGATTGGTTAAGAGTCTATCTGCACTTGGTAGCGGTGAGGCAGCGCTGTTGGTTGATCCATGCATAACGGCAAAACCCCTCATGGATGTTATGGCGATTGCTAGATAATGTCCGAATCATTCTCCCTTTCCACGGGGACGTACCCGTACTGGATGCGTCAGGAAATTCGCTAATACCTCCAATCGGGTCCGTCCTGGCGAACGCGGCCACAACATATGTTACCGTCCGGCATGGAAAGGATTTTGGTATCATATTTGGACGCGATGGCGGAGCTGTGGATGTATTCGAAACTGTTGATGCGCATAATCCTGCCGGAGGAATATGTGAAGTACTTCACAAAAAGAAGTCTGGAAAGGTCCTACGTGAGGTTCGAAGCCGGGAATAATTGAGTTTGCTATTATATGAGGCGAATAGCTAAAGTGTGCCTTGCTACAGGCGGTGGCTTACAAAGTATCTGCTACGGACAGCGATCTCTTGACGTTTCACACGGTGGATGACCTGCGGTCTGTGAATGATAGTCAGCCATCCCCCCCATCGAATCCCGCAGAGAGGACGGTATGCACAAAGACATCAATTGCGACTGATTCAATGAACCTATCTCATATATTGGTGTGCAGCCTGATCCGACCGCCAATCTTTCCTTCAACCTACGTCTAACCGATGAGCAGAAAGTAGCAAGAGCAGAGGTCGTGCTACCCTACATGAAGGCGCAAACTGCAGAAGGTCCATCTGAGACGGCAATATATTATGAGCCAGAGGATGATGATTACGATGACGAGGTACGTCTATTTAATCAGGATGATCTTATATTAGCACATCTGGCGCCTTTTAATATCACCATCCAATCGACAGGACCCGGATGCGGACCTGGATATATAATTCCCACCAACGCAAATAAATACATATATACATAAATTGATGGCACTAGAACTCATTATTATCCGGATTAATCCGGTTAATCATATCGCATAATCAGAACCCCCTTCTATCGCTCAAAGCGGTGAGGCATGCTAATGTATTTTTTTCTTTTTCAAACTGTGGTGAGGCGCATGCTGAAGGTCTATAAAAGGGGGTCATTACTCCCTCTTCCCTCTTTCCTCTTTACCCATCCTCGACTCTCGAAGCATCTGCACAACGCCCACGCAGCACTCTCAAGTCCATCATCATGAGAATACTGCTCTGGTGCCGAGGACCTCGCCCTCCCAGCAAAAACAACATAACCCCTTGCAAACGCTGCTACTACTATATTGCTACGATCGCAGGTATGCATTGTCTTTGTATTTTCCCATGCATATTCCGAGTCTAATTCTGATCTACCTTAGTATCTGAACATCCTCCGACTAAAGAATTTCGGAATCAAGGGCTTAGTAGGATTTCTCTCATGTGGTGGGCTTAGTTACCCGGTTAGAACAACCGTAATGTATTGCATGTGTAATTGGGCCTAGTGGTAGTTGGTTGGTTGTAAGGAGGGAATTACTTGGCTTTTCCGAACCAGTTGTCGCTGGTTTATTCCCTGGTGTAGTAGCTAGTGCCAGTTTCTGTCACCTCTACACTAAAAGTGCCAGCCCTGCTAGTGCGCACAGCTTGCGTTGTGTATGTGAGCGCGTGATTTTCCTTTCTCTTGCCTGCGCTTTCGAACAGATCTTGGTTCTCTTTCGTATGCATTGGGCTTGCTAGGGTCGTCATCTGATTCTGATCCTGACGATGATTCCGAGTCTGACGACTCGTCTATACTGTGTGGCTTGCGATATATGCAGCAGACTACAGAGATTGAAAAGGACCATGAGCAGCTGACAAATTCAACGTTATTCTACAAACAGACAAGGCAGACCTTTGCTGCTTTTGCGGCCCATTCCCTCATTGTTCACAACATTTTCATCCCACTGAACTCGTCGTTCACTGAGGTTTCCGCCTCGGAGTAAGAGTGTTCCTGCATTCGGTATTTGCGTCGATGGTTGTTGGAGTAGTTGCTCTTCTTGGACTGTGATAGTTCGTGATCCAGTAGACAGAGGGGCGGTAGCCGTCACCAAGGACGAATTCGGTTCAGGTTCCGCCAGATGCGTTGTTTGTGGAGAGGGCATGTTGAGGTAATGAACAACTTGCAACCCACACGCACACGACGTCAAAGACCAGCTGTGAATCAAATGGGATGGAATGTATGCTTAGTCAGACGCCTCATTCTTTCGGGTCTTTTTGAGGATTTGCAACCAACACAAAGAAACGGGGGAACAATACAGGACACTCGCACACTTGCTGGTGGGGGAGGTGTGTGTTCGTTTTCTCTCCGCCGTCTCCCGTTGGAAATTGTCCTTTCTTGCTTACGCAGATCCCATCTGATCACTTGCATCATCTTAGAAGAAGGTGAGTATATCTGTCACACCCTGAAACCTAAAGCTGGTTGGTGAGGCGCGCAACAGTTTCAAGCAAAAAATCCTGTCTGGGTGTGTGTGGTCTATCCCTCGTTATGGGTTGCAAGCCCGTGACATCTCTTTGCGCCGTTTAAGCACTGGCCCCATTGCACAACGAGCCTCGGACAACCTACCACACCTTGTTCTTACACCTATCGACGATTTAGATTTCGGTTCTTGTATTATCTACGAATCTGATCGGTGGTTGTCGCACGCATTGTGTCTCCATTTTTTTTTTTCAACTCGCATCGGTGGTCATCGGTCTCACCTTGAAAGACACTGCCCAGCTCGGAGATTATTTGTCACGCAGTCGTCTGTTGACCACTTGCAGAATTCTGGTGGATAGGGTGAGCGCCCTTTTCATCTTCCATTTCACGCGAAGATCGTATCGGGTTAAACCCATGCTTTCTTTTGTCTGACAACTAGTCACCTTCTACCCTGCAACCGTCCTGACTGATTCCGACTCTGCTGTCCATTATCCTTCTGCTCCGTTTCGATGACCCGGTAGCATCGACGCTTCCACAGCTTTCAATACCTGTAAAAATTCTTGTACAAAAGCACGACACTCCATTTTGTCCATACCCTCCTCTGTACAGCTCTTCCAAGCTACACGTACTATTTCAGTAGTTTTGTACAACACGACCGACATCTGTTTATAAAAACCATTTTAACACACACTCGGCAACACCTCCGTACCTCCGACCAACGCTCAACATCTGTTTAATTATTGTTACGATCCGCAAGCATGGGTGATTACAGTGGAATTGCGCAACCAAAGGCGAAAAACCAGCCTCAAGGACAGGTACGCGGAAAATCCCTTGCAGCGTCAGCACTCTGTGCGGTGTACTCATCTTGCAATTGTCCTCGCAGTTGGCCGCCCTTTTGCAAAGTCCTCTCAACTGGGACATTGAACCAATGAACATGCCAAAGGAAATTGGCAGCAGGTCAAGTAGTGCACCTCCCGCCGGCATTCTAATGCCAGAAGGACCACGGGTATGTCTCCGAGACGGCAGAGCGCTTTTGAGTTGATATCTCATGTCATTTCAATCAGGAGGTGGAAGAACCTGTCGTTGGCTCGGCCACCGATCCCCGTAGAGATCCTGAATATGCCGCATACTATTATCATGCGTCAAGGCTAGACCCTCGTCTTCCTCCGCCTATCTATGCACCCGGCCAATCATGGCAAGTCTGGGCGCCGCCTGGGGTGAGCGGGAAAAACAAGGGACCTGAGGTGATGACACAGGCACCTGGGAAGAATTTGGAAAAGTTTAGAGGCTTCGGCATGGATGATGATTTCCTCAGTGATCATCCGCTAGATGAAGTAAGTGGATATTATGAAATCCTACTTGGCGCGGTGATTAATTATAATGAATCCATTGCAGAGTTTGGAGCCAGAGGGCTTGTCGACAAAGGATGGTAACGAGTATCGGTCACGCAGTAAAGCGCCTTTGCCTGATGCCAGAGCGGCCGCAGCAGATGCTCGCTTGAGCGATCCGCGATTATCCGATCCTCGCTTGGCGGACCCAAGAATGGTCGACCCGCGAATGGCAGATCCTCGGTTGCTGGACCCGCGTTATGGTGATCCTCGGTTAGGTGATCCTCGAGTGAGCCCTGCATCTGCCTGGAGTAACGGAGATCTGCCGTCTCCTATGTCAATGCGAGGGGTTGACCTGGCAAGCTCTCCATCCAAGCGGAGAAACTTGGTGGATTTAATTCAGGAAGATTTCCCACGGACTCCTTCTCCTGTTTTCGCAACTCGGCAAAGAATGGGCATGGATGAAAGTGGCGAAAAGCATGAGCTCAATGATGTATTGAGAGATCAAATGCGCGCCGAACTTGAAGCGCAACTAGATCATTCCAACGACGATGAGCGATCTAGAATGGCCGCTGTCCTTAGTGCAGCAATGGACACTCGTGATGAGTTGGCAACGGCCCCACCTCAGCGCTCCGCATCCACTCCGCCGTCGAATGTACACTACAATCAACTGCGAAATGCCATGCTACAAAATTATGAAGATGAGATCCCACCAGAACTCCTACTTTCGATGAGAAATGTGAACCTAGGCGAAGTGAGAAATCTATTGACGAAATGTATCTGACTAGCTTCACTTTTATTGACGCCGTAATTACTTCTAGTCATCATCCCAACAAAGAGTTGGCAACAAGCCACCAAAGATTGCGACTGGTTTTGATCGATTATACTCGGATATGTCTGCCCCTCGCAGCGCCGGCGCCTACCTTGGTGGATCGGCGCCATTGGCAAACTCGCTCATGGGAGGTTATCCAGGGACTTCAAGAGGTAGAGAAGCCGGTGGGTATGGTGATTTTCCTGTGGCAGCGCTCGCAAACTTACTCTTTTTGCGTTATATAGAGATGCTAGCTGCCTTAGAATTACAGCAACGCGCAGCCGCAGCTCGCAGCCCCATGTTTGAAGAAGAACTGCGGACGGGCGCCGCTCTCGGTTTAAACCATCCCAGTTTTGATCACAGACGATCCTATCCTGCTGGTATTCCAGATGATTTGGCTTTGGCATATGCGTCTAGAAGGGCGGCTGCCAATCAACTCTACGAACCGAGTATGTTGCAAGCCTTAGCAAATCTGAACGGTGGGATGCCGGTAAATATGCCCATGAACATAGGGCGTGGCGGGGGATCTCTTTCTGAAAAAAAGCTGCGTTTGCTTGCCCAACAACAGTTGCTTCTTCGTGAACAAATGCTTCGACGCGAATATTTTCAACAGTTGAATGGATTTCCTCCAGGCCGCAGACCTATTCCCTCTGATTTACCTTCACCCGGGGGACTAGCCGATCCTGGACATGGGATGCGCAGCGCTCTCTTGGAGGAATTCCGTAATAATAAGAACAAGAAGTACGAATTGAGGGATATCGTTGGGAGTATCGTCGAGTTTAGCGGAGATCAGCACGGATCGCGGTTTATTCAACAGAAGCTCGAAACAGCCAACAGTGAGGAAAAGCAGTTGGTGTTTGACGAAATATTACCAAACGCTCTCCAGTTGATGACCGATGTATTCGGTAACTACGTTATCCAGAAGTTTTTTGAACATGGTACGTATCTTTGAAATTTTCATTATTGAAGTGAATGATTTTCTGATACCTTTCGCAGGCAACCAGATTCAAAAACAGATCCTAGCAAAGCAAATGGAAGGACATGTCCTCTCCTTGTCACTCCAGATGTACGGATGTCGTGTCGTTCAGAAGGCGCTCGAGCACGTGCTCACGGATCAGCAAGCAGTCTTGGTGCGGGAGCTCGATGGCAACGTTCTTAAATGTGTCAAAGATCAAAACGGCAACCATGTTATTCAGAAGGCGATTGAGCGCGTTCCTGCAGAACATATCAAATTTATCATTGATGCCTTCCATGGGCAGGTGTACGCTCTTGCTACGCACCCATACGGCTGCAGAGTGATACAAAGAATATTTGAGCACTGTGCTGACGAGGAGACAAAACCACTACTAGAAGAGCTTCACCGCTATACGATCAATCTCATTCAGGACCAGTACGGCAACTACGTCATCCAGCATGTTCTGGAGAGAGGAAAGCAGCAGGACAAGGGTTTGATCGTTAGCAAAGTCCGTGGGCAGGTTCTGCAACTTAGCAAACACAAGTTTGCAAGCAACGTTGTCGAAAAGTGTGTCGCCTTTGGTAGCAAAAAGGACCGCCAGCAATTGATTGACGAGGTTATTCAAACGAGACCTGATGGGTAAGTAAATTGGATAGTACCAGTCGGATCCGATAGGCACTAACAGACAGAACAACTGCCACAGTACCTCTCCCCTAATCTTAATGATGAAGGACCAGTTCGCCAATTACGTTGTACAGAAGATGTTGGACGTTGTTGATGGAGAACAACGTGAGATCTTGGTTCAAAGGATCAAGCCACACTTGCCTTCTTTGAAGAAGTACACTTATGGGAAACATTTGATAACAAGTAAGTTTAATGGGCAGCAGAGTGTAATTGAATCGTCGCTAGTTTCTTACACTGACCATTTTGCAGAAGTCGAAAAGTTGGTGATGCAACACAACATTCAGTAAACGGGGTCAAGTCCGTTGAAAGGACGCGTGTAAAGCAATCGCGCACTGACTCGATCATCGACTTTGTCAACACGCCGTATTTCCATCGCACTTCGCCATTACCCAAGTGTGGACACTGCGACTTTTGAGTGAATATCTGGCCAGCATGAGCATTTTTGGTTGAATATCTTGCTTCTAAGTTGGTTGGGTCTGGACAGTCCGGTTTTCTTCTAGTTCCTGTTTCCAGTTTTCGTTTTGTATTCATAGAATTGTTGGGTTGTGTATAAGGGTTGTAATACATGGTGTTCAGGGGTGCCCGAAGAGTACATACGCTCCCACATAATATACGCTTCAGTGTAAGCTCTGTTCCCTGCTATCCTTTTGCCAAGGGTCTGACTCCATGGTGTTCCTGACCGTACCACGCGCGTCATCAAGGGTGAGCATATCACGTAACATGCAATAACTATGAAAGGCGTTGTTTGACAGATTGGTGCTCCTTTTATTGCACGTCAGATTTCAGATTGGTAACTTTATAATGGCAGCATTGCTCAAACTTGCGGCAGCTACCACCTTTTCCAGAACCACCACCTTGGCTGGAATTGTCAGCAGACGCAATATCGTTCTGTCAAATCGTTACTTCGGTGACCGAAAACGGCGGGACTCACGCTCATCAGATGGAGCCGACGCAACAGAAAACCGGGTTGAAAAGAAGGGTGCTACCATCAAGCGCAAAGTCGACGAAATTGCCCAAAAGTTTGACGACATGATATCGGAAGATAAGATCCTTCCAAATACCGATAATCCCATGAAGATGAACTATACTAGCCCCCCAGTAACCGAACGAGTAGTTGACTCGGTCAAGCAGATCTACCACAAGGCCGAAGAAGCGGTTGAAGACATGAAACAGAAAGGAAAACAAGTGCTGGGTGATTACTCTGATCAGAAAGAGGTTCAAAAGGGACGTTCGGGAACGACGCCTTACAGTGCCGCTGATGAGGCCAAGCAGGCATATGAAACTGCAAAGAAGAATGTAGTTGAGGGGGGCGACACTCCGCCGAGAAAGTTATAAGCGAATTTGATTACTGTAGAAGCAGATGCGATGTCGCTCGGGAGGAACGAGCTGCCAACTACATACACTTGCTGCGAAACCTTTGCTGCCTTTGAATTATCATCCGGGTCGCTTTTCGATCTACATTAGGCTTACCATTCCGTATACTTGGCTGATATCTACTTTCCAAATTTTGGTTCTTCCCTTCCGCATCTCCCTGTCTACGGGTGACACCTCTTATTGCTTTGCTTGAAATTCTCCATGTATCACCAGGAATTGTCATTCTTACCCAACTCTGATCAAGATCAACCGATGCTCGGAAACTGATAATAGCGTTGTACCAATTACAATTTCAGATCTTTTAGTACGATATTGGGAGGACATTGACACTCGTCCACAAAACGGACCGCGAGCATAAAGAAAACACGGTGGTTGCTAGTGTAGTCAATAGTAATTCCTTCATTACCGGTATATTCTGGAACTGTCGATTCATGGCAGTCAGCAGCTCCACTAGACATGCAAAGCCCCCCTCGAATGATCCCAGTTCTCTTTCTCGCTACGGGGTAATCGAGGTTAGATACCTATAATGGCAAGTGGTGTTGTTCTGGATTGCAATACTTGCTGCGAACATGCTTAGGGCACAATATGGTGCATTGCTGTTATAATAAAAGAAAAGGTCACATTTACCCCAACCATGAGCATTCTGGTTGAAATTGGATGCGTTTTGAAGCGCTTTTGCACGTGACAGTTGGCCAGTTCCCGTACGATAACAAATAACAATACACTTATATGCATTCAGTTCCGAGATAGCGCCAATGAACATCTCACCCCCGGCTTTTGCATCTCAACGTTCACCCGCCTTGTCCAGCCCCGGGTCAGTCCGAAGTCATACTCGCACGGCATCTCTCGATCATGGGCGGCGGGGACATTCGCCGGCGCCGCCCAACCATCATCCGACCGCCTCGTTGTCAAAACTAGAGTCTGTCACATCAAAGGAAGATGAAGAGAGGACCGGGCCACCAACAGAGGATCTCGATCTAGCAAGGATGCTGGAAGTGGAAAGAGAAAAGGGCTCCGTGAGTCTTAACCTCTCGCAACGCAACTTGGCCAACTTGCCCCGAGAAATTGGAACAATGGTCCTACTTGAAAGGTAATGGCACTTAGATGAACAGCATCGATCAAAGGCATCCTTGGTTCATGGAAAACTTATTCGGTGTTCACAGGCTCGGACTTTCGAATAATATGTTATCCTCACTACCACCAGAATTGTGTGGGCTATCTCATTTGCGCTACCTGAATCTGCGATCAAATCGTATGCGTGAATTTCCTTTAGTGGTAATTACTTTAGTATTGAATCTCGTAATACGGGGGACGCATTGCTGAAAAGGAAATATCCAGATATGTCAGTTGCCGGCTTTAGAAATCTTGGGTATGGATACCATTGATTACCTCCCCTGTGAATTTCACCTCATATGGAATTAGATATGAGTCGAAATAAGCTAAAACGTCTGCCGAATAACTTTGGGACGTTGATGAACTTGAAGGTTTGCTATCTTCGTCCCTATGGCCAACCGCGGCGATGAACTCAAATTGAGCGACTTGGCCTCCGTAGGTACTGAGCCTAGCAAGAAATCGCATTCAAGAACTACCGATGTATCTGGGAGAGATGCAGGGTCTGAAGGTTTTGAAAATAGGTAACATCTCTCTGCGTTTCTTTCCTTGCTTGGTACGCCAATTTACGTCTTTGTTGTGTAGAACACAATCCGATACAATGGCCCCCGCCTGATGTCCTGCAGTGTGAAGCAGACATTCCACACGAAACCTGGCTGCAGACTTTCAAGGATTTCCTTGTGCGAGAAGGTATGGCCTGTCGGTTCACCGTGAACATGACTCGACTGGAATGACCCATATGATGCGTAAATTGTAGGCAACCTTTCCAGGACTGGGACTAACGACGCAAGGTCTGTCTAATTTGACCAAAGTGCATATATGCAACGTTATTGATGTCACATATGATCTTACAGCGCAGACGTCTCAAATCCTCAAAGTAGCGAGCTGCACACGTCCGGTGCGGGTCAACGGGGTCCACGCAGAGACAAGCAAATTGAGGAGTACACAGAAGAATGCGACCAGCTACTACACTCTGTTCTCCGTAACGATAATCGAAGTTCTTATACTGCACAATCATCTCACGGGGCAGCAGAGTCCGAACGAGAGTTACAGTTGTTTGAAATTCTAGAGGGTGTTGCGTACGCGTTGACATGCATATACAGGATTGTAAGAGAGATTTATGCGCATGCTGCAGATCTTCCGGTGGACCATAGTATCCTGCGCTCCTGGAGAGGACAGATGGAAGATCTCAACCGAAACACATGCTCGTTGATATCCGTATTGTTCACCGAATCAGATGGAGAAGCACAGATAGCTGATAGCCAGGTGGAGATTGGGGCCGGCATCCCACCTTCAGTAACTTCCTTAGCAGACCAATTACCAAGCAGTTCCATCGTGTTGGAGGAAGCGAAGAGGAACACTTTATTGGCTATTGCTTCTGCGAAGGCTCTGTCGTCTTTGGTGCAATCTTGCGGCAGCACGCTCATGAAAAATTTGGACGTCAGAACATCTCGATCCCTGATCACACAATGGTATAACGCAACAGCAGAGCTTGCAGATGTGCTATATACTGCCAGTGCATTGGTAGATTTTGGAACGGGTTTCCCAAAATCACCCGAATCAGCTAGCTCCACGGACACAACGGATCACGAACCTCAACAACATGTTGTGCACCCGTCGTTCATTCAGGTGTTAGCAAAGTCCGCCACCGGGGCTGCAATGAATGTTTTGGACTTGTTGAAAGACGTCAGTAAGCCTGGCGGTACTGGAGGCGAGAGTACAGGTACCGACAGACGAGAAGGCTCTAAGGCGGCTGGGCTGCATATCGAGCTTGCAAGTACAATGGCGACCGTTGCGGAGACAACAAGGGCATTATCTGAATGCCTAGCGGGGGAAGGAGGTGGTAATGACTGGCAGAAGAATATCACTGAAAGTGCTGGGCGATTCATAAAGGTACTAAATAGAAATTTCGTCTCTTCTCTCCACCTGACCTTCTCACATACTCTCTTGATACGCAGGCAATCGCACATATGAGCGCAGCTGCCCGCGCCGTTGCGATAAATAACCCGTTGGGCAAACCAGTAATGGCAGGGCTTCATAACGTTACAAGAACGACAAAAGAACTTGCCATGGCGGTTGCTACTCAGAAGTCAACCCCAAATCCCATTGTAGATACCACTGTACATTCTAGAACTGGAACGTAGATTTCCTTTGTACGATTCATTTGTTGTGTATTTTCTTATATAGAGGATCGATGATGTAAATATATTTGTCGTATGTTTTATGGTCAAGTTAACAATAACTAAAGTAATAGCTTATTCAGCTGAAACGGCCATTGGACGGTGATCGGCGCATCCATTTGGGTGCGATGATGCCTGAATCCACATCACCACGGTTTCGGCGCGTTTGGTATGTAAAGGATATTGTTTCATTGTGGAGGAGGTTGGTGGCATTGGCTCGCCTGATGCTTCATCAGAAGAAGCTGTGGATGCAGATTGATGAGAACAGTCACACATCGGCATGAGGGAATTCGGTTCGCCGTCTTGCGAATCTGAATCGCAGTCACCAACAACTTCTGCATCGTCTTCTGCCTCGTCCTCTGCTCCAACATGCATCGGGGAAGCTTTGCCGCTCCCTTCCCGCTGATTTTGGAGAAGCCCGGACAACGTCGAGCCCCTCTCCCCAGTACCCGACGATCGCTCCCTCATTGCCTTCCTCAGTAAGGCCAGTATCTCCACATAGTCCGCCTGACTCATACTACGGGCGGGAAGAAAAACGGGGTATCCTTCTACCTGTTCTTGAGCGCGCACTGTCCGTTCATGCCATACAGCTGCCGTTCGCCAATCGCGGAGGATTAGGTAATTAATGCCGATGGAGAACCATGCTTCAAGCTAAATGATCATTGTTAGCAACGTGGGGGACGATTAACACTGTAATTTAGTAACATACTAGCAGGGGATGGTATGTGCCGAGTGCACTTAGAGATTCTGGAAGTGTATCCGAACCAATGTGTTCAGCATCATCGGCGTCTGTCGATGCTACAGTGCCAGGTAAGCTACTCGAAATGCTCCTCCGGCATACCGAGTTTGGAGCCATTTTCGAGGTCGCTTTCGTCGACACGGACTTGAGAAAATCCGGCACGCCAGAAATGATAGGACCATCAAGAGACGGCAAACTCGTTACTGAAGACGGTGAGTCAGCACCGGGTTCCTGCACGTTCTCAAACGCATGAAGCGTGCTTGGGAAGAAACCCAGAAAGTGATGATAGTCACGCGTACTCCGACGGATCAGATTCTCGATTTGCTGAGAATGTGGCTCCAGGGCCGACCAATAGGGATTTGACAGTGACTGCTTGTCGTTACGAAGGGAGCAGGTTACGTCGATAGGTATGCCAGCCTCCTCGCAGGCTGCGGTATCCGGTCCATCATATGCGATGTCTTCCGACATTGTCCTCGCTTTCTTCTTCTTGCTTCGTTTCTTTTTCCGGATGTCGGCTGTAGCTGCATCCTCCACTTTGGTGAGCGCTTTATCAAGCAGATATATTGCATATTGATGAAAGCACGCAGCCCGCAGAAAGTACAGAATGGCCTCGCTACAACTCTCCTGGGACTCTGTATCCAGAAGTAGCGTATGTTTTGAGCTGTTTCCACCATGCACCAAAGCCTCGCAATCTACTCCATTCACATTGCGCTTTCTTTTCTTAATGAGGTTTATTGCTGACTTAAAATCTCGGAGCGCCAAGGGGAATTCTTCTCGAAAGCAGTGGATCATGGCACGAGTTCGATAATACTCAGCAGCGGTGGGAGATGCCGCAATCAAAGTATCCAAAACTTGCGGGTGTGTGAATGATGCCAGCTTCCTCGACGGTATTTTTTCGTGGAAGTGGTGAACGTACATCGCATCCAAATTGTTCGGATCACGCTTCAACACCTAAGTGCATTCGGTTATGAGAAATGGCCTCAGCGATATGTTTCCGGTAAAGGAAAGATGTACCTTTGCAGCTACATCATCTAATGAGCTCGCACTTTGCATCGTCAGCACACTTGTCGCTATCTTTATTACCCACATTAGAACATCAGACACTGGTAGTGCCTCCCAGATTTCACTGCTTCAGAATTACCTCGTCGCATCGATATGCCGCGGCAAGCTTTGTGACCGCCAATTCACGAAGGCGGTGCTGTCGTATTGATGACATGCGAGTGGGCGCTGGGGAATAATCTCGAGACCCCGGCTGACTCCGCACCAGTCCCCCTGCGGCTTTGATCACCTTAGATCACTATGGTTAACAATTCGCCACAGGGTTAAGCAGCATATCTAAATCTCTTATTATACCAGCTCGGATGCGTCGTCCACTAAAGTTCTTATAGTTATCAAGTGGCGAAAAGTAACGGGGTCAATTGGGTGTTCGGCAGCGGTGTCACTATTAAGGGCGAACAATGACTGTAGTAGCTCAAGAGGAAGAGATAGCCAAGGGCCATGATAGCTTGCTATGTAAGGACTGTCAAGGTTTGAAAAACGAATAGGTTTGAGCGCAAGAGAGGGGACACAACGGAAACCCTTCACGTACTAGTGTTTGTTGCGACAGATCATGATGGACCCACCGCTGTTGGCCATTGAATCGCGGTCTGGGCAAGTGGACTTCGTCACCATGCGTGCGGAATCGAAACTGGGCTATATACCACGGCAAATGCGGCGGCCCCGTCAAGCTTCGGAAGATAAGGTAAGGAAAATCCGTCGTGAAGTAGCGTGTTCTTCATCACCAACGACGTATCACGTGCCTGTCTGCGTGATTTAGTCACGTGCATCTGGTAACCCCTCTCTCCCCGCTCATACACTATGCATGTTGCCAATGACCTCGACATCTACTCGCCGCCATGGGAAAATTGTCCATATCGAAGAAATCCAGGCCCAGAGCATGTCGGGTTCCTCTGTTCGTGTGATAGGAACGTGGGTACCGCCTCTATGTTGAGCAACGCGCAGTTGAGGCTTCAACTTAATGAACGACCTGCCTTTGTCAGACTACTGACATATGACACAAACACATCCCTGGCCGTTATTGAACATGCACGCTCGCAGCTCGTTGTGGACCTCAGTCTACTAGGACCCTTCTCAAATCGGACGAAATCCCTTCTGCAATTCATCGGCGAGGTAGAAACATGGCAGGTAGCGTTCACATGATCTAGCCGTGAAGTCTCTGGTCTCTTGATGTTAACGGATATTGCCACAAAGCCGCCACCGAATCTTCCGTTCTCTTGTCTTCCGTCTGCGTCTCGGAACTATCTTATTCTGCGCGCTCGAATTGCTCGAAATGTTGATGGTCTTGACCTGTCGATGTATGATCAAGCTTTACAGATCAGAAGGAAGTTTGAAGTTGAGAGAGAGTCTTTGAACTTTTGACATGATATTTCTTTCTGTTTCCAAATGGAGGGCGTTTCAGATCATACATAGATAGGGAGCATATCGTTAATCTGGTTTAATAGGCTCATCTGTGAGATTCTCCATAATATGACGCGTAATAGTATCACTTTGAAGACTCGTGGCCTTCTTGCGATGTGGGAAGCGAGTAAGATATCAAATAGATGCGCTCTTGGAAGATCCCTTGGCATCAGAAATGTCGCGCTACAACGAAGTCCGACGTTTATGCCTCGTATGCAACATCCACAAAAAGACATACCTCCAACTTTCGTACTCGCTCCCTGCTCAACCTAAGACGTAGCTCAATTGAAAGAGACTCTTGGAGTACTGAGTCTCTGGATTATGACTTTTTGCCGCTATTGTACTTGCGTTCCCAAGTAGCCACTTACGGAAATCAGAGAGGACATCATGCCCAGTGCGATCGGCGTTCAGAGCAGCCTCTGAGGTGGACTCCTCAATCTCCGGTGTTATCGAACTTTCTGAACCGATGTACAGTGAGCTCAGTTCATTTTGTGCAGCTGGGACTTTGGAAGGATACAAGATGCGGCAACTGTCATGATCGAAATGAACGAGAATTGCATAAGTATCTCACCGTTTTCGACCTCGTTTCGAGTATTGGCGGTGCGGTATACTTCTATAACTATGAGATGACGGCGTAAAGCCGTAGTTTTGAAATGTAACGGCCGGACAAGAACCGACCTTCATTGAGCTTTTGCAACCCAAGCTCTATCTTTTCAACTAGATCTGCTCGCTTCTGCCGATCACCCAAATTGAGATTTTGCATTCCATCCGGGAACTTGGGTGATATTCTTCGCAAGCAGTTTGCGAGTTGAGCCTCCCGCCTACTGCACATCTTTTGCAGCGACATTGTACGTGATGATTGCGCAAGGCTGCCAAATGTCCAATGTTGGAATGTTCTCCTTTTCCTCAAGACGAGACCAAGGGCCTTGGATCCAATTACCTGAGTTGCGATACCCTTTCCTTAATGTGCACCAGCCTCTCATCTTTATCCCATGTTGCCGCATTGGATGATTCTGCCTGGGTAAGGAGACTGAACAGTCCTCCAACGTTCAGAATGTAAATAAGTATAGGTGGCTGGAAAAACTACGCACTCTCGAAGACTTCGATCTTGGTCTAACACCGTTTCGCTTAGTCTCGAGCGCTCTTCGGTCAGCTTTCTCAGTAGTTCAATCTTCTCCGCAAGTTTAAGCTCGGCTAAAGTACCAGTAACATATGTAAGACTGATGTAATCTTACAGCAGATATGGATAGCAATTGGTCTTCATCATGTGAGGCCTGCCTTGCGAGATCTTCTCGAGGAGAATGCTTTGCTCCGACTGACTCGGTCCACCAGAGGAAGCTACGGTAGCCCGGAGCCTGTCAAGAAAACTGCCAAGGTCGACTGCGCCCCTACGGGTACGAGGCCGCCTTGGTGTACGCACGAGAACTGGTATAGGCGGCGTACGATCTGTCATGCTGTGAAGATTCCCACACATCCGTCCATCGTCCACTGACCAGACGCGTTCGCTACGCCTCGCGATAAGCCTCAGCCTAAAGCTTACAGCGCGTAAGCATCTCGATCACCCAAGTGACAGTTTCTTCCCAGACATCTTGCAATTCATTCCAAATACGCAAGCTATGACAGGTATGTAATCGCTTTTCTGCTATGCGATATCTTTTCATTGACTTGGTACGGTCATAGTGAAACGAGTCATTTATGGTACCGACTGGGATATGGACGCCTTTCAAGGCGCAAGTCTTCAAAGTATAAGGTTGGGGCTTCGTGATCATGGGAAAGGTTGTGAGTTCTGGATATTCACAAAAAGAAACTATCCTTAGCACCATCTCAACGGAAACCCGTACTGCTATATGGTTCGACAAGGTCTGTAGCCTATCCCGTCAATGCTGACCAACAAACACCGTTTAAACGTTGGGTTTAAAAGGCGGCGGGAACGCTTGAGATTGAGGGCGACTCGGAAGAATCAGTGCACCAAGCGTACATATCGTTAGTTAAAATCCCACTGTTCCTCATACTGACGCCAGTCGCATTCAGCCACGCAGAAATCACCAAATTGCTGAGAGAAGACGTTGCCCAACAACCACGCCGAGGTGAATGGGCCAAACCCGACCGTCCTGGTTTATGGGGACAACGTCGAGATCTAAAGCGAAAGGCACCTGAAAAAGATGACGAAGACGAGAATGAACAGGATGAAGAGAAGTCCGGTACAAGTCATGATCACTTTGACGGGGACGCCGAGCCACCAACGCTACCCGCACCATGGTTAATGGTCGCCGCAGCTTCCCCGGAAATTGATATTTTCAGACCAAGAATTTCTGCTGCTCAAAGTACCGTTCCAGAAGAACCTCACCGGGTGGTGGAGAAAGTTCTACCACGTCGAGATAGGTCTAGTCAGAAAGAATTTGTACTCCCTTTGGAACTAGGCATGCGGCGGAAGGTTTTCCAACTCCATGCATACGAAGCTTGCCTGCGTACATCTCACCAAAAAAAGTTCGAAATCAACTGGTGTTGCAAACCGCATATTATTGACAAGCTCACCCCCTGCGAAGAACGTGACTTGATCGTTAAATTGAAAGAGGTGATAATTCGACAAGCTGCAGATAATGCATCAGCCCTACGTTAAACATCATGTCCTTACCAGATTGCAGAGAAGACCGGAGCTTGCTTCGCATATAAGAAAAGGCTATATGTAGGCAAACGGACATGGCGACACAGAGATCTTGTACTTCCATTGATGAGCGTTTGGGCATAGGGCATACACCTGACCTCGGACAATCAGGAGGAAATCGATTTTGCCAAAGAGTGGCTAATGGCGTTGGAACACTACCTTGATTCATTCGTGGTCAGCATCCCCCTCCTTCTGGCCCAGGTTGCGTTTGAGTCATATGATAGACCATCTTTCTCGTAGGTCAATTTACCGATCCCCCTTTCGCAGTTGGGCTCGAATCCTCCGGACAGAGCCCGAAGAATGACAAAGGACAAAGGTTATGATAGCAATGGTGCAAATGGATCAATTGAAAACTAGCGTAGGTCGTGCTTGCAATGACGGACTATCTGCAGGTGAAATTGATATTTTCCTCTGTTCCACAGCTTCAATGTATCGAATGCTAAAATGTTACATCTGGATGAAACAATATCTAGGTAGGTGGCAGGAATTCACACTAATCTCAAAGTTAAAACCATTCTGGTTGACTTTTATATTTTGTCGACTTTAGGTCTGCAACCAGGTTTTCAACCCTACTTGGTGGACAGTGATCCAATTCCAGTATCAGAATATTTTCATTTGCTTTATGCTGTAGTATAGCTATGGTGTTTTTTAGGACGAAAACCCAGATGATTTTGAATATGACTTTTGGAAAAGTCAAAACCGAAGCTGGGCGATTTTTGATCACATGAAATCGGAAGGATGCGGATCTTGCGTCATCACAAACATGGGGGGGAATAAAATGGAAAGGACCCCGTGGACTCCCACAATCTACTTTCTGTACCCGGGCATCCACACACTTTACATTTCACTCAACCAAGCAGCAATCTTACATCATGTCTGTAGCTACTGCAAAGGGAGTGTCCATCTTGGGCCCTGTAAAGCCTCAATATGCCGACATCCTCTCCATTCCCGCCCAGGAGTTTGTCGCTACCCTGCACAGGCATGTATGCTTGACCTCTGTTTGCATGCAGACGTCCCAACTTACGCTTGTCTTTGGAATAGAGCCTTCAATGGCCGTCGCAAAGCCCTTCTTCAAAGGCGTGTCCAGAGACAAAAGGAAATTGATGCCGGTGTGTAGGCGCTGATTTGTTTCTAATCCGATTGGCGTTTTTGACATGATTTTGAATAGGACAATTCCCCGATTTCCTTCCCGAAACTCGCTGGATCCGGGAGGACCCTACCTGGAGGGTAGGTATTCCATTTGGAATGCACCTATTTTGAACAATTCCATTTATTTTTTGGTTATGTAGGCTGCTCCCCCCGCACCTGGATTGGTCGATCGTCGTGTGGAGATCACCGGACCCGTTGACAGGAAGATGGTCATCAATGCTCTGAACTCAGGAGCTTTGACCTACATGGCTGATTTCGAAGGTAGGTCTGCTAACACTACCAAGTCTCCCTAAAAGTGGGTACTGAGTGGTCGTGACTTCATGTAGACTCCAATGCACCAACCTGGGAGAACAACATCTCTGGTCAATTCAACATGCGTGACGCCGTACGTCGCACCATCAGCTTCGCTGCGCCTAACGGAAAGTACTACAAGCTGAAGGAGGGTAGACTTGCCACCTTGATTGTTCGGTAGGTGGGCGAGAATTTGTGAATACAATCCCTCGTGCCGCTAACATTTATTTATCACACATTCAGTCCTCGTGGATGGCACATGGAAGAGAAGCATTTCTTGGTGGATGGAGAGCCCGCCTCTGCGTCAATCTTTGACTTTGCCTTGTATTTCTTCCACAATGCTGCTGAGAGCGTGCGCAGAGGATTTGGCCCTTACTTCTACCTTCCCAAGATGGAGAGCCACCTTGAAGCTAGGTATGCGCTATTCAAATGAAAAGGAATCTCCTATACACTGTTGATTAATTCGCGGCGTTTTAGATTGTGGAACGATGTTTTCAACTTGGCACAGGACATGTTGGCCATTCCTCGCGGAACCATTCGGGGGACTGTTTTGATTGAAACGATCATGGCTGCCTTTGAGATGGAGGAGATCATCTACGAGCTGCGCGAGCACTCTTCTGGTCTCAACTGTGGCCGTTGGGACTACATCTTCTCTTTCATTAAAAAGTTCAGGAACAACCCCAACTTCCTTCTCCCTGACCGTGGCGACATCACGATGACAACTCCTTTCATGGACGCATATGTACGTCTTCTCATCAAAACTTGCCACAAGCGCGGTGTGCACGCTATGGGTGGCATGGCTGCATTTATCCCCATCAAGGACAATGCCGCTGCTAACGATGCAGCCATGGCCAAAGTCCGTGCTGACAAGCTAAGGGAAGTCCAAGCCGGGCATGACGGAACATGGGTCGCGCACCCTGATCTTGTTAAGCTTGCCAAGGCCATCTTCGACGAGCACATGCCGCAGCCCAACCAATTGTACGTCCGCCGTGAAGACGTCAAAGTATCTGGAGCCGACCTCATTTCGACTCAGGGCGTGAAGGGTGCTATCACCGACAAGGGTTTGCGAATGAATATCGATGTGGCCCTCCAATACATGGAGGCGTGGCTTCACGGAAACGGTTGTGTCCCTATCCACAACTTGATGGAGGACGCCGCCACAGCAGAGATCTCTCGTTCGCAATTGTGGCAGTGGGTGCGTCACCGTGCAAGGACTGCCGAGGGCAAGGAGATTACTCCCGAGTACGTCAACCAGTTGCTTGACGAGGAGATTGGTAACATCAAGAGCCGCCTGGGAGAGAAGAAGTTTGCATCTTCCAAATTTGAGTTGGCGAAGAAGTTTTTGGCCAGCACTATCCAAGGAAAGGAATACTCTGACTTTTTGACGGTAAGAACCAATAGCTTGTTGTTTTGAATTTAAGAATTTACTAACTCATTGTATGATTTCCAGACGCTTTGCTACGACTCCATTCTGACATTGTCTCCAGGAGGCGCCAAACTCTAATTGCGTATCGTAGTGGGCTGTATATATAGTGTATTTCATTGTGCGTGTGCGAGTTATAACGGCTGGCTTTGCTTTTTTAATGATACGGCTTGTCCGTCCTCATTTTGGAGATGCCACCTGTGAAAGTTGTGCCGAACGACACCAAAGTGTCGTCTGAGGGCTTTTTTTCATAGTATAGTAATCATAAACCGTCTCTTAAGATGTCTTTATATCTGTCTCCTTTTTATCCGTTTTTTTATTGATATTTCTCTGAACATTACAAAGACGATGGCTGGAGCGTCACGTGGGGATGTGGTGGCAAATTCGTCATTTAACCTAATTTAGTCAGATGCGCGGCGCGGTGACCTGCAACGAAAGGCCGTGGACCAATTGGGACCCTCCAGCACCTTGGTCTGTGTGCGGCTGGCCATATAAAGGGCCCCCCCTACGCCTTCTGTGCACGCCCGACATCATCACCGCCGACATCATCATGAAGGCATCCGCAACTCTCTTGTTGGCTCTTGCCGCTACAACAGCCCAAGTCCGGGCGGACGCGGCGGCAGACTCTGATGTGATTTCCCTTACCAAGGACACATTCTCAGAGGTGGCCCAAAAGCCTCTGTCATTGATAGAGTTCTATGCGCCGTGGTGTGGGCACTGCAAAGCCTGTAAGTTGTCCGTTTTGGTCATGAGCAAATGTCAGACATATGTTTTGTTAAATGTCGCAATTTAGTGGCACCCGAGTACGAAAAGGCTGCGACTGAACTCAAGTCGTCGATCCCGCTCGCCAAGGTTGATTGTACCGAGCAAACCGAGTTGTGCCAGGAGCATGATGTGCGGGGGTACCCTACCATGAAAGTCTTCCGCGAGGGTGAACCTTCAGAATATAAGGGACAGCGAACGGCGGAGAGTATTATTGGCTACATGAAAAAATTGGCGCTGCCTCCTGTATCTGATCTTTCCGCGGACAAGGTCAAGGAATTTGCGGAATCGGACAAGGTGGTTGTCGTTGGGTTCTTTGAGGACAAAACTTCGGACGAGTACAAGGCTTTTGAGGCCGCCGCTAACAAACTCCGGGACACCTTTTTGTTTGGTGCAACGACCGAGGAGGAGGCGTTCAAAGCTCAAGGAGTGAAAGCTCCTGCAATTGTCTTGTTTAAAAAATTCGATGAGGGCAAGAACACATTTGATGCAAAGTTTGAGGAGGGTGCCATTTCAAATTTCGTCCAAACCGTGTCCGTACCCCTCATGGACGAGATTGGTCCCGAAAACTACGGTTACTACATGGAGAACGGCCTTCCTCTCGCCTACCTCTTTGTCTCTACCCCCGAAGAACGGGCCACTGTTGGAAAGGAGATCGAACCTCTTGCCAAAGATTTCCGCGGCAAAGTAAACTTTGTGTACATTGATGCCTCCAAATTTGGGGGACATGCCAAAAACCTCAACCTAAAAGAAAGCTGGCCCGCATTTGTGATTCACGAGTCGGAAAAGAACCTTCGGTACCCGTTTGATCAGGGGAAGAAGGTGAACCATGCAGATGTCAAGGCGTTCGTTCAGGACTTTGTGAACGGAAAGTTGGAACCGTCGTTGAAATCTGAGGAGATCCCAAAAGAGAATGATGGGGACGTCAAGGTCGTTGTCGGCAAATCGTATGCCGATATTGTGTTGGACACAGACAAGGATGTATTGATTGAGTTTTATGCTCGTAAGTGTTGGAGTGGTTGGACTCAATGTTTGTCTGTTCTCACACTTTGTGGTTCCAGCTTGGTGTGGACACTGCAAAGCCCTTGCACCCACCTGGGAGGAGCTCGGCAAAGAAGCCAAGAAGCTCTCTGACAAGATCGTCATTGCTAAAATGGATGGTACCGAAAACGACCTCCCTTCGGACGCTCCCTTCAGTGTTCAAGGATTCCCGACCATTAAATTGGTCAAGGCCGGCGACAATGAAGTGGTGGATTACGCAGGGTCAAGGACGCTCGAGTCTTTCATTGACTTTTTGAAGGCGAATGCAGTGTATGTATTTTTGGCGTTTGAATTGCGTGTTTTGCATGTGTTTTGATGACGTTTTGTGTACTCTTAGGCATGGTGGTGGCGCTGAGAAGAAGGAGGCCAAGGAAGGCGATGACAAGAAGACGGAGGAAGAGGGACATGATGAGTTGTAAGGTTGTTTGGGTGGTATGCGTCTCATAGGATGTGTTGGCATTTCGTTGCAAAACGACCTTCTGTCTTAATATGGACTGGCGTTGTGTTTTACATTATACATGAAGGCGATATGACGGGCATCTATCTTATCCAAAACTGTTGCACTGCCCTCTGAACGCTTGTTGTCGTCTTCATCATCATCTCCTTGCAAATTACTAGTGGTATTCAAAACCAAAAGCTAACACTCAAGCTCGTACTCAACGCCCTCACATAATGCCACCAGCCCTTCTATACCCCATAAACAGTATGAACATTAACAACCAAAACAAGAAAAGAGACCATTCATTTTCCTTAGTACCTACCGGAATAAACAACATCTCCCCCGGCCGAACCACACACTCCAACCTCCCTTCAAGCCCTGGAAACTTGCTCGAATCCACATGCTCAACATCCACTTGGCTCGTATTCCGCAACAAATCCGTGTCATGTGGGTACACATTCGCATCGGGTGGGTAGAGGACAATGAACTTCGTCCCAACGATTTGGGCGAAAAGGTTTTGATAAGGATCATGATGGAGTGGTGAGATGGTTCCTTTTGGACCAAACCAAGCATGTAAGAGGACATCACGACCATCATCACTATCATTATCATCCACAAAGCAATAATCCGGGACAAGAATATCCCTTCTCAACTGCGGGACATGGGCAAATAAATCATATTGAGCCAAATACCCACCACGCCCTTTGACAACCTCTTCCAACCATTCCCCAACCTTAACAAACCCCTGCGTCCATTCCCGTTCCGTATAATCTTTTCCAATCTCAATAGGCACTGTTCGGTTTCCTGCTTGTTGTGCAATGTAGGATGGGTTTTGCCATAAGTGTAGTGCAGGCCATTCTACCGCTCCTTGAATCAGTATCGGCTTATTTTGGTTTAAGTAGGTTTGGAATGTGAGGACCGAGGGGGCTTTTATGATGGGTGCCGGGTGCGTTATCGTCGGTTCTGGGTCACTCAATTTAGGGAATTGTGTACCGAGGTATGTGTAATCCCTATCCCCCATAAGATCCTCTAGACTCGTTATCAATGCATGTAATATAGGATGAGATCCAACCATCACGAGCCCGATATCTACTGTCTGGAACGCAGCGGGTAGGTCATTGCAGAGTAATTGTGCACAGGCTTTTAGGATTGTTGCGTGGGTGTACTGTGTGCGATCTTGGGGTGGGATGAGATTGTAGGGGAGGGTGTGTAGGGTTTCGTGGGTGTGCTCGTGGAGGGCGGTTGCGTGTGATAGGGATTGAGGAGATTGGGTTTGGAGGTGGTGGAGTGTGCTGGTGTAAAGGTGATTTTGGGGAGTTGCATCTGTGATGCGGGGATTTTTGAAATGTTTTGGTGGTGGTGATGGAGTGAAATAGGGAACGTTACCAGTAAATGCACCTTCTTTAGAAATCTCAGACAAGCATGTCGTGATGATATCTCGTATGCGTTGCTCGGAATCCATGTTCGCGTGTGCGAAATGTGCGAATGCCCCAAGACAGTCGATCTGTCCATGTAATCGTATATCATAGCCAAGCCACGCGTGTACCTCCCTGGTTACTGCGCCTCACTGGACTCTCCCCAAGGCCACTAATGCAGAAATGGGGATGGAATGGTATACAAATATAGATTCACTCCCGTAACATACAATCCAAAACACGCTGACAAGACTTGACCAACGCCTTTAAGAACGGTTCAAGAACGTAATGTATATATGCTTGACGGGTGGTTGCTTCAGCAGACGGTGCGAGTTCCGGGCGAGACATGACACGAAGCTACGAATAAAATAAGTATAATGTACAGAAAAAGAAAAATTCAGAATAATGGGAAACGTACGAGTAAATCGACAGTCGTTGATTCGTTTCTTGATTTAAAGTACGCTAAACCAACCACACACAAAAAAAAAATCAATACCTTTGTTACACGCAAACGTACTTGTAATACGCACCTATAGCAAACTCCAATACCACCACATCCCAAAACACAGACACAACACCCTCTACAGGGCCTTTATCCTCCACAATCCACTGTTGTGGACGCACTGATAAGGCTTTAGTTAATAACCCCAGCGTGCGCTGAATAGCAAGGGTGGGGTATAATTGGCAGAAAACGGTTGCAACAAGGTATTCTTAAAAAAATTGCGAATAGGTATTATTGTGTGGTTTTGTTAAAGGAAGTGGGGAGTTTTACCGTTGGATTGTTCGGCGCATTGAACAAGTCTTGGGAGGTGGTACCATTGGATTTGTGGGATATTCGTAAACCCTCGAGAAGAACATTCAAGTCCCATCACATACAAACTGCCAAAAACAAAAAACAAACAAAAACATCAACACCAAACCGATAAAAAAAAAACACCTAAAGAAAAGTTCATACCAAAACGCCTCCCGCACCGCTCCACAAGCAAAATACACATCCCCAAGTGCACCCACCACACGCTCATCAAAAGGATCCATATGTCGTATCGTCATATACACGCCTTTCAGGAATTCAAGAATGTTGGGTACCAGTTCCGGTCGAAGAAGGTGGGATGAACTGGGTGTAGGTGTCTTGAGGCGTGGGAGAATGTCTACAAAACTATTCAAGATGTTTTGCGTTATAATGTATTTACAATGTTTCATTACATTAATGAAAATAATAACGTACCGAGGATCATGGGTAGCTTCGGAATCTGTTATATAAGCAAATGCCCCAAAATGCCCAACATGGATCTACACCAAAAAAAAAAAGGTATTTCAATACACCTTGATCCAAAATACCATCACAGTAATGACACATACCTTGGCATTCCCCAACAATCCATTCACAACACCAGCAACAAGTCCACCAACACCCCATAAAAGCCGGATATCCCCACTCTTTTTTAACACATCCACGAAATGAATGCGCGCCTATATACAAAAACCACGGTATGAATATCTTGTGGATGCATTTTGGATAGACAGGAACTTGCCGTAGAGATATTCTGGTCACCAACAGCAGCTGCTAGGACGTATCCTGTTTCTTTGAGCTGTTCAATGAGATGTGGGACTTTAGTGATGCGGTCAAGGAGCGGAATGTCGTCGTAGACTAAGTCGTTGATGAGGTAACAGTCAGCCCCAAAAGTGGAATACATGAAAAAAAAAAAATACAAGAAGTGTACCGGTACTGTCTTGTCCAAGCGCCATGGCATCCATGATTTGGAAACATTGAGAAACCATTTGAGATAAACAACACAACATTCCACCTTGCTCAACATCTACAAATAAAATATTTTCAATTTTTGCCTTTTTGTAAAAGAATATCAAAAGCGGGGCATTTGTTTTGGGGGTTTTTCTTTTTTTTTCTGACGTACCGGTAATGGCCCCTTGTTGCAACATGTTCAATAACCGTGCAGCAAAATCTTGTAATAGGACACTGGTATGCTCATATCGTCCTCGTAATAACAAGGCAAAGATTCGTTTCTACCGTAAAAAGTTACTATGGACGCATACATACCAAAAACCAAACCACTAAAAAAAGAGGAAAATACAAACCATAAAGTCTGTCCGTGGTAAGACCTTTAACCATGTAAGTACCGCACATTCCAAATAACTCAAATGACATTTTGTAATGCTTACCTGACTCGACCTCAATTGCATATAAACCTGCTCCAAAACCGCCGCAACAACAACAGGAGTCTTCTCACCCCGCTCCAGTTGCAACAACTGTCCCATCTCTGCTACAGATGTCAATTGAATGGTATCAAGAGAAAAAGTTGAAGCGAGTTCGAGGATGTGACCCAAGAGTTTTTCGGCAAGGTGGATGTCGTTCTATACAATAAAGTTCAAGTTTTATTGTTGGAATGTAAGTTGTTTATATGTACCTTTTCGTATACGGTTTTGAGATGGGTTAGTAAGAGTGTTACTTGTCGTTGCTGTAAACGCAGTATATTTAAAGGAGTGTATGGATGTGTATGGATGATTTGTTTACAAGGGGTACGTACGGGTGCTATATCCATTCGTACGGATCGCAAGAGGTCTACATCGTCTTCCGTTATTTGGGTTAGGAGCGCAAAGTAAACCTGTTGGAATAAGTGTTGGCGATAATCTTATATATTAACAAAACAAGTTGTTGCTTACGCGTAGATTTGGATCATTATGAAATAGCTGAAAGGGTCTCGTCTAAACAATAAAAAAGCCGTGAGATTTCGTTACATGTAATGTATACGGCGGGTATGCAGGCACAATGTTCTTACCTTTTGTATTGCACTTGATATCTTTTCTTCATTTGTATCTTCCATGGACGTTACTATAGACATGTCAACACCGTGTAATCTACAACCAAAGATATTCATAAACATACCCAATGCATCTTGAGGTAAACTAATCTTGCGCTCAATAACAGAAGTACACCCCCTAATCAAATCTTCGAGTCGTTTCCGATCAACCGTACTGTACACATTCTCATGAGTACAAAAGATCAAAACCACCCAAACTGAACGACCAAATTATAAACAAACCAGAATAATGAATCATTAGATGATCCAAAAGCATCCAAAGCCCGTCCCAAAAACCGCCTAGCCTCCCCAAACTCATCAATACAAAAACAATATTCCCCCAATTCAGACGATAATTGACAAATCACAGTCGTATCTCGAGATTCATCCAAAAAAGTTTTGAGTAGGTTTGTGTGTGGGATGATTCGGTCATTTGGTTCTGTGTTGGTTTGGGTGATGGTTCGGATTAGGTATCGACTGATGAGGATGAATGGGTTGTGCGTGGTATCCGTTACGGCCCTTTCATTCCTAAATGAAAGCGCACGTTTATAAAACAACTCTGATTGAGAATGATCAAACACTATAAAACGTACGTTATGAGGGCAAGGAGAATGTAAGGGATCGCTTGAGACGGAACGGTATTTTCTAATTCTTGAAGCGTCAACCCAGCGTCAAGATAAATCTGAATAAAAATATATTTACGAAAACAATAAAGTGCATTAAAAAAAGAATAATGGCTTCTCATAATAGAATGTCGAGTATTTATTCCCCCACTACTGCTAGACGTCCAAAAGGAGCCAGATACCCATCTTCAAACCACCTCTTTTTGTTTCTTTTCTTGTTTTACCTGAGCAGCAATATGCACGATAACATCTTGTCTATCGGTTAATTCCACGACAGTTGGTTTCTCCCCAAACGCCAAAACACTAAACACATCATCATTCGGAAATCCAAGGTTTTGAAAGAGCGATGCAAGAAAACTGATAACCGATGGTCGGTCTGTTTCATCGTTATCCCCTCTCTCGTTTTGCAAAAATCTTGTGCAAATGTCCAAACCTTTGTTTTGAAGAGCCGTATGAAGCTAGATCACACAAAAGGCGTTAGCGGTCATGCCATGTATTGCACATGTAGATTACAGTAAAATAAAGGACATGCCTTTGCAGAAATACTCTCTAAACGTAATGTCGATAATGTCAAAAGGTTTTCCATGTGTTCAATTCACTGTTAACCTTTGACCAGTCAACATCCCAACGACCCCCGTTCACTCCTCACCGATACATCACGTGTACCGTGTTGTCATCAAAGCTAGTTTTGCATGTCAAAAACAGATTTCAACCATTCTTCTTGTCGTCCATCACACCATGACCGAGGATCTATTTGTCGATATTTTAGAAGGAATATGTAAATCCGCCATACTATGTGGATCATTATACGAATTCAAGGAACGATGCCGTGTATCCGAATTGACTCGCTCGGAAGCAACGAAACTCAAGCACTTGAATCCTCAGGTACACCGTCCATTTCACACCAACGATATTTACAAATGCACTTATACCAAAATACCAGGTCCTGAAAGAACTAGGTAAAACAAACACAAAAATAAAAAACAACAATTGAATATAATCTGATTCGTGGCGATGACTAGATCAGCAAGTCAATTCACTACGAGATGATATTACCCGTCTACAAATCCAGTACCAACAACAAGTCCAAAAAGTTGGCATGCAGTTTTCGCAAGCTGTTCATACGATGGTATCCAAAGCGTCGATGCAACCTAGTAAAGATAAAATGGATCGGGAAGTACAGAGTCTTCGAGATACGATTAAAGGCATGCGAGAGAAAATAAAAGTATGAGATGGATGTTTTAGCATTCTTTTCACACAACCATTCTAATAAAACTCCTTACTTGACAGACAAACCAGCTTGACTTGACCCGCCTCGAAAAACGCATGGACGACCTAGTCCACGAAACCCAATCCCGAACCACAATGCTAAATTCCCTCACAGACCAACTCGTCCACCACCGCGAAAAAGACACACAAAACATTAAAGAATGGATGAGCAAAAAACTAGACGACATTACAAGTACTTCCATTACACCCCTCCAAAAACGTTTAAACCACCTCGCGCGCTCGATGGACCATCTCGACCAAGACTCCAAATCCGATCCAAAACCAGATTCTTCAACATTATTAAAAGGAGCTCAACCTCTCCCGATAGGTCTCCCCGGCCTCCCACTCATCGAAACCGAACGCCGTATCGCGAGATTACAAGCCAAAGCCCAAGAAACAAGTAAAAAAATCTCGGCATTGGATAAACCCTCTGATGAATTTAAATCGGAAATGGGACAATTGAAAAAGGATGTTTCGATGCTTTCTGATCATGTTGTGGAGTTGCAGGGGGTTGCGGAGGGTGTCAAGGATTTGCCACCCAAACTCGAGGTACCCATCATAAACTTAAATTTTTTGGTTTTTGGGTCATGTTTATTAATGGATTTTTGGGGTGTATAGACATCTTTTCGTATCATTGCAACAAAACTCGAATCCATCACAACCGAAATGTCAACACTCCGATCCTACGTCACCAGCACAATCCCAAAAACCGTTCCAACAATACCATCACCCACGTCACAAAATGATTTATCAAGTTATTTGGAAGTGGCTGTTCGGAATGCTTTGAATGATTTGATGGTATCTTGGGAAACCAACATGTAAGAACCCCGTATTTTTGATTGTTTAGATTTTGTTGTTGTGTTTTTGTTAAGGTTTTGAATGGTGTGTAGGAAACAAGGGTTGAATGAAATTGGAGAAATTTATGAACGGAAATGTGTGGGGATGTTGGAGGGGTTACGTAGGGATGTGCAAGAACTACGGGAAATGGTTTTGGAGAGGCATGTGGATGGGGTGTCGAGATTCGTTTAAACTTGAGTATATATACATGGCGTTGATTGCAATAAACTCGTCGAGTTTTGCAAGTGCTTTATTGGGGGATATGTTTCTATCATGCAACCCCATACAAAAAACAATAATCAAAAAAGAAATAACGCACTACTCCATTATCGTAGAAAAACGACACACATACAACCACATACCGTCCCCCTGCCCCCAAAATTACAAGACCTATATAATATACAATACACTACCACGCCCATACAACTATAAAAGAGAAAAAGAACAAAAAAAAAACAAATCTACATGACAAGACACCGCGTCCCCTTCTTGATCTTTTTCACACCCGGTTCGGCCACCTTGCGTTGTTTGCCCATCTCTGGTACACCCAACTCTTCCAATTTCTTTTTGGCTTTAGCGTCACCACCCGCCGCTGCTTTTCGGTACCATTCCAAAGCCTTTTCAAGGTGCTTATCACGTCCAATACCCATTTCGCAAAAGTAGCCCATGGCAAACATGGCTTTCGGGAGGCCGCCTTCGGCGGCGAGACTGACCCAGCGGTGAGCTTCCGTGTCGGATTGGATGAGGTGAAAGTCGGTTTTGGGATCGTCGGCGCCTGTGAGGTACCAGCCGCCCAATTCAAACATGGCCTAAAAAACGCGTGAGAGAGAGAAGGTGCGTGAGCCAGAGCAGGTTTGTGGGAAAATAGAAATTACAAGCTTACCTCCAAACTGCCATTCGCTGCAGCCAAAGAGTAATAATACACACTCCGCCCCGCATCTACAACAACACCAAAATGCCCATACTCGTACGCTTCTCCCAATTTAAATTGACTTGCACCGTGTCCCAAGGCTGCTCCCTGCGTCAGCAATTCAACAAGGTACTCGTGATCCGGCCAGACAACGTTATGGACGCCTCGGTCGTGCAAGAGGGCCAGTTCGTATAAGGCTTGAGGGTATTTTTCGTTGGCGTATTTTGCCGCAAGCTTGAGCCATTTGACACCGTCGCGGGGATTTTTGCTTTGGCCGAGTTCGCCCTTGAGGAGGGACATGCCGAGTCGAAACATGGCACCTGGGTGGTTGCTACAAAAAATAAATAGCGTCAACAGAGGTTCACTTGGAAAAAAAAAAAAAGCCACAACGCTTACCTCACTGCCGCCTTGCGGTAATTGTGCAGCGCCCGGTTATTACTCTGCGCAACACCCGCTCCTTGCTCATAGCACAATCCAACATGAAACAGTGCCTCGGGGTGATCTTTTTTGGCCGCCGACGAGTACAAGTTGAACGCCTTTGAATAGTCGGGCTTGTGCTTTTCCTGAAAGCCCGGTATACCGCTAATATACAGATTGGCCAACAAATATTGCGCCTCTACAGTTCCGGCAATAGACAACTTTTTGAGTTGCTTAATAGCCAACTCGCAGTACGGCTTTTGCTCCATCTTGTCGATAAACTGGACATTGTCGACAATAAACCGGGCCGCTTCAAAGGATTGGAGTCTGTCCTTTGCCTTTTTGGCGCGCTGTTTCATGACTTCCATGCGTTCTGTCAGCGAGGCATTGGCCATGGCATTGGAGGATATCGATCCAAGATCCGATTCCAAATCCGAGCTTCCGCCGTCCATGGTAATAGACTCGCCAAAGGACGTGCCAGACTCGGATCCCTCGTCCACCGAGTGGAGGGAGGGGACAAGAGACTCGCGATGCTGTGATCTGAGCAAGACTTTGGGAGGAACAAATTCCGAGCTCGAGCTAACAGTCGACTCTGCGTAATCGTCCCCGAGCATTTGCCGGCCGTCTAAAATCGAGTCAGTCTGATCCGATTCCGGAGAGGCCTTTTCTGCATCTTCTGCCGAGGGTGCCACAGCGGGAATGACAATGGATGCTGGGAGGTGAGAGTGACGCTTTGGTTTCTCATCTTGTGAGTCGTCTGCAAGAGGTAGAGGCTCAGCCACGACGGGCTGCATGACCACCGACATGCGCTGGACACCTGCCGGCGTCAAACCCAGTGGCTTTTCTTCATCTTCGTCGATGGGTTTTGCATTTGTAGCCGTGACGACACGAAATGACATTCTGTGCGCCTTGTCGGTTGTTCGACCGGCCATTCGCTCCTTGTGAGGTCCATGTTCAATATGCTTTTCGTCGATACTGACTCGAGGCGGAAAGAGAACGCTGCTCAGATTCTGCTGACCATTTACAGACGTTCGCTCACCAGATTTCTGCAAGCACACATGGATCAGTATCTAATCATACTTTTTGCTGTGCACAAAATTTCCAACATTACCTCGGCAGAGACGGTCCTTGGGGGGAAATTTGAGGGCGATGAGGGAGGTGACTTTTGGGGCGACCGCGGAGGGCTCGTCTGAGGCTTGGCACTCGGCCCAAAGTGTGGACCATAGAAATGGACATTTCCCCCATTGGCCGAGCTGAGTAAAGCGGCGGGGACTTGGGAGCTTGGACTTGGCCCTTTTTTGCCATCGGATGGCGGAAACGAGAGACCTCTCTGCGGTTGCACGTCGTTTCCAAACGGTCGTTTTCGATCGCGCGATGTTCGTGGGGTTGGCTAGAAAGTAGGAAAAGGACGGAGACAATGTGAGCGTTTTCATAAAAGAAAATAAAAAGGTGGCCTGGCCAAGGCTACCAAGCACGAGTGCTCTTGCATCTGCTTTTGCCTACATTCCCATTGCATGTCGCAATGACGTAGCCTAAGTGTTACTGTCCCCGTCACTCACAGCATTGTGCGCAAAAGCATACTTTCCAACCTTTACAACAATATTCTACATAAAACGACAACTTGCCTGATTGTTTCCCACGACATTGATGCCTGGGGGAAGAGGAGTGTCTCTGAGCCATCTTTCCACGGCAGCGGCCTTTGTCGCTCTTGTCGCACTCGGTGCTGCCGTTGTGACATTCACACTCGCACTCGTCGCACTCGTTGTCGTTGTGGTTGTGGTGCCTGTGCTAGGAGTCGTAGTCGTTCCAGATGGTGGTGGTGGTGCGGGACCCGTCATGGGAGTGGGAACGGGCATGGGCCTCCTTGTACTAGTTGAAGAGTCTAAAAGAGAGTGACGCTTGTGTGGGGAATATGCACGAGAGCGCCGTTGATTGTTGTTGTGATGATGAAGAGTAAAAGAACAAGAGTCAACGACAAGCGGGGGCTGTGCCAACTGTTGCTGGTGGAATGAATGCGGGCGGGAAGTGCGTGCTGTGGCAAAGTTAACAGAAGAACAAGAGGGCGTAATCCCCTGCTCCAATGTGGTCAAACGCTTTGATGATACTCTTGAAGGAGAAGAAGAAGAAGAAGAAGGAGAAGAAGGAGAAGAAGAAGCCATGATGAGAATTCAAATAAAAAAAAAAAAAAAGAGAAAAAGAACGCGCGCACTTGAAGAGTGAGAGTGAATTGAAATACTTTTCCTAAAAGAATAAATGTATATAACAAGCGTGTGTGTGTTTGATGATGACTGGGGGGATTAGGGGGGAATACTACTAATTGGAATTAGAGAGTAGAGAGGATATATGCATATCATTCATTCATTCAAACAAATACATTCACACACACTCTCTCTCTCTCACTCTCGTATGCATAGGGAAATATCCCATATAATCATTTCATTCTCATTGCACTTGCTATTCCCATCTCTCTGTCTCTCTCTCTCATATTTCCTCGTGAGAATGACGCCATTTTCTCTCTCTCTTCTTCTTATTATCACGTGTTTATTCATTTCTCTCTTTCTTATTGAAGAGGGCTCAGCTACTGGTCATGTGATATTTCATCCACTCTTTATCGCACGTTTTTCTCTCTACTGCCGCTAGAGTTTTTGCACTTTGGTTTCAACTGGCTTGGACTGCAAGCGGCATGGCTTCTGCCAGAGATTGTATACGGAATCACTCAAGGTTGACATGCCAATGCTTGTACTCTTTGTCAGCGGAGGGAGTGCTAGAGTGCAGAACAATCACAAATGGACTCCTTGTTCACTTACTGTATAATAATCTAAAGGGGAAGTTATTTGTGACGATATCAAAATTTGGATAGTTCATGAGCATGGCAAACTCGTTAGGACTCTCCTCAGCAGCTGGAGCCGCTCTTAATGGTTGAGGAGCTCCGCAGATCTCCCATTTCCCTATGCAGACGCATAGAGGTCACAACTCGCGTTACTCTTGAAATATTCGATATGAGTAAATAGGTCACAAAGTCGTTTCTGTGCATACCTCCTTGTTGACCAAAGCTTGGCCAACACAGCTGCCTTCCTGCGGCTTATCTGCCTTTGATTGTTGGACAAAAGTATGTGCCTCTCCGTCCACCTCCTTTCGACAGGCCACTCTGGCTCTTTCCTCCTCCGCTTTGAGCTCCTCAAGCTCCCTTTCCGTCAATCATGCTCTTTCTCCAACTTGGCCAACTCCTTCTCCAAGTGTTCTCGCTCCTCCTACTAGTGCATCCAATCTCCCACAGTTACGGGCCGTTGGATTGGAAAGATTCTGGCTTTTCTCGCCCATGGTAAACATTCCAACCTGGCGGCACAGTCACGTACCAAGTATCTGTAACAACGTTACACGTCCTTTTTGGTCAACAAAAAGTCTTCCTGTGTTTAACAACTCGTATCAATGTATCCGCCAGACAAGTCGTTCAAATCACAAAGAATTATGCTTGCTAATCATGTTGATGGAATGGCTTGATGAATCCATGAGTGTTTAGAATGACGTTGGAATGGCGTGATGAGTCTATAATTGTTTAGAGTTGTCCTCAAATGCTAGGTTCGACGTCAAGATCCAGTTTCTTGGGAGCACCATCAGCAGCAGGAGCCGCATCATCCAAATCATCCAAATCATCCAAAGACGTCAATGGTGTCCTCAAAGCCCCCATCTCCCGATGGAGATACAATGAGGTCGCAGCTTGGGCAACTAACGGAGCTTGACCTTGACGCTGAGATTCGAGATGTTTGCGGTTCTAGATATTGGATGTAAGGTCGAACATTGCAAAACGAGCAGTATAATAGGTATCGGTTTTGTGCTTACCGCCTTCCTGAGTTCCCTAAGTTTGTCCTCCACCGCTATCTTCTTCTTACGCAACTCTGTCTTCTTGTTAATCAACTCTATCCTCTTCTTGAGCAACTTATTCCTTGTCTCGGTCAACTCGTCCATCTTGTTCCACATCGCCCAAAGCTCCGCCCCCTTTACACGCTGGCTTTTCAACTCTAGCAGCTCAATTCTGATCGGCAATATCTCCAGCTGTAGCAAGTCATCCTCTTTGTTTACCTCGGCTGCCTCCTTCTCCAAATTTTCCAGCTCTTGTTCCAAACTTTCCCGCTCCTCCATCTTGAGCATTACCGTTGAATTGGAGAGAAGCTGGCCTTGATATAGTTTTTCTCGCCCATGGGCAAACATTTAGGAATGGCGGCACAGTCACATACTAAATGTAATCTGTACCAAGAATAACCATCGTTTTGGTCAACAAAAAGGCAAAGGAGTGTTTATTCATAGGATGTAGCCGCAACTATAGTCTAGAAGAAAAAGATGTGTTTAGCAGTGAACTACTGCGTCCGTAGGCTTCAACGTGGCAAAATATATGTGCGGCACTGCAAAAGTACAGATGCACGGCCTTAAAGAAACAAAATGCAAAAATTAGATGCTGGTCAATAAGATACAAAGATGCTGAATGGCATGATGAATCTATGGTTGTTTAGAAATGCTGGTTTCGAAATCCTGGGAAGCACCATCAGCAGCAGGAGCCGCATCATCCAAAGACGGCATTGGCTTCCTTAAAGCTCCCATCTCTCGATGGAAACGCAAAGAGGTCAAAACTCTGGTCACTACCCGAGCTTGAGCTCGACGACGTTTGCGGGTCTTAATAATTATTGGATATGAGTGTTTGCAAGAAGGCAGTATAATAGGTAGGTTATCAAGTCGGTTTTGTGCTTACCTCCTTGATAAGCTTGTCCTCTGCCGCCTTTTTCTTCTGTCTCAACTCTTTTTCCCTCTGATACAACTGTTCCCTCCTCTCATACAACTCGCTCCTCCTGTCAATCAACTCGCTCGTCCTGTCAATCAACTCTATCAATCTCTCCCGTAACTCATCCTCCCTATCCTCCAACCACGAAGGTTCCTCCACTAGTAAGCGCCGTCTTTTCAGCTCCTGCCGCTCAATGTCGACCGTTCTTATCTCCTGCTGCAGCATTTCATCCTCTTTCTTTAACTTGGCTAGCTCCTTCTCCAACTTATCCCGCTCCTCCAACTTGAGCATCCAATCTCTTACAGTTAATGGCCGTTGAATTGGAAAGACGCTTTGTTTTGCCTTTCGCCTTTTTGTTGACCAAAACGATGGAACAGATTTCATTTGGTACGTGACTGTGCCGTTAATGTTGAATGTTTGGCCATGGGCGAGAAAGGCTATATCAATGCCATCAATCGGTGTTTATTCATAGGATGTAGCCGCAACGGTGTGGCCTGGAAGAAGGCTTCAAAGTGGCAAAATATGTCTGCGCCAATGCATATGTACAGATGCACGGCTTTAAGAAACTAGTGCAAAAAAGTTATGCTGGTTATATCCAAAAACGCTAAACATCTGAATGATTTGTTGCATCTATTGTTGATTAGAAAGATCCTGAACACTAGTTTTGAGATCCTGATGAGCACCATCACGCGGCAGGAGCCGCGTCACCCAATAACGATTGCGTCCTCAAAGTGCCCATCTCCCGATGAAGACGCAAAGAGGCCGCAACTTGGGTAACTACCCGAGCATGACCTCGACGCCGGGATTTGAGACGCCTGCGGTTCTTAAATATTGGATGTGAGGTTGAAATTTTGCAAGACAGCAATATAATAGGTAAGTCATAGACTTGGTTCTGTGCTTACCTTCTGGTGGACCTCCGCAAGCTCGGCAATCACCGTGTCTTTCCTCTGTATCAACTCAAAGAGGCTATTTTCCAGCTCCCTCGTCCTATTTCGCAGCTCGATCATCCTTGTGAGCATAGCGTCCGCATTCCCGCCTCGTTCCACTACCCTATCCCATTCAACCTGAACCGCCAGCAACCCTTGATCTGTCTGTTGCTCCTCTTTGCGTATCTCAGCCAGCTCTTTTTCCAACTTTGCCACGTCTATCTTATGTCGCAGCTCATCCTTCCTATTTTGTAGCTCCATCATCCTTGTAATCAAAGCGTTCCCATTCCCACCCCGCCCCACTACCCCATTCCACTCAACTCGAGTCGCCCTCAACTCCTCCGCCGTCCGCTCCTCCTCGCTCTGTAACTCGGCAAGCTGCTCGCCCAAGTCTTTGCGCTGTTGCAGTGCAAGCATTCTATCCTCCACCATGGAGGGTAGTTTGCAGAAAAGACGCGGGCCTTGAATGTAGAATTATTGTTAGCAATTGACCTTTTGTTTTTGATCTCCCGAACCTAGAATTCACCTCTAGGCCTGGATATAGTAATTGATCCTTTCTCGATCACGCAAAGGTGGCACGGTCACGTACCAAATGCACATCTGTAAACATCATTTTTGGGTCAACAAAATAGACAGAGGATGACAATTGGTGTTTCTTTATAGTAATAGCCTCATTTGGTTGAGTTCTGCATGTCTATTTCGATGGAATAAGTCAACAGCCCCGTAATCTATAACAGACGTTGCTCCAGATCTACCGTGACTAAAATGACGGTCTTTAGCAAAGCTGCTGCAAACTACCCTCCATAGAGGATAGAATGCGTGCGCTGCAGCAGCGCAGAGATTTGAAAGAGGACTTGGCCAAGTTACATAGAGAGCAGGCGGTATTGGACTGGCAGATTGAGGACGGGAGCCATGGACGAGATCCAACGAAACAAGCAATGAAAGTGTATTTACAAGATGCAAAAAGAAAGACAAACCTACCCGTCATGTCGTTATTCACGTGATATCTCCCAAATCTCTCACGTGAGATCGACAAGGGCGACCATGGAACACTCCCGATGGCTACCGTGGCTAACTCACACATCTTGAACGATTGCCTACTGTACATATCGACTATTTACAGCTGCAACTCGTTAAGCCAACGATAGAGAATCACATTAACATACTATTGCTTTTTTATTCTGACCTTTTGTTAGGCCGTACTCTGCAGCCTTAACTGCCAAGTCACTATGAATAAAAACAAACATGCTTCCCTTTTTTCCCTTTTGCGTTTGAACGGGTGGTACGTGACTGTACCATCACACTCTTACCAGGGTCGGAAAGAACTGGACTATTTATAAAAATGTGGGGATGAAGGAGGATCCTCCAATGCTAAAGCTAGAGATATAGTATTTACTTTACACATGCGGAGGGGAGAGTAAGTTGGAAGTCAGCATGGCGGCCAATAGGATTTCCGCGGCAGAGAAGCTCAAGCGCGGATTGGCCAAGGTGGCAGAGTTGGATAAAGAGAGGGCATTACCCAAACTGTGACTTCGTTGCGTCTCAATCGGGAGATGGGGGCTCTGAGGACGCCATTGTCGTCTTTGGGTGACGCGGCTCCTGCCGCGGATGGTGCTCACCAGAACCTGGACATCAAACCTAGCGTTGAAGACTTTTCTGAACAATCATAGATTCATCCAAGCCATTCAGACGCCAACATGATTAGCAACTCGGATCTTCTTTTGTTAACCAGGATAATATTGCATTTGTTTGTCAAAAGCCGTACTTCGATCCATATGCAGTGTGAGAGCAACGCACATGTTCAATGATCCGTCTCCCGAATAAAACTAGAGACACAGATGGCCACCTCGGAAGCCAACGACCACCCATTACCCCATCTCATCATAACGTTCTGGCTGTTTCTAGGCCACATAATCATCCCGGACTCATGTGGCGACGTACTACGATCGCCAGCCCTGTATGACTAAACACAAATCCCCACCTCGCCAGCCAACGCCCCCTATTACCCACTCATCAAAACATCTTTGGTCTGGCCTGTGCCTAGGCGATACATTCATCCCAGACTCAAGTGGCAACGTACTATGAATAAACATAATTGAATCCTGCATTCTTGTACTACACTATGAATAAGCAAATTGACCAAAACCACGGGTATTCTTGTAACAGATTTCATTTGCTACGTGACTGTGCCATCCATTTGTTTGCATGATCGAGAAAAGAACACTTACTATATCAAAGCCCAGCGTCTTTGCTCTAATCCTGCTTTTCGCTAAAAAGCTGTTGGACTAGTTATTTTTGGCTCGAGCATTCAAGGTATGTACAAAGAGTAAAAGATATGGTGGGAATAACTTAAAAGGAGGGCAATGGGGGGGTCCCCCGAAGAGAGGTAACTAGTTTTGACAAGATGGATATTCCACTCACTCTTGAGCAAAGATGCAACTGAAAGGGCCATCAAGGAGCGCAAAAAGCGCACGAAGCGCGCAACACGAACGAGGTTCATTATTTTTTGAATGTATTTCACTGAAGTTTTACTGATCAAAAATTCATCTATTAGAGACATCGCCTCGAGGTTTGGCCATGGTGTTTGGACTGTTACACTATGAACTTCAACTTATAGTCACTTTTGCAATTAAGGTCCGACGTGATCAACGTCTTTTCCGGGCTTCTTCCCGTGAAGATTGCCGGGATGGTGGCCGAAGAGCGGCCCCCAACGGCGGGGGCCAAGATGCGTGCCTTGGGGGAGAGGGATAAGTTGCACGAGGACCTGGCTGCGTTGGTGAGAGAGCAGGAAGAGATGGAGGTGGAGATCCGGGCGGTGGAGAAGGAGGAGGACGAAACCAAGCAGAAGCTCGTTGCGGTGATGGCTGAGATGGGGGTGTTTGCAAAGCCGGGGCGAGAGGGGGAGGAATGGAAGGTGCTGTATGACCGGATGAGAGAGTTGTGGGGGGTGCAGAGCGAGGTGGAGGCCAGGAAGAAAGAGCTGCAACGGAGGAGAAAGGTGGTGGAGGACAAGCTTACCGAGGTCTATCAGCAGGTAAGCACAGAACCAAGTTTATGACCTACCTATTATACTGCTTTCTTGCAAACGTTCACCTCATGTCAAAAATATTCAAGATTCGCAAACGTCTTAGATCTCAGATTCGAGCTCAGGCTCGGATAGCGACCCGAGCCGTGACCTCTCTGCGTCTCCATCGGGAGATGGGAGCTCTGAGGACCTGCCCTTCCCCTGTGAGGGATGAGGCGGCTCTTGCCGCTGAGGGTGTTCTCGCACCATGCAAGTCCCCTGGGGAGACAGCAGGGGACGGATCCAGCAGTTGAGCCCAACGATCAACACAGCTATCGGGAGGAGATGGATCCAGCGGTTGAGCCCAACGGTCAACACAGCTATCGGGAGGAGATGGATCCAGCGGTTGAGTCCAACGATCACCACAGCTCTTGTTCTTTTGGCACGGGGAGACAGTAGAGAACGGATCCAGCAGTTGAGCCCAGCGATCACCACAGCTCTTGTTCTTTTTGCACGGGGAGACAGTAGAGAACGGATCCAGCAGTTGAGCCCAGCGATCACCACAGCTCTTGTTTCTTTTGGCACGGGGAGACAGTAGGGATTGGATCCAGCAGTTGAGCCCAATGATCAACACAGCTACCGGCAGACGACGAACCACCACCACAGATTTCGTACGTTTGGCACGGCTCAGTTTCCGTACTCCTTTGATCCAACCCGAACCCCTTGTCGTGCTCGCGATGACCCATTGTCATGACTTAACTCGAATCCTTTGTCATGCGCGATGACCCAATTGTCGTGACCCAGCTCAATCCCCTTGTCGTGCATGATGACGTATTGGCGCAACGAGGAACGAAGCCCAAGACAAAAGCACATCTCTGATACCTGAAAGTGTTCGAAACCAGAATGAGATAAGGACCAACCGTTGGAATAGCTACCTTTGCACATTTTTTGTAAAGATCGATGTACCATAGTCGAGATAGGATGAAGAAGGGCATATGGATCTGTAGTCAAGGGGAATCCGACAATACTGGATTGGGGCTCTATTAGGTACTTACGCGCAAGCTTAGATACTGGAAAGCAACAAAATAGGCTTAGGATTAGCGTTAGATAGGTGTCCATGGCGGGTATTGTTGCGAATCATTCAGCCAGTAATCCGGTTATGAGATCGGCCTGGTTGACTACAATCATATTGTGTTTGGATGCTACAATTGAAAACGAGGACGAGTGCGTTGAACGATGGTGTTCGTCCCTACAAAGAAACAGTTAACAATCGTCCGACGGGGTTCCCATTGCATAATCCAATTAATCACGTGGTTGATCATCACATGACAAGTCCTTTGCCCTCCATTCAACAACGGATTCAACAACGACAAGGAAGCTTTGGAACACCCTCTGCTGCTACTGCTGGGTTGTTGCTGCAGGACAGTTTCCAACTTTAGGGTTGGCCCACGTCGCAAGATGCAAGACCCAGAAGCACTGGGCCGAATAGCCGACGAAGCACTCGCAAACCTTACCGGTGGTGACACGCCCTCGGACGATAGACGGCCACCCTTTCCTCCCCAACGCTATTATGTCCCCAGTCCAGGCACACTGTATCCTGTAAGTGTTCTTCATTGCGCTCATATGCACACGTACATATGCACACATATACTTATAATGGTTTATCGGCGTTCTTTTTTTTTCTGCTCGCGTGTTCCAGTCTCCCCATCCACCGCATCCCATGGTCATCATGCCCATTTACAATGCCCCGCCTTACCCGCCCGTTTATCCCTACGCCCGGCGCCCATCCTTTGGGCAAGAAGGTTACCCGATACCCTATGGTGGATATCCCATGGTATATGCACCGCAAATGTACAGAGAGCGCCCCCAAAAGCAGGTCGACCAGGAGGAACGAGTCGACGTGAAAAGGAGGAGCATCAGTACGCGAAGGGGGAGTGTTCCTGGAAGGAAACAGAGTAAACAAGAGCAGAGGGTTGTCAGTACAATGGATTTGGAGGAGCGGGATGCAGAAGGTGAAGAAGACGAGGAAGAGCAAGAGGAAAAGAGAAGAGAGAGCGTGGTGAAACCGTTCGTACGGCCAGTGGTGCAACATGTGGCTCAACAAGTGGTTCAACCGGTGGGCTTGGAGCATTCGCGCGGCCTCGTATATGGCGTACCACCTCCATCCCAAAATACCGCAATTGAAAGTCTTACCAAAAAGCGAGCAAAACCACGCGACATGACGCGCGACAAGATCAGCATCGCCGTCAAGCCAAATGGACCGCGTGAGGAGGGATCGCGTAAAGAGTCCAATCTATCTAGAAGGAAGTCGGATGGACCACACGCTCAAATGAACGGAGCCGAAAAGCCAAAAGCACCAGTTGCCACGCATGATCACGACGTCGAAAAGGCGACTCTCGCCTCGACACTGCAACGCGGCCAGGGATCATGCGACGAACCTGACGTATCTGAAACGCTAAATGTGCCGCACCGAGAAACGATTGGCTCTGAACAATCTGCACGCCCTGCTGAAGGGACACCCGTCTCTGAAACGCCCGCCTACGAGGACATTCGCGACGCTTCAAAGCTCACTACATCGCCGCCACCAGCACCACCACCACCGCCGCTAGTAGAGCAAGAGGAAGAACAAGAAGAAGAACTGGGAGAAGAAGAGAGCACTCGACCCAAATCAGACGACGAAAGCTACATTGACATTACAGGCACGTCCACACCCGTCCCCGCCGAATCTGACGCCGATGGAGAGGCAGACATGAACTTGGCTGAACAGTTGGTGCACATTACTGACAAGAACATACTCAAAAACCGGAAAAAGGGCACTGGCATGGGAAAGAAAAAAGGGGGAGTCAGTACCACACGAAAGCGAAAGGCTGTTGATGGGATCGATACTGGCAAAAAGGTAAGACCATCACGACTCGTCTTTCCTACCGCTATGCATACAGACGAGCTCACAAAATGTGCATTTCTATTAGAAGGTCAAGAACCGTAAAGAAGGCATCTCTGATCCACTGACCTACGACCTCTACCACAGTCTCACCATGGGCCGAAAACGCAAGCGTATCGACTATGCAGCAATGTCTAGGGGCCAACCTTCAAAGTCCGACGACAATGACTCGCTTATTTCCCCTAGTCTCTCAGCAACACCTTCTGAACCCGACGAGACACATCCCACCCGACCCAGCGACCCCACCAAGCTCTACTGCATTTGTCGACAACCGTTAACCGACGCGAATGACTCGCAATTCTTTATTGGATGTGACGGATGCGATGAATGGTTCCACGGAGACTGCGTTGGTATATCCGAAGAAGATGCAAAAGGGATTGCCAAATGGGTGTGTCCCGTCTGTCAAAAAGACCGTGGATTACAAACTGTTTGGAAAGAACGGTGCAAAGCTTGTTGTAACTATATCGAGACGGACAGTGCACGCCACGGCTATTGTTCTGACACATGCGGCATGTCCACTGCCCGTGCCCTCCTCGAATCCCTCCACGTCGTCCTCAAACCCCTTCCCAAACGAAATCCCCATAACGACGAAATCACCCGCACTGCTATCCTCACCGCAGACCAAGTAGACCAGTCCCACCTCCTCCACCTCCGCACCCGACGCCGCACACTCATCTCCCTCCTCCGCCGGCTCGAAACCCGCCGCACCCGCATACGAGACGCAATTATTAAATGCCTGGAATTGAATACCGATGCAGGCGTGTCAGACCCATCTGGCCGGATATGCGGGTTCGATTCACGGATTGTCACTGTGTGGGTCGTTGACCACGGCATATCCACCACTATTGATAATGACGACCCGATGGAAACCCCTACCGAAGCATCCTTGTGCAAAATCACAGGAAAATGCCCACACCATGAACATTGGGAACGGATAAAGTACGCTGAAGTTGAACTTGAGGTCCGGCAGGTTTTGGCGGCTGTTGAGGATGCTGCCAAAGAGCGGAATATGGTGCTGGCGAGTTTGAGGAGGAGAAGACAAATATGTGGACGGCCAGCGTGATTTCTTTTGGGTTTTGGATTACTCGTTCATTTTTTCGTTTTGTATATATCTATTAGGTGATGGTATGGTATTGTATAAATTGCCTGTTTTTTTTTGCGAATAATGTGTTGGTTTTGATTTTTGCCGTATTTAACTGTGAATGACTTTAAATGTTAATCCAAGACCACACTGGGGACACCATTTGGCATATCAATCCCAATGCGGTAAATGAATTACCCAGCCACCATACCCTTCGTTTGCACACCAACCATCTACTTTACTCATCTCACACGCCATGCCTCAACATTCCACAAACCAAAAGGTCGTATTCATTACCGGAGCGTCATCTGGTATCGGTCGATCCCTAGCATTCGCATACGCATCCCACTATGCAAAGCAAGGTCTTGTTCTCGGACTCATATCCCGACGTGAAACCATCCTATCCGACATGAAATCCCAGATTGAAAAGGTATGCACCACTACTCCATGTTTATTCCCCCCAAAAAACATTGAACGCATTTTTTAAAAGGAATACAAATCCATTCGAGTCGAAATCAGCGCCTGCGATATCACATCCCCTTCTACACCCACTCTTCTCGAAACTCTCACATCCCGCACAGGTATTCCCACCATAATGGTCCTCAACGCCGGAATCGGACACCAAGGCAAACAAATTGGACAAGGCGATATATCAGATGATGCAGCTGTCATTGAAACGAATTTGGTTGGGGCTATGAGAGTTTGTCATTGGGTTGTTGGGGTTTGGGAACGTGTTGGGTGTGTGGGGCATGTAGTCGGTGTTAGGTATGTTTTTGTTTGTTGTTTTTTTGTAAAGGTTGGTGTGCTTTTGGGTATTGATTTTGGTGATTAGTTCGGTAGCGGCTTGGAGAGGGTTGCCCACTAGTGCCGCTTACAGTGCTTCTAAAGCGGGATTGGACGTATACTTGGATGCATTGAGAGGTATGTTTCTGTCCTTTTTTGACTTTTTGAGAGAACGCTGTTGATGGTGATATGGACCATAGTGGAAAAGTATGGGAAAATCAAGGTGACGGTGTTGCATCCAGGATATATTGATACGCCCATTAACGACATGATGGAGCATCGACCATATTGTATGTATCCTGAAATCCTACTCGTTTGCACGCACATGTTTTGACTCTTGCTTATTTTGGATTCTTTTTGGATAGTAATATCAGCGGATAAAGCTGCTCAGCTGGTTTTGAGTCGGATTGAGAGAGGTGTACGGCAGGCGTTTATACCATGGTGGCCTTGGACGGTGGTTGCGAGGTTGCTTGCAATGTTGCCGACGTGGGTGTTGGCCTTGGCGGCGAGAAAGTTTACAAAGTAGAAAAGAGTTGACCGGTTACCGGTGTCGTCCGATTTGAAAAAACTGGTGCAAATTGTTGGAAATGATTGCTGAGATGTTTACTACAAATGAGGGGTATATCTATTATTTTTTTGTTTGTTTTCTTTAGCATGACTGCTCAACAGTATGCTGTACACAGAGTACAAAATCAAAGAAAAACACATACACACACACAAAGTAACTTTTGCCATCAATACACAAACATCTGAGTTTGCCAAGGTTTCAAAACCACCCACAACCCCTTATTCCTCAATTCCTCCCGATCCCTTTGATAAGTCACCCCACTCAACGCCTCGAGAACCTCCACCCCACCACTCCCCGTCACTTCAGGCAACTTTATCCGTCCATCCCCATAAGTATCCGACAAGTTCACGACCACAAGCCTCCGATCCGAGTACGTCCATTTCCATGCGACGAGACGCCAACCTGTGTTGGACTGTTCCGGAACAACAGTCTCGAGCGTCCATGTTCCGTGTGTCATGGTCGGGTGGGCGAGCAGAGGGACGAGTGTATTGTACAGGGATTGAGTGGGTGCGTGGATCGGTTCTGGGTAGGATCGGCGAAGTTGGACGAGAAGACGGTTTCGTTTGCCTTCCCACTAATCCCCAACCCAAAAAACATGTTTAGTATTCGAAGTTCGTTTTTTTGTGACTAGGAGTTTTAACATTTACCTGACCAAACCACATCAACCTCGGCCCCGGCAACGTTAAACTCGCAACCGCACCCGCCATAGCCTGTTCGTACCCCCCAAAATGCACAGGCGCCCTAACTTCATCATGGTTCTCCACAAAATGCACATGACGCACCATCTTCATCCCATCTGCTCCCAACGTGCTCCTCAAATTATCCAAATGCGGATTCACGAGGCGATCGTACAAGGCTTTCGCATACGTTGCGTCAAACCCCATTGTTTGCAGCTGAACATCCAGCGGCGGATTAAAGTTTGGCCAATCGTAAACTTCGGCCATGAGGTAAAAGGACGGGTACGCCGATCGGAGTCGTTGGATTGCTTCCAACCAAAACTCGGTTTGGGGAGCTGTGTACCCATTCGCTCGGTGTATCGGACCCCATACCTACATACCCCATCAATCTCATTCCTTCCCTTTCTTGTTCTACACATGTTGATAACGTACCTGCTCGATCACACTATTCACAGACAACATGGCCATATCCACTCGTAAACCATCACATAACGACGCAGCCTTTAACAATGCGTTCATCATCGCGGTCCGGAGTCGGGGGTTCCAGTAGTTGAGTTGAAGTGTATCGATCCATGCGCCAGAGTAAAGATCCTAGAGTAAACAGTTTTGTTATTGCGTATAGAGCATATGGCGGGCATGTAAGATCTGTATGCTTACCCGTCCATAAGCACGTCCTTGACTATCAAACTCGATGCCACGCCCGATACTTGTGTCGGATGGTTTACGCACGAAATAGTCTTGGGTATCGGGTTGTGTCGCCCACACTGAATCCACTGCTACATGCTAACCAAAACAACCAAAAATTATTAAACCTTGTTCTAAAAACAAATCAGCAAGTTGGATGGAAACTTACGTTGGGCACAAAATCCAACATCAACTTGATGCCCCGTTGCTTCAACCGCTTCCTAAACTCCTTTAGAGCCTCATCACCGCCCAACTCTGGATTCACCGTATCTAACCACCAAAAGCCAAAATCAATACCCCATCACCAACATAACCCAACAATGTAATCCTCACATTCAAAAACAGCATAAGGCGACCCAATCACATCCTCCATCCGAAAATCCACCAACGCCTCCCGATAACTCTTGAGTCGTCCCGATTCAACTTTATCCACCTGCTCAAGTCCATATGTACCCAATCGCCAAACGCCCTGTAACCAAACCATATGTACACCACGGGATGCGAGTGTGTCGAGCGCGGTATCGGGGACAGAGGACAGGGGTTGCGGTTGGGAAGATAAGCTGTAGAGGTACGGACGGGCAGGGATTTCATAGATGGTGAACCCCGAAGGAAAATCTGAACTTGAACTGGTGGTCATGGTGGAATTTAAAAGTGGCAGGCCCACTATACTGTGGAGAAAGCATAGAAAGAGTATAAAGGTAAACATGGTTGATGAGGTTCGTATCTCAAGTGAACCCCGATTACAAAAGGGATTCGTTATGATGGGGGAGAGCCTACCCAGTTCTACCTACTTTATAAAACCAAGTTACTTGCAACACTGAAAAATTACAAGGTTTTTTTCTTTGATTTTGTTTGTTTGGCGGTTCACAAATGATCTATAGCTCACTAAAAACTAGCGTACTATACCCTTTACGCGTTTCCTCCAATTTTGTTCTTCTTCTGCTGGATTGGTGCTAGAATTCGGCTTTTGCAAAAAAGATGGGGGATTTTTGTATCATCAAAGAATGCCGTCGTTGTTCAACGAAAACGTGACAAGCACACTCTGGTGTGCAGTCCACCACGCCAAAGTTATCTGCCAAGATTTCTGCACACCCAATACTGCGCGTACAAGGGCGGATCTTTGTTGGAACGTCACCGCGCGTGTGTGTATGCATAGTGCGGAGCCGATGGGTATTGGCACTAGTACAAAGATTCCAACCATTTTAATCATAATTTTACTCGATTTAGACTCATGAACTATGGTTTGATCCAAAAAAATCCTATATAAGTTGTCGTGCCCATTTTCCCAGGCTTTCATCTTTTTCCACAGATATCATCATGCCACCAAAAAAGAAGCAAAAGCTTGAAAACCCTACTTGCTTACATACCTGCAACAAGACTTCCTTTGCAAAAGCTTTCCTGCCAAACGACATCTACCGCCAACGGCTTTTAGATTACATCGCCATCATCCATCAACTTGCTGACCATGCTTCCCACGCTCTCAAATTCTACATCCTATCTGCACCATCCTTTCCCACGTTAGATCAAGATACAATCGAAGCGATTCTCTATCTTCTCAACAAAGGAGAGGCTTGGCAACCAAAAGCTGATGCAAAGAAGGCGCTACGTGGATGCTTGGTGCCATATATTCGTCGGTACTGCCACATCGTCAGCTTCGTTCATCCAAATCTACAAAAAGAGCAGCAGTCAATCAATTACCTGACAGCGAGTATGATGACGAACCTGAAAGTCAACGTTCAAGAGCATTTCATGCAGATGCTCCTTCGGTATATCAATCTGCGGCTCGATGTGAAGGGACAGAAGCAGCGACTGCCACTGAAAAGCGATGCACGGAAAGCTTTCTTTACTCGACTACGCTACTTAAAGTCAGTTTTTCTTTTTGATATCGTGCCCGAGTCGCTGGATGACTTGACCGCTGAAGAGAGTGAGCTTCTAGAAGAGATGTGGTCCTTCATTCCCCTTTCCGACCAGCCGCTCGCATATTCGGTTGCTGTTGACCCTCTCGCTTTCTTTCCTGCTTACTGCAAACTCTCTGTGCTGTATGAACGACATGGCTTCCGTCGGTTCAGCGCAATACCTCTTCGTCGGTCTCTGATTCAGTCCCATATTCGCATCGACACGGTCATCCTGTACCAGCATATCCTTTGCATCACGCGACGGGAAGCGGAAACTGTTGAAAAGGTCGACTTATGGTTGCGCATCTGTAATCTGCGGAACAAGGCTTTTAGATCTCGTCGTGGAATGTGTTTTGAAGGCTCGATCACGACAGACGGTACCTCGGTGTCAGTTTACTTGAAACATCCTGAAGCTGACAAGTATGGAAAGCGCAGCGGCGGAGGGAAAAAGTCAGCAAACACAATGGAGGCAGAGGTTAAAGCGCAATATGTGGAGAAAAACTTACCTGCTTGTCGAGTAGCAGAGAATGTTGTTGTTATCGACCCAAACAAGCGCGACATTCTCTACTGCCAAGACAGCATTGGTACAACATTTCGCTACACCGCCAACCAGCGAGCCATGGAGACAGGTAGCCGTCGACAGCAAAAGGAACGACAGCAGATGAAGAAGGGGGAAATTGACCTCATAGAATCACGTATCCCTAGCCACAAAACAATGAACCTCATGGATTTTACTCGCTACCTTCTCGTTCGCCGCGCGGATTCGGATCGTCGCAAGGAATTCTACTCACATCCTGCCCACACGCGGTGGAAGTGGCACTCCTTCATCAATCGGCAGCGAAGCGAATCAGACCTCATAAGCGCCATGCGCAACAAATACGGTGAAAACTTTACCGTTGTGATGGGTGATTGGAGCGACGCCGGTCGAACTGCCAGATTTCAGACCTCATCAAAGACAAAAGGTTGGCGCACCCTCTTTAAGCGGAACAGGATCAACTGCTTCCTTCTCGACGAGTACAAGACCTCATCTGTCTGCCCTCACTGTTCATCCGATGACTTCCTTGAAAAAGGCTTCAAAACACGACCTCATTCAAGACCTTGGCGACGACGAGAAGGCAATGTTGAAAAAGTCCATGGATTGCTGGGTTGTACCAACCCTAACTGTTTGCAGCAAGACTGGACATCGGGAATGCGCTACTGGAACAGGGACACACTGAGCACCTGCAATATGCTGATGATCGTGCAATCAATTATGGATGGACACGGTAGACCAGAGGTGTTCAGCAGGAGTGTTCCAGCCGTAGCGTAGATTGGTTAGATTAGCTTTTCCGAACCGGTTATCGCCGGTTCAATCCCTGGTGCGGGTGCTAGTGCAATACCCATCCGC